ATTTCCCCTTATTGAAGCTCTACAATGATGTGTACATAAATAGACCTTACATTGTAAATATTCGCTTTTGTCGGTGAATAAATAATATAAAATAGAATTGCAGAAATATATAACATTTTCACGGTGATGTCATCATTATCGACATTCTTTGGAAAACATTACAATAAAAAATATTCACAGTTCTCTCTCGCTCTGAGTTTGTGTTGAGTGTGTGCGGAATTTTCTTGCGCGGCCCATCTTTTCAATATGAAGTAAACATGATAAAGGTGGGTACATTGAGATGATAAATAACACGATGAATACATGAATTTTTAACACGGTGACGCCTAGTGGTCCCGCAATTTTTGTCCATTACAAATTTTCATGTTTGCACGGCGTGATTTATGGCGGGATGTTCGCTGCTGGATGAGTGGGAATTTTTCTTGAAGCCACCCAACGGGTTCCTCGTGGCTGTTCGCAGACAGTACACAGATAATTTTATTATTTCAACTGCAAGTCCCGCCCGCGGCGACGTGGGTGACGGTGATTGTTTGCGAGTCGGATTTGGGGGTGTGAGAAAGCGCGAGGAGGGTCGTAACATATGAACTCATTAGCCGCATCTCTGGAAAAAGAGCAGCGCGCATCAGCGAGGGTGAGAATGGCTGCAACTATGTCTATGTATCCTCGTGATTTGGTGCAAGTTGGAAATTTGCAATTCAATTACCGTCACAGCTTAATTAATGATGGTGGCGCATTTTTGTTTGGGCGTGAGTGACGATGACGAAGACCCTCAGGGAGAAATCCATTCAGCCAGAGAGAGAGTGATCAGCCATCACATTGTCGTGAATCAATAGCGAAAAGGGAGACATTCATCAAAAGACCAGACATTATGCATGAAGTGGCAGATACGAGGATGAACATGAGGCGGTGGGCATGCTGTGAATATGGGGGATGCACATAAAAACATTGAAGCGGCGTTGAAGTTGGGAAAGTGTGGTCAAGAAATCTCTTTGCTGGTTTTACCATCATTCATGCATGTTTAAATCTGAGTGCATTATATTTCCTGCCTGTGCACATAAAATATGCATGCATAGAGATAATCTAGCGCGAAGAGAGTTATTAAGTGAGCGCCTGTTGGGTGAAATAGACTTCCTCGCTTAATCTGATTAAAAGGAAGCGGCATAATGAACATAAAAAGCTAAATACATAATATGAATTGGGTGCAGTAACAGCTTCCAACGCGAAACTCCGCTCGCTTCTGTCACTGGGCTCAGTCTCCTGTTGCTCTTCACTCATGTCCCGACAGAAAAGGATAAAGCTGGAGAGATGGAGTGAAGAGGATATGGCGCTAATGAAAGTTTGTGTTAATCCCCTTTCGAGGCCTCAACCGTGAGAAATCATTACAACGCTTTCCCATCTCCCTTAATTACGGGATTTCTTTTCAATCTACACTTTATGAAGCACTTTCTACGCGATGTGTCAACAAAAATCAATGTGTTTCATAATCATTTTGGAGTTTGCCACATAAACTTGCCCCGCTTTATGAGGCATGTCAGTGTTTCACCATACATGTAAAATGACAATTATATTTGAAATGATAATGCGTGTGCCTTCCGTAGACAAACACTGTCGAGAATATAATGGATAAAGTTTTTAGCACAACACGCCGTGTGGATACAAAAATCTATTTCCCACCCTCTCGAGCGCGCGCCCACAAACATACGTTTCTTCCGTGGTGTTTGAATGGAGTGATAAAGCTGAGGGCAAAACCCAAAGACGGATTTGTTTAATATAAATGTCTTGCACCTCCCAGCAAAAGCATAAATCGTTGATAATGACTGGAAAACTTGCTCTTACCCTCTTCTACATATGTACATAAAATTCTCTCTTGAATTCATCTTCATAAACTTTGGTGCGAAACATAATTACGTTGTACATTGAGTATCATATTCAGACTTTGGGCTCGCTCGAATACCACGAGAATGTATGCAGAACAGAATCCAGAATAATACCTGGGCGTGTGTGAAAGGTGAGAGTTGGAGAGAATGAAAACTCGTGTTACTGTACCCTCAACATTACTGAGTGTGGATGTTTCTCTCTTTACAATCTCTAATTGTATATAATAACTCTCAGGCACCCTTCACTCTCTACATGTACAGCAGTGGCACATAAGGAAGCTCTCTGATCATCTCTTGTCCGTTAAATCACATGTATTCAATCGTCGCATCCTTTAAACTCGATTCGACATATAAATTGAATTGCAGGATTCCATATCGTCAGTTACATCAGCAACTATTGCGACGCATTAACCATCAGTTGAGGACACTTGAGCAGGCAAAAATCAATTCAATGATATTCGCCAACTAAAACTCATTTGCGTCTTAGTAACTTTCTCTCTTATCCTTGCAATGAAGCTTTATGAATAGAGAGCTCTTAAAGCCATAATAAGAGCGTTAAGAGTTCTCACTTGTACCTTTTGATTTTCAATTGCAAATTTATAGATATGACAATTGGCGATGCACTGACGATGTATTATCGAGCAAAGGGGAAACAGTTAATCTAAATACAGCCGGAAGCTCATCAGAATTATCGCTTCTGCAAATTTGTGTGGAGTTTGTATGGAATGCATCAGCAGAAGCTCCGAAATACGAGCAAAAGAGAGAGTTGTTCTATATGCCATTCGAATAATCTGCACTAAATTGTGATTACACCCGAATTATCATCATATTGCGTGGCGCTCTTTTGCGCGCGATGCGATGTTGATGCAATAAACACTGTTTGTGTACGTGTGAAGTCTACCGCGCGGGATAAAATATGTATGCTGAAAATAAAGAGGCTCGCGGGTGGGTAGGTAGAGAGAGAGAGAAATGCAGTTTAAAATGTGTGTAATTCATAATTAAACAAATTCAGTTGGATAAATCTTGTTGGTGATTAATGGCCATACCATTGAGCTGGGACAGGGATAAAATTTGGTTATGATAGGACATGTTAAATCCCATTATTTCCGCATATTTTACATGCTCCGCGTCGCATATTATGCAAATGCTATTCCTGAATCAGTCGACTGAATTGCCTAATTGTAATTGTAAATCCATCAGAAAATTCTTGCCATTCGTATGTGCTTCAAGACATAATTGTCTTTGTTTTTGCCATGTTACAACAAGCGAGCTTTCCAGCTTCGCGCCGCGCCCATCAATTAAAGCCTAAATCAACGCTTGAAGGGCTTATGATTTTCGTCGCCGAACTGCTAATTGAACAAATCCCACACGACTGCCAATTATCCGTCAGATTAATTGTAAACTAATTAATTTTATCATTTGTACACTATCACAGCACAGCTTAATGCTTATTGTGAATTTAGCAGTAAATCAATTAATAGATGAATGCCACACCTGACCACATTTCCCACCTGAACTCCCGAACAATACGAATGAGCCTTATCGAGAATATACTGTTACTTTGGGTAGTCTTTCTCCGACAGACAGGCAGCAAGAAACTTTTCCTTGCACTCTCGCCAATTCGTGTAAGTTTTCAACATAGGAAACTCTATCGTGAAGATTTAATTACTTAATAAATACTGAAGGACTATTGATCCTCTCTCAGTGTTTTTGGTCGGTATTAAAAATATTTATGCTAAGTTTATATTGATTCAGAGTTACATAGAAGGATGGGAGTTGAAAAAATGTTTCGTTGGTATTCACATTAATTAATAATAGTTGAAAAACAATCTGCGTTGTGGTTGTGAGAAGCTTGGTTTAAATTTAATTAAAACTCCCTTTCGTTTGGCAATAATTTTTCTCTCAGTCTGTTACGGATGTACATTTATTGCATTTTTCACAAGCATTGCGAAAAAATACTAGGAATTGAATTGGATTTCGATAAAAGACAGATACAGAATCCTCCCTCTACCTATTTTAATTCTCCTAATTGAATAATTTTATGTATGGTGGCCCTTCAAAACATAGAATTACACAATTGTTGCGTGGGGTGGAAAAAATAGGGGTGAAACAACATTCACACAGAGTGTTGGGGGAAGCGAGCTTGTTTGTAGGAAAAATGGGGGCTGTAAAGAGGGATATACAGGAAAAAAAGTTACGTAAGAGTAATTAATGATAACCTGAGTATATGAATGTCGATGTATAATTAAGGTGAATTGGTCCCCAAAATCTCCTGCGTGCGTACATCCATTCAAATGGCTCATATTAAGCCCAGACTATATAGAGGGGAACTACATACACAGTCCTTGTGGCTATTTGGGGTGTTATCTCAATCTGCACTCGCTTCTAGTTGAGATAGGACTTAACATACCCTTTCTCGTGTGCCGTTAACGTTTTATTTTTGAATAATTAAATAGTCTGGCTGGATAGGGACGGTATAATTGAATGTGGAGAGCTTGAGGGCAAATCTTTGGCCTTTCCTTAAAAAGCTGTGCAGTGGTTTTTTTTTCACTGAGTCTGACCCAAATTGAATATTAATCATTTAAGCCACTTTAACAAGCAAACAGAAAGCTATAAATTATTTCTGCTGACAAAACTTTGCCCTCCGCAGCCAGAAGCTTGAATACTCTGTCGTCCACTCTCGATAGCTGGACAGAGAGAAAGCATTTCACTCAGTTGGGATTTCTTATCCAGCTTACTTGTAATCGTTCAGAGTAGTCAGCAGAATTGCAAACGGTTGCTTTAACTTGAGGTCTCTGAGGATCTATTAATTCTCTTAAAGTTAAAGTGTTGATAAGCATCTGTAAACATCTTTATTGTAATTCTTTTTCATGAATTAAAAGCTGGCTTTGAGCACTAGCGTGAAATGATGTCTGATATGTTGCACCTTTTTGGACAGGAAAAAGTTCTTTGCAATCCTACTAACTCTTTAAATTCGATATGGTTCTTAGCGGCAGAAAATATACGAGCATTGATTGATGGGTTAATTTTTTCTATCATTGGACGACATAACCTAAATTCCCGCCAAATTCTTTCTGTCAGTCAAACCGTGATCTGTGCAGCGAATGCGGCGCTTCTGTGGTCATGGATTCGTCTGGCGGGCAAGATAATCCGTTCAAGGATTACTTCAGAAGCACAGTGTGGGATTTAACGAGTGCTGAAGCATATCACGGAATCCTCTTCTTCAACCGTGATCTGGATTTTGCCACGCAATTCGGTGTTATTCCCGGTTCGCTGACTGAAGTCTGCGGGATCAACAATTCCGGAAGGACGTGCCTCTGCGTGAAGCTCTGCGTTAGCGTTTGCGTGCCGTCGTTTCTGTGGGGAGTCGACGGGGAGTCAATCTACCTGGACAGTCGTCAAATGTTTCATCCTCGACTAGTTGAGCGTCTCGTGACTTCGACAAATTCGGCAATGAAAGATCAATTTGAGAAGAAGAACTTTGCACTGAGCACTGACGATGTTCTGTCAAGAATTCATTACGTGAGAATAATCACGGTTGAGGAATTTGTGGCCAAAGTGGAGTTTCTCAAGGAATACCTGAAAATTCATCCGAGAGTTCGCCTCATTGTTGTAGACTCCATCGCCATGCTGTTCCACACTTTCTCGGGATCCAGCATTCAGCGCGTAAAGAAAATCATGGAGACACTGATGAGCCTGGATAATTTGGCTGCCGTATTCAACATTGCTGTGGTTATCGTCAATGATATGACAACAAGAGTCTCTCCCTGTGGCACCACATCCAGGGTCATACCAGCATTGGGGGTGTACTTTTATCACAAGATATCATACAGGATCGTACTTTCGCGCACGCCAAACGGAAAATTTGCGGCAGAACTGAAGAAGAACTTCAAGAATGCCAACAAGACGTTCTCATTCAATTTCTAAGACGTGCGCCTGCATGATGGATGGCAGAACATCTGATTATTAATGTACCAGAATACGGATATGATATTGCATTAAACACCCTTGATTGCCAGAGGCGCCTCTTCTTCAATTACATAAATTGTGTGGCTTGTCGTCAATACCATAATCCCTGGTGATGCCAATTTACAGGCCCCATCCCGTTACCCCGAGAATATGAAGTGAGAGGAGAGAGGCTTAGCTTCATCCGGTCGGAGTAAACTAACCAATTCCACCGCAAAGGAGTGATTAATGGCCAAAATGCCCAGTGGGGCTAAAAGTGTGATGCTGAGTTTTCAATTTTGCCACCATTAAAAATTATAGTTGTTGCCTGTGAGCTCGGAAGTGGCACACATTCGCTGAAGCGCACCAACCGCCAAAGTACACCTTAATGGGGTTGGAGGGATGTACTTCATCTCGATTTTCCTTCGCCCACACATCCACTCATTTCCTCTATATCAAAACCGTCGTTGGGGGAGAAGAAAGAAATATATAGAGAGAGTGAGGCAAGTTATGGGGATGAAAAGTATAAGGATCTCATTCCACACTGGCAAACTGCTATAATTTCTTTCAATTGAATCTGGCGCTCCAGCAGGATTTATTGTCCCTCCTTCGCTCACCGCACACACACACACACACACTCATGTAGGTATGCTATAAACACTTACACAATTTTATGCTAGAAGCACCCCGAGACTCCCCATCCTCCCGCCCAGCTAAGCAATACTTCCTGTTGATGGCATCAGTTTTCACTTAGTGTACATTGCTTCCTCTCCAACACCAAACATAATAACGGCGACCGGGGGAAAAAGCGCTACCTTTTTCTGGCTTTTCTCTCACACTTCACCCCACACGTCAGACCCTCTCGCCGCCACCCACTCGCCCATCCCCAGGAGCGGGGCAAGTGGGAAATGTTTGAACGATTACTGCATATCAATTCAATTCAGCCAAGTCCCCTCGGATACATTGTGGCTCCTCTCGGGCCTTGAACACACTTCACGCATAAATCTAATCTTACTGTAATCTATTGTGTCCACTGTGCTGCGGAGCCCTTGGCCGGGGGCCCTCGAGGGGCATGACGAGCTCACGACCAAAATATTCAACATCCCTCGAACACGCCGCACCGAAGTTCGATTGGAAATTGTGAAGAACGAGGACAAGTGTTAGGCTCAAACTTGCTTAACTTGTCATTGTGCTGGGATTTTCAGGGACAATTGAGAATCAATATCACAATTGTATTTTTATGCAATTTCGCTCAAATTCAAGCATTTCTTAAAGTCAAGAAGAACATTGAATGTAAGTGCAATGCACTTAGACTATCATACAGTGATGTTAGTCAGAGATTGTCCTTAAGTAACATGACACGAAAACGACCGAAAAAATATGTTTGTGGCAAGATTTTTGTCATCTTTGAGGGTAATATGGTGATAAAATACTAGTCAACTCCTTTCAATATCATTGTGGTAATTTTTCTCACAGTCAGTGAAATAGTTGAAAAGTTTTCGTACCAAATAGATGTGTTAATTAAACTCCTCCCACTCAAATGATCCACCTCTCGTTTGGATTCTTTTGTCAAACATAATATTTTCCGGAAAATTTACCGGATTAATAAATAAAGGGAGATGAATGTAATATTTTCTAGAAAGCCTATTTTCCTAGCCATTTCACGCATTTGCATCACATTTTTATGTCATATAAAAATTTAAACTTTAATGACTTAAATTTAAATTTGATCATCGCAGTTTTTGTGAGATACAATGCAAAATTTATGTAACTTTCCCTCGACATCCCTTTAAACTGCAATCATATATTACAACTCTTTTCACGCCGGATATTATGATAGGGAAACTGTGGCTGAATTCGGGCGGTGGTGGATTGCGAGTCGCCGAACATAATATTTTATATAATACATTTTACACAAATACAGCGCAGTAAAAGCTTCTCTCTGCTCTAAAATTCACAAACTACGATGCACCCAAAACACGAATATTCGATTAAACTTTTGTTAAATGTAGATATAAACACCTCAAAACTCTCTCTCACTTCACTGTTTTGCTGCATTTATGGATATGTACTGTGGACGGGGGCGCTCGTTAACCCCTTTAGCCAATTTCAATCCGGCGACAGTGCCTGTGCCAGTGCAGATCCTCGAGTGGGATGCTCGGCTAAGGGGTGTAATAAATACTGTACAGATGAAGGAAAAGCTACTAAAAGTTGGGAGGATGATGTGTGAATTGTGGTTTGCCGCCCCTCCCCAGCTCAGTCCCTTGTTCTATCAAATAAATGACGATGGCGATTAAACACACCATCGGAATTGAGTCAGTAACGGAGTCGCTTTAAACTGCTTGCTTAAGGATTTTCAGCACAGAGCGTCTTTAAGCCCATTCTCGTGTTTGCTTCTGCTGCACCTCAACAAGTCTCGTGATTTTGTTTGTATCTATTTATTATATTATTATGGTCTTGTATGTGAAATTACAAAAAATACAATTGTAAGTTTGGATAAATTTCACTACATTTTTATCTACGATATTTGTGTGTAAAATTTTAAGGTACTCTTAAGTTAACAGGAGGCTTTAGTGTGACTTTTCTCTCAATAAGTTAGATTTTAGTTATCTCTCCTGTTATCGTTTTTTTGCAATAGACAATTTAGGTAGACGATATAGAAATAGAGAAGAAAATGCAAAATGCCTTTAAGCTGGTAAACACAGAAAATACTCTTCATATTTACATTAATTTTACATCTCTGCCTCATTCGATTGCTGCTTTTCGGGACTCAGAGATTAAATTATAATTCAAAGCGTATAAAAGCTAAATAAAATACTTCTGTAATTGATTATTTGATTGACTTCTGCTCTTCTGATTTCTTCGAGGTTGAGAACAAATTGACTCGAAAGATTCGAAAGTGGAACGTTTGATCTGTTTAAGGTGATTTCTGATTATGCTGACTTAACGAAAATGTTTTCTCGATGAAATTAAATTGCTAAATCGATAACGCATTAACTACAAATGTTTAAAGAATGATAAGGTATTCAATATAAAGTAGCATGATTAGATTTCTCGCGAAACTACGAGCTTTTGCCTTTCCTATGCAGTTCCGCTTGCTTCTGATGTTCACGTTCAAAGTCCTCTCGTGAGATATTCATATTCAACACGTGATGCATGATGAAGTTTTCATCCAGAACCTTTTCCGGTGGCGAACGCAGCACTTCGAGAGTCTCACAGAGACCTGCGCTGGCCTTCCGGACACTTCGCGGCCCGAGACTAGCGCCCAGAATCACGAGGGCCACCTTGAAGATGATCTTGATGCCCTCGCAGAGGAAACAATCCCAGACTCTGAGCAGCGTGTCCCAGGGAAGAGTTCTCGTCATTGCACACAGAAACCAGTCAGTCATGAACAGTAGAGGCTCAACCTTGTGCTTCTGGAGATGTCTGTAGACGTTGGGAGAGGTTTTCTTGACCAGAGCCATCAGCATTGCCGCGTCCCGTTGAAGCATTTCCATGCCCGGCTTGAAGTAGTCCTTCAAGTACCTGCAAAGAAGAGATAAGATGTATAAAATAAGCCAAGAATGTGAATTTAATTGCTGATTTACTTATCGCAAACGCTCACAAAGCACCAGAAAGCCTGCTCTGCCGGCAAATGCATCAGCAGAAAGGCAGCAATTGGAGCCTGAGCTTGGCAGTAGCCAATTTGCGGATTCAGGATTGAATAGGCTTTCAAGACATTGAACAGCTCCACGCGTCCAGGCTTGTCTTCATCCAGAAACATCTCATGAAATGGGAATTGTCTGTGCTGGTCCTTCCTGATCTCCTCGATGTATTGCTGATTTCCCGGCATCTTCAGTAGTTCCTCGTATAAATTGGGGTACTTTTCGTGTAGTAGCTGCCCGCCGGAGAGGTAAAACCACGCTTTCGGCCTCACCGAGGGCGGAATGCCTTTGCGACAACGCTCCCGGACTTTCTTGTAGTTCTTCGATAGGTATTCCTTCCACATGCCCATCATGTGGATCCACTTCTTCTCGCGCGCCAGGATCTGAGCGCGCGGCAGCGGCTCCTTGGGCTTCTCCGTGAACTGGGCGCCGCCGTAGAATCCGTGCCTGTCCGGACAGCTGGACATGGCACTCGTGGTGCTGCAGACGGAGATGGCATCCGGCGCCAGTCTCGGCGACATCGCCATCCTGATTGTAGAAGTGTTGGAAAAAGAATCCGATCTGGCTGAAGGATGTGGTGATGAATTCATAGCTAATCTGCAAAGCAATAACTCCATAAACGCCTCTGCCTTTGATATTCAAAGCACGCATTGGGCTCTCAAGTGGGTGTCTTATAATTACTGCACAAGCATTACTCATTCACGCACATCTTCATAGGTTTTCCACGTAGGTTTCGCTATCTGCAAAAGGGCAGAGCCCACTTACCAAAGCTACGGTCTCACATCACCATTCTTATCGGTCGTGTCTTCTGAGCGCGGTCGGAATTGGCAACATCCTGTGGAGAGACAGCAAGTGATACGGCCTAATTAGCCTCAATTCACTTCTCAAATGGAGAAAAAGGTGTATTTTCAGCATTCCTCAATGTCATGTGTAAACAAACATGTGTACGCACATAACACTAAATCCACGGCAATTGTCACAATAAAACATCTCTTCTCAGTACTCACCATGAACAAAGATGTTAGTGGGATGCAAAGCAAAAGATTTTACGATGCTTTTTAGCGTTTTCTTCGGTTTTCACGGTAAAAAATTAGAACAATGTTCTTCTTCGTAGTTGAATTGACACTGGCTTGACAAGCAACCATTGCGCCCCGTAAATCAACCTTTTTAGCGTCCTCAGACGTTCCATGGAAGAGTGTGACAAATATCTCATTTCTTGCGAAGTATAAGAAGTGCTTGCCATCGATTTGCCATGAAAAAGCAGTAATCAAGGTAGAAGCATGGAAAATTACACTTACCTGGACATGACCACAAAATTATATCTCTAAAATAAGTGATTTTTTAAATGCTGCCTTGGAATATGATTTCAACTTCATTGGTATCATAATGGGTTAATTGGGTTAATTCGTTGAAGCTCCGTGGAAAGTCCTACTCCGAATCCACATACTCTTCTCATTGGCGCCAATGAAGTGCACAACAAATGCAAGAACTTTGACCCTCGCTTTTTTTCAGTCTGTCAATAGACTTCTTTTACTCAAGATCATCTCTGCTCAAAATGATAAGGAATTTATTTCTCAATCGAGGTAAGTATAGAAATCTCGATTGTCCTTCAACTCCCAGTGATAATGAATTCACTTTAAACCCCATCAGGAGTGCAAATCCTCGGCCAAAGGGGAATTGCATCCCTCGCAGCTCTGCCGGATTCCCATCAGATGCTCCAGAAGACTTGCCGGGACTTTGCTGACAATGAACTGAAGCCCAACGCCGCCAAATTCGACAGGGAGCATCTCTTTCCACAGGATCAAATTCGCCAAATGGGAGAACTGGGGCTCATGAGCATTGCTGTGCCTGAGAAGTATGACGGAACCGGTCTGGATTATCTCGCCTATGCCATTGCCCTGGAGGAGATTTCGCGAGGTTGCGCCACGGCGGGGGTTGTGATGTCGGTGCAGAATAGCCTGTACTTCGGCCCACTTCTGGACAATGCGACTGAGAAACAGAAGGAGCAATTCGTGCGTCCGTACGTGAGCGGAGTCAAGATCGGGTGCTTTGCCTTGTCCGAGCCGGGGAATGGATCCGATGCCGGCGCAGCGTCGACTTTGGCAGTGACGAAGGGTGATAAGTGGGTACTGAACGGCACCAAGGCGTGGATTACGAATGCCTTTGAGGCCAATGCAGCAGTTGTGTTCGCCACGACGGACAAGAGTCTGAAGCACAAGGGCATATCCGCGTTTATCGTGCCGAAGGACAGCCAGGGATTCTCGCTGGGGAAGAAAGAGGACAAGCTGGGAATTCGGGGATCTTCAACGTGTTGCATTATTCTGGAGGATTGTGAGATTCCAAAAGAGAATCTCTTGGGGAAGCCCGGAGATGGCTTCAAGATCGCCATGAAGACTCTCGATGCTGGTCGCATTGGGATTGCTAGTCAGGCTCTTGGGATTGCACAGGCATCGCTGGAAGTGGCTGTGGATTATGCGACTAAGCGAACGGCCTTTGGCAAGCCCATCTCGAAACTGCAGTCCATCCAGCAGAAGATCGCTGACATGGCGCTTCGCGTGGAGTCTGCTCGGCTCCTGACCTGGCGAGCGGCGTGGCTGAAGGATAACGGGAAGCCGTACACCAAAGAAGCCGCGATGGCCAAACTGGCGGCCTCTGAGACTGCAACCTTTGCTGCTCATCAGTGCATCCAGATCCTGGGCGGGATGGGATACGTCTCCGACATGCCAGCAGAGAGACACTACAGAGATGCGCGCATCACAGAAATTTACGAGGGCACTTCAGAAATCCAGAGATTGGTAATTGCTGGAGCGGTTCTCAAGGAGATGTCGTGAACAAGACTTACAATTGGGGTGGGGGATCGTCATTTTATACAGTTTATATTTTTCATGCGATGCATTCGATTAATAAAGTACAATTGGTATTGAGATGTTGTTTTAGAGCTTTCAAGAGCGTATTAAATCGCAACTTGACCTCAGGTGACCTGAGTTTAAATGCCCGGCATTTAAATCTTGACTTGTTGTGATTTCTGATTTTTCCCACCGGCGCTAGTGTCTGCTCAGACTTCATCATGGCGAGAGTGGAATAAAACCTCGCTCATAAATAAACAGTGAAAATGTAAGTGTTATTTCTGTGTTTCTCGGGAAATTTTATCAAGAAAACCATGTCCAAGTAAGTAGCAGTAAGAGCATTGCTTTGTCTTCAGCCATTCCTCAGCAACTTATCTCATAAATCAGTCTGAGCCAGTGACGTCGTATTTTTCCAAAACAATTTTTTTTTCCTCTTTCAGGGAAGTGATAATTGTATTTGTGTATGATAAGGAGAAGTGCCAGGATGAAGCTGATGATCCAATCAGTGCCGTGTCGTACTTCCACCCAACCTGGGTCTCAGACACACAAAAGCTCACGCTCTGTGGTCAGTTGATGGGAGTTTCCCACTTCCTGGAGCTCAACTTCAACCGACCGCGCATTATTTGCCTGGAAAATGGGAAGTTCGTCATCAAGGACTTCGGTCGCTTCCTTCTGGCCATCGGCACGGATCGCAATGTCTCAGATTCAATCCTCGAGCACAGAGCCAAAATGCTGACGTCGCTAGTCAAGCTGTTTCATCGTGACTTGGAGAACATCTTCGATCAGTGCATGAATCTCTCCGGACAGTACAGGAATTTCTGCACAAAGCTCTACTACATCATGGAGACTTACATTTCCGCCATTCAGTATCACGGCAACATCTTTCAGAATGTCCCCACACTGCGACTGCCCACGGTAAGGATATTCTGCTGCTGTTAATTTTAGCGACTGATCGATGAAATTCACTTTCAGAGTGCCAGCAATATCTTCCTGGATGCCATGCAAACGCTGCAATGTTGCCAGCAGAGCAAGGGAGTCTTGGGAGGAGCGATTCTCTATGAGAACAAGATCATAGCGACTCAATTATCGCCAATGTTGTCCAAGCAAGTCGTCTTAACAGATCCATATCGCATGAAGTCCACAGCTGAAGGAATCACAGTGAAATTCCACGTTCCCGTTGGAGTGCAGTTGATTGGGCTCTACATTCCGTACAGTGAATATCTGAGATTGCAGAAAGAGGCCACCAAAGCTCAGACTTCCTTCCCTCAAATGACCAGTGCGTCTGTTTACCCACCGCAGATCAAGCGAAAGATGAAGCGCGATAAGTCGATAATTTTCTCAAATATTCCGGAAGAGGAGGTGACGACTGTCACTGAGGATGTGAAGCCGAAGGCGATCAAATCAAGACCAACGCATTTGCCGCTACGCTTCAAAAATGTCTCTGGGAAGGATATTCCAGAGTCTGGCGTGAATTCCATCACTTTTGACGATACAGACAGTTTTCCTCAATTTATTGGGAAGACAAGCGTGTGCTCAACACCGATAGCGGAGAATAAGATTCTGGTTGGCAGTGTGATGCCCATTTGTGCCAATCGCACGGCCGTCATTCCGGAAAATGTGGATGAAAATGGGAAGGCGAAAGATGAGGAGGATGTCAAATTCAATCACTCAATCACGAGACCTCAGACGAAATTTAAGAAGTTTAAGAGGCGCTTCTCATTTCGTCCTTTCCAGAGGAGTTTGACTCAAGTGGGCTTGGCGCTGATCAATGACAAGAAGATCAATACTGGCTATCGTTGTCAGACTATCGCAGATCCAAATTATCCAGTGTTCAATGACGATGGCTTGCCAATATCAAAGTGTTTGTACGACAGTTGCGTGGATAGTGAAGCTGAAGAGGCTGTTGATGCGCTGAACAATCTGACGATTGAAGGCTTCGAAGGCGAGCCAGAGGTGAAAGATGAAGTTTCGAATGTGGAGATCAAGAATGACACCAACAATAAGGAGAAGAGGAAGTCCTTGACACTTCCTCTGAAATCTTTAAATACAAATGTCACGGATTCTCCGATGAAGGTCAAGCCTAAACTCTCAGGAATCCCATTGACGCCTCTCATGTCCAAATTGAGCATCCTGGCGGCGAATGATGAGCGATCCAGTGGCTTTTCCAGCTGGGACACGACTCCTGGCCACACGGAAGGCTCCATAATGACTCCCATCGATATCAACAGAACGGCTTTTCGCAGACGATCTTCGGCAGCCAGAGTTGAGGACATGGAAATCAGTGAGGACACCGAAGGTGCCTCCCAAAGAGTTGAGCTCTTCATCTGTGGCCATCAAAATATGACGATGATTCTCATGATGGAGGAGAACAGCGCCCAGAAGCACGAAGTTGTCCACGCAATGTGGGAGATTTGTATTTCACGACTGACGAAGATTGAGAATTCCCTGCACAAGATCCTGAATGTTAACGTTGACGGTTTGGTGGACAAGAGCGACGGGAATTACAGTTTTATCCAGTTCGACCCGAAGTGGGACATCATTCATCGCGGCGGTCCGTGGACAGCCGAAGAGCTGGTAATTCTCGAGGACATGCACTCAGACTTCAAGGCGAATCCCAGCTTCACGGAAACCATCATCAGATGCGAAGACGCCATTGTGTATGGCTATCAGTGCGGAGACACGCAGATCTTCTACAAGCAGCCAGTCCACTCGCATAAGGGCCTTCCGCCGCCCGCCGATGCCATGGGAAACGTCTCTCTGGTGGCGAAGCGACGCCTCGAGCGCGATCATTCTATTATATTGCTGTAAGAAGTCACACTGTCTGTATTCCCGTTGTAATTTTTTGATTTTATGTTTTACTAGCGAAAATTGTGGATTATGTCGATTATGTGATTATTTTCTGTCATAATGATACTTTTAAGTTCAAAGAACACACCAAAATTCAGTAATTGTGAGCCATAGATATTTTTAAAAGACATATTTTAGCTATATTATAAGTAGAAATTGTGAGTAGTTTGTCTAGCGTAACGTGTATCACAAGAATTTATTATTCGCCGACTTGCCGTAATCCGTAGAGAACGATTTAGTCAATCAGACACATTTTCATGTTTGTTGAAGCAACATTAAAAACGTTCTAGAATTGTTTGCCATTAAAGTGGCGTATTATTATAATAAAGACTCGATAATGTAAAATGGATGCAGTTATTTTTTATCCTCGTGAATGTCTGATATCCGTAAGCACTATGTCTGCAGTCCTCTGTTGTTTGAATTGAACGCCGAACAAATCGACGCACAGTAGGAACACTCAATCGTGGATGAACTTGGAGTGTGTAAAAAGGTTGGAAAGAAAGTTGGGAAGGTTGGGAATTTGAATCACCCATAAATCATGGGAGAACCGCATCTTCTAGACACTCAAGTTCACTCAAATTCTTGGCATGGAATCTCGAAAATGCCGGTGATCCTTCGATATATCGGGGTGTAACTCGTGTTTTGCGCTCACCCAACTGTCAGTCTTACACACTCGCGCTCCCATGAACCACTTGTAGATCTGTAATCGCTAGGCTCCTTCTTATACTAAATATTTAGCAAAAAAATCTCCTCTTCAATTAGGTAATGTCTTGTGATAATCGCGTACTATAATAGAAAATAAATCGCTCTTTTAATTTTTGAACAGAAAATAGAGCTCATTTTGTGTAACCAACAGTTGAATTTGAGGAGGTCGTGAAACAAATAATTTTCCCCTGCAATTTCTACCCGTGCTGCAATACTTATGAGAAATGGGAAATTTAACATTCATACAACGTAAGATGAGTGAGAAAACCTGCTAAATCGCAGCTAATATTCCGTTCCTGGCTATTATAGGTATAAATTCTCGAGTCTTTATTGGGATGATGATCTTCTTCGCCAGCTTTCAGCTCTACATGGCGAGAAGTAACTTCTCAATGGCTATTTTGGCGATGATGAAGAGTGACGAGGATGCACAGGTGAAAAATTACGGGAAGAGATTTGACTGGAGCAAGAAACAGGAAGGAGAACTACAGGGCGCTTACTTCTGGGGGTTTCTCTTCACATCTCTGCCCGGAGGATTTCTCGCTCATTACTTTGGACCAAAGAAAGTGTGCTTCATTTCGATGCTCCTGAGCACAATTTTCACGATATTATCGCCCATGGCCGCCAATATTAGCTATACCATGATTTACACGGCTCGCTTCCTCATTGGCTTTGTGGGTGGACCTCTGCTGCCCTGCCTTCATCACCTGATTGCCAACTGGGCGCCGCCAGTGGAGAAAGGGAAGTTCATCATCCTGATCGAAGGGACGGCTGTGGCTATCATCGTGACTTGGCAAATGGTGGGCGCCCTGACGGAGGCGATGGGATATGCTTGGGGAGCATTTTACATCCCTGCGATTCTAATGCTCCTCATGATAGCCGGATGGATGTTCCTTATTTACGACAGCCCCGAAAAACACCCGAGAATCTCTGCGGAGGAGAAAGAATACATCAGCTCGTCTCTCGCAGGATCCATCACGAATAGCGTAGGCCTTCCTCCGATCAAAGCCATATTCACGTCGATTCCCTTCCTTGCGCTGATCTGCCTTCACTATGGAGCTCATTGGATGCTCTTCTTGTACATCACCTCCATTCCGAAATTCATGAAGGAAGTCCTCAACTTCGATCTGTCCAGCGCTGGCTTTCTCTCATCCTTACCGACCATTGCTCGGTTCGGCACGAGCCTCATTTTTGCCCCCCTGGGAGACTTCCTCAGGCGCCGCGAACTCATGACTGTTACTCATATCCGCAAATACTTTACAATGACGTGTGAGTATTTTGTGGATTTCACAGCAAAAGTAAAGTTTTTGCCCTCGTATATATACCAAATTTAATTGGCATGAATTTTTATGCTCCGTTTCTCTCCAGCTCACATTATTCCCGGAGTTTTAATCATTGTCATGGGATTTGTGGATGATGCTTACATTTCTGTGGCTATTTTGACACTCTTGTACGGTTTCAATGGATCTTCCACGGTTACAAATATGCAAAATTGCCAGGATTTGGCTCCAAATTACGCAGGAACTCTCTATGGCATCATGAACACATTCACCACAACCGCGGGATTCATTGCGCCGATGGTTGTGGCGCATTTCACCGAGGACGATGTGAGACTTTTCTGCGAATTTTTTTTATTCTTCATCTAATCCTCGTGCTATTTCCAGAATTCTCTTGGTAGCTGGAAGAATGTCTTCGTTGTCACAGCTTGCATTTTCTTCTTCACTGCCATAACGTTCGTCATTTTCGGCTCCGGGGAAATTCAACCGTGGAATGATGTCCAAAAGCTGAAGAAAGTCAACGAAGAAGAGGACACAGATGACACACCAACTTTCGAGCGGTCGACTTTAGAGCAAAATCAAGCTTAAAGCCAGTCATTTATTTGTAGATCTTTTTAAGTGATTCACGATAATGCGATTTGCGACACTTGGGCAAATATTAACACCTCTCGACGCTGTATTTTGGTTATCGTTCTGCTTCGCGGCGTTCCTCGTGCCTTTTTCTGGCCAATTGTCGATACACAATCAGTTGACTTTGAAGAGCTCGCGATGGCTTTTATCACGCCCAATTTCACTGTAAATGAATGAAGACTAATCTGCGCGACCAATTGAGATCATATCGTGTGTGAGAAGTGATGGAAAATTGCCACGGCAAGTTATCATTCTTCAGCAGAGCATTTATGAGGAGAGTCAGCAAAGTTCAGGTATGAAGAAAAAAGCACAAAAGTCGTGAGTGTAGATGGAAAAAAGCCGTGGATCGTTATCATTTATCGCGTAATCAGCGCAATAATGGGGCTCATTATTAAGCTCGAAATTTATTATACTATCTGTTCACTGCCATTTCATTCAGTTGATCGCCGTAATTCGTGCTAATTGTGTCTCTCTGTTCTCCCATAGTGACTCTTCAGGTGAACAAGTCTGGAAATTCAGCAGTCGAATGAACAATTCTCTCTCACGGGAAATTGGGCACATTAGAATATTCATTTGCACAGCATTTTGAGTGCAAAGATCCGCCACATAATGGTTGAAATAAATGCATTCTTTGCGAGAGTGTTCAGTAAGTATATTCGTGAGGTCTATTTTTATGAATTTTCCATAGAATATCAAATGCAAAGAATTCTAAGTGCAGTGAATGACGCAGTTTGTGGTGTTGAATGTAAATGAGAATTTGGTCAATCAAAAAATCATGTGAAAATTGTAAAAATGGGCGTTTGTGCTGTTTGTTGTATCGTGCGAATAGTTTTATCAGAGAAATAGTGGCAATTCCATGAAGTGTGTTGTTGATTTGCAGATAGATAACATGAAAACCAATATTTTCCCATAACAAAAGGCAAATAAAAGCAAAGTTTTTTAAGTGATAGATAGTAAATTATATCAGATATTGCTTCAATTTTGAGATTATCCGTAAAGAAAATCTCCCAAAAAGAGAAACGAGGTCACCACAATGTCTGGATTTTGTATGAATGGAGTCATAGCTATTGTCACTATTAGTATACGTGTTTTACAGCATTATAAGGGGACAATTCATATAACACGTGCCGTCTTGGGGGGAAATAAGAAACCCCAACAAAATTCAATAATGATTTTCACATAAAATTCATCAGTTTTTGAATGTTTTTGAATGCAAAATCCTTCTTTTAACTTAAAATCCATATATTTCACTCTTTATTGCAAATTAAATGTGATGTTTTACCAAATAACAGATCGAAGAAGTAATTATTGAAGTTACCTCGACGGCCTGTATATTGCCATGTCGTTTGGTGAAGCTCATGCTACTGAGGCCTTTAAAAAAGCCGACTCGTGTGATAAGCTAAATTATTTTATTGTTGAAGGTCTGACGAATGCAGCACAATATCACATTCATTCAATCTTCTCTAGCAGTCGAGATACAACGTGAATGGCCCTAAATTTCACACTGAGCAAAAAACAACATTCTTTGTGGATCAACCTGATAGAAATATTTAATTACCCAACATTTCGCAGCGCGATAAAGACTCTCACATGATCTCTTAACTTAAGATCCGAATGAATGCTTGCAGGGAAAGTTCCGGCTCGTCTCAACATTGGATTTATGCTGTTTCTGGGATGCTTCATCACTTACATGGTGAGGGTGAACATGTCAATTAACATCATTGCAATGGTGGAGCCGCAGAACAGCAACGAAACGCTGCCCGATTATGGGGATCGGTATCCGTGGAATGCTAATGAGCAGGGACTGCTCTTGGGCGCGTACTTTTGGGGATACTTCTTCACCTCGATTCCTGGAGCCTACTTGACGGAGTACTTTGGTCCGAAGATCGTCACTGAAGTCGCCTTCATCGGCTGCGCCGTGATCACAGCCCTGAGTCCGCTGGCGGCAAGTGGAGGATTTGGGACGATGTACGCCGCCAGATTCCTCACAGGTTTCCTGTCTGGACCGCTCTATCCCTGCTTCCACAACCTGATCTCTCGCTGGGCGCCACCCGATGAGAAGGGAAAGTACGTGGCGAGTCTCCAGGGCGGCACATTGGGCACGATCTTCACGTGGCAGATGATCGGCTTCCTCGTGGAGGCGATCGGATGGTCCTGGGGAGGCTTCTACGTGCCCTGCTTCATCATCATCCTCGCCACTGTGATATGGTTCGTCTTGGCGGCCGATCGTCCAGACACACACCCCAGAATCACGCCCGAAGAGAAAGAATACATCGAGAACAGCCTGGGAGACACAGTGTCGAATGAGAAGGTCGGTAATCTCGAGAGTCACTCAATTATCACCTTTATCTCATCCGCGATTTCAAGCTAATCTCTTAAGTGACTTTTCAGCCTGAGACAAGTGGTTTTGTGGATTTTTCCACGAATTAGCGCACCGAGCATAATTGTGCTTCTACTGCGTTCTAATTGACATAAAATTACACCTCATTATCTGCATGTGCGATTCCAAAAACATGTTTGCAATGAAAAGAGCGCGAATTGAGGAGTAATCCTTGATCTCTCTCCGCAGCGATTCCCGCCTTACCTCAAACTGATAACGTCCGTGCCGTTCTTATCACTCCTGGTGCTGCACTACGGCAACCTGTGGGGTCTCTACTTTCTTCTCACGGCCACGCCGAAGTTCATGAGTGAGATTCTGGGATTCAATCTCGGCACCACTGGCGTGTTGTCGTCGCTGCCCCAAATCGCCAGGATGCTTTTCAGTTTCGTTTTTGGCAGCATTGGCGATGTGATCAAGAGACGAGGATGGCTTCGAGTCACAGTCATGAGAAAATTCTTCTGCATCTTCTGTGAGTTTTTTGCCATGGAAATGCCGAATAGCATTCTATAAAATCGCCTGCAATTTTCAGCTCACATCATTCCCGGACTCTTCCTCATTGGACTCTGCTTCGTTGACGAGCCCTACACTTGCGTGGCAATGATAAGTCTGTCTCTGGGCTTCAATGGAGCTTCTGTGCTCACGAATCTGGCGAACAACCAAGATTTGGCGCCAAATTTCGCCGGCACTCTCTATGGCATTGTGAACTGTATTGGCACAACCACAGGCTTCCTCACGCCTCTTCTCGTGGCCCATTTCACCAGATACGAGGTGAGATAATCAAATTCATTCCATTCACAACTGAGCATTAATCTTGTCACTAGAACACGTTCGAAAACTGGCGGTACGTCTTCATGATCGGCGCTGGAGCTTACATTGTGCCAGCAATTCTGTTCTTCTTCCTCGGCTCAGGCCAAGTTCAGCCGTGGAATTCCCTGGAGAGACCCGCCAAAAGTGAGGAGGAAAGCAAATAGCACAGTCAATCATCATGTCAACTAAGGCAGAATCGTGAGAACAAATGGTGATAAAAAAGCTCATACCCAGAAATATCATTAGATATTGATGTAGTTAAAATATTTGCAATCACTGCGGTCTTTTCGGGGTCTTTCTGTTGTCATTTCGTAGCCACAAGGCAAATACAATCGGAATTTCTGTCTTGCGGCTATGGAAAATCACTGGATGAAGAGTTGCGAACATTTTGGAACCATCGAAATGAACATTTCCCCATCAGATGGACCAAAAAACACACTGATTTAGACATTGAAAGCTTCCATTATACATATATTTCTTGCATTTGAAAAGTTCAATTTGCGATTCTTCACTTTATTAATTTTGTGATTTTTCTATGGTGAAAATATTCCAATTTTAGGGATTATGTTTACAATTGAGAAAAATGAATTGTCGTTGATTTATTGTTGGCGGTTATTTAAAGCGTTGTGCAAATTATTGCAATGTTTAGCAGAGTTCAATTATGCCAAGACAGAGAAAAAGAATGAAGTAATATTTTACCACAAAATATGATTTTATACAACATTCAAACACTTTAAAAGTGCACAGATTTGATAAATATGTATGTAATCACAGATATATGGAAATTCTTACCATTTTTTCTCTCAGTGTGCATTTCGGTTTTTATATAGAAAATTATGAAATTGTTTATTGCAAATCCATCACAGCAAATACAAAACATTTCTCTGCAATGCTAAGTATTTAATGTTATGTTTTTATAGTTTAAGAAATCATTAAATAAAAATTGTTGTGAATTCTGAAATTATTTCTTTCAACCTGTTTTCTGCTCTTGAAGAATTGAAATGTTGCAAAATGCGCGATTTATCTTTTATGACCATGACTTTTATGTGTAGAATTTCTTGCCAATATCATCCAATGTTTTAGAGTCTTTCCTCATGACACTCATAGACAAGTTTAGTGTATTTTTACAAGTCATTAAACTTGTTATCAAACTCTTCCCAAAATTTCCACTCATTTGACGGGAATTTTCCATCATCATTAGCATAAGTTGCAAATAGTTATTTAAACGTTTTTTTACCGTTGAATTGTTTTGAAATCTATCAGAAAATTTCACTTTCTTCACCTCTAATGCGACACTCTCTCATCTCATGAACTTTTTGCTTGATCTTCCCGGAAACTTTTGGTTGTAAAAAAACCCACACTTAACTTTAATATAATCAGCTGATCTCGATGGCCAAACAGAGCGATCATGGAGGTTCAATTTCTCTTATCGTCGTGTATTCTAATCGCATCGCCTCGTGAAAAAAACTATTGGCCATGGTCAGGGTCGCTGTGGATGCGCGTTCCTCAATTGCTAGACACACGCATTGGATAAATTGTCATTGACGTGATTCGACTGGTAGGAAAATTCCCATAGTTTATGCAATGTTCAGGTGACAAACACCATCTATCTTTCTCGCGACTCCCCATGAAATTCGCGGTCATTCACTCCGAAAGTATCTCGCGAAAATATGTATAATCAAAAAGCTCAATTAGAACGCATTTCGCGGTTGTGGAAAGGATGATATTTTACAGCTGTTTTGTCATGCTTTTTATGGACGACGGCGGTGTTTTTTGGCCATTAACTTTCCAAGTGTGTCAATTTTCCGTGGATCACTGGAAGAGTGCTCGCGAGCCACCTTGGCCGATTTTTATGCCCACCATTAATTCTATCATGCATATTTGTCCAATTGATTAACAGAAAATTGTCTTTCAAAACACACACCGCCGTCAATTACATTTTTCCATAAATATCAACTCAATGAGGGCAAGATGTCGCTTACAATATGATTACATCAAGAGACACTCGTGTGTTTGTCCAAAGTGAAATTTCACAAAAAAATGTTTTGCTCACTTTCGCGCGCAAAAAGTCACCAGTTTTGGCGGCAAATCAGCCATCAAAAGTGCCAATTTACCTTCTAAGAAAATCAGAGAAAATCATCACTTAGACACACGATAAGTGCCCGATAATGAGACGATGAGTAAGATTGAGAGAGGCGCGCTCTTAACATGATGTCGCGAAAAATTGCCATGGGAAATGAGAAATACGGAAATATCTAACGAATTTTCCTCCCTCTTCGCCATGTGATTTCACATCGTGTGACACTGTATGTAATTACGTCTTTACTTAGTGCTTTACCAATCATTGCGCTCTTCGTATGACAAAATGCAGTGAACTCAATTAATTTCCATTGAACACACGAAGAAAAGCGAGAACTTTCCACGTGGTAATCATAATTGCATAATTACTATACGGGGAGTCTAATTCGATGCACTCGATACGAGGTGATTCCGAGAATTGTTCGATGTGGTGAATGTGGGGAGAGTTTATTGAAATTTACCTGTTTATTCAAATTATTTTCCTCTCCTTACGAAAGACAATACTAGGGAAAAACTCAAAACAAATACACTTCTACAAATCATGATGTTTATTTGTACCTTTGATTGTTATTTCATAGCGCAAAACACTAAAAGTTATATTATGTGGTTTCACACCTTCTTTTTAAGCGTTTTTCTGCTGCATTTAGTCAAATGGTAACGAATATTGTGTCATGTTGAAATTCATTTGGATAACCAATACAAGAAATAATAACAAATCATTAATACTCGCGTTATAAATGATTAAAAATCAATATCATCTTCGAAAATCTCTCTTTTTATCTAAGGAAATATTGTTTTAAAAGTTTATTTTCATTAGTAACTCTGAAATTATAACACGTGTTTCAGTGGTGCTTGAAAAGAGAACCAGTTTTTTTTTAAGTGCCTAATAAATGGTGACTGACCTTAAAGATTCGCAAAACATATAATCCACGTGCTTTAAATATTTATAATTCTCTTTCGTTTTTGTCAATTTCAATTATTAATGCTTCATCCACATCATCAGAAAATGACGAAATGGATAAAGAAAAACGATAAACCAAAATCAAAGTGCTAAAGATCACATTTTCAAAGTTAAATCGCTCATTTATCAAATCATCAGTGAATTGTTTACGAAAATCAGCCTATAAAGTGATGTAAATTGTTTCTTAATAGCATCACTTTCCTCAAGACGAATTAACATATCTATAGTTCTCCTCTACGAAAAAAAAACCTATGCCTAGTCAGGAAGGGGTCAAATATCAAATCTCAAATCTAAGATTTGGATCCGGTTTTTCTGGAACTCGTGCCAATAAGATTCCTGTTCCCAAATGCACTATGTATTCAGCATTGATTTAACAACTGCGAAAAAGCGTCGGAATTTATTGAGGTGGATTTTTTGCGACATAGAATCACGGCGTGTGATTGTGTTATCAATAGAACACCCATGGTTGCATGGCGCGCTCCTCAATGCATAAAAACTATGTGGTTTGCCATGACATTGGCTGCTGAACCACCGGTTAGCCGCCTAATCAGCGGTCATGGGAAAGTCACCCACGAGGAGGGATTTTGGGCACGTTTCCGCGCCAAGGTGTTTTGGTTGTGCGAAAAGAGCGGCTCGTCATCACGTGCGTCAAAGAGGGAATCCAGAAGATTTTGTCACCGTGTGAAGGCTCAGCCCCAATCGCACTGCCCGCGAGTGGTTGGAGAGAAGGCATGCTTTGCAGGTGCTTCTCACATTCACTGCCAGTTGCTCGTGGACGGTGCTTTGATCAGCATCGCTAAAGCTCAGCTTTCAAGTCGCGGTCGTGATTTGTGCCCACAACACACTCCACAAGAGTTTGCAGTTGATGGAAAATGTGACCGAGTGTGTTATAACATTTTGGCTGCTATCGAAATGTGCGTCACTTGTGGAAAGTCCGAGGAATCTGGAGGCAGGAACTCTCTCCAGGCTGTGAGAAAATCACCAGCTCAGGTCTAGAAAATCAGTGCTTGCGTGCGGATGAAAGACAGAATCACCCGTGAGAAAACTCAACAATAGAAGATACAAATTAATTTGCAATCAAAATTGCAATTCCGCGCAGCTTCGCGGTGTTCTTTGTTGAGAAATACCTCATAGTTGAAGTGCTTTTGGCGTGATTTTGCTCAGTGATCCGGTTTGCAGTTTGAAAGCCCTCAACAATGGTTCAGGCTGTGGCTGCGAAGGCCCTGGCCCAAACTCTGGGTGAGGAAATGTGCCGGCCAACATCCACTTTCTCCACAGCAAAACACTGTGTGAACATGCTAAAGAAGGACACTTGCAATCTCCAGAATCTTCCCATGATAATGTCTTTAAAAGCAGCTAATTTATTTGCATGTACGGTTAAAATTGCACGAAACTCTTCATTGTTTGATTGAATCTCAATTGACCATTTTAGAAGTTTTGTCTTGAGTTTTGTAGACAGAAAAGCTCCTCTTGGAATAACATGCAATTGCTTTTTCGTGATCAATCTGATGAGAGGCAGAAAAAGCTCAGAATCCGCAAAAAAATCATTCAAAATCCATTTACAATACACTCAATTCTCACGAGAGGAAAAAACCAAGCATATATTTATACATTGTGTTGTTTTGGAGAATGTGGAATGCTTCAATGAACCCCGGGAAATTTTCCGCAATTTAACGCTGCTTTTGCAGGGAAGCTTCCTGTGCGGTTGAATGTGGCTGTGATGCTCTTCTTCTCCTGCATGATATCTTACATGTACAGAGTGAACTTCTCCATCACCGTACTCGCGATGGTTAATCCCATTAACGCGAATGCTTCAGCTCCGGATGTGAGTTTTCCCAGTCACACTCCTTCCCAATGAACTGGATTTTCCCCTTTCTCGCAACTAGTACGGCCCTCGGTATGACTGGGACAAGCAGCAGCAGGGACTTCTGCTGGGAGCCTACTTTTGGGGATACCTGATCTCCGGACTGCCAGGAATCGTGCTGATAGAGCGCTTTGGCGGGAAAATAGTCACAACAATCAGCATGGCTCTCAGCGTGATCGTCACGGCAATGGGGCCTCTCTTCGCCGCCTGGGGATTCTACAGCATGTATGCCAATAGATTTATAACAGGATTTCTGGCGGTGAGTCTGAAGTCCCTAGAACCCTGTCATAGTGACTTGAATGGTTCTCACTTTTCCAGAATTTAACCAAACTTTTCAGCAGATTCTTGGCTGTGAAAATCACAAGAAGATCTTTCAAAGAAAATCTTCACTTCTTCTCTTCATAAAATGTTGCAAAATATTTCAATGTTGAAATTGATGGAAGAAAAATTGGCGAAAACTGTATCCAATGGAAAATTTCGACTAACGAATTTTTTTTACTATTTTATATTGAATTCATGTTTCATCTTCATTTTCTTCGATATTCTGACCCAGATTCACAGAAAATACTTTCAGAATTCCACATACTTTCTGAGCTTAACTATGTGATATTTTCGTTATGTTTTCCTTGCACGAAATTGCTGTGAAATACTCTGGAAAAAAGTTTTACGTTCCAGTTTTGATTTTTGTGCATATATATAAGATTGAATTCCAAAAGAATTGTATCACAAAAAGTGAATAACAATGTTTCAGGCGGGTTTTTTGAATACACCCAAGGTTTGTTCAATGGAATAATTGTCAACTCACTAAATTGCTATTTGCCATCCCACCTCCGGGCAATTTGGCAGAAGCACGCGCAGAATATGACGCATCCTTTACTAAATATCATGCTCTATTGCCAAAGCAGCGTCTGAACAGCAATCGAAGAGTTGAATAAGTAAAATCACTTAGAATTCTCTGCTTCTGATTGCGCAGGCAATTATATCGGCAATTGACCTGAATACTCTCGGCGAGTTTGCTCGCGGTATTGAACCAGATTTCAGGTGTTTTGGGGTGCTTGATCTTTCAGGGTCCAGTGTATCCTGCTCTGCACAATCTGGTGGCCAAGTGGGCACCCCCGGACGAGAAGGGCAAGTTCATCTCCACCATTATGGGTGGCACTTTCGGCACGGTGATCACTTTCCCGATGGTGGGCGTTCTCATTGAGAATCTCGGCTGGTCTTTCGGTGAGTCGCACCTTTGTGCTCCAATTGCAATTGCTAAAGCGCAGTTGATCTTCCTGGGCAGGCTTCTACGTTCCGGCGATCATAGGATTCACTCTGTGCATCATGTGGCACCTGATCGTGGCCGATGGACCGAGCGAGCACTCGTGGATTTCCCCAAAAGAGCAGGACTACATCGAGAGATCGCTGGGCATGACTGTGGCGAAGAAGAAGCCTCCAGTACCACTGCTGAAGATCATGACGTCCATTCCCTTCCTTTCGCTCGTCATTCTCCACTTCGGCGGCACTTGGGGCCTCTTCTTTCTCATGACGGCCGCACCAACGTTCATGAGCGAAGTGCTTAACTTTAAAGTGGCCAAGGCGGGATTCCTGTCCGCCCTGCCCTATCTGGCGCGCCTCATCTGCGGCATAATCTTCGGCCAAATAGGCGACATCGTAGCGAAAAGAGGCTGGCTCACGGTCACGTCAATAAGGAAGCTCTTCACGATTTTCTGTAAGTTTATCGAGTTTGTCCCAAAAAAATGCCACTAAATTTTATCTCTAACATAAACTTTCTTGTAGCCCACATTTTTCCAGGGATTTTTCTCATCATCCTCTGTTTCGTGTCTGAACCGTACGTTTCTGTTGCCATCATCTCAATTTCTCTCTCCTTCAATGGAGCTGCGTGCATAACGAATTTGCAGAATTCGCACGATTTGGCGCCAAATTTCGCGGGAATTTTATACGGCATCATGAACTTCTTCGGCACAGCAACTGGCTTCCTATCACCCATGGTCGTGGCACATTTCACGCAGTACGGCGTAAGTGATAAATTTTCTTACTCTCATTACCCAAATTTACAGATTGAATTATCACAGGCTATTATTACAGAGCCTAGTATTATATAAAACTTTGCATACACGTGTCGCTTAAATCACTTATTTATGAGAAATAATTCGATATTTATGATCAATGGAATTCCTTCTAGAAATAGTTAACTTACCATTTCAATTTATTCATTTTTTACTTACATGGGAATTATATTTAAGTTAAGGTAAGTATGAAAGATATTTATGAAAGTTTCAAAATGTCAAAGTTCCAAATTTCTCTTAAAATAAGAGTCTTCTATTGAACTTACAGAATAACTCTTAAAAATCAATGTCGGTGAGAAGAAATAGATTCACAAACACGAAAGTTTTTAATGCTTTTCAAATTAGCTAAAAACTATTTTTAATTTTTATTTATTGAAATAATGTCCTAAAAGAAATGAAAAAGTTATACACTTTGTAGCTAATCTGCATATAGTCTTTACCACTTTCTCGTAAAAGATTTAATACGTCTTGAAGCATTAAATAGTGAATTTAAAGGAAATTTGTCCAAAAACAAATTACCTGTAATTTCTATAGAATATCGTTAGAATCAGAAAAATAATGAAAAAAAATGAAATGAAATTTCAAATCACAGCGCAAATGTGAATCGATGCGCTCTCAATAAAAGCAAATTGATTTTGATGAAGTCATTAACATTCCCAATGTTGTCAGAAGAGGAACCAAAAGTAATGCAAATTTTATGAACTGCAAATTAAGATTTCCGAACTGTTTGGCCATTTCAGAGCACTATGAAGGAGTGGTGCTACATTTTCGTCACTGGCTCAACAATTTACATCATTCCCGCGCTGCTCTACATGATTTTCGGCTCTGGCGTCATTCAATCCTGGAATGAACCTGTGAAATCTCAGGCGGAAAGTGGTCAGGAGAAGGCTGAGACCGAACTAGAGAAGAAGCCTTGACAATCTCTTTGTGATAATTCCCCTGAATTCCACGTGAAATAAATTATATGAAAATATCAGCTGAAATGTACCTCGATCACGTTTCCGACTTGTCACGAATGGCACGTTAAAAATTCACCAACGACACAAATAATGAGCAGTTGAGCTTCACGTTGAAATTTTTATTACAAAATACAAATTTTACACTCTTGATCAAATATATTGCAAGTTTTCCTGCTTCAAGAAGTTTTCCCGCGCGCAACTTCCAAGAAATATCTTGGAGCTCTCTCTTCATCCGCTCATTGAGTGCCGTGGGAAAAATAGAGGCGACTCGGGTGGGTTTCGTGTGTGGGTAAAACACGATAGGCAGGATTTCTGACGCGAAATATGGGGATTTCATCAGAAAAGTGCGCCTTGGGCGCTTGAATTCTCATTCTCTCGGACACCTTCATTTCCCTGAGATCGGGCAGATGGGATTCATTGACAGGTGGAGCGTATTGAGGTCTCTGTGGTGGCTCAGCTGGGTAATGATGCAATTGGTGGGTGGGATAGACGTACTGCGGAGGGTGGAAAGCGTGGCTGATGGGCTTTTCCACGGTCCTGGGATGGTAGATGACTGACGGCTGAGGTAAGCAGTAGGGATACTGCGGATAAGAGACAGTCTGGGCGTATCTTCGCTCCGGAAGAGGCGCTGGGGGAGTCGGAGGATATCTGGCAGGAGCAGGGCACAAAGGAACGGATATTTGGTATGGATTGTGTGGCATGATAACATGAGGATAGGCCTGAGGTGGTACATTTCTCTCCACGCCGTTCTGCTGAGGGTAAAATCTGGGCACTTCTCGAGGTTCTGCAACCGCCCTAGCTTGCGCATAAGGCTGCATGACATATCGCAAAGGGATTGGATGGTGAACCTGGTGGCGAATCTGGCCAGGAGATGGAAGATGAAGTGTCCTAGGGATTTCTGGTGGTTTCTCTACACGCTTTGGCGGAATACGCGACAAATCCAGAGGAGCATCTTGGCAAATAACCTCTGTCCTGGCTGGCGTTCTCCTTATCTGCATCTTTGGCTCCAGCAGCATTCCCTTGAGGATGTTCCTCCTCGTGCGCTTTCTCGTCTTGTCAGTCTTCTCCACCTGATTCAAATGGTAGCGCTTCTTGATTGGCAACGCTCTCATGCTGACCTGAGGCGGCTGATGTCTGGGCAGTTCGATGGGGATGTTGAAGTGCTTGAGGACTCTGCCATCGTCCCTCAAAGCATCCACTGAGATCATCAAGGTCTTCTCACTAATCATATTTGGCTTGTCTCTCACACACTGTCGAACCTGGAATATTTCCAAAAGCAAGCCCAATTAATTACTAACTGTTCAAACATTGATGTTTATTCTGTCGCGATCACGAAAAGGTGGCTTAACATAAGAATGAGCAACAACTCACCTCATTTTCATGGATTTTTACAACATGAATTCTCTCAAGAACCTTCTCAAGTCTCTGTTGCCTCTTAACCATTTGCTCCTCATCTTTCTCCTTGAACTCAAGACTTTCTGGGCAGTTTGAGGCATTGTCCTGTAGCCCATCTACGTCACACAAAGTCGTTCCATCACCTAAAATGCGCACAATTCTCAGTTAATACGCAGAAGAAACTAGAAAATCACTCGAAAGTGTACTTTAAAAAAAACTCTGAAGACAATCCAGATAAGACTCAATGCAAGATAGACTGCTTCAGCTGTAATTTTTGCACTGGCAAGCTGCTGAGCAAAAGTTATTCCAGCGCCCAGGAAATCGTCACTATCCGCTGAACGACATCGTGCGGAAGATATAAAAGTGAGACCGACAGGTTAAACACGCCAGAACAACTCTAAGCGACAGACAGACAGCAAAAGGTGATGCTATGAGAATTTTGAATTAGTGCTTCTTGAAACTCTTAGTACGAAGCGCGTGAAAATGCATAAAAATACTCCCTACTTAACACTCACGTTCCCAGGAAAAAGAAAATTCTTCAGCAAAGCACCGCAACACGAACCTTTCCATTCGCCACCTTCCTTGCAACTGGCGCGATATGGAAATTGTGAGCTGCAGTTGACCAACAATGACTCAAACGCGCTGTCTGTGCAGGACTGGCGAAGCAATTCTCCCAGGCAATCGATGCTTCCCCAGAAGTATTTATGAAACTTATAAAATCACAAAGTTTTTTATCTACATGAATTGTTAATAAGGCTCAAGTCGAGGCACAAATATAATCATTTTAAACAACTTTGCCTGAAAGAAATTATGAAATTTTCATACAACTACCAAAGCTCTCAGAAAAGTTCATTTCCCTTGAATCATCCTTACGGCCTCTTATCCAGTCAAAATGCGTCAAAGTGCTAAAAAGAGTGACGCCAGTAATAATTTCAGTTGCAGGTGCGAAGAATTGTCCAGAATATCGTGAAATTGCATGCAATCCACACACAATACACATGAATAAATTATCAATTGGATGTCCAACTGAAGTGGAAATATTAAATATTCCTTCAATAAAATTTCCTTGCTGATGAAATCAGTTGCAAACATTGCGTACCAGGACTTGTATTGATTTCCCCGTGCACTTTTTTATACATTTTACCCGATAAACCACTTAATTAACTCCCTCGCATCACACTCACTTTTCCCAGCATGAATTTTAATGCGCTTGTATCTTTTGAAAGCATCCTCGAGATATGACAATGAATTGAAATCGCTTTCCATCAAAATATTATTATGTAAATCCAACCCTCAGAAAGTATAGTGGGTGCACTTTCGTTTCTAGCCTTTTAATATCAATTAGGGATGAGGAAATTTGATTAGGCACAGACAATGCACCCCATTAAAAACTGCATTTTCCGCTATCGCACATGAATTAACTCAATTTCCGCTCGATTTTTCCCCTGTTCAGATGTGATTGGCTTTATGGTTAATTACAGAGCGACCTGGGTTATAAACCTCAACAATTGAAGCTCTTCGTTGTTTATTTTAAGAGCACTCCAGTCTATTATGTAAATTATTGAAATTATTATATTCAAATTTCCGAAGTATGTTCAATCAATACAGACTAAATATTAAGAGAATCACCTGACCAGACACCAATGAATAAGTAAACATTGCTCACTCTTATCACGTTAGTTTATTACTGGATAAAAATATAAAATCTAATTGTCCACAATCTTCGAGACTCCAAGCATTCAAATATCCGTTTCCATTGCAAAGTTATTGAGATCCACAGCTGAAGAGTTGTTGTTGTCCACTTGATCCTCGTCCTCAGAGGCGCTCTCCTGCTCCTTATGCGGCACAATGAGTCTCTGGAGGATGGTTGGCGGCTGCCAGAGCACGAGAGCTGTGCAGGGATTCTCAATTTTGTCCAGCAACACCTTCGGGATGATCGAGTCAGTCTTCTCGAGATTCTTCACCTGTTCGCACAGCGTGATTCGCTGGGCGTTGCGCAGCTTCTGCTCCAAATCCCACTGGCTCATATTTACAAGATACTGCGATGGCTGCTCGCCGTCTAGCTGCATCTCGGACTCCGTGGGATAATCTGAGGCTTTGCTGTGGGAAGTGAAGTCGCTGGATATGTGAAGATTATTGAGGTGGGCCGCCATCTTCTCCTCCGTGAGAATCCTCTTCACTGGCCTGCAGAGCAATTACGGAATCAGCGACTGCAGAAATCGGCCTCCGCCTTTCAAATACTTACACACTTGGCTCAATGCCTGATCGACGCTTTTGCGTCTTCGTGGGCGTGGAAATCACTGGCGCCCCTTTGAACTCCATCAAGCTCGGATGGGCGGCATATGTCCATGGGTTTGTCCAAGCTCCACTGGTTGGCATGCTGTACGGGAAGCCCAGAACTGATCTCCTGAAAGCAAGAAATCTTACATTTTGCGGAAGCTGTCACTCTCCTGGCTTTCGTGATATTCTACTCACTTCTCACGTGCACTTTCAGGATTTGTAGAATCGTCTGGATACATTATGTTACTGTAAAATGACATTATCTACATGCACACAACGGAAATGTGACTTTCGTCCAGGATATCCTGTTGTAAGCGGAGAAAACGCAAATTTCTGGCCAGGAATTTCCCTTTGTTTATGTTTACCACTGATTGTTAGGTTAAAATCGCCCAAAATGCTTTCTGTGTTTAACGCATGAGGACGCTCCAAACTTTACCGATTCAATCGCGGCAGTTCGCGTTCATATGTCTAGTGGTTGTTTATTGTTTACGAAAAAAGCAAGCTAGTGTATTTTTACGGATTTTGTTGATTCTCATGAGAATTCTTTTACACTGAATGGAGGAGAATCAGCTGGAGTCTCCACGAAAGATACTTGAGAAACTGGGAGAGTTGCGCAAATGGCAGGAGGAGCAGGAGATGATCCTTCTGGCTAAGCAGACACAATCGAGAAAAGCGCTGGCGGAAGAGAAGCAAAAACTATACGAAATGCTGGGTTGTGTGTCTCCCAGGGATTCTGTGGATACCCAGGATAGTCCTAAAGAGAGTTTCAATTATGTGGTGGCAAAGAAGTCTTCCCTGATCACAAAGCCTAATCAGGAGGTTAAGAAGAAATCACCAGTGAATAAGAAGCCTTTTTTGAGGCGCGGTGAAGGTCTGACCAGCAGATTTCGAGTGAATCCTGACCACTTCAATCTCAAAAATATCCCAAAGTACAAATACTCCATAGCCAATAAGAAATCCAAGGAGAAGAACACTCAGAATGGCCAGATTCCACAAGAAGACGACCAGAACGGGTTTCCGGAAGATGAAAAGAGCCCAAAAGGGTCAGAAGTTAATAATTCATCTAGTATCGGTGAGTTTTCTGCTTCTAAATTGAATACAGTATTAATGGACTCATGTTTCAGAAGCCAACTCTTGGGGAAAACTCCTGGAAGCGATGAATCTGGATCCGGAAAAGGCGACAAAGATGTTTCAGGGGTTTGCAAAGTTCACACTAAACAATTCATCTGAAAATCTCTCCGCGAAGGAATCAAATAATATGGACGACTTGCGACTTTTCGAATTGCTGGAAGAGAAGCTGGAGAACTCTAGTTTCGCTTCGAATTCCAGCTCTGTAAGACGAATGCTGAATTACGACGAGCAGAAGTGTAAAGAGGCGCCTGAAGATTTGGAAGAATCGTCAGAATCTGAAGAGGAAATCCAGCCAAAGAAACCTCAAGTGAGATTCTGCGAAAAGGTGGAAGTGAATCACTTCAGTGACTCCTCTGAAGAGGAGGATCAAGAGGGAAATATGGTGTCGACGCCTGATAAGAATCAGGATGAATTCTTGGACTTCAAGGCGAATCTCGAGAGGAAAATGTGCAGGTTCTCAGACAGTGGATCTGAAGGGGATTCGAGAGAAGAGTTAATGACCAAGAGAAGTGATGAACTGAAGATGCGACTGAAAGAACTCGAGGATGAGATTGAGAAGTTTAGGAGACAAAATCTTGCATTGACGAAGGAGAAGCAAATCCACGAATTGTCGAAGGTTGAGCTGAACAATCGTCGCCTAGAGATGGAGGATCAGATAAATGATGAGCGTATTAAGATGGAGATCTACTTCCATGACGAGAGGATGAAGATCGCTGATGAAAAGATGAAGTACGAGAAGTTGCTGAAGGATTTCCGCGTACCGACAAAGAAGGAGCGCGAGGAGGTGAAGAAACTCAAGGAACGGGTGGAAGAGCTTGAGAAAGAGGTTAAGGAGAAGACAGTAAAGCATGGAGCCGCTCAAAGTCGTCACAGATCGCAAGTGCGCAACCTGGAGAAGGAGATCAAGGAGCAAAGCTCGGAGATTGAGCAGCTGAAGAAGGAGAATCGCAAACTTGAGGCAGAGAATGTGAGATTACGGAGGCAGAGCAACACCAAGACACTCCAAGAGATTAAGAGGAATATTGCTAAGTTGGCTCCTCAAGCTGTGCAAGAATCTCCCGGCCAGAAGAAAAAGAAGAAAAGCGTGAAGAAAGTGGAGTTATTCGACTCTGAGAGTGATCCTGAAGTTGAGGATGACTCTGAGGACACGCCGAGATGCGATCCTCCTTCAGTTCAGGACAAAAAAATCAGCAACGGAAGCCCTCAAGTCAATCTGAAGCGCGAGATCGTGAACACAGATGGAAGCCGGGACATTTGGTACCCGAATGGGAATCTTAAGAAAATCTCGGCGGATGGCATGATCATCCGAATGCTGTACTTCAACAAGGACATCAAGGAGACGGACATCAATGAGGGTACAGTTAAGTATTACTACGCTGAGAGCAACACGTGGCACACAACGTATTTGGATGGCCTGGAAATTTTGGAGTACCCGAAGTGAGTGAGAGTGATAGAAGAGGTGTTTAACACTGTACTTACTCAGGAAATGTTTGGTGTTTCCTTTCAGTGGTGAGACGAAGCACATTCACAAGGACGGAAGGACAGAGCTTCACTTTCCGAACGGCGCAGTGCTGACGAAAAGACCGCAGAGTGATGGCAGTATCCAGGAAGAGTGGCAATACGTGGATGGCACGCAAATTTTCTGGAAGAACGGAGAGAAGGTGTTCTCATTCCCAAATGGTCAGCGTGAGATTCACGGCAGCGATCACAAGAGACGCGAATATCCGGAGGGAACGGTGAAGATCGTGTACAATGACGGTACTCAAGAGACACGCTACTCAAATGGGCGCGTGCGCCTCAAGGATGCCACTGGCAAGCTGGTCATGGATTCAGAGACAAAATCCTACAAGTGTGATAGTTGATAATCCTTTAATCTATACTCCGCGGAAATTGTATAAAATCCTTCCAGAAGATTCACTGTTGGAAGTTTATCGGTCGCCTGCAGACTTGTGTGTCGAAAATATCCCTCAAACTGTCTTTGGCTGCTTCCTCAATTGCAGTATCCACATTCTCTCCAAATCCCGTGCCCAGAAGCTGCCGATTGCAGTAGATTCCCACGTGATAAGCGGCCAAGATTGAGTTTTTCCCACATTCGCCTATCAGTCGAGGCTCCACTTCGCCCAGATTGTTCCTGGAGCAATACTCAGTGAGGTACTGCAGAGGATCCGGTACTTTCCACATCTCATCGATGTCCTTCTGATTAAGTTGCGTGAAGATAAAGTCTCGTACAAAGGCATTCGCTCTCTCAATTCCACTGCTTTCCTCCAAAGCGGCAACAATAGCCTTCAATGTGTCCGCCAGAATTGCTCCTGTGACGGGAAACTCTGCAGATAGTATCAAATCCTTTGTGCCGATGTAACTGGAGATGTGAGCGAGATTCTCCTGATTCATCAAATGCTTCCTCACGGCAATTCTCCCATCCAGAGGCATTTTTGGCAATGCTTTCGCCACATAATCATCCAGACATTTGGTCATCAACTCCTCCCCATTCTCCACCAATTGACTATTATCCGGCATAAGTACGGCTGGCTCCTCGATTCCCACGTCCTTCTGCTTCATCTCCTCCTGGATTATGTAAGAGCGATGCGTGAATGCCTGTCGCAGGAGTTTCTCATCGAACTTCTCATGCAAGCGACTTCCGAAGGCGAATATCTCTGCTCTGTAGTTCCACTCCAGGTGAGATGAGCGTGGTCGAAGAGGTTCAGGACCGACCATTTTTCTCCTGCGACGGAGTTCCTTCATGGTCGGAGCCACCCATCGCTTGAAGTCCCTGGCTTTTGAGGTTAGCTTTCATTAATTGTCAATTTTTCTTCCAAATACACATTGATGGACTACTTACTGATCACCTTGCTAGACTCTGTCGATGCTTGCAGAATCTTCGCAGATAATCTGAGGGTATTTCGCACTGAAAACATGATTGAGAGCAATTTTTGTGGTTTGTTGTGATTTTTTACTGGTTGTAGGGACCGCTCAGAGGGCAGCACTGATAATCGATGAGTTGAGCGAATCGGAAAAGATGCGGTAGTCGCCATAAAATCTTGAAGATTTTGGATGGTCGCGCATTTGGCATAGTTTTTTGTGAGATAATTCGAGAAAAAATGGATGCTCAGGAAGCTCAGGTTCTTGAGTTACAGGATAAAATATTTCTGGTGAAGTCAAGGTTCCTTGAGCAGCACAATCGTAACATGGGTGAGTGGAAACTTGAAAGTATCGTTTTTATCTCGCTGATTTTGTTTTCCATTATGGCGATCAGCAATAATAAACGTTTACAGACGACATACTGAAAAGATAGAGACAAACAATGCAAGAGTAGAGGAGCTGAAGAAAGATGTTGATGATTTGATGAAACTCTGCGTAGAGCTGGACGCTAAGCAGTAAGATTAGTTAGTGGTGAAATAGGAGGCTTTCTTAAGCCGCCATTTTTATTCCAGATCTCTGGATTTGAGGATGGACAAGATGCATATTTCTCGCGGTGAAGAGGAGAGAAAGAAGATGAAGGCTCTGCAGGTGAAAGCGAAAATACAGACGCAACTAGATGCCAAAGAGAAGGACTTCTTAGAGTCCCACACAGGGAAGGAATGCAAGAGATTGACTGAAGAGGATAAAGAAGTGACGGAGAAGATTGAAGCCTTGGAGAACGAAATTGATCGCATGAAATCTGAGTTGGAGAAAGCGGATTTCGCAGAGCAAAGCAACATGCAGCCGATTCGTCAATTGGAGTTGGAAATGGAAGAGGGATTGAAGTTGACAGAAATTCAGAAAGCGAAGAAAGTAACACTTGAGAAGGAATGCGCTGATCTGACCAAGAACCTTGATGAGAATACTTCAGGATTCTTGAAGAACATGCGCCAGAGTGAGACATCAGAGACAGGGATGTGGCTTGAGCTGATTAAGCCTGTGTTGCCCGTGGCAACTGATGAAGAAAAGGTTGAAGCGCAGCCCAAGAGTGATGGTTTTCTCTCCACTCTGGACATTTTGCAACCGAGTGCTTTCTGGAAGAGGAAGAAGAGGAATCTAGATGTGAATGTAGATAGTGCCGGTACAGAGATGAAAGTGTCTGGAACTAATATTGGGATGATATCTGGGCCATCAAATATTACTTCAAAAACGCCTGTGGAATTGCCGAAGATCGCAAATCCTGTTGTCACAGAGCAAGAGTGTGATGTGATGCCAGTGCCGAGAACTTCTCCTTCCACTCTGTCATCTGATGACAAACAAAAGATATCTTCCGCTGTCGATAGCAGTTCGATGTCTTTTGACTTCCCGACGCGATTTTCACAGGAGAAGCAGAAAAATTCTTCTCAAAAGAGTGACAAAAGTACTTCGTCTTCAGAGGAGAAATCATCTCAGAAGAGCACCGTGTCTCTTTCACAGGAGAAGCAAATGCAGGAAGGGAAGTTTGAGTTGTCATGCAAGAAGAAGATTGAAGAGCCACCAGTTGAGAAGCCGCCAGTCTCACCTATCCTTGAGGTTCCAGAGATTTCCCCACAGCATTCCACTGAACATCTGGACAGTGAACTGAATTTCAACATGGATATGGAGTTCGGTGATATTGGCAATGACGAAGATTGCAACTTGGATGATGCCCAGTCTGAGACAAGTGATTTCTTCGGGGATAAGGAGAAGAAGAGCGATAATTCCTTCTTTTTTTAGTAATTCTCATTTATTCTCACATTCTATTAATAATAATGCGAAATATCGCGAGTTACTCTTCACCACATGAAGTAATATCCATTAGAATCGCGTAGTTATATTGAATGAATTATTATATTGAATTTCCGAGACGCGTAATAAAAGCAGTGTAACTCAGTTTGTGAGGTACTTCTTGAAAGCCTTGTCGGACTCGAGCTTGGGATCGAGATCATTGATGATCTGTGGCAACTTGCTGTTCTCAAGCATAGAAATGTGATTGCCCTCGATGAATTTGAGATTTACCGGCCCGGTAGTGTACTTGGACAGCTCATAGTCTTCGTCGATGTCCACGATGGACACTTCGGTGGGACGAACGAGTGTGATGGGGCACTTGAGGGGTACAATGATGTCTGTGTCCGTGTCCAGGACGACCTTAAATCTCACGTAGAGAGCGTCGGTCATTAGGCGCAGGTATCGCTCGGAGTAGATGTGCTGGTGCTTGCTGAGCTCCACCAGTTTGTTCACACGATCTTCCCAGTTCTTCAGCTCGGCTATCCTGGCGAACAAATCCTCAGGATTCTCGTCTGGGAAAATGGTGCGAATGATGCCAGAGATGAGCACGCACTGCACAGTCTCATCAGTGTAATCCTCAGTCATTTGCCCGATGGCTAGGCGTTTCAGGAAAGCGGGCGCGCCATCGATCAGCAAGATTTGGCCAGACATTCCGGACTCCTCGAGCAATTTCGCGATCTCTAGCGTGATGAAGGCACCGAAGGAATATCCCACGAGGTAGAAGAACTCCGATGACTTCAGCACTTCATTCTTGATGTCCTGAAAGTTGAGAATTAGAGAGTTATTCTTCAGCCAAAGATTCAATAATCAACCAAAATACTCACATCAATGACTGCCTTCGCGATCTCGGGAATGGAATGAATGCCAATGGTGTGCGTGAGTTGTAGAACAAAGGCGGGCAGTGAAATGTTGGCACTGATGGCGTAGAAAGCATTTCCTGCGACGCCCTCAATGCCAGGAATGAAGAGAGCGCAGGAAACGTACTTGACGTTCTCGTCGCGACTCTTGACGCGCAGGATTGTCTTCTCGCTGTTGGTTTCGTCGCCCAGATTCCTCAGCAGCATCGCCATGCCCACGGGTTTGTCGTCATTCGCCAGCTTCAGCTTCACATTCTCATTGCCGTCCTTCTCGCGATTGTCGGCCAGCTCTTGCAGCTTCATGAAGGTGAGCGATCTCAAGTCTTGTGGTGTGAGGAAGAGCTCAAACTCCCTCTCAAGTGTTTGCTTAATCTCCACAGCCATCAGTGAGTCCATGCCGAGCTCGGACAGTGTGGCGTCCATGGAGATGGACTTGATGTCTCGAATGCTCATGATGTTCATCACGGTCTCAATGATGTTGCCTTTACCGCCACTGCCAACTCTCTTTTCGGCCACCACCATGCTCGCCACGACTGGATCGTCGCCCACCAGCAAATTGTCCAACTCCGTGAGACAGGAGGAGATTCTCTGCTGCAGTGTTCCGCCGATTTCCATGTCCAGCTTGTCCTCCTGCATGTCAGCCACCAGACCGACTTCGCCAACAGCCCCCCATTGGATGGCCTTCCCGGGCAGTCCATCAGCCACGCGCCGCTCGATGATCCTCTCCATCACGGAGTTGGCCATGCCGTAATTACATTGACCGGCGTTGCCGCGGCCGCACGAAACGCTGGAAAAGACGACGAATTCCTGCAGTTGCGGACACATGATGCGCGATAACTCGTCCAGGTGCTTCGTGGCCACTGCTTTGGGCGCCATTGACTCGTTGAACTTCTCCACAGTTTGGTTCTCAAGGATGCTGTCACGCAGGAGGACGGCCAGGTTGTAAATTCCTCCGACTGGACCGAGTTTGGTTGCTTGCTGAATCAACTGCTGGCATCCCTCTCGTGTGGCAATGTTTGCCGTACTCACGACCACCTTGGCGCCGTAATTCTCCCAGACCCTGAATGGAAAACCAATGGTAAGTCCAATTTGAATATAGCCAAATGAATTCTAGTTAGAAGTTTATAAGCAAACGTATATGAGAAAGAAATCTAATTAGAGTAGTTGGAATCGAATTTGGTCAATTTACCTTATCCTGTACGCCTGATATTGTTTTGAAATCCCTCGACTGGAGCTGAGGACGAGTTTCCTGGCTCCTCTGATGACCAACCAGTCGGCCAGCTCCAATCCGAAGCCTCCGAGTCCTCCTGGGATGATGTAGGAGAAATCGAAGTCGCAATTGACTCTTGGTGTGATGGTGAAGGGATAGGGTTTCTTGTCGTTCTCGTTGGCTCGAATTTTCAGCACCACTTTACCCATATGTTTGCCACTGGCCAGGAATCTAAATGCCTTCTCTACCTCATGAGCCTCAAAGACAGTCGATGGCAGAGGCTGTATGATCCCCGAATCGATGTCACGTCGGATGAGATTGAAGAGGAACTGAAAGAAAGAAGATATCACAGTAAGAAATGCGCAGTTTAGGATGATCATGTCATCTGACCTCTTTATAATCTGAAGTGGTTTTGAAGAGATTGTCTGCGAGCACCGCACAGAAGGAGATTTCCCTGAGGAAGACGCCGAGGCCGATCTTATTGTCATTGGCCATGTCGAATTTACCAATCTCCAGGAACTTCCCGCCTATTCCCAGGCATCGCACTGATGCGTGTAGTTTGTCCTCAGCCAGGGAATTGAGGACGTAGTCAACACCACGACCTTTGGTCTGTAGCATGACCATCTTCTCGAAGCTGGTGTTGCGGGAATTGCCAATATGATTCTCCTTGAGTTGCGGGAATGTTTCCAGGAGGAACTTCTTCTTCTCAGGTGTGCTCACGGTTGTGTAGACTTCCAAGCCGTAGGCGAAAGCCGTTCGGATAGCTGCCATTCCGATGCCTCCAGTTCCAGCGTGGATGAGGATCGATTTACCCTTTTTGATAGTGGTGCTGATGAAGAAGGCGATGTAGACAGTGAGATAGACCACAGGCACGGTGGCGGCCTGTTGAAGGGACCAGCTGTCGGGAACTGAGAAGGTCAGCTTATCATCTGAGATGAGATGCGTGGCCATGGCGCCACAGTTCACCATTCCCATGACTCTCTTTCCGCGGTTGTTGACTCCGGAGTACTCAAAGCCCATCACGCACTCCTGCTCGAGGCGTGTTGTTCCAATGACTTCCAGGGCGAGCTTTCCGGTCGCCAGCATCACGTCACGGAAATTGAGGGCGGAGTACATCACATGGACAACGCCTTCCTCATCGAAGTAGCGCTCAGAGAGGCCGCCATGAAGCCACGTGACTGAAGACAAGTCTCCACGCGTGAGGACGTTAGCGAAACAGTGCTTCGTTGTGACTTGTGGAGCATTCTCGTACTCCAGCTTCAAGTGGCGATAGCTTCCCCAGCGTCCAGCTCGGCAAACGTTGATGGCGAGTGAGAGTTTCAAGTGAGCCTTGAAGAAGGGATTGTCGAAGTCAAAAGGCGGAGCACTGGGATCATCAACGAAGACGCAGCTGATGAGATATCCATCAGGTTCCTTCCTCAAGCAATTCACCAGGCCAATAATCCCAGAAGTGGGCTCTCCTTCAGACACCAGGGTCACAGGACCCGTTTTCATGCCGGCGCGTAGTTTGTTGAGCCATTCGTACTTGGTGTCCTCCATAGAAATCTTCACTACTGTGGGATTCCCAATAAGTTTCCGACGAAGGCGGTGGCACATGACGAGTGTCTCCTCTCCTGTTGGGATTGAGAGGATCAATTGGAATCCTGGAGGCACCTTGATATCCTCAACACGAAGATCTTTCTTCTCTCGCGAGATGAGATACGCATTCTCCGTGAGACTTATCACGGACTTCTCGACAAAGTCAGGATTTAACATGCAATCCGATGCGATGACAAACATGCAGTTTGTCTGAGTGGAGAGCTTTCCATTCTCCACATGAATCCCTGGGATTTCCATCTCCCTAGCCGTGAGGTACATCAGGTCGGAGGAGATGAGTGGAAGATCTCCCAAAGCCTCCTGAAAGTTAGTGATGATGGGCTCTGTGGTCTCTTTGGTGTCCACTTCCACAATCTTCACCTTCAGAGCGAAGTTGTTCTCCAGCGCCAACTGGACACAAGTCCTCGCAGCGTCTATATTTTTCATTTCCGGCGTTGGTAGATGCGGGATGAATTTGTACGTCTCAAGAACGGGAACTCCTGGAGGACGACGTCGGGCGACAGGACTGGCATGCAGTCCGACAATTTCAACTCCTCCAGAGCTGATCATGTTGAGCTCCTTGGACACTTTGACGTCGAAGTAGGGATTCTCCTCGTTGAACATGTTCATGTGATCGCGACCATTGATGCGCATTCTCTGAATGCGCGTGGGGAGCATGAGAGAGCGAGAGTCCTGGCCCACGATGTGAACTTGAAGAAGACAATCGAGGAAGGGCACCCAATTGCGCTCGAACTTGACTTTGCCCACGAGTCCATCGCCGCGAGCCTCGTGAACTGAGCGGAAGTAGCCATTGTACTGATATCCTCGCAGTCGCAACTCCTTATAGAAGTCCCTCGACTGAAGCATGGGATATTTCGATGGCGGAGGATCTGGGAAGCTGATCAGGGATGTTCCAGGCTCGAGTTGCTTAATGAATCCCGTGACGACAGCTGATGATCCTTCAGTTATCTGTTGAGAATGAAAAGTAAAGTATGAAGAAGGCACAATTAACTAAAAAGACAAACCTCAAATCTTCCTGTTCCTGGCTGGATCATGATGAGGAACTCAATCTCTGTGTCTTTAGTCATGTTCGTGGCTCTCAGGAAGCGCACATCTGAGAATTCAATTTCCATGTCAAAGAACAGATCGCCCTTCATCATTCCGTATGTTTCCCACACGAGATGAAGGTATCCAGTGGCTGGGAAGAGGATTCTACCTGCAAACGAAATTTCAAGGTTTAGTTTTAGGCATTCCAGATAATCTTTCATCTCACCATCGATTGTGTGTCCAGTGATGTACTCATAATCGTCCATAGTGAGCTGAATTTTGCAGTGTCGCTCTCCGGATTTGAGGATCTTCTGGGCTTCGAATTTGGTCACGTACCAATCCTCGCTGTGATCCCACTTGATTAGTGGGGAAATCATAGGAGTTCCTCGGGAAACTGGGAACTGAACTGGAGGATACATCCTGTCAATAGGAATGTCTACGCCATTCATATAAATCCTGGGGATAAAGGATCAAATTAGAAGCTTCCTGATGCGGTAAAGTCAATCTTGGACTCACTTTCCAAGGGCTGTGTATAAGAATGTGACGTTGTCCTTATTTCCACGTTGAGCGAGTCCTGTGTGAACGGCGTTTGGCATGGATTTCTTGAGAATGGCCTGCAGAAGACCATGAGGAGCCACTTCAATGGTGATGGCATTGTTGGGAAGCATTGCAGAAGTTTCCTCGAAGAGCACGGAGTTGAGCAGATTGTTAGTGTGATACTGAGCCGAGCTGTAGTGATTCTCTGAGTATTCCCAACGCTGCTTCGGAACACTGGTGCTGAGCCAGCGAGGTGATCTCTTCTTGGGCTCAGTGATCACTTGACTCAGCATAGCCTTCAGCTTTGGACCCATGTCGGCGATGTAGCGCGAATGATAGGCAATGTTGGAGCAAGGAACTTCCTTGGCAAAGATTCCCTGGCTCTTGAGCTCCGCCACGAACTTCTCAATGGCATCCGCGGGTCCGGAAATGGTTGAGGAATCTGGACCGTTGTGGCAAGCGACTTCAATGCCGGGCGGCAGAAGACTGCGGATTTTGCGGAAGCCAAGACCAACGGCGGCCATTGAGCCGAAGATCTTCTCTGTCTCCACGCTGACCTTGCCTCGGCAATAGGCGGCCAGGATCATCTCTTCGGCTGTGAAGCATCCGTCGGCATAGGCGCAACCCAGTTCTCCCACAGAGTGACCGATGATATAGTCAGGCTCCAGATCTAAGGACTTGAGCACATCCACGAGAGCGATTTGAATGGCTGCGATGCCAACGAATGAGTGAAGAATGTTGTCATAAGTCTTGGGATCAGTTGAGGTGAGAATTCCGATGAGATCGAGCTTCTTGGGTTTCAGAATCTCATGGCAGTGCTCAATCGACTTCCTGACCATGGGGATCTTCATCAGGGAAGTTCCCATCTCGCACCACTGACTACCCATGCCGCTGAACACCCAAACAGCCGGTCGTTTAACTCCAGTGTAATGCTGAACTTCTCTGTTGAGACAGGTGGCGTTCCCGCCGCCAGGTTCCTTCCTGTATAGTCCATAACCACGGAAGACATTCCCAGACACGCTGTCCATTTGTGTGCTGTGCACCAAGCCCACAAACTCGGCATCGAGTGGGCGAGTGACCATGAAGTCCAGCACTTCATTGACAGCCTCTTCAGTGCGTCCTGACCAGATCACCAATCGCGGTAGATCGTCTTCCGGTTCGCCACGGTTGATCTTCTTCTTGGGATTTGCCTCGAAGAGTGCGTGAGCATTGGCGCCACCAAAACCGAAAGAGTTCACACCAATTAGTGGGCCCTCGAGCTTCGTTGGCTCCGTGATGACTCTGAGGCGTCCCTCCACGAGAGCGGGAATTCCCGGCCGGACCGCCGTGAAGTGGATGTTCGGCGGAATGAGATCATTCTCCATGGCGATGATCACTTTGGCGATGCTGCAAGTGCCCGAAGCGGACTCAGAGTGGCCGATGTTGCTCTTGACAGAGCCAACGGGCAGTGGTTCGTCTCTTCCAGTGCAGAAGACAGCGTCCAGAGCGGAACACTCCTCGGGATCACCTGCCAGAGTTCCCGTGCTGTGAGCCTCCATGAAGTCCACCTTGCGCGGATCGATGCCCACCTCTTGGTAGAACTCGGTGAGGAGTTTGCGCTGCATCTGGCCAGAGGGATAGGTGATGCCTTCCTCCTTGTATCCATCGCAGTTCGCCTTTGAGTAGATCACCTTGGCGTAGATTCTCTTCGCGTCCTTCGTCTGCTGCAGGAAGATGCAGCAGATGGCTTCTGAGCGCGTGTAGCCCTGGCCGTCCTTGTCGAAGGGCCGGCAGAAGCCATCCATGGACAGCACGCCGAGACGAGCAAACTGCAGCGTCACGTAGGGATGAAGCAGAAGATTCGCTCCACCGACAATAGCGGCGTCGCACTCTCCATTCCGCATGGCGCTAAACGCGACGTCCAGGGCAGTCATGGAGCTGCTGCAGGCCGTGTCAGTGAGCAGGGATGGCCCCTGAAGACCCAGAGAGTAGGAAATCCGATTGGCCATCATTGCACGACTGCACCTGTTAAGGCAAGGCAGAAAATTGGCGCGTGAGTTGTTTACGTCGTTTACACTCGAAAGCGTTCTCATTTAAATATCTAAATCCAGTTGAACTTCCTTTCCTCAAATAATAGCCAGGAAGAGTATACAAATGAGAGTGTGTAGAGGAGACCTTTCTACTTATGTGACATTTGGAATAAATGAATGAGATATGAGGACATTTAAATTTCATTCATTTCGTGAGCTCTTCTTGACGGTCAATTCAAAAAAGTACTGTAACTTTTCCAGGAATTCTATTTATAATCATGTCGTCGCGATCTCACTTAATCCGTAATAATTTGCTCCCCAACATAATATAAATAATCCTTCGGTTAGAGCCTTTCCTTACCCTGTGATGCCGAAGCCTCCGGTGGAGACTTTCTCGTAGAACCAGGTCTTTTCGGACTCGGAGAAGCAGGCGCCGATGAAGACGCCTGTCCGAGTGCCGCGCAGCGACTTTGGGTTGATCCCAGCGTCGAGAACGGCTTCGTATGCCCTCTCGACGAGGAGACGCGACTGCGGATCCATGGTGTGCGCCTGCTTGAAGTGCACCCCGAAGAAGGTGGCATCGAACTTCTCGAGGTGGTTGATCTTGCCTGATCGCTTGGGGATCTCGGCGTACGTGTGACGCCAGCGACGCTCATCCTCGTCGATGAGATCCACCTTGTTGTAGAGGTTGTGCGCAAATTGGCCAATGTTGTCTGAGTTTGGAAATCTGCCCGAAATGCCCGTGATCACGATTTCCTCCTCAGGACATCGTGCATGCGTGCGGGAGCGCAAAACAGGCGTGACTGGCTTCAAATCCATGCTCGAAATTCACTTAACTGCTCGGGAGTAAGAGTAAAACCACACTAATTCACCTAACACTAAAGAAAAGCACCGATAATCCAAATAATCCAAAGGAGAAACAGACACCAAGTCCAGAACAGGAGTGTAATCCAGAGTCACTGCCACTTTTCAGCACTGCACACAAGAAGAGAAGTCACTATTAGGAAAGCACTTTGAGGTAATCCAGAGAGAGATTATCAATTGTCACAACTGTTGAAGCACAATTGACCAGCAGTCCGCGGAGGACTGCTTTTATAGAGGCTCCCTAGCAATAGCATTAGCATTTGTAATGCCGTATGGAAATCCGTATCACCTGAAGGGGTTACGCCTGATATTAAACTTGGTAATTGAGTCTGACTTCTTAACGGAATACAATTGTACAAGTGCGCGAAATTGAAATACACCGCCAATTGCGTAAGTGAGAAAGAGAGGAGAGCAACTCTTTGCGGTTTTTCCCGAGCTTTTCTCACCCCTGCCGATCTCTGTTCATGCCGTGGTTTCTGGAAAAGGCGCGCCGCAGGAGCTGATCTCTGAGGGTTTGCAGGGTTCTAATGAGATTCAAGGTGTCAATTGGTGTGCACTGTGAGGTTCGCGAGGGAAATTGTGAGACCTCAGAGGTCAGAAATAAGACCGAATGTTGGAAGACAATCGATAAGCAGTGTTAACAAAAGACGCGTCGAAAAAGGTTTTGCCATTTTTCATACGAATTTATCAGTACATAAGAAGAAGATATCTTGCCTACTCTGTATTTTGGTTTCTTTTACATGTTTAGAATTTCGAAGAGATTTCGTAGTAAAATTGAGAGTGAGTGATTAGATTAGATCAGGAATATATGAATTCTGATCTGTATTCAACAAATTTACACTCACTGTAACTAGAAAGCAAATTCTCTAATCTAGCAAACTAGCGACTTAAACCATATGTGTGTGCATAACATTCGCAGGCAAACCTCGTTCTGAGGTAGAGACCTAAATTCGCCAAGATTGCGTATTAGAATTCAGAGTTATTTAGAGAATTCTATCAAAGTGGTTCTTCTAATTTTATGAGAGTTGAACGTCTTGCAATCTCTCGCATGTCGTTAAACAGCAAAACAACTCTCCCATCAATGGGAAAACATTTCTCCGATAACACAAAGATAAGGAAAAGAGGCAATATTTGTCGTCTTAACTCGTCTCAGTTTATTCACGGCGATGTTCTTGCGTGAGATTTTACACAAAATCGGGATTTAAAGTTCAAAATCAACAACGAAAAAACTTAAATTTGAATGGGATTTAAGGAGAAGTCATTCCATGAGAAATGTAACTTATTTGACGAAATCCTCGCCCTTCTTGATGTTCGCATTGAGTTCCGGAATGGCCTTTTCCAGCAGCTTCTTCTCGTAGTCGTTCAGCTTGGGCAGGCCGAGGTTCTTCTCGATGCCATTGCGTCCCAGGACGAGCGGTGTGGAGAAGTACTTGGCCTCGGTGACGTCGGAGCGCACATAGGCGCATTCCACCACGTTCTGCTCGCCGTTGAGGCCACGGATGAGGGACAGGGCGAAGCGCGCACCGGCGTATGCCATAGAGAGTGTAGCTGAGCCTGCGCCGGCCTTGGCTTTCACCACTTCAGTGCCGGCTTCCTGGATCCTCACGGTCAGCGCGTCGATCTTGTCCTGCGAGAACGACACGGAAGGCTTCACGGCCGACAAGACTGGGATGATAGTGACTCCAGAGTGGCCGCCAATGACTGGAATCTCCACCTTCTGCGGATCCACACCGGCAGCCTCGCCAATGAAGGCGCGAGCGCGGACAATATCGAGAGTGGAGACACCAAACACGCGCTTTGGGTCGTAAGTGCCGGCCTTTTTCAACACCTCCGAGGCAATGGGCACGGCCGAATTCACGGGATTCGTGATGATGGCTAGGCAAGCCTTGGGGCACACATTGGAAGCCGCCACGGCGAGATCTCGGACGATTCCGGCGTTTGTGTTGAACAAATCATCGCGTGTCATGCCCTGGAAGTGACAACAGAGCGCCGGGATTAGGGAGAATCGACAGATAGTGCGGAGTTTATGTAATGACGAGGGATTAGGTCACGAGATTACGTACCGGTTTGCGTGGGACTCCAGCCGGGATGACAACCACGTCGACTCCTGCAAGCGAAAACACACAATTAGGGCACTTGGCCAGGAGAACACTTGGTCATCTCACCTGCCAGCATTTCTTCCAAGTTCTCAGGTCCGCTCTTGCCCACGACCCTCGACTGGGTGTCGATGTGGGACAAATCCGCCGCCACTCCGGGCGTGTGGACGATATCGAACAGCCGGAGCTCCGTCACCAAGGGGCTCTGCTTCAGCAGCAGCGACAGAGGCTGTCCAATGCCGCCGGAGGCACCGCAAACGGCCACTCTGGCATTGTTCTGGCGCCCCAATTGCAGAATAAGTGCATGAGAAGTGTGCCAAGCGTTACGTAAAGAACAAATTTATGTGCACTCACTTGCGATGTGGTGGAAATATTGCGTGCAGTCTGCCGAAGGGCGACCGTCGCCACACGGGTGAACATCTTTGAACGGGGGTGAACAGCACCACTTCAGGCGCCAAGGAACTGGAGAAGAGTGAGATTGCGGTGCTAAAGTCCTCTTCGGAAAATCTTACCACGACCGTCGACCTTCAAGAGTGCCACTCAATCACGGTGGCCGGTTGAAGTACTAGAGCTGAATCGGGAAAAACCGCTCTCTACAGCGTGTTCATGAAAAAGCGTTACTTTCATGAGCGGTGTGAAAAGTATATGCATTTTCCGGGATTTTCTCTTTAATAACTAGATATAAAGTTTTGGTGGGCTTTAATGATCCGCAGTTAATTTAATGAAAGTAGTTTGATGAGAATTCAACGGAATTTCCTTTGGTGATTTTCGTTAACCCTTGCGTGAAACTGGAACTCTTCTACTTACATAGTCTTCTCTGCAAAATCTTCAACACTGTTGAATTAATACGACAATTCTGCAATGCTATTGTTTTTATTATCATGTATATATAGATATTTTCATGAATACATTAATAATATTTAATCCTAGTGTTATTTTGCTACAAGATAATTTTAAATTCTCTCTCTTTTATGCAAATTTTACACAAAGCAAACAAAGAGTTGCATTTTTCAATAAAATTCACCTTATAAAATAAGTTTAAAAAAAATCATCACTGAATGCGAAAACATGCAATTTTCCTAAGGTATATTTTTAATGATTTCTCTTCTCCTTTGTTGTGTGAATAAAATTGGAGGGATGCAAAGAAAGATCCTCAATTTTTCCTTCATCTTCTCTTTTATCACGGTGGAATGTAAAATTTTATATCTGACTTGCATCAAAAATATTCATTTTGTAGTGTTTGTAAAGAGTATTTTATTTATAAGAGAATATTTTCTTTAGTCTTATCTATCAAATCACTACAGACTTTTTCTGATTTCTGTCAAATTGGTGCTTTAACTACAGATATTTCCTCTACATTTTCCACTACAAGGTGCATTATGAATGACTTTCTTTTCTTCAATATTGACATGCGCTATGAATATTTATGAATGAAATTAGAGAATTATAGCAACACCCAAAGATGGAATATATTCTTTAGAAATGATTTTGGAATGCTTCTTCTAATGAGTTTGGGGAAGAGAGAGAGAGAAAACGGGAAAGGGAAAATTGTGATTCAATAGCAAGAATTTTTCCGTATGTTTCATTAGAAAATAAGATCTTATATATTGAGAATTACATTATGGACACAATTACAGACATCTTTTATACCCTAACAAGGTAAATTGGTTTTCATTTAACACTTCTTCTCTTCTCTATCAATACACATTTTAATTCTTTTTCATTTTATCTCTTTTTAAATATATAAATCACAAATTCAATAATAGTTTCAATATATACTCGATAGAATGTCAGATGCAACAATTTATTCATCTTTTGTCCCACTTTTTTTGTCTCTTCAACGCAGTTTTCTAGAGTTTTTGCAATTCATTAACAAACAAGTTAAAGAGTGAGTGTACAAAGTGTGTTTTTTTATCTCATTTTCTTCAATATACAATAATAAAAAAATATATTATAAGTATGAATAAGAATTACTATAGATTTTCACATTATGTGTTGTGGATGTACTTTTTATCGTGAACCTCTTTTCCGTGTAATTTTTTTTTATTGCCTCTAGTTTATTTTTGTGACACAAAATTCGCGATAAATCTCTGACTTTATCAACTAAAGTGTGTGAATTTTCATGGACAGTTTTTTTTTCTTTCTTTCCGGGCTAAGAATTCGAGATTTGAGGAATTTATAGGGGTTGAAACTTCACACTAAAATGCAGGTAAATTTGTTATCAGTAAATTGCTACATGGATTTCCTCAACTTAGAGCCAAATTGGGCTCTTGCTCAACGTCTGAAAAGGAAACTGCAAGTGTGTTGTGAGCTTTTGTGTAGGCAAAAAGTCTCAAATTTCTCTATTTTTGTCATTATTGCTAATCACCCGTGTCATCCCACTTTCTTTCCTCCATTATTCGATCGAAACAGTCCGCCAAGAAGGCATGCTGTGGAAGAGAAGATAAGAAATCCTGTAATGCCGAGAGTTGGGGTGGAAATTGCTTGATGCTTTACTCACATATGGCGTGAATACTTTGACCCATCGCAATGGTTTGTCATTGCGACTGTACTGAAAGCAAAATGCCATTGATTCCTCGTCACTCTCCCAGCGAGTAATTGAGTCCCACGTGAGCTCCACCGTCTGAGTCTCCAGAGAACCGTCCTCGCGGCATGCATGGAGGCGGAAGCTCTTCATTCCTGTCGAGGATGCGAGAAATATAATCCAATTATATTATCATTGTCAAATAATGGACTATTCCATGGAAAGCAACCCAAATTGATCTTCTTGCATTATCATGGGAAGTTTACGCAAATCCTTATCACACACACAGTAGGCAATGTTTGACCATCAACAGAAAAACAGGCCACATAAATATTTTCCATGTTTAGCTTTTGAATTGTGTTATCAGACATTTTAATTGACTTTACATTTCTCATTCCCCATTTATCGCTATTCACTGGCTCATTGCCTATTGACCAAACTCAGTAAAATGTACTCACCGACCGATGGCACGACATGCCCATCTTTGCGACTGTCGCAGGCGCAATGGGGAAACACCACATCACCATATCCGGGCAGAGTTCTCGCCAGGGCGAGATACTCGGGCGCTCTCTTGGAGTCCTGCAAGGCTTTCAGCTCGTACAAGCGTCCGTCGGCGCGAATGTTACCGCGATTGACCTCGTCCACGGCCTGATAGAAGATGAACTTGGTGGCTTGCTCGCCAGCCGGAAGTGAGAGCTCGCGATTAATAGAGAAGAGCCATCGGCGCACGCAAAGGCACGTGCTGGAGGCTGTGCTGTAGTTTTGTACATAAAGCTGATGTGGAATTTCGTGTGGCTGCAGTTTTCGTTCTGCAATATCAAATGGCAAACTTGAAATCTTGATATTTGAGCTCAAAATACAGTGAAAGCACCCTCATTTGCTTCGTATTTTTCAAAATAGAAATGTAAGGCTCCTCACCAAAATTGTACTCGACAATCTCGAAGAGATAGAAATACTGCTGAATGTAGGATGTGAAATGCGCTCGTTGCACCAAAATGTCCCAAACAGTCTGTGCATTGGCGGACTTCCGAACAGACACCGTGATGACCTCGTGATCGGGCAGCATCACTTTGATGTCCACTGGTGACGCCGACAGATCGTCCTCATTGTCGGTGAGGAACTCCTGGACAGACTCACTTTCTGCAATCACACGAACGGCGCACACTTTTTCGAGATACTGCTCCAGACCGCGTCGCCGAGCGTCCAGCTGCTGCTCGCTGAGCTGAAAGGGCCACTTGCTGGGCAGCTTGGGGAAGTTGAAGCCCGTGAACTCCTTCTTGAGAGACGTGTGCAGATTCGAGAACTCGCGGTAGCGCCGAGAGCACAGCTGCCGACCGGCCATGTGGATGTTGAACACGACGAAACGCTCCCCGTTGCGCGTGACGACATTGTAATCGGGAATGCTGATGGGCAGAGAGCGCTTCTCCGAGTAGTCGATGTAGGAATAACCTCCGGGATCCTCCTGCGGCTCCAGTCGCTCCGCTTCCTGCTGTGTCACGGAAATCACCGTGAGTGTGAGACAATCGCCACCAGACTTGATCAGATCCACAACTTGCTTGTGTGTCGCTCCTTCGACGTTCACATTATTCCTGCAGAGGAGGAGAGAGAAAAGGGTTATTTTATTAATTTCCTGTCATCCGGAACTGTGCGGTTTTCTCGCCCACCCGCAAATGGCCACAAACTCAAACTCCTCCTCGAGGTGAGGAATTGGCGTTAATTGAAAATACGTGGTGAAGATACAGCGCTGCATTTTGTTCAGCAGCACTCACACTCTACAGAATCTTGCGCCAGACTGAAAATTGAATTTTCCACCTGATCACGGAGACAGAGTTCACCTCTCATCCCGGAACTTTATAAATTACCCAGGGATTCTCGAGACAATCTTATCATGCATTAGACTTCTCTCCCATTTTAGACAGTTTATAGATTAGAGAAAAGACTTGGATATTATAGAAATTTACTGCTTTACACTGGATTTATTGTGACCTGCTTTTCATCTCTTAGTATGTTCATAAATTCTTCTTATTGAAAGCACTTCAATATCAATAATTCCCTTATCATTTGAGTACGTGAAAGAGGTCATGAAATTGAATATTTTCTCTTCGCCCTACAAATTGTGAAAATGACTCCTTTCTTCACTAACAATACCGCATTCTCCTCTTATATTTTCCAGACGAAGCAAAATTCTATCGACTGGCGTGGGAAAATGACTTTCAGGTGAGTTTGTACCTCCTATTTTCCCGTTCCTGCATTCGATGAATATGCGCTTGAAATTCAAGGCAGTGCATGTAATTGTAGCCCATCATCTTTGGACACGAAAACACTCAGTTTAAGGGATTTTCTCTATGACAAATTCTCCACTCTCGCACACGTCCAAGAACAATCCATCAAGAATGAGATGGAAATGCAAGAGGAACTCTTGATTGACGTCCGTCACTTGTGAAACTTCCACCACAAATGTCTCTGTTAATTTTCTCCCGCCACTGCTTTGACTGCAATGTTACACACAATATTAAATCACAGAGAAGCACTATCAGAAGTTCAGCTTTTCTCCATGTCAAGACGCTACTCGGGAGCAAATTGTGAGACGCCCGTCACTTGTTTCTCCCTCAAATTCACTGCTCTGTGTCTCTTTCCTCGGTCTTTATCACATCAACCATGGTTTCTTGTCTTGTTGATATGCTAAGACGACAAGTGGGGTAATCGAGGGGTTTCCAAGTGCTCATTAAGTGTGTCTACAGACTTGCAAAGCCTCAAATTCAATTTGGCAATTAGGGCTTCTATTTCCGACGTTTACTGACATTATTTGATGGCAAACATTAACTTAGCGCACGATAGACAATTCAAGGGCAAGTGAGAACCATTGCAAAGCGTGATAAATGCTTTTTCCCAAGGGAAAATGCTTAGTAATTTACGAGATTCTTATCACAGAATTATTACATGATTCAAACTAAATCTTAGGCTTATTTTGACAAAATTATGATCGCTTTTCTGCATCATTCGCACTGAAAATGATTAGCCTGTGGCGATGAAACTGAAAGTCAGTGTGTTGTGTCTCTTAAACCTTTCGTAATGGCACGGCAAAACGGGTTTTAGATTTTCTTTTGCTCTCGCGTGATATTTCGTATGAAAGTGCAATTCATTGCCTAATTGACTGTCAACTCCCACTGAGACATAAAAGAGCATTTAAAGATCTCTTTTGTCTCAACCAGTAAAATGTACTATGCAAAATGATTGTGATATTTGGACAAGAAGGTGTGCTGGATGCAGATTTTGCAGAAAATTGCACTGTTTCTCACATAGATTACTAAAGAAATAATATTTGCTGGTAAACCGGGAAAAATATACATCAAGAGAAAATTATTTCTTTTTATGAAGAATTGAAAATAAGTCAAAGTCAGCTAAATCTCAAAATTGCAAATATTTGATGCAAAATTCACTGTGGCCAGCTTAATTGAAATGCGGAAGATGTTGAATTTTCTCGCCTCTTCACACTTAACATATCCTTAAGGGCATTACGGAATGGACAAGAGCAATTCTCATTCTTATCACCAAATTGGATTTCTTGATGGTGTCTCCCGAGCCGTGAAATTAATTCCTCTGCTATTTCTCATCTGCACAATAATGCGAGAAAGGATCAAGTCTAATGGATGCTGCGTATTAAGCCTCAATGTTCACGCAAATTACTTGGGTGGGTAATTAAAGAGCTACTAAAGAGAGGTTACATTAGGAATCTCTGTGAGCTTTTCACTGTACCTGCCGCCGTTCAGGGAAATATTGTGCCTTCAAAAGGATCTTTTAACTTGTTGGATTGAAAGGATAATTAATGCACTTTTATTTTCTTAGCGTCAGAGAGCTAATAAAAGTTTTAAAAGGCTCTTTGGCTTTGGATTTATCCAAATGCGAAAGAGATAAAAAGTATCTCTTCCGCTTTGCCAAAGTAACTCTCGTGTGGCATTGGAAGAGAATTTTGCAATTTGAATAAGTACTTGAAGCGTGAAGGGAAATTCCATTTTGTAGCTCTTTTGGTCTATTCAAAATTCATTTCGCATCCTCTCTGTTTTTTCTTCACTAAATCTCTCTCCATCTCTCTCTCTCTCTCTCTCTCTTTCTCTATCTATGTAGTTTAATAACACTGATCCTATGTTAATCTCGTATTCACGGGACAAAGTATGAAATGGACTCTAGTTAATTACTCCCTTCCAATTTGTGAATCAACAAACTACTGGCAAATTCACTCTGCAAAATTACTTAGCAGCAGTTCCATTGAGGCCACGAGAGTGGAAAGATCGAAAGTGAAATCACGAGGAATGAAAGAACAGAGAATGTATGGAGAAATTTCTGTCTCAATGAAAGATAGATTGAATTACTTTCTTGATTGCACATGTAAATTGAATTTTCTTAGATACACTCGGCGATCTGCAGGCGGTCTCTTGTAGGCAAATTGCGATTCATTTCATAAACTGACCTCACCAATGTACCATCAATTAACATACTCCACTTTGAGCTTCCTCGCGAATTGAAGATTCTTCGTCAGCGCAACACTGACAATTCAATCCGACGAATGTTGTTAAGTTTCCACTTGGGAGACACATTTAGAGATTGGCTTCTATCAAGCTTCGCCGAATGTTTGATGCGTCTTTTCCCACTCGAATGGTGACGGACAGATTTCCTCCTCTTTGGGTGGCAAATCGATATGGCGAATTTAACAAATTTCAATGTGAATTTGTGTCACAGTTTCTCTAGTTGAAATTCTCACAAGCGAATGTGTCTTTCATGCTGAGAATTATACAATGACACTTAATTGAAAGTATGGTTGAACACCTTCAATGTGCCTGAGAAGGAAACTTTTGGGTCACAAGAGAATGAAAGATTGTGATAAAGGGTGTGTTAACACACTGTGCAAGCCAGATGTGCGAGAACTTTTCGCGTTTTTGGCGGAAAGGAAAATTTCTTCGCTTCCTCCCATCATCATTTCCCATTGCTTTTGACGAGCATTGGCGAAGACAGAAAGGCACTTTTGTCGCCTTCATTGCTCAAACTGTCTCTCTGAAAGTATTCTATACTTTTTAAGCATTCTCTTTGTCATTCGGCGCTCGTTGAAAGCGAAAAGTGGGTAAACAAGGAGAGAAAAATGGCATAAAAAAGCTCCCCAGCCAAGCATGTGCAAAAAACAAGGAGGACTGAATTCTTGCGACATTGAATTATTTGGGGGGATTTGTGTGATTTGCAGGAAGCCGAAATTTGTATTTTAAACATTTGGGAAAGTTTGCCGGAATTTTGCGCGCTCTCAGACATTCATCAAAATGTGGTCGGTTTTTTTCGCAGCATCTGGCCAATTTATTCGTCATTTATTAACCCATTGCTGTTGTTTTTTTCAGTTTACTGCTTCTTCTTCTACTTCTTCTTCTCACAGAACATGAACTTCCTTTGAAGAGAAATTGGAGTAATTCATTCCGATTGTCTCGAAATTATGACCGTTTTGGAGAGAATGTGATTTACAAAAATTTCAAGCACTGAATATTGTTCGCCGTGGCTTTAATTAAGCTAATGAATTACGATTGTAAGCGTAGAATGCAAATCGATGGCAAAAGTTGCACAAGAATTTACATATTTCATTCAGCAGTTGCTGCTCTTGTCCTGACACAGAACTACAACTCTCATCCCAGGTGTGGTAAACTCGAGAGAGACAGAGGACAATTGGAATTGAAAACCAACATCAATTTGAATAGAACATGGAAAACTTTCTCACAGGACCTGTAACAGACAAAAAAGGACAATTTTTCGCGATCTTACACAAGATTTTTTCCATCACAACTTTTTTTTTTGTAGAAATCCGAATTATGTATATTCAGGAAAACGCAGCAATAATTGGAAAATACCTCTAATTGCGGAATAGCTCTCAGAGAAGTCTTCAATTTATAGAAAATTACTGTGCGATTGGCCCAGCTTCACTCTACAATTGAGTGAATATTTGAGTTGTTCCCATGTCAGTCATTTTCCTCTCAAGAAAACACTTAAAATAACGACAGAAATTAGTCTCTAGAGAGAGATAAAACAATAAACTCTGGCGCTTCATCAATTCTCGTCAGAGAATGTGCGAAAATTCCCCTGAATTTTCAGCATTTTTATCGAGCAATTCACTGATGATTTAATCATCAACGGCGTGGCAATAAAAAACACAACAACATTCCCTAAATCCCACCTCGTCAAATAATCAAATTGCAATTGATTTTGTGGTCTAATATTTGAACTGGTGCACGATGAGTCAGGTGATTGGCTTCGGTGAGAGGAGGAGACGAATGGCGCTTTATCACGTCCACTCTCGGGCCGATACAACATATTCCAACGTCGCTGATAAGGCCGGGAAAGTGTTGGTCTTTATTGAATTAGTGTCGCGTGTCGATTAGAATAAACAAGTGCTTCGGTGGCTTCGCGGGATCAGTCAATGATTTCCTCACACCGGCATGATCAAATGAATTTCGCCTTGGAGCAGAATTCTGCCGTGAAGAACACTTTTTTCGTGATCGATTTATGTAACATTTGAGTATTGAATGCTATTGAGTTTTCCATATGGCACGAAAACCATGAAAAATCGGAGAGTTTTGTTCACTAATTGGTGGCTTCAATTAAAAGCCAGAGTATTAATTAGCGATATTGTGGAAAATTGATTCCTTGCCCTGGGCAAAGCTCCCTTAATCCTTTCTACATTCCTCGGTATTAATCACAGCTCGGTTCCGGGAAGGTGAATGTGAGAGACAAGACAAAGATTCCGGGAAGCGCACTTAGAAATTGATGACTTGGGGTGTGAGTCAGGTGATTCCCAGGCAATTCTGGACCATATGTTGGGCAGATTGACGAAAGCTAGACGCTCATTGTGTCCAATGTTCGCCTGTGTGTGAATAGATAATGAATGACTGGCCGGGGAGCCGGAAGAGGGTTGGTTGGGGAGAGCGAGAGAGACAATGAAGGAGAAAATAGGGAGGAAAAATCGATAGATCGTCGTGTGACTTTCCACAACGTCACACACATTTTGGCCTCTTCTGTGGGTGTGTTGCCGGGGGGCGAGAAGAGTGGCGATGATTTTCGTGGGTGACCCGCGGGTCAAATGCTCCTCCTACTCACACTTCGAGAATTCGGTCACCCTTCTTGATGCCCGCCTTCTCGGCGGCTCCGTTGTCCAGGACGGCGCTGACGTGCTGCAGGGGGGCGTACAGCTCGCCGTTGATGGAGCGCAGTTGGCCCCCTTCGCTCACCTGGCCGCGCACATTGAAACCAAAGCCCGTCTCCGTCTTGTAGATGGTCACCACTCGCGGGCCCGAGAGATTCTGGCCCGCCTGTGGATTGGGCACATTTGGGGCGCTCTTGGGCTTCTTCACCACCGAATCCATCGCGCTCGCACTCTATCTCTCTGGCGCCCCAATCGATGCCCCGTGGCGAGGGCGCGCAGCTCACTATCCACTGGGACCGAGTGGCCAGAGACTCAGTCACAAAATTGCACACTCCTGACTGCACTGGAGTCGAGAAAACCCAATGGAAATTCTCACGTCAATAACAAACTCCTCGCCATATTAAAACAATCGCACACTCACTGGCTGGTGTTGCCTGACGGCCCCAGCTTCGGCTTGTCACTGCCCGGATCGAGCCGAAGCCGGGGCTCTGAAGTCTGCACAGAGCGAGCGCTTTCGAACAACTCTCAATCTCTAACGGAAGGTGAAAGGAAAACTCTGCAGATTCCAACCACTCTCAGAAAAACACTCTCATGAAAACTTCGTCCTTTTTGGTGAATTCACATAACTTACATACTTTATGAATATGTTTTATGCTTTATAAAATTGTCCAAATTTTTTTTATAGTCAAATTCAGTACTTTAAGCAATTAATAAAATCAATAGTTTTCATTAAACTCGAGCTTCTGTGCATAAATAACAAGATGATCATTTTTTTTGAATATACCTAATGTAAAAACAAAAAATAAATTAAACATACATCTAAGAAAAAAGTTTTATTTAGTCATAAATTCTTTTAGAATAAACTTTTTTTACATACAAATGCTCTTTTCATTATTGTTTCACAATTTACATATATTAAATACAATTTAAAAAAAAAATACTCTTCGATGCTTATTCTATTTTCAATTTGAATCTCAATACTATTTATACAAAAGAAGGATTAAAGAATCAGCACGATTTTATCATTTCTATAAATTTTCAATAAACATTTAAACAGGTATCATAAGAACAATTCTGAACACTATAAATATTATCAATTTCGTGGAGTCAATTTGCATTGAACTAGACACTATGCATTAAAAATTATTTTTGAATTCTGAACTTTCGGAAATACCAAGAGATCTCATATGGAGAGAGAATTCCCGGATATTCGATCAATATTTCATGCAAATGTTCAATTTTCATACTCCAAAAGTGAATACATTGGAAAACATTGCCAAGAATTGTGCGGAGATTTACTGAATTTGGACGAATATTCTTTTTCTGGCAGGCGTTCTTAGCCCATTTCATTGTGGCACGAAAGAATTTCATTTCATCGCGCTTCACATAATTTCTATCTATAATTTTCCTTACCGCCGGCAGTGGAAGATCCAAGAAGATGCTCACAACACTGTCATGCTCAATCATCTTTTCGAAATGTATATCCATTATTTTCATCATTTTCATTTCAAGACCCGCAACTCGCTCGAATGCGATGATCTTGCTGTACATTTGCATGCAATTATCTCTGCGGATGTGTAATCGTAAGTACGCCTTGCAGAGATTCTCCAGATGCTCCATCTCGAATTTCTGAGCCAGCTTCAGGACATCAAAGACATTATATGTTGTCATTGCTGCTGTTTCGGTGTAACAGTAGTTCAGGAAGACCCTGAATGCATCCACAGTCACGTCTTCAATTGCCAACTCGTCCTTGTCCAGTTTTAAATTGTGGAAAATATTATAAAAGCACCAACTGTGCGCACTAAAGATAAATTTATGACCTGGAACTCGTCTCTTCTCCTTGCCGATCACGAAGATCATATCCGAGAGAAACTTATTTTCGATCAATTTAGACAGACTCGAGTTATTCCTCCAAAACACTGACGCATTTGAAATCGGACCTGTTCTTGTGTTCGCATCCATTCTGTTAAAGAATTATCCTTATTTAATGATCAGTACGGTAGAGCGTTCAAAATTGTAGTATTAAAGCTTACTCACTTGCTGTATTTGGTTAAAAACTGGAGATCACTTTTGTTGTTTTACTTTACAGATACAGGTTGCAGATTTTGTGACAAGTTCTACAATTATTCCACACACAGGAAATGACGTTCGTGATGCAGTTCACAAAAAGCGAGACGCGTCGAAGGCAAGTATAATAAAGCGCGCACAAAGTAGAAAAATCAATCCAAGTTCAACTGATGTAACCAGAACTGCTCACACTTCCCCTATAATACAATAAAACACCCAATTCTTTGCATTAATTATATTTCTTGAATCCGTTTACAACACTATGGAGAATTACATTTATTTATTTCTTTAAATATCTGAGACATTCTTTTACAATGTTTTCTTTTATTTGATTCAATACATGTTGTTGGACTGTTTGTGGCGCACGAAGAGAAGGTTTAGAATTCTTACGGTTTTTACTGTGAAGAAACAACACAATTTGAACGTCTTATCACAAAAAATAGTAAAGTCTAACAGACTGTGGTGATGAAGGTGTTCGGGATCATAGAAATGTACAAAAGAGGTCGAAAGTCTATTTTTTATATCTTGTGGCTTTTCTTCATTTCGGTATATGACATTGTTTAATCCGTTTAATTCTATTCCATTGAAAGGAGTTAATTTGTTTTGGGTATGAAGGTAAATTTCATTTACATTCTCACTAATGCTATATTTAATATTTGATTTAGAGTAATAAATAATTCAATATTTTATTATTTCCTCCTTTCTTTCACCTTTCTGGTTATTACAAATCACTTAAATTACAATGTTTATATTCATAATTTCCATCATCTTTTATCTTTTCCTTATTATCTAATATTACTAAAATGTTTTTTTTTTACTATTTTACGCATATAATTTGTTCACGTCACATGTAAGAACATCCGGTCTCAGTTTTTTTTTTTAATTCTTTTAGAGGATAAATTTTTAGTGACAACTTGATACACTTTGATGCAGTTTAATGTTTTATTTATTCTTCCTATTCTTCTCTCACACAAAATTCTGGAATTCTTAGCAAATTTCTCACTTATTTACACAAGGGAATACTTTTGAATTTCCTCTTACTGGTTTTTCTTTTTAAATGTTAATGTTTATCCAGAAAAATATGCTTAGATTTTCGAAAAAGGGGAAATTTTTTTCTCTTCTGTCCATGTAAAAATTTTCACTATAAAAATTACAATTTGTTAATTCTTTCTCTCTAGCGCTCTAAAGACGGTTTCTATATGCGAATTTCTACTGAACTCTCCTAGCTTATGTTCAAACATTCCTTTTCGATTTTATTTTCACTCTACAATCGTCATAATTTTTGGGAGTTTTGGAAAAATGCTGATAGATTTCTTGTTCACATTAATGCAAAGTGACAAAACATAAGGAGAAAAAACTTTCTAGGACGGTTTTGTCAGGTAAAAATGTTCAATTTGAACGGAAACGACAATCAAGTAGTCAATTGAATTCATTGAAGTGGAAGAAAAGTTGGTAACTCTCTTTAGGCCCATTCATAGCGAAGAAGTGTTATTGAGAAATATTCCGCGATTCTCTTTTCTCAGTGTATCAAATTTATTTGCCATTATCTAAGAAAAATTGATTAAATATCATCTCCTATGCTGATCGATTTAATATTTCTTGCCTATAATTCTTGGTCCGGAGACTGAGTAATGAATAAATATGTGCGGTTTCATTTTTTCTGCTCTTCTCTTCCTCACACACAACGGAGGAATAGAATATTGATGCGTGATGAGTCAAGAAATATTCTCATATAGACTCTCAGTTTAGAGGAAAATTGTACCCTTTCCGCTTTGCTAACAAAATGATCTCTCTCTCACTCAGCTGAGAATGAGTGATAGTTTCGATGTTCATAAGAGGAGGAGGAGGAAATGGACACAGAACGAAGATGATTCTGAGAATGCTTAACACGATCATGTTTTCTCCTTCTCTCGCACTCACACTTAAAAAGTATAAAAACAACGATTCTCCTGAACAATTGTCACCAGCACAATTTACTCAGACTCCTCCTCGCGATCGTCGAAGCCCGCCAGATCGGCAGACTGCAGCATCCCTCGCGACAACGCGTACTCAATCAGCGCCAAGTGGCAGAAGACATACTGATCCGGCATCTGAATTGAATATGCGCGCTGCGATCGGATCTTCTCCACGGTTCCTCGGATGTCCGCTGTGCTGAGATCCTCCAGGCGCGATATGCAAATGTCCAGGGTTATGAATGTGCCTGTAACGCGGAGAATAGCTTTAGTATCACTGCCTAAAAACTGCCAAGGAATATCTGGCTAAAAAAGTCACAAGAATATGCAGATATAAAGCATAATAAGCACTTGAATGCTCTTACCAGTGCGTCCAATGCCAGCACTGCAGTGAACAACAATCGGTGGCCCACGCGGATGACCTGCCCAAGTGTCGCCCAGCGCCTTGACCATCTTGGCCTGCTGCTCCCGGACGCGCTGCAGGAAGTTGAGCATCGCCATGGCGGAGGCAGGAACGCCATAATCTGGCCAACTCGTGAATTGCCAATGTGATACGTTTCTCGATTCTTCAGTCTGTCGGGAGAAGCACGAGAATGCCAATCAGGATTAATTGGAAAAGCACAAGTGAAAGTGTATAAGATCAAGATCTTGCTAATCAATCCCGGAATTCGCATTAGTGGCAAAAAGTGATTGCTTCTCAAGAACTTCACTCGCTATCCGGGTTCATGTCGGTTGATATCAAAGACAATCATTCTCTCTAATGGATTAAATACAGTGATTTAGAGATCACGCAATCGCGCGTGCACTCACCTTTGTGTTGGTAAGCTCTAGAGATGCTACTGTGTAATCCTCCTTCGTGTCTACAGATACTGTCCGGATCCTGAACTGTCCGAATTCATTGGCATTGCCCTCTGCCGTGTCCCAGTATTGTCCACACTTGATGCGGCCGCGCTCCATCACGCGTGTCGTCATCACGATCACAAGGCAGTGCTGCTCCCACACCATTCGCCAGAAGTCGTTGGCCGTCTTGGGCAGGGGGCCTTGTGTGGAGATGTAGGCATTCTTCTGCCGGTAGCCGTCCACGAAGTTGGCGTTGATGTAATCGGACGAGGGATCTTCCTCCTCCTCCTGCGACAGCACCACGCGGCTGTGGTCGTAGCACAGGACGTCCGTGTAGCGATTCTTGGCCAGATTGTTGCGCAGCCGGGCGTTGGTGAATGTGCCCTCTGGCGCGCGCGATCGGATGTCCAGGTACTCCTGCACCAGCCCCTGGCGGCCACGCTCACGCACCATTTGTACAATTTGCTCTATCGTCCGCGCGTCGCCCTCCGTGCCGGCCAGGCTGTCGTCATCGCTAAAGCCCGACGAAGCGCTGCTCGGTGGGTTCTCTGACCACAGCTCGCTGATCTGGCCCGTGGCGCCATCACTCAGCGGCTGCGGTTCATTCTGATTGGGGCTCTGCCCGCATGTGCTTGTGATTGTCGTAAGGTCCGAGGTGGAATTCTGCGGCTGCTGCTGGCCGGGCGTCTGTCCGATGCTATTTGCCAGGAGTTCGTCCTCACGATTCGTCATCGATGTCTTGAAGCACTGCAACAACCATGTGGAATGATCAATGCTCAGCGTGCCGCCGAGGCGCGACGGCAGCGATTCGCGCGGGATGTGCAGACTCAGCTGCGGTATGGACACCGTGAACACGCGCTCCCGCAGCTTCTCACGCACGAACAGGCGTAGGATCTTGAACGGAGCCTTGAACCACAGCGGCGCAGTCACGATAAGCACCTTCTTCAGCCTCGCCGGATAGCCGCCCTGCAATGAACGCAGAAAACGCAAAGTTACTCCGATGCGAGCAAAAGTCACCCTTCAACTGCGCCTTGCAATTCCAACCCCCTTCCGAACAGGGTGGAAAAGAGGCCAAAACGAGATCATTTAGAGTGTGTGTGTGAGTGGAAATCTCCTTCGGTGAAATGTGTCAGTGAAGCATCGCTGTTGGAAAGAGGGTCGTTGATACCATTCTTCTCTATTGCATTGTTTTTTTTAGCCACACTCTCGCCGTCTGAAGGCTCAGCTTAGCGCATTCGAGCCGGGATCGGGATTTAATGAATTGGATAAGTGATTGTTCATGAGCACGCTACAAAGATTAGATAAGCGTTCGCATAGGGTATTTTCCGGATTAGAGCATAAATGAATGAGTGTATAAAATTACATGACTTTGTGTACAAAAGCAGCAAAATTACGTTCTTGTCTTTTCTAACTAAGGCTAGAAAAAGGTGAAATTCTAGACATAAAGTACAGAGAATGAAACATTTCTTTTCAAATATCTTGAGATAACTTGATTTTTTTTGTTGTGATAAGGGCAATTAGTCCTCATGATATTGTTATTTGTAGGGTATTTGTGAACAAATTTATTTGCTCCTCAAATCATCCCCTGAGTGAAGGGCTTCGCATTGACTCGTCTGCTGCTTTATGTGTGTACTATAAAAAGACGAAAGGAGAGAGGGCACGACACATTGATGATTTGCCAAAAAGGACGGCAGAAAAAAACATTGGGACAATTGACTGAAGAGCAACTGTGACGAAAAAGGCGAAAGAGACGAAGCAACAAGGAATGTAATGGCACGATTCGTCCATTGTTAATCGTATGGTTTCGTTCTGTCTGAAATTTTCGAAAGATTCGCCGTCATAACATTGCAAAATCATCCCTTCTCAGCCCCACACGAAATCCCACAAAACTTCAGCAGCCATGGAAAATCTCTCATGACAAATTGAATTGAAAGTAAATTCACACACGCTCTCCGGAGGGGCCAATAAACTCATTTTTCTTTCACCCCCGCACAAGTGCAGCTGCCCAAAAAATACACCCAGTCTTCTGGTGGAGTCAGAAAGCGCGCGTCTCGGTGAGACAAAAAGACCCCCTTTGCGTTATTAAATACAAATTCGGTCGAGGGGAACGAAGGGCGAAAAAGGGAGACGAGAGTTGGGCGGAAGATTTGTGGGGCTAGTGATTCTCAGGGAATTGCTTTTCAAACGTGCCTCGAGAGCTTCGCCTAAACTCAATTTTGATGTTTCGTCACTTCAGTCAGCAATCATTGGGGATGGGAAAAATTTACAAGAAGAACTTTAAGTCGGAGGCGTTGTTGAACTTTTGTTGTGTGTCAGAGTCATTAGAAATTCACTGATTGGCGATTCATGACATTGTATTATTCGGGAGTAATCGATGTGATAAGGAAACTCTTGAAAAAACCTACAAGCTTTTCAAGGAGGGAAAACTTTGACGACTAATGACTCAAGCTACAATGACGGTTTATTTACCGAGGATTCTCCCTCACGTCGTCACATTCCTTGGCAAAGCCGCACACACACAGAAGCGCGGCAAGAACTTTCCTACCCACTAACGGCATTTGCTTGTTGCCCCAACAACACCGCCCCAAAAGCCAGGAGCCGCACAACAGCTGAACTACATTCTGGCGAAATCTTTCTCACTCCGGGTTGGGCATCAAACACTCTTGACTCATTTGAAATGTTAATGGAATTACAGCCCAGGAAGTGCGGGAGCCATGGAAGTTGAGGATTTTCTCTCCCTATTTGCGTGCCCTCATTTTGTGGGGGTGCCGAAAGAATATCACGAAAAGATTTCTCAATTGTTGACAGAGAAGATGCGATAAAAAAGTCCGCGGAACTTTTTAACGGTTCCTCCGTTTTGAAGAGTTCTTCGTCTTTCATTCTACCTGATAATATGATTTCTCTTTGGCAATTTCCATGGCAATTTTTTGTGCCGAAACCCACCGACAAGGCGTGGGTGTAAACAATACGAAACTGAGGGGCGAAGCAGAGATGCAATGAGAGAGTTGAGGGCTTTCCTATTCACATTACGACTGTTTTCATTCCAAATGCCTGACGTCTCTTCGTCTGGTTGGTTTTTGAGAAGAGGGTTCCCCTATTCTGTGAGGGAATCCATAACTAACGGCAACCCATTCGGACGAGGGTGGAACAATTCAGTGGCTTCTGAGTGCAAACGCAGTGGCGAAAATTACGGGCACAAAGCACACATTAATTGGAATGGGAGATTCTAAGAATCGATATTCTTAGAATCAATCCAATACCCTTCAGAAACTCACCTCAGGGGCATTTTTAGCAAGAAAATGACTTTCTTAAGGGAAACTTTGTCATTCCTATGCAAACAATCCATGTAAATTTTACAACAAGAGACAAAAGTAGACAGTTTGAATAAAACTATTAATTGCCTTTGAAATAGTAATAATGGTGTGCATAAGCGGTTAAAAGGAATCCAGAGCGTCTGGAGTCTTTCACGCACGCAAAATAGGTCATCTTGATATGCAGACAATGTGTGACCTTAATATGCGAAGCATCCCTTGCTGGAGTGCAGCGACCTGCGCATCAAATACACTTGTTTGCCTCTCTTGCCGCTCTGGTGGAAAATTCTTGGCATCCCTCTGCGAAAATGTGCACATGAGATGACTCATCGACCAGGGGTGGATTCCCTGTCCTCGCACAGGCACGAGTGATTCATCCCGCAGGAATTTCTCTTCGTGTCGCACATCATGTGATGAAGTGATCTTTCGCCAGTTAAAAATACACGCCACACTTTGTGAGCGACCGTGCGACAGATTCTGCATGCTGCACATTTTTTCCACAACCTCCGGAAGTGGGTCAACGGCACTGGAGGCGGAAAATGAGGACAAAGGCACTGCGGCTTGTCCTCATTTCCGTTTTCATTTTTCCGACCCTCTCACTATAATGTGGCTTTTAAAATTGCGCGCCTCTCACACTAAAAATGCCCCACTAAAACATGGTTGAATCCCGGGAAAATTGTGTCACCAGAAGTTCCATTTCATACGCATATTAAAGTTTCAACGAAATGGAAAAAGGCAGCGAGACAAATTATTGGATTTCCCATAAAATTTTATGCGTGTTGTAAGCTTAGTCTATATCGATTAAATAGTGCGAGAAGCTATGAAATGGTGGTGTAATCGTGAAATCGAATGCGAGTGATAACGAAAAAAAACAATTACCGGAAAATTCTTAGAATTTTCACTTCCACATTTTCATTTTCCCACCCCGAAAGCGCGTGTTTTTGCGTCTTTCCCTCTGCAAACAACAAGTTTGTGACGCACTTTTTGTCGATTGATCAATAGTGTTACATATTTTATTTAGAAAATGTATGTACGAGAAAAAAGTTAGAATTTATGAAGCTCTCCCTTTGACCTTCAACTGCGGTGTTGATTCTTTATGTTGCCTTTTCCATGCCCACCCTCGCGAGTTGTAAATGTTAATATTGACGCGAGAATTGCGGTGAAAAAATGTCTGAGTTGAGGAAATTTCCCAAGAAAGCACAACAAAATGCTAGAGAAGGGCTGATAAATTGTAATTGTTGACGTACTTTAGTCACAGTCCGTGTCAAAGTTGAGCGGAATTTATGAACACAGTGCTTGCCATTGTAAAAGGACAGACTTTTTTCTCTCTGTCACCTTCAACCCTCACTCAGAGTTTCCACACAAGCTTAGGAATTGCAGGAAAGCACGCGATATAGTCAATGAATAATTCACCCTGAAATTTCCCTCATTTCCCTTTACATCGCCTCTGTCTATTCATTGGTCACCAAGATGAAGTTGAGTGGAAATTAATTATCTTTTAATTACAATTGAATTTACCGAAATGACTCTTTCAGCACTTCACCGACTGTGACGTATGCATTCCAATTATAGCACGGAGATTCACATGAAATCATCATTTCGGCCTAAACAAATTGACCAAGCACGCTTCAGTGCAATTTCTGACATCTCCATAGCTTTCAGTCCGGATTCAGTGTCAAAGAACGTCCTTGTAGTTTTTTTCACAAATCCCCGCGATTTAATTGACAAATTATCAAGTGCAAAAAGAAGCTCAAATTTGGCGAAGAAAAAAGAATTCCCAATTGAAGAGAGGGCTTTTTATAGTGAGGTGTGAAGAACGAATGAAAAAGAATGAGAATGCCTGAAAAGCAGCTCAATTGGAATTGAATTTTTATGTCTTTTGCGCCTCCTCTCCTGAATCTCCGCGCGCCTCACCAATCAATTGACTTCCAAATCAAGCTACTGTGGCATTCTCAACTTCGCCATCAACACATTTGGTACCGTGGCGAGTGAAAAAATGCCTAAAAAATATTATTTTCATTGTATAATTCGAGATTCATTGAGAATCGCATAAATCATCCAACATATAAGACTCTCTTGGAGGCAATGGAGAGTGGAAAAATGTAGATAAGTACCAGCTGTGCTCAGTTTTTGCGCAGCTGGGATTTTTAGGGACAATACGCAATATGACAAATCATGATTGGTTCTTGTGGGTGGCATAAAATTTCTGATAGTCAAGATGATCATAATCAATTTATTTTCAACGATCAGCTTCACATCTCGAAACGTCAAGAAATGTTGAAAAGTGAGACTTCCAGTTGTTCTATCTCAATGATTACTATGGATTCCTTGGAGGGATTTTTTAAGCACATAAACATAGTAAGTTACCAGAAGAGTTACAATCATTGAATACGATTCAAGTTTCCCTAAATTCAGTTTCCTAACACAGCATTTTTCAACCAATTACAATAGCTGGACATGAAATGCCGACCCACAGAAGAAAAGACAGAGAGAAAACATATTAAAGCCCACACAATCGCAAAAAAGAAGTGTCTCTTGAGGAGAGTCATCACGTAGAAATTTTTCGCCAATAAACACACATTTAAAAAGTCCAATATTTGTCGTCGAGAAATTGATACGCAGGATGAAAAAATGGGAAAAAGAAAAGCAAATTGAAGATGCATAGTTGAGAGTTTTTCAGGTGAAACAATTTACGGGCCTGAAAATGTTATGGTTTCTTGCTCTCTCTCTGTCTGCAATAGTGCTGTGTTGAGGAGGTGATTGTAATTAAAATTAGCGTCAAATACATTTAGTGAGAGTGGGATTGACGTCACCTCCAAACTCTAAGACTTTTGCCAAGAATTTTCACTCTTTTCTCAAGCACACACTGTCTGTGTGTAAAACTCATACAACCGCACAAAAGCAACGTGATAAATTCCCTCATTCTGGGTTGTGGAAGAAAATTTTCTAAAACGCAATTTCCATGTCAAATGCTAATATCACAAGAGTGAAAAATTTTCACTCCACTTCTCGGTTTTGGTGCTGTGTGTGTGTGTATGTGGAAAAAGCATCAAAGGAAGGGGCGTAGATGAAAATCCACCAGTTGGAAAATCTCACCGTTTTATGTAGAAGAGAAACACCGCCAAGTAATCCTTAGATATGAGATGGTAAGAGATGTAAAATGGCTACGAAATTTTCCAATATTGATGGCATTTCACAAACACTTCTAATCCGTGTAATTGCACTCTAGCTTTGCCTCTTGACAGACTGATTGGAAATCACTTAAAGCGAGCTTTTATCAGCCCCAGACAATACAGAAATGCAAAATGGGAGAAAATTGCACAATGCACTGTTATCTAATCTGTAATAGTTTTTACTTGAGCGTCTCTTGAGGAGTGTTTTTCACATAGATTTTTCTCACATTACACTTGAACTTGTGTGTATCACTCTTTAAAACTGAGCTAAAACTCCTTTTTGTGTCGCCTATTCGACTGGGAAATTGTCATGTTCACAGGATTTTCCACACACAGAGAGAATGACTTGAGGAATGAGAGGCAAAGTTGCAAATTGACTGAAGGAAAAACTCCTCTCACAGACTCTTTGGCAAAAATGCACAACAACCACACGACACAGCCGTCAAGTGACTCAATCAACAGCATAAGATCTGCCTCCGTCTATCCCTAAGCACACATATTTAAGCGCCTGGCCGATGTGAGAAAGGTGCGGGAGTGTGAACAGGAGGGAAAATCTCATCAATCGATTGCACCGGAAAGTGGCGAGTTTGCGCAGTGCTTCAGTGGGAAAAAATCGGGTGAAAAGCACCCAGAAATTCACCCAAACCGAATCCCTTTGAAAGGAAAAGCTTGTCTGCACCGATTGCAGTTTTTTCCAACTGCCAAAAAGCACAAAATCTCGATGTTTTTTTCATCTCAATTCATAACAACAATCCAAACGAGACTATCTAAGCAATTTCCGCTAAATGTATTGTTTAGAACGCCACAATCAATTGAAAAAGTGTGTGATTCATGATTTTCATATGTTGTGACTGTGTTTTTTTGTGTCGCAAAACACAGAAAAAACACACAAGGTAAGGTCACGTCATACAAATATTGGATCTACACATCCAGGAGAGGAGGAGAGATGAGATAAATGCATTTTAAAATCGCCTCACATTGAACTTTTTGCGACAAATTGCAAATATTGCTCATGCCACATTTGCCATGGCATGATTTTTCCACTTCCCACCTCACGTTGCTCACATTGCAAGGGTCGCCGCAGAGTGAAATCCCCACATATAATCAATTTCGTAAACAAACACTTGAGCTGTGAATATAATTCATTCAATTGACATCTCTCGAAATTCAATTGAGCTTCGTGCCAGCCTAAAACAACCTCTTTGCTCATTCAGTGCGAGAACGGGAAATGGAATTTAATGAAAAAAATGATTATTAAAATGAACATGGACAAAAGAGGAACCTACAAAGAAACTCCATCACCTGTCCGAAATGCGTGCTTGGCGGACTTTTGCGCGCTCTTCAATGAGCAACGCACACGATAAATTCTCAATTGATTCCCAAAAAAGCACCTGCCGTCACTGGTCACTTCGCGACTCGCACTTTTACAGTATTATTTCTGCGTGTGTGTCTCTTTGCCACACAAAATCCCCCAAAATTGCCTGACTTAGAATGACTTTGAGGAGCCAGATGCAGAAATTTTCACTTTTTCACCCATTTTTCACCTTTGTCACAGCAAAGAAACCACATCTGATCACATCATTGAGTGGGAAAGAAGGTATTTTTCACCGCCAAGACTCAAAATAAAACTAAAGACACTCGTAGAAAATTGACAGTCATTGAGCTCTCGCGCTCGACTATGATTAAACTTAATGCTTTTAGTAACACACACTCATGCCATAAGCCACACATGCAAAATTGCGGCCAGCAGTGGACTTTTTGAGTGTGTGTTTCCGTCAGATGATGTTAAATTACTCGTAGAATTTTTCCCTCCCTAATTGTTTCCAATTCAGTGAAAATCCAACTTCTTTATTCATTTCTTCGTTTTTTTTTTCGGGGCACAAGTGAAGAAATTCTCAGTGCCGGACAATTAATTTGACGGACGGCTGATGCTTAATTATCATACAGTTAAGAAGCGAATTTCAAAGTAGATGAAAAACTCTCTAAAGCACGTGCAGAAATTGTATCTGATTGCTTTAAAATTATGGGGAGTGATGCTACTTGAGGAGAAGCAGAAGAAGGCAATAATGTATTTAAATGACTCGTTTTAATCACATTTACTGTATTTGGAAGTTCACGTCCGATCGCGAATTTTATGTGATGTGATTTATGTGTGGTTTTTAGGGGAGATTCTAATGTTTGATTACACTCAAGTTGCTTCACGAAACCTGAGATTTTCAGCATATAAAATACGTTTGTGTACTCATATTTAACATATTTTATGGCATAATCAAAAACGTACATTAAATTATATTATTTATCATTAAAGGAAGCATTTAGTGAAAATTTTGCAGAGCATGAAAATTCATTGAGGTGAGATATCGTTATATTTTTTGAAAACTTCCAAGATTTATTAAATCTGAACATAAGTTCCAATCTCATGAGAATTCTACACGAATTCCAAAGCGAAACAGAAGTGAAATACTACCAATAATAATCATCGAATTTTACTATCGCTATCATCGCCAGGCATTCAGCTACAATTTTCTACACTCCCTCAGCTTTTCTCTCAGTGTAGTTCTAATGCACACACAGCGAACACTTTAAAGAATACAAACAGCAAATGCTCAGAGAGTGTGAGAAATCCCCCACCGAAAAAACTACTGGCAGTGTTGGTGTCGCTATTTTCATTATCACCTGGCACGAGTTTCTGACTCTGTATCGTGACTTTTTGGCATTAAATTGGTATTTGTGGATGCTTTTTGTGTACATGTGCGCGCAATCTACTGAATTTTTTACACAAGGCCACAATGTAGAAATGAGAAATAATCTTTATTGACTCTCTTCACCGGCACAACTGGCAAACAAGAAGGGTGCGAGAAATGTGTTTATTTCCATTGCACGGAAAGTGATAATTCCTATCAAACCGTGAGGAAAATTTATGTGACAAATTCCCATTGCTGTGGAAATCATTGATTTCCACAGGAATTCAAAGAGCATTCCATAGAGGCGGAAAATGATTGGAAAAAATGCTCTCGTGCGAATACATATTAAACAATCAAGCCGGAGAGAAGAAATAAATTACTTAATTGAAAATTAAAAAAAAGAGAAAATACAGTGCAGATGAAGTGAGAGATACGGTGTGAAAAGATTTAAATAAAACTGTTTAAAATTGAATTATATTTGCACAATGAAAGTCTTTTTTCGGGCATTGCGTCGCCAGGGAAAAAAGAGAGCAAGTTTTCCCACCGTGACTAAGAAAAATTAATTAAGGCGGAAAAAAGTGGAAAAATTAATTTCACATTAGACGAAGAGACTGGAAGTTGTCTCATAATGCACATTGAAGGTAATGGGTGATTTTTTTAGTGTGTTATAAAGGGAAAATGTGGGTCAGTTGGCATGAGTTGAAGCGCAAAGAGAACACTCCTACCTTCACTGTGACGGTGAAGATAATCAAGAGAGTGAGATTTATCAATTCAAGTCACTGATTTGCTTTCTTTCCATCATAGAAGTGTGTTGGATATTTTTATCACGCAGATTTTCCCTAGCGATTTCTGCCCACCCGAGGAGAAAATGAAGTATCAAGAGCATTAGACAATTTTCCGTCATTAAAGCACTTCTGGAGAATAGAGAGAAATATACTCGTTTCACTCATTAGAGCTGCTGTTTCTCGGGTCCAAAATTATAGTAAGTGGCATGAAGACCTTTTCAACGGATGTTCACTTTTAGATCTGAGTGTTTCTGTAGAGCTCTAGAATAATTCTTCTGCTCTTTTGACTTTTGGGTATTCGTGTGATTCGTGCTAAAGGCATAATAAAAGTAACGAATTATTGTAGTTGAATATCTTGTTAGAACGTCATTCAAGAATTTCTTGAAGATTTGTAAATGCGGGAATTTTAAAGATGAAAATTTGTGAACTAAATAAATTCTCCATTACTTAAATTGGTCCTCAAATATAAAATCTTTCACATATCTAAATTGTTCAGAGAAATTCTAACTCTTCTAAACTATAATCAGAGCGAGTGATTATCATATTGAGTTTTGTCGAATAGTTAGCAACTTACTTTGAGCAGAGTCAGGATCTTTTGAGACAGATCGTAGTCAAAGTTGGAATACTTCGATCCGCTCATATCGTAGATGAAGACTAGGCCTGACTTCTGGGTTTCGGCATTCTGCAGCGCCACATCCAGCTGATAAACGACGCCTTGGAGAGTGGTTTTGTGGGTCACCGTCATGGGATAGTGAAGATTGGCGGTGAAGAGCGCTATCGCGGCGCCTGTTGCATCGCGCTGGGGCTGCAAATGAGATCTCAATCAGTCAAATAGCCCGAGAACAAACAATTGCAGTGATATTTATACCAAAATGGTGAACTTTCCAGTCTCCAGTTCACTCCTCAGCGGATCGCACATCGGGTCGAAGCTGTAGAGGCCCTCCTTTTGACGAATCAATTCATGCTGCTCATAGAGAGCAACAGCTCGTGGCACGTCGAATTTGCGAGCCAGAAGAAATTTTATTGCCGTGGCCGGTGAAACCGCTTTGCGACTACTCACGGCATCAATAAATTGCTGTACAGCCTGAAAATGATAATTGAGAGGAGGAAAAATTAATTAAAATATAACGCAAAAATTGTATTACTCACTCAATACAGGTGGAAATGAGTGAATTATTTTCCAACCAATGTATTGTGCATGTATACAAGTTTGATGCTTATGTTGAAGAGAGAAAAGAGAGCAAAGAAGACTTCCAAGAAAAATTCTTTTTCTTCTATGCTCTTTCAGAGTTTCTTCATCATTTGCCTCTCGGTTATGCTAGAAACATCTCTTCTTATTCGCTCTCTTCGCCTCTCGTGATCGCTTTCTGGAGCTGAAGAAACACTTCGTGTGTCGATTGAAAATACTTCTTTTCCTTTTGTAAAAATCATTTTATGCAAAACATTTCCACGAAGTGCTCTCGCACCATCAATGCTGATACTTTATACCAACCCTGACGAGCCAATTGAGGACGTAGCGAAAGAAATTGAAACTCCTTCGTCGATTCATAGCTGGAAAATCACAATTATTTTACTTCTTTCACACTTGATTATCCATTTTTTTTTTCATTTAGAGCCCATTTAGTCCGTCTAGTTTGTGTCTCTGGAAACTGAAATTTCTCTCAAGTGGCCTCGAAAATCACATCACAAGTAACAATTTCACATTGCTATTGTTGCAAGAAACTGCTAAGGTGCAGAGCAAACACATCTTTGGCCAAGTACAGTGGAAAACACTTTGAGATTTAATATGAGTTTCTTTCTCTGAAGAAGCCCAGCAACGTCGATTGTACAGTTAGAACATCTTCAACCATTCACTCTTGGAGAATTTTGAGAATCTCCTTCTGATCCAATTGAACTCCAATTCAATTACATCCAATTTCCTCACATCTCTAGATTTCCAGTGATGATTTTTCACCCAACGAATGCAGTTAAAAAAAATGACAACGACGAGCGAGAAAAGGAAAAGCACAACAAATCGTCTCTTCTGACACTGAAATACTAAAGTACACTTTATATTTTTTGATACTCTCCACACACCATTTCTTCATGCCACTCTTCCTCTCTCTCACACATTCAGGTCTCTAATGTGAAAGAAATTGTTCGACGAATGAACTCACTTTGAGTAGAAGAAGTATAAAAAAGAAATGCACAAAGTGGAGGAAGAGAAACATTACACCAGAGATGGATTCAGTTGATTCTAATCACGCTCTTAAGACGACTTCCTAAGCTATTCAGAGTGATCTCGAAAAGATTGAACGGGTTTAGCCAATCATTTACTCTCTTTTCGCCCCAGAATAGTGCATTTCGGAAGGCAAATTACTGATTTTATGACTTCGACGAAGTACCGCCAAAATCAGTCTGAGTTTTCACTTTAAATATTCTCATTAAAATCTTTTCTGGGGCATATTTGCCATTTGTTAACATGGCCACAATGAAGTTTTCCAGGAAAGGGAGTATTGAAGCATTTTAACAATTGATAAAACAGCCAAGAAGCAACATTATTATTTCAGTTATGTCATACTAATCAATTCACTGGAATAAAGTTTATGTTCTCTAAAGCACTTAAAATAACATGTAATTGAAAAAATATTTGCTACAAATTGTTAGACAATTATCAAGAAATTTGTTCAGTTACCATTATTATTATTATTCGAGAAATAATTAATCAGAATGGTCTAAGAAAACCCCCAAAAATTGTAAAAGATAAATTGAAGCTTTCCGAGAATAAATGCGACGTTCTTCCACAATTATATTGAAAATTCATTCAAGCGACGCATGATGGAAGAATGTGCTATTCTGCTGTGTTTAATTTTGATTAGCTAATGTTTTCCTTGTATGATTTATGGCATGATATTTGTCTGGAGAAAACATTGTCGTAAAATCTGTGATGCTTTCTGCGTAAAAGCTTAATAGAATTGTGCATATATTTCATTTGCTGTCAAATAAAGCATTTTCCTGCCTTTCTCCCACCTCAATTGCCGCACGCAGATTCATCGATCTTGATGGTGGAAATTGCAAAAGAACCCATCAACTTGCGCGCACAGTAATTTCTTTCACTCTGTCACATGATCTCTCTCTTGCTCTAAATGTCTTTGCTGGACCGCGCATTTTGCCGTCAATTAGAATGTAACGGTGAAGATCTTGTGTTCAAAATAGCAATTTTCCAAGACACCCGTTTAATTGATACTTCTTCGCTTCCTGTCCATGACACAGACGCACAATTTTCAGGATGATATAAATTCCAGTGAAGTCAATTTCAATTTCCTCCCCTTTGCTTTATGGCTCTTCTCATGCCTTCACAAACACCCTTCAAGATTCCCTCGTGCACTTTTCTCTCTCGCTCTCTCTCTCTCCCTTGCTGTCGCCGTGTTTCTTTTATTATTTATTGGATCACCGGATTTCCGCCAGCACAAATGAAGTCTCAATGCGAGACTTCAAAATTGACAACAGTGCGAACGAGACTCTCCCTCTCATCCACTTGAGAGAAGACATTTTCACCATCCACGCAGTTTGCGTGGGAAAATTTTCCAATTACACCCACACACAATTTTCCCGCTGGAGTTGAAGAGCAAATCAAATTTTCCCTTGAAAATTACTCTACACTTGCCAAATCCGTGGGTGTTTCCATATCAAATTGTGCTCTCCAGATCATTTTATTGTTTGTGACATGTTTTCCGTCCTATGAATTCCACTTTTCCACAATTTTCCTACTAAAAATAGACGTCCTTTGATATGAAATGCCACCTCCTCTCGAAAAGGTATTTGTGTACCAAGAAACAGGAGGAAGAAATCTTGTCTCACTGCAATCTTTCCCCATTGATTCTTAGATGTTTGTTTACATAAAACCACTATTCATAGTTGGTTGGGGGGAAATAAAAATGCGCGACAATTTGTAAGATGACGGATTTCTGCGAAAAACTGCGCACCAGATTTAGCCGAAATGAGGAGGAAATAAACAAGCAAATGCGAAAACTCTAAAGTAAACACCATCAGGGAATGAGTAATAAACGTAGTAAAGTACATCTCTCTTCACTCACAAATCAAGCTAAAGTGCAAAGTGAAATTTTATATGGAATCACATTAATGACACAATTTTCTGATGAAAGGAAAAATATCAATGTCTCTATATATGAAGAAGACTTGATTGCTTTGCTGGTGGGATGAGAATTTTCGTTTGTTTTCAGAGTCACTCTTTTTTGCTTGGGATGTTATTGAGTTCTGGAGAGTCGCTCTACATTTGCACAATATAACTTTCGCTCTGAGAATGTGACTTGAAATTTATTCATTAAAATTCTCAGTTTTATGAATAAATTAGTACTGAAGTGACACAAATTCTTGTTGCCACTCAGTCTGAATTATCTCATTCTTTCTTAATCACATTTGCAAATAAATTTTATGTCATTTTTATCGGTACGGAAGAGCAAAGTCTGTTGAGCGGCTCGTGAATGAGAGTCTTTGATTGCAAATTCTTTATCAAACACTGATAAATCAATGCAAAGCTGAACAAATATTGCCAAAAAAAACCACACAAGACACTCTTGAATGTGATGCGCGACATATCCTGTATTGCTCTCTTTTCCACGTCTTTCTTCACACTTTTAATGAGCTCGCAGACGAAAGAGAAATTGGAGTGGCTGTAAATTTCCCGAGCCATCGAACGTTGCCCGGCATTTGCAGAGATTGATCTCTAAATCTTCTTGTTGATTGTGTGCGGCGAGAAGATTCACCGTGATCCCGAGTGTGTTTGAGCGAGCACACACATTTTCGAGCAAAATCCAACGTGTACCGAAACGGAAGCAACTGATTTCCGGCCAGACTGTTGCTATGCCGGCGTTCTGAGGCATCGCGAGACTCACATCTAATGTAAATGGTGAAAGAGCGGCGATGTCTCTTTCTCAGGCACACAGCCGAATTACATTCATTATCCACTTCCGAGAAATTTAATATCACAAGGATTCACAGGAAGGTTCATTTCATTTCTGTCTGTCGTCATGTCGCCGAGGGAAAAGTCTGTGCATTTTCTTGAACCCGCAGCCAATGGCTTTTCATTTCGCCCGATAACAATGGTGTCATTCTGATAACAAATTAATTTCTCTAGCGAACACCACTACTAAAGTTTCTCGTGGTTTCTCGCTTCTACTCATTTAGCAACGAATGAAGCTTTAGACGTTACGACGTTCAGTTTACTTAAATCTGACTAAAATAGCATAGCTAAGTGAAATTACATAATTAACTCAAATAATCTTTGCAATTTAAAGCAAAAATTTCAAAATTTTGTTAAGTTTCATCATATTTAATTAATATATTGTCAAGTCAACTTATTTAGTCAACCCTATTTCGCTACTTGGGATGCTTTTTTTCTCATTTCGAATTCTCAGAATCAATTTATTTGAGATGCTACCCGAATTCTGGTTATTTTCCAATCTTATCAACCATGGATTCCAATGGATTCTGTTTTCCGGGAAAAGAAAGCAATTCCAGATCACGTGAAGATTTATATTACTTGTGGAAAAAGAATTCTCATTATTGACAGAATAATTAATAATACCAGAGAGATTGTTTGTTTGTTTTAGAGAGCGCGATAAGTAATTTGATATGACATAAAAACAGAATGTTTGAATGCATAACTGATAGACACACCTCTTTTTTTGATCAAAATGATAGTGAAATTTCATATTAATTTCCCATAAATAAGCACTATTTATTAATAGTGGAATAGTAAATTTTTCCAAGGTGAAAATTGGTAACGTTCACTCAGGAAAATTGCATTGCAAAAGGTTTCTATTGCGAAACTCTTGAGGCAATTCATGCGTGACATTCGAATTGGGTTGAAAAAGAATGATTATTCTATGCAATTACAGGGTTGTGTGCAAAACTTGTAGCAACTTTGAGTCATTTTTTCTCTGTTCTTCGCCATACGGAAAAGCTCGGATACTATTCCAAGAGGCAGCAATGTTTTCTGGGCACATTGTAAGAGGTAAAGTTTGCTGAAAGAGAGATGTTAAAATAGTGTGTAAATGATGTAAATGCCTTTGCAAACATTAGAGATTTGCCCTCGAGAAGCTTTGAGGTGATCTTGGAAGATTTTATGTTGATTTTTCTCCAGTGTTCATCCAAGGAAAAAGCAAATTCCATTGCATAATTTATACTTTTCGTCAATGCCCTGAGAATTTCTCATTCTTTTTCGGGAGGCGCGCTCAAAATCGATTATTTCTGGGTTAGTGCGAGGATTTCGAGGAAAAACCCTCGTGTGTAAACAAAGAATGAGCGGCACTATTCGCTAAGAGTAAAAGTATTTCCGCTGAGGGAATTTTTACGTGGAAAATTATGTGCGTGATTGTCCAACTTTTTCTCCCTCTTCGCCTGAAGTTATGACCAGGAATTTTTTCCATGAAGTGCAGGGGATTTCTCTGGCTGTCGCGCTGTGCGGAGAGATTCGTGGCCGGGATGAGTCACACCAGAATCACCCGCTAATTGGCGTCTGGGAGTCGTTTTGATTAGGTGGAAGAATGACTGTCCCTTTGATGTCTTTCTCTCCTCAGCCAGCGACATTCCACAAGGCGCCTCTTATCACGCGAATGCCTTCTTCGCCGCTTCCCTCCGGCCTACGGACAAACGAGAGGCGCAGGAAAAGCCCAGGGATACTCACAAGCGACTCCATGTCGGATGAAATGGGTGTTTTTCAGTGGGTGGAAATTCTGATGTGGTAGAAAACTTGTCTCGCTCTCTCTGTGTGAAATTCTGGGTGTCGCACAGAATGTTGTGTTCCTCCTCCTCCCGGACGAAATTCAATGGTGCGATGGAGTGTGTGAGATTTTGAGCGCTTTTCCCACAATCGGCATTATTGTGCACTCACTGGAGCACATGAACTACAGTCCTTGGGACCGATGCAAACATACTTTTGCACACAAACTACTTTTGCTTGGCTCTCAAACACTTTTTTGGCACGTTTTCATATTTTCAATTTTACTCTGCGTGTGAATTTCTCTACCACTGCGAAGCGACTAGCAAACGTGACACTCTTGTGCTGTTCGAAATCGTCAGTGCTACACTGTTGTGCACGCCGGCATTTGTGCGATTGTAGGGGAAGTCGGAAAATATGAATGAGGCCTGCATGAACACTCTCCCAGCGTAGCCCTAAATTTTTGTTCAATGTCAATTGAGCTGAAAATGCTGCAAAGTTTTGGAATAAGGGGAAAATATTTCCTTGGAAGATGAAGAATTTTTCTCTCAGAAATATATTTCTTATTTACAGCATTTTGCATTTAATTTGTTATTAGAATCCTTAAAATCCAGAAAATGATGGGATTTTAAGAGTAATTTTTATCCACGAGTAGAAAATTCTTAGCAGTGTTGCTTCATGCTTTTCTATTGAAACTGCAAGTTGGTGTGTGAACAATGCTCGTGTCAACTGAGCGACTTCTCACGTATGGTTTTTGTTGTCGGATCCAGTCGCATGGAGCGCTCTTGCTGCACATTTTCCCGCCAAAAAGTCAAACAACATGGCAAATGTTTCTGCGTAAAATATAGTGATTTATTTCACGGATAAATTTCTTGGCAGGAGTCCATAAAGAGAAGTCATGCTGTTTAATGATTTTCCGCACTGTCCATGTGCTTTCTGTAGAATTTGCCCAAATTCACTAATATCACTGTAAAAACTAGCACCAAAATCACAATTAATAGCCGTCTTGAGATGAATGCAGCATTTTTCCAGAGAGATTCTTTGTTTTGTTCAGTGTCTGTCTGAGTTGTTCTTGATTGAATTATTTTAGTCTTTTCAGTGACTTCTGGTAGCTCTGCGTTGAGTTTGTCATACTTAGTTTTCTCGCAAACTCGCCAGGAATCCATCTCGGTTGATTTACGTCTTGAATTGGTCATCTTGGGATTAATAACGTGATGCACGTGAGTGGCTGGAAGCTAGAAGTATATCACGTAATTAGATTAATCGCGAAAAAAGGATTGGTTGCAAACACTCACAGCTAACATGAGGAGCGACACTGATGTTCCTTGACGCACTTTCTTGGCTTGATGACACACTTTAAGCCCCAACTGCGCATCCAAAGTGGAGAATTGGGCAGATTCCATGCCAAACTGGCGCCAATTTTCCCCTCATGAGTGTGAAAATGGTGTGAGAATGAGAAAGAGAAGAGCAGAAGTCGTCGCTTATCATTTAATCTTGCCGTAATACAAAGTGAAGTCTCTCTTTTGGTCGCTCAATCAGTGGACTCCCTCTTGATCTTCTTCCGGCGATAGGCCTTGAGGTAGAAGTCGAAGAAGAGGCAGAACATGAAGATGTTCTGCATCATGGCGATGCAGAGGAGGATCCGGGGATGCGAGCAGTCTGGCCGGCGGATGAGTGGATGGGCGAAGTGGAGGATGAGGATGAGGAATTGGAACAGCTGGAGTTGTGTGATGTGCTTCTTCCACCAGATCGAGTTCTTGAGATCGGAGTTGAAGGATGTGAGGAAGTAGTAGGTGTACATGATGACGTGGACGAAGGCATTGAGGACGCCGAGGAGTGTGGAGTGGCTGCCCGACATGAACCTGGAGAAGATGTAGGTGCCCAGGATCATTCCGGCGTGATGATAGGTGTGCAGGAAGGTGATTTGATTGTTCTTCTTGCGCAGTACGAAGAAGATGGTGTCGGCCAGATCGAGGATCTTCGACAGGAAGTACACATAGCTGACGAAGACGAGGTTCAGTCTTTCAGGAGTGACAACGGTGTGGTCGATAGGCTGGCAAGACCAGCTAAAGTCCGATTGCCAGTAGGAATAGTAGCCTCCCTGGGGGGAAAAGGCAACAATGCAGGGTCAGCGACCTACACATTGGCGCATGGGGCGAAAGGTACTCACGAATATTGCAATGTAGACGTTGAGGAGAACCTGTACGACATTGAAGATATTCATGGTGGTTTTCAGTTCGAAAGGTGTTCGCTTCTCCATGAGTTTTGGGCCCCATTTCTTCACCGTGAATAGATAAATGATCATAATTGCGAGGATCTTAGCCAGTCCAAAGTCCCCCATGAACGGAAAATCCGCTGTTCTGGGATCTGCAAAGTGGTGGAAAGAGTGAAATTACTCACGCCCACGCGAAGAGGATTTATCCTGCATACCTGAGTGCTCCTGGAAGAGTGCCTGGAATCCATTGTATACCGACCGCACGACAAGGGCCATGCCTGGACAGGATGAGTGGCAAATATCGACTGGAGGGAAATCACTGGCAAATCAAACGACACTGGTCACAATCAGCAAAAGACTGAATGGCAAAATCGCAATATAAATCCGATGCATTCAACGGCAACACGGCCGAGTGCTTGGCATGCAAAGTCCTCGCGATAATTTATAACCAGATTGAGCAACAATACAGGAGAGAGAAAGTTAGAAATGCGCTTAGACTTGAGGCATTCCCATTCTGTCCTATGCAGAGCCAAGTGCAGAGCCTGGAGTGAGACAGGGAGAGAAGGTGTCCACATTAATTGCTAGGTAATTCTTATTCATTCTTCGCACTGCAATTTCGCATTCAAACGCGTTATTGCAATCGACTGAATAAGTGATTTTCGCGAAATGGATAGACTAGGGATAATGGAATACCAATATCTCCAATGCTTTGTTATGAAACAATTATTATAATTTTTTGCAATAGATCATCTCTTTGGTCGCCATGTGAGAACTCATAAGCATTTTAACTGAATTTCATGGTCTTCAGTCTATGAATTTAGCCTCGACATCGCTGACCTAGATTAAGTTGCGACCATGACTGCCAGCCCTTTCCTGACATGAAAGAGAATACAAAAAATAATTATTCGCCAAGTTACATCAAAATACATTAAATAAATCCTTGATTTTTCTGCATACAAACTTTTAATCCTGTAATTAAAATATCTAATGTTTACAGTTTTTCTCATTGTCCTGGAGAAAAAGCCCGTAATGCACAAAACTACATACCGATTAAAATATAAAACTTCTCCTATTGTGGAGCATTTCATCTCAAAGAAGTCCTGCAATTAGCTTGTTTTCCTCTACATAAATTCACACATTCATGGATACATTTGTGCTGTTAAGAGGCTAAAAATTAATAATGAAAATAACCGGAAAGTTCAGTTAGTTTAGCCACTCAAAAGTCACTTCAATCCAGTTCAATTGTACATAAATCCCAGCTCAATATAAGTTGAACAGTGTTTATCCACATTATTTTTCCCCTTTGCTGTCTTGTGTTGTCCAGCAAGAAAACGCGCGGGAAAATTTGCATAAATGTTTTGTCACTGTTGAAGTTCTTTTTTTTCGTAATACTGCCTGACGACAATTATTGTTCTCTGGGTGGTGTGGAGCACTTGTCTTTAGTGTGTAGAGGAAAATGGCCAGGCGGAAGAGAGTGTGAAGAAGAAGGAATTGATCAAATTTCCCCATTTGCAATTGGAGCGCATTTTCGCGGCTTTGTGGGTCAGATAGAGACAGAGAGAAAGTCATGCCATGCGTTCCAATTTATACTCTTTACTTGTGGCGCGATCAGAGTTCTTTCTTCTTTGTGAGATACGCCCTGCGATAGAAGTCGGAGAAGAGCAGGAGCATGAAGAGGTTCTGAACGAAGGCGATGGCGCACATGGCTTGTGGATAGTCGCAATCTTGCATCACCAGCGGACGGCCGAAGTGGTAGATGAGGAAGCTGAACTGCAGCTGGAAAACATGAGAAGATGATAACATCTGAGGGTAGTTTTGAGGGCGATGTGAGCTCACCATCTGGACGTGCGTGATGTGCTTCTTCCACCAGATTGAGTTCTTCATGTCGGGCTTGAAGCAGGACATGAGGTAGTAGAGGTACATGACGGCGTGGACGTAGCAATTGACGATGCCCAGCATACATCCGTGGCCGGAGATCACGAAATTAGACGCAACGAAGGTGCCAAAGGCCATTATGGCATGGTGGTAGACGTGAAGAAAGGTGATTTGTCTGTACTTCTTCCGCAGCACGAAGAAGACAGTGTCCAAGAGATCTGCCACTTTGAGCAAGTAATAGCAGTACATGGCAAAAGCCACTCGATAACCTTCAGGGCTCAAGTCTTCCTGTATTGGTTCACAGAAAAAATTCCATCCTCCTCTCCAGTACGAGTGATATGTCGCCTGAAAGGTGGGATTTCATAGTGAGAAACGTGAAAAAGTCCCAAACCACAACAGAAGACCGAGTTGAGCGAGTTGTAGATTGAAGATTTATGAAGTCTGAGGGTTATTTTTGCACAATACACTAATCACGGACAGGAAATTTTTTCATGACTCTACAATTGTTCGGAAAATTGCACAGTCATGATGAAAACTTCCCTTGGAAGTGAATTCTATCATGTCGTTATCTCATTATTCAGTCTGAATAAATAATCATTATTAATAATATTGCTAATCAGTTTTGTTTTAGCACTCCTATTTGTGAGAAGAACGATTCAAGTTAATTTTTCACATTATCACTCCTAAATTTGCAAGACAATCTCAATTTTGCAAGAGGCGCAGTTTTGTTACTCACATAGATTCCTAGCCAGATGTTGGCGATAACTTGGAGGCTGTTGTAGATAATCAGGATGGTTTTCAGCTCGTACGCTTTTCTCTTTTCCATGAATCTTGGACCCCATGATTTGATAAAGTACAAATAGGCCGCGATAACGGCAAGAATTTGTGGAAGGGTGTGCAGAATGGGGAAATCCTTGGTTCTGGGATCTGCGAGGAAGAACACATTTCACATTTTATTAGTACTGCGAATTTTGCAGCGCACAATCACGCTTTAATAAGAAATACACTTCATTTGCGTTCTTCTGCATCACCTTGAAATTCAACGAAAAGGGAATAAAAATTGTTGTACAAGAACTTAAGGACGAGAGCCATTGCGAATCCTGCGGTTGATTCTCTGCGTTTTCTTTGATGTGCGCGAAGGTGGGAATACTTTGTTCAACTGAACCACGCGGAAGTTCCAAAACGACTCAGTGGCTCACAGATAAACGACGGTGAATTTTGATTTTAATGCTTTCGTTGAATTGCGCTTAGCTTATGTGGCAATATAATGACATGGTAATTGAAGCTTCTGTTTTGCTCACTTAACAGTGACAATGTTGGTGTGGATGAATGATGCCAAGTCATTTGCATCGGGAGACTTCGACGTAGGCAGTTGGCGGGTCATCAGGTCAGGGAGCGGACAAGGAAATTCTCAGAACGGGACTTGCGTCGTTATTAGAAATAGTTATGGTTCATTGTTGTTCTGAGTTCTTTTTCAGCGACTAAATTCCCCAAGAAACCCGCCAAAACAGAAGGAAAGTATGCAGAAGTGGTAAAATCCGTGGCTTTTTCCAAGATATTTATTCCCAAATATAATCATTGTCTTCAGTTGATGCACAAAATTGATTTCGACTCACAAAGATTTCTTTTCCTCACAGAATTCCTCCTCGCGATCTCTTGTCACAGTTCTTCTCTCGATAGATTATTTTTTTTCTCTAAATAGGGTATTTTTTCATTATTTATCCATTCAGTTTTACATAATTTTTTTTGTATATTTCATTCCAATTTTTTGTACTAAACACCTATTAAAGATAGATTCAATATTTTGGAATACTAGTAGATTTTATACCTTTTTTATATATAACATTTAATATACTTCTGTTCACGTCTTTTCCAAATTGATTCCATGCCTCACATTTTGTTGTGATATGAAAATAGTTTTTTCTAGCCCTGTTTGGTTGGATTTCTTCTACACTCTCCGCAATTGTCATCTTACACAAATTGGCGCATATCAATTCAGTGGCTAATCGCTATGATCATTGGTAGACTTCAACACAGTTTATGATGCACAATTTAAGTTATACTTTTAATTTAAACACAGATTGTATTCCTAAGGATAAAAAAATAATTCTGTGCTCAACAATTCCACTATAAATAGACTCTTTCTTTTAAAATGGCATCCTTTTTGTAACAGCAACATAAATATATTCAATAGATTATCTTATGCTATTTTTCCTCTTGTCAATTCACAAAAATTGGGTTTTACACAAAGCATGTCAATGAAGTTTTATCCCTTTGGTTGAAATCTCTGACGATGCTCTTCGTCTTCACTGTGGAAAACTTATAAAAGCGATTCATTGTAAAATTTTTATAGAGGTAACAGTGACATTTAGAGATATTAATCAATTTCCCTCCCTTCGCTATGTACAAACACTAGAAAGAAGACTTGTCCAGGACCTTCAAGGTGTGGGTGAAGAATTTAATTTTCAATGATGGTCTGCAGTTGAAGCACTAAACTCCTTGCGAGCTTCAGCACCTCATTGGCATTGTGTCTCTCGGCCATTTCTGCAATAACACAGACACGTGTGCGATTAAAGTAATCCCTTTAAGACCATCTTAAATGGCATAAAGCTCACCGTTAAAGAACTTAATGACATCCGTAAAATCCATGCTGTTCACGATGATGATGTCTCTGTAGGTTTCCAGGAGGGCGAGAGCGAGGAAGAGCACAAAGTGACTCGATGCCACATGTTTGGCCGCCCAAATCACCTCCCAAGTGGCAAAAACGTCCGCGTACACGAGTTCTCGCTTAAAGTCCAGCAGAAACCAGCGATAGCAGAAGTAGAAGTGAGTGTAGTCGCCGTGAGCATGCATTAAATCGTACATTTCGGAGTCGAGAATCTGAATGAGGGACCTAAAAACACCGAGAGTGTACCTAATTGAAATTAATTGCTATGCCAAATTACAATTATCACCTCATGTTTGCGAAATGCATGTCCATGGCGTCACCGTTGGGAAAGTTCTCAATCATTCGCTCCATGAGGCGACAGAAGCAGCCGTAGCTCAGAGATTCGTCATCCAGGATGACCAGGATTGGGGCCAAAAGGTCGCACATGCCCTGCATGTATCCCACATCCAAGTGCTCCCAAACGTACCTTCAATCAATCGTCACATAAATTCGGTGTTCTCTTGTAATGCGCATGAAAAAAAAACTTACGTGCAAATTACATTCCGCAGTTTATCGAGATTCCCAATATTATCATTGGCGAAGAAATAGTAATTCCGATCACATCTGTTCACATCTTTTTCAATTCTATGCAGATTCAAGCCGAAGAGCTCCAAAAGTTCACTCTGAAAAATGAAGAAAACATTGAAAAAGCACTATTAAATACTTTTTTTTCATTAGAAACTCACGCTGTAGATTCCTCCATTGGAGCTCGCCGGAGAGACACAAGCTGACTTTGGCTCCTGAAGGGCATCCAGAGAGTTCTGACCAATCTCTTCCTGGTGCGTCTCCTGAACAGGAGACATTTGATCAGCAGCTTTTTCTTTTTCCGGCACACTTTCCCCCAGATTCACCACATCGATCGAGGCATTGGTCACTATCACATGAGCAGTCTCTCCGCATACTGTGTCCTCATCTTTGTCCTCTTCCTCCCTGTCATCACTCGGACTTGGCATTTTGCACATCGGATCGGCGAATTCGATGAATTCTGCCCCAACAGTCTCGTAAGACGAGGCAGTTGGGGAGCTCTTGTTACTTCCTCCTGTACTTTCCGCACCCACTTCAAGAGTCATGGCCTTCTTGTCCTCCCCAGCGTCTTCCGGATTCTTGGGATCCATCGGCAGATCCTTGGCATCATTGTCATCAAAGCCCTCAACGTCGGAGATATCTGAGTAGACATTCTCCTCGAAGACATCATTCTCCATCTCACCATCTAGGTGCACGCCTTTTGTCTTGTCCCCGCTGCCACTCTCTGAGCTCAGCTTAGCCACAGCGTGAGCCGTCTTCTCCTTGTCCCTCTGCCGCACAATCGCCTCCACGGCAAGCCACTCACTCATGGTGGTCTCATAGTAATTATGTGTGGATTGGTCAAGTTCTGCTCGCTCCTCAACAGTGGAGCCGAAGGAGTAGTGTCCCAGAAGATAAGGCCACACTTCCTTCCGGATGCTCTGCTCCACACCGCCAAAGTACACCAGACGGTAGACTTCTGTATCATCTGAAACCACGCCTTCAGCATTCATCTCTTCCCAGACGGTCTTGGTCAGACCCTCTTCAGTCCCGACTAGGATAGAATAACACAGTAAGATTGCAAGGCTCATAGAAGGGAAGAGTCAAAAACCTACCATCTGGCGTGATTCTTCCATTCACCAGTCCTGACAAGTGAGTCCTGACAGTGGAGAGATGACGGCAGTAAGCCAGCCAACCGTAGAAAGCCCGCGAGATGATCTGACGCCTCATTGTGGAGCACACGAGAGCAATGCTGGCAGATTGGCTCTTTCCCTCCGGCATGGCATCTGGGGCCGGATTGGCTGAATCAATGGACATACTCTTGCTAGAGCAGTCGCTGCTCTCATTCGTGCTGCAGCTGCTGAGCTGATGACGACGCGGACTGGTCCTGCCAATGTCCAGGATCGAGTGAGTGGCCACTGAAAGCAGCAAAGGCACCAAGTCTGCACAATCAGGACACATGACAGATGGCAATCAAGAGAGTGGCGAGGATACTCACGAAATTCCTCATGGTTGCTCTTGTTCACCACGCGAAAGACGTAGTCAATGGGCGTCTCCTCGCCAGAAGTGGCCGCCTCGAGGAGTGATGGAAGTGGCCGGCGTCGACCACGGCTCAGCAGTGGGAAAACCTTCCCGATGCCGCGCTGCGACCACAGTGGCGGATCCAATTGGCCATGTGGCAGAAGACCAGTCTCCAGGCAACTCAGAAAGGACGCCATGTGACCGCCTTCGGGGAAGTGAATCGGAGGACGCTGAACTCCGTCTTGACCCACGAGAATAATCGTCCCACCAGTATCTGTCCCGCGAGCCTGGTGGCAATGCACATAGACTATTTCGTCCACGTTAATATTGAGAGCATAAGCCCAGAAGGAGCTGCGAAGAAGAGGATCAGATCAGTATTTAAAGAATATATGTTGAGGCGCAGAGAATTCACCTCTTGTCCACGGATTCTGACTCTGTGTAGCCATTCATGAGCTGATTTGGAGTCCACTTGATAGTCAGAGAATATGCGGTCTGGTGAAGACTCAAATAACCAGGCATTGGTTCGTCCTTGACGTCTTTCTGCAGACAAGTAGATAGTATTAAGCAATTGAACTTGTAGTGAACTTGAGGTGTCTCAAATCCTTGCTCTTGAAGAATAACAACTCACCGGAAGCACCAGAACATTGTTCTTCCCATACAAGAGCGTGGCCCTGGAGTTCTGGTGCAGAGACTCCACGTAATCCTTCGCCACAGTGGCCGAAGCTGTCGACTTGAACGAGCTGCTGCTCCCGTCCTCTGAGCTGGTGTGCAGACTCCTCTTGAAGTTGAGAATGGGACGCCGACAAGACGGCGGCGTGGGATGACTCGAGCTGATGCGGTGGCGTTGCACTAGTTCATCTGCTGGCGGATCTGTCCAGAAGTGATCGGCCGTCTTCGTGCGTGAGTACTCAAGGGCGCATGGTCCTACGAGGAGAGAGCTGAGAATTGACCCGTAATCAGCATCGGCGACCAGAGAGTCGCGATCGTAGTAGCGCGGAGCATTTGTGACCAAGTGATCAATGATCCTAGAGAGCTTCTTGTCATACAGCGCCAGACGGATCCAGAGGTACTTCACCGTGGGCGCAGCGGCTGGCGGAGTAGTCGTGGACACAGAATTGCTGCTGTTCTTCTTCAGGATCGGTGGTTTGCTCGTGCTGTCGCCACTCGAGGAGGATCTCTTGTTGGGATCGGCATGCTCAATCTCCAACACTCTCTTGCTGATGAACGCCGCCTCGGGACAGTGCTGCAAAGTGGAAAGAACGCCAGTACAGACTTGAAACCCTTCTTCGTGCGAGGATTGAGATACCTTGGCCACTTTGTGGAGGAGTGCAGTGGTTGATGAGGTCTTGAAGAGTCCCAGAGCACGTCTGCGAAGCCCTTGACTGAGACACGCCTCGACTGAGGCGCACAGGGAGGTGACAGATCCTGATTCCTCGTGAATGAATTTCCTGGTCACAGCCTCCTCCATCACCTGCTTCACCTCCCGCTTCACGGACGCTATGAGGCGCTCCTTGTAATCATTTGAGTCTATCGGATAGGCGAGAGATGGAGAAAGAGAGAAAAAGGGATCATTAGGGCTTCTCCACTCCATGACCCCGATTTATTATGTCGTTTTCCCACACCCACGGTCCATCTGCAATGCCTTCGACCATAAAAAGTGTTGAGCTGACGCTCTCTCGGGCGGACTGATAGCAGAAAATCGATGATATCGGATGTGATTGGCATTGCGGGGCGAAATGTGAGGATTAGCGTGAAAAAATGAGTGGGGAACACATCCATTTTATGCCTCTCTCTTCCTCCTTTTCCATACGCACCTGTTTGACCAGACATGTTGAGCACTCTTCCAGCCACCTTCTCCATTATGTCTCAATGAATGTGGGGTGCGTTGGGGCCCTGGCAACCGCCACAGTCACCAATGTGCGATAAATTCACAGAATACACCACAAAATCACCTTTCATATGTTGCTCGTCATGGGCGGACAAACTCCCCAGCCGGAAGAGACGAGTGAAAATTTTCCCTTGCACCTCCTCAGGCACGAATATCATTTATGCTCGGATTTCAAATCCTCTCGCTCTCTCAGACGCGATCTGGGTTATTCCGATGCATTTGCTGAACTCCAGGATGAGACTCTGGCTGCTGTGAAAATCCCTTGGTGGCTTTTTGCGTCACAAAACGCCCTTTTTTGCCTCAGCAGACCAATTCTCACCACACACTGAAGATACACGGCTAACTCTTGCCTCTGACACTCTCTTCGCCACTCTAGGAAATCAATATTGCGCCTGACTGTTGAACACTGGGACAATTCACACTGCTCTCTCTCTCTCTCTCTGTGGCCTTCCTCTTTTGCCACTTCGCTCTCGCTCTCTTTCGCTGATTATCCTGAGAGTCTGGGAAAGTGTATCTCTTGGAATCATGTTTTCTTCTAACAGCTCTAATCTAAATTTCAGTTATACATCTAGCAATTCTCTCTCCCTATCGATGTCTCATGTAGTAATCAATGGCTGTGGAGAAGGCAGCAAAGCCAGCAGCTCCGATGATTCCCGCTTTGATGCCCGCTGAAAATAGAAAAGAGCATTAGCGATATTCTCTCGCATTAAAACATTGATTCTTTCTTCACCTCTCACTCCGATTAGGCCACCTGTTATCGCACCCGCATAGGTGCCATTGCGCCAATCGGATTTCCCTCGACTGGACTCAATTGAGCACTCCACAGCCGAGAACACAGCTCCGATGAGGGCAAAGTTCTTAGCATATCCATGAGTTGTTGTTCTCATCTCCCGGAAAATCTCCCTCGCTGTTTGCTGCTTTTCCACGCCCGGAGTGGCGATATTTGGATTGACAGAGGAACTGAAGAGACCAATAGCGGCTCCCAAACCGTATCCTAAGCGAAAGAAGCAATATCCCATTAGAAATCTCATCATGAATCCCTTCAGAGCAGTATTTACCCATCACACACGCCATGATAGACTTGAATGTACAACTATCCATGCCATTCTGTATCATTTTCTCCTCATTGGTGAGAATCTTCACGGGGCCCAAGTTTTTGGGAATCACAATATTCTCCCGGTACCTAAAAATTAGAAGAACCTTCAGAGGATTCCCAAAGAATTGCTATAAAACTCCCTAACCTTTGCATGCTGCCGATGAAATGCTTCGCCATTGACTCCAATTCGTCATGTTCAAAGAAGGCATTTTTTGACGCGCCTTCCTTTGGCTTTACCGCTGCAGGATTCGGCAACATTTCCCTGAATTTTCACGGGAAAATAAGTGAAAAAGCCCCTCTTTTGGCTCTTGTTTATCTGTCAACAACACGCCGAGATTACTTCATCGACAAATACCGACAATCGAACATATGCTTATCGCGTGCAGCATATGCTTCTATCTATAAGTTTTCTCACCTCTCAGCAGTGTGAAGGTTCGCTCCTGGATTTTTCCTTTTCCTGCCGAAATGAGCATCCTTCAAAGCAGTTTTACGAGAGCAATTAAAGCCATATCCTTCAGCATTAACCAAACAGTTCGGCCCTTCGGTGTAACGCCTATAACTCAAGTGAAAGAGAGTAAATATTCGCACCGTCTTTTGTGGTTATGTCACTACAATGTTGTCTTTTGCAGTAATAAAGACCCAGGATGAAAAAAACACCATTACGATTGAAGGACAGTTCGTGAAATCTCCTCGGAGTAAGTTTCTCCTGAAGGAATACAGCGAGATCAAGCAGTCAAAGAAGAAATTCTGCCCCAAATGCTCCCTGGGATTGGATGTGAAGCACACGGACGTGCTGATCCTGAGCCAGTACGTGCGATCTGATGGCTGCATGCTGCCCAGGAGGGTGACAGGACTCTGCCCTAGGCAGCAAAAGAAGATGTCGATCCTTGTGGCAATGGCGCAGAAAGCCGGTTAGAAATCATTCTTCCTGACGATGAGAAAATTCGAAGAGGGCGTAAAATAATTCCTAATCCGCATTTTAGGCTTGATGAGCAACTTGACACCGGCAACAAGTAGAAAGGATCCCAAACTTCGGCGTGAATGGAGAAAGTTCAACATTTACTTCGTTGAGGAGAAAACCAAGGAGATCAGGAGATTGAGGTGTTAGTTAGTTGCGAGTAAAAAATATATTAGAATCATATTCGACGGACTCGTCTTTTCCCTAAATCGAGCTTTGTTGGTATTCTCACCACTTTTGTATATACAAAGGATGGTGAGTTCAGGTGACACTCAGGCCGACTGTCGATCAATCGCTGGATTGGTTTCTCGTGCAGTTTGCGCTGGATTTGTGGAATTTCGCTCGAGATGTAGTGAAAAATGAGCAGCGGAAAGTGTCAGTGGATCGCCAAGCATGAAATCTCCGCAGTGATTTGCTGAGATTGTGCAGAGAAAGACAGGTGGTTGTGCTGAAAAGTAGAGACTTTCACTGGTGGCGAAAAGTTTTTTGGGTGTATTTGGGCGAGAAAGCTTTTCCAGAGTGTCTCTGAGAGCAAATATGGCGGCGGAGTCGTGCTGTCGCGCTCACTCGGTGTGCAAGTGTGCAGGTGGAGAGTGAGATGCATAGAGGAATACTGTTTGCTTTTGAGCTTTCGGACTGTGAAATTTCTTTGCGACAAAAAACTTGCTTCAAAGGCTCCAAAATGAGTTAAATCTTGCTGGGAGCTGTGAAATTGTGGCCGAGAGATCTTCAGCAATGTTTTGCGTGTATGGAGACGTGCGTGAGAGTGCCAGATAGTCGGATTTGGTGTCCCCGGAACCATTGCAAAAGAATTGTGTAAGTTGTGCTTTCAATTTATCTATTGTTTCTCATTTCACCAATTCCGTGTGTGGCTCTTGAGCAAAAACTTGCTTATCTGGAAAATGTAGATAAAAGTGGCAAAAAAGGTCAATTCACGTTTTCCTCCACTTGTGTTTGATGTGGTGTCACCTCAATTTGCTTCAATCTCCACCTCTGAGTGTCTTTCTGCCTGTCTCCGCAGGTCTTCTGGACTGAAAGGAATTTCCTCAGAGGATCTGTAGTCACAGAGGGGATTGAGCAGGTAACAGAGTTACCTCAACGCACTCACCTGAGGAGCAGGAGAAGTTTTAGGGGCGCCGACGTGGGGCGTCATGTCGCAAGGCGCGGGTGGTGCTGGAACAACCGAATTCCGTGAATACCAGTGGGCGTACAACATCATGGACTCATCACGGGTGTCCACATGTCTGATCTCCATGCTCCTCATCGTCTACGGCAGCTTCCGGAGTCTGAACATGGAGCAGGAGGCTCGCGAGCGCCAGGAGAAGAAGCGCCAGAGCGAGAGTATGAACAATCTGTTGACTGGAGAGCCTGTTCAGCAGGAGACAAGTGAGTTTCCTCCCCTCACAGCCACTCTCACCATCGCTGACCACTCCCTTGCTCTCTTTACAGACAAATTCGCCACATTGGACACAATGCATGCCCTCTGCTTGCCTCTGGGCGCCTCAATATCGCTGCTGGTGATGTTCTTCTTCTTCGACTCCATGCAAATGCTGTTCGCCGTTTGCACAGCGAGTAAGTAACTGCAACAAGTGTGTTTTGGGGGTGTTCTAAGTGCCCTTTCGCATGGCTTTTGCAGTAATCGCCACGGTCGCATTGGCCTTCCTGCTCCTGCCGATGTGTCAATACATCATCCGTCCCTGCTCGGATGGCAACCGGATATCATTTGGGATCTGCGGGCGCTTCACGGCAGCTGAACTCTTCAGTTTCTCCCTGGCGGTGTCGATAGTGTGCATATGGGTGCTCACAGGCCACTGGCTTCTCATGGACGGTGAGTCACGGAAGCCAGCACACATTCAACATCAATCAAAGTGAATAAGACTGACATGTTCCGTCCCTTTGCAGCAATGGGCATGGGTCTGTGCGTGGCGTTTATCGCATTTGTCCGTCTGCCGAGCCTCAAAGTGTCCACGCTCCTCCTGACGGGCCTTCTCATCTACGACGTCTTCTGGGTGTTCTTCTCGTCCTACATCTTCAGCACAAATGTCATGGTGAAAGTCGCCACGCGACCAGCCGAGAATCCCGTGGGAATCGTGGCTAGGAAGCTGAACCTGGGCGGCATCGTGAAGGAGCCGCCCAAGTTGAATCTGCCAGGAAAGCTGGTCTTCCCCAGCATCCACAACAACGGCCACTTCTCCATGCTCGGCCTTGGAGACATTGTGATGCCGGGACTGCTGCTGTGCTTCGTGCTGCGCTACGATGCGTACAAGAAGTCACAGGGCACTTCTGCCGAGACTGGAGTTCCACCGCCAAAGGGAGTCGGTTCTAAACTTACGTATTTCCATTGTTCCTTGCTAGGGTGAGTGCGCTCTTATCCGTCGGCGCGAGGTGTGTAAACATGCGAGTGTGTTATCAGCGTGACGTCAGTGCTTACATTTCGGCACAGCCCAATTCGGCCAGGCGTAAAAGTTTAATTAGAATAATTGCATAATCAGTTACGAAGCAGAAGTGATTTCTTGATTCAATGCATTTGAAATTAGGTGCAAAAATTGGAAATTCATAGTTGAATATAAACGACTATTTCTGCATAAAACATGCAAAAAGCCAATGTGATCAGGCAAATTCAGGGGTTTTAATGCACAAGCGTTGCAGGAAATCACATTTTGAATGGCATGTTTTCCTCATTATCTAGAAAATTCAGTGACGATAAATACTAGAATGAGAACAGCAATAAGACTTCTGTTTTAACAGAATTGAAGATTTATTACTCAGAAAAACATGGCACAAATTGTATAAAACTGATAATCGCAATTATTGGCTATGCCAGGCGTTGAAAGTATTTTTCATATTTCATACTATTTTTGTGGTATTATAAGTATACTCACTCCTAAGAAAAATTCTATAGAGAATTCGTGAAGATTCAGAATTTTAATGCTAACATCAACATATTTTGACATCATTTAGTTGCCAAAGATAATTGGAAAAGTAGTAATGTTCAGTAAACGGTGCAAAAAATTCTCGAATTGTGGTCAAATTATGTGAAGCAACGAAGAAGTTTCTGATCATGAAGCATGACATCAAACTGCAGCTTGAATGCAACAATGTATGAATCTGAGGACATTGACTTTGATAACAGTCAGTCAGTGTTGAATTCAGATCAGGCAGGAGAATGAAATGAGCGCGCTTGTCACACATTCTGTGTGATAGATTAACAGACAGTCTACTCAATCGAATGAGCTTCATAAAACGCCGCATTGTAGAACAAGGACTGAGAAGATAATGGAACTTTTTGACACTTATCTTAGAAGATGAGACTGTACTAGAAAGAAGATTGTCAGAATATAACATTTCAATGTATTGGTATTTAGGTAGAGAGAAATTACATCATTCATAAGAGTTTAACGATGGATAAATATCATAAGGCAGGTGGAAAACGTTGCGCAACAAATGAATCAAAACGCATGTTTGCAAACCTCTCATAGTCGCAATATGGAATGAGCAAAATTCTAAGCATAAATTGTCTTTGCAGATATTTTCTAGGTCTTCTTACCGCCACAGTCAGTTCAGAGGTTTTTAAGGCTGCTCAACCGGCGCTCCTCTATTTAGTTCCCTTCACGCTTTTACCTCTGCTAACGATGGCATATCTCAAGGTAAGGTTTTTTTTTCTGCAAATATGCCATCTTTTTCCGCAATATCACAGCCAATATTTGTTCTCTTTTCCACCCACGCGCGCAGGGTGATTTGAGGCGAATGTGGAGTGAACCGTTCATAACGCAACAGTCTTCAAAACAACTGGAAGTCTGAGGATAGCGAATTAAGGAGTCACGATGCAACTACTAGAGAAATAACTCATACTATAGAACAATGCACTTCATTTGTTTGGGCGGAAGAGAGCGAGAAAGAAGAGAAACACATTCATTCAGTTCATGTGTATAAAGAAGCATCCTTTTGAGGCAATTTGTGCAACAGAAACGAGCTAGACTGCACTGAGCACAATGTTGATGGAAAGAGTCTGAAGATTAGAGATTTAGGACATGACATTTGTTTTCTCCAGTAACCTAAATAAAAGTATGTAACAGTTAGATATGTAGATTTATCGATTACATTAGTTTTATCGGCATTATTTAACATGTGCGCGCAGCCCCTGGTGTAGAAGAAAGAGAAATTTTGCAAATGTGGTTTGAAAATTAATGTACTTTTGGTGTGTAAATGAGAATCTTTTTTCTTGATGAGTGGAGAAGAAGAAAAAAATGAAGAAAAAAAATCTATAGAATTGCAGAAAAAAAGAGAAATTTGACAAGTTATGTAAAAAGAGATGAACAAACAACCGGTGATATATTTAGTGGGACTTCAGAAATCCGCAAATTAAAGTATTCAAATGGGGGCGAAAATGGTGATTAAGTAATAAAAATAGAGATACTAACTGTACATGTTGCTTTTATACGATTATGTATGTATGTATGTATGAAATGAAACAGCAGAGAAAACCAACAAAAAAAAGTCTAGATTTGTCTCACTGTATATTTATGTGAAGCTTATATATTGGATGGAGAAGGAAAAAAAAGGAAAACTAGGAGAGTATTTCAAATCACTCAATTTTAGATTATATAAAAGAAGATGAAAAAAAAACATGAGAATCATCAATCATGAACGTAATATATGTGTGAAAAAATAGTGATAAAAAGCATAGAAAATGATTTTAGGAGTAAAAAAATAAAAGTACCATTTTTCTTCAGTGATGATTTTCTGGTAAAACAAATGCATTTTTCAAGCGTGAAAAATCTCTTCTTTTTAAGCAACAAACCGAGATCAATTAGGGAAATTTTTAATTTTCCCCCCCGGATAATTTATAAGTTCCAATAGGATATTTTCAGAATTTCTTTTTGATAAAATCTTGAGATAAGAATAAATCGTTACTTGACTCACGTCGTTTTGAATGGAAAGGCATCTGAAAAGCAGGATTTGAGTTCATCTGTTCTTCCATTACATCGTGAAAAACAAAGGTAAAATAGGCTGTTTTCTTTTCATTGGACAGACTTTACTGGCAAATTCAACAGTCTGGAAAATCAGGCACAAGTACTTAATGACATTCAATAATGTGATGAATTTATCAGATTTCCTTTTTCTCTTTTAGCGCTTTTAGCACTTTACGCCCGCGAGCTTTTTTGCCCATATGGCCTTCCATATTAACGTATCAACTTCAAATTGTTCACTAAAGTTGAATTATTTTCCTCTAATTGGCAAATATTTATTCGGCGACAAATGTTTTCTTTTTTATTGCAACGTATTTACCGCCATTCTTTATCTTGTGACTCAAAGAAACTGTAATCAACCATCTTTTTACAATGATATAAATGAGTCTTCAGTCGTTCCCAGAGTTCAGTAAAGTGTTGAAGCGTGAATCTATTGTATCAACATGAGAATTTTCTTCGTGACTATTGTTATTTCTGTGTTGTTTATGCTGGTTAACACTGTTACCGATGCTGTTAAGAGAAATTTCTTATTCTAGTTCTTATCTGCTAACAAAAACATGGGAAAACAATGACTTGGGTAAATTTTTCTTCTTCTATTCTGCGTAGAAAAACTCGAATATTTTTATAAGCTGTTTCCTGCACTGAAGCCATCTAATCCTTTTGAACTTCCGCAAGTTTCACTTGAGTTAGGAAAAGTAACATTATAAGGCAGAGCTAATGACTAGAAAAACTTACATTCTTCCTTTCTTTTATGTTACCATCATTGAACATTGCTGTGGAGTGGCAATTGAAACGCTCCAGGAAGTAATTTCTGCCCTTTTACAAATACTCTGAATTCTCCTTGGAACTCTATTGGTTTCATACCAAATAACGCAGTCAGAGAAAACCCTTTCTCTTCACTATACTCTCGCCGTTTCATTACCATAATCGCCAAGTAAGAGAAACAACAACTGATTATTCCATAGCAGAAGCCTTTATTACAACTCCGGGTATCCTTTTGTAAGCAATAGAAACCGTTAAACTCGATTTATACCTTAAAATTCAATATACTTTACCAGATAGTGTGTGCCATTTGTTCAGAAAATCAACGTGAGATCAGCTCATCAAATACAAAAATATTCCTAAAATATCTCCTCAACTGGCTGAAAGTCGATTTTGTGTGTTTCATGATTTTACATTGAAGTGGCGCTTAATTAATAAACTGTAAAACTAAAATTATAAGTAAAATACTCTGAAATTGCGCTCAGCTCTCTAAATAGTGACATCCCCAAAGTCCTGCGACCATTTCTCATAAGCAGTTAAGCTCTGCGGTGCAACAGATCTGCGAATGCGCTTCAGGGAGTTCATAAAGTCTTGCTCGGTAATGGATCTCACTTTGGTCGGGTCCATGTTCTTCACCTGCTCCACATTCAACTCGCGAATGGGCTCCAGAGCGGCATCCTTGGCCAGTGCAGTGAGATCCGAACCGGAGTATCCTTCCGTTTGGTTAGCGAGGCGTCTCATCGCCTCCGTGGACAGTGGACTGCCCTGCTTCTCCAGCAGACGCCTCAGGAGCAGATCTCTGGTCTCGAGATCTGGCAGGGAGACATAGACACGCTTCGGGAAGCGCCTCAGTGCCGCTTCGTCGAGCTCTTGTGGCCGATTCGTGGCCGCGAGCACGACAATACGATCTGCCTCCGGATTGCATGGAAGTCCATCAAATTCCACCAGGAATTCTGTCTTGAGCCGACGCGACGCTTCGTGCTCACCCGTGCTCCTCTCCGACAACAAGCTGTCCACTTCGTCAATGAAGATAATCGAGGGCTGCATCTCTCTGGCCACGGCGAACAGTGCCCTCACCAGTTTCTCGCCATCGCCCACGTATTTGCTGGTCAGCGAGGCCGCCGAGATGTTGAAGAAGGTCGCCGAGCACTCCGTGGCCACAGCACGAGCAAGCAGAGTCTTGCCATTTCCCGGTGGCCCGAACAGCAGCAAACCGCGCGCGGGGCTGCGTAGTCCCGTGAACAATTCTGGGCGCACAGACGGCAGAATCACCATTTCCTGGAGCGCCTGCTTGGCCACATCCTGGCCCACGATGTCGTTCCACTCCACCTTGGCGCCGCCCTCAACAATCTCGTCCATGATGATCTGCACCAGCTTCTGCTCCACACCCTTCACCGAAATGGTCGTCGGCGAGGGTGCCGAGATCCCGCCAATAGGCGTCCTGGAGCGCAGCGGCGGAGTGTTGCGGCCCGTGTTGGTCCCTGCCTTGCGGATGGGAGAATTTCCAGAGATCTGCAAAATTAACGAGAATTTCGTCTTCAGGGCACGTTTTGCGACTATTTCTTATTCACGACCGCTCGTCCGCTCAAACTGTTAGACGAGGTCAAGATCAGTCAATAAATTTTAAACTACATTTCGAGTTCTTTCTCGAGCTTTACCTCCACAATTTATCTTCGTTAATTTACCCAAGCATCCAAGCAGCACGACAACTTTGCAGAGAGCTCGAGATAACTAACTTTCATCAATTTCTTAGCGATGCAATTTAAAATTATTCTTATTCAATTTTAATATCAATCGATGTCCTTGCATATAAATAGTTTAATTTTGGGACAAAACATGCGGAAAATCTTTGTTTTCAAGTTTTAAAATCAGGCTTTGAAAATTTAAGTTCGATTTCCGATTGCCCAAAGTCATTAAGCGACTGCGAAGCAACTCTATGCCGACTGCATTTGGTTACTTGCGCTCTTGGCACTCCAATTAAGAGTTCTCTCCACATTCAGCATGAATTTCGTGCATATTCAGCTGCTGCTCACGCCCAATTTCCCGTAAAGGGGATGCTCGGGTGGCGGAAATGCCATTAACTCACCGAGAGTTGTCGTCGCACGGCCGGTGGAGTGGCGATGGACTTGAGCACGGGGCGCTGCTGAGGCTGTCCGCTGCTGCCGCCCACTTTGGTGCCACCCATGCTTCTCGGCAGCGTCTGCGACTTGTTCATCACCCCCAGGTTGGCCGGTCGCTTGCTGCCCACCGTCAATTTCCGACCGGAGGCTGCATTTCGTCGCCCGGAAGAGAGAAGGCAAAGTTAGTCTTGTGCGGTGCACCAAATTCAATCAACTCGATTATTTCCATTCCAAGTGTGTTGTGTTCGTGGTTAGAAAGAGGATTGATTGGCGAATGAATGCGAGTGCTCAAAAGACAAACTAATGTTTGGTGAGTTGTTCCAACCGATTTCTCATCTACAGTTTAACATAGCGGCAAATTTTGATAGTTCTTTAGCTCTTCTCATCGTCTTACCTTCGGTCGTTCTAGTGTTCTTATTTATCACAACATTCTTCGATGGCTGAGACAATGTTCTAGCATTACTTGTCCCCGTGGTTGTCGTCAGGAGATTCTTACTAACGCTATTCTCCCTCATATCTTTACGCTTGTTATTACAACTAGACACTTTCGTGTGATTTCTTGAGGTAGATTCTAAACTTTCTAATTTCAGTTCTTCCATCAATAATTCTAAAAATAAAGAAAGGGGAAAAGAAAACCAATAGAAGAGGAAACTAAATCATAAATAACGGAGGGAGGAAAACGATCAAAAACACATAAACAATTCACTACAGAGTTGGAAATGTATGAATAGGCTTTTCGAGTCTTTCGGTGTCACATTTAGGTCAAATTCCTTGCAAATTGACTGTCATGTACAAAAATCTGGACATTTTCCAACTCTGTCGAAGAGGAAAGAAAATCACACGACACTTTTACAAACATGAGAGCAATATGAATACATTCAAATGAGGACATTTTCTGTGTGCTTCTCGTGTGTCTGAGGGCAAGAAGACAAATCACGTGAGAAGAGAAACTATACCCGAGCGAAACATACCAAGGAAGTGCAATCGATCTCGCGCCATGGACAAATTGGTCTGCATCTTGTCGTGCAGGCGCTGGGCACGCTCCCAGACATCGCCGCGTCCACTCCAGCAATCCACTGCGATTCCGCGCTCCAGCTCCTGGATTCCCTTCCGATACAGCTCAATGGCAATCTCCTTCTGACCTACAAAGACAGTACGAGTATTTTAATAAATAATATCCGTGCCATTTTCACATAATTGCCATTCGCCACTCAATCAATAGACGTCTGAGCAGCACGACAGCCTGGCAAGACATTGAACTATATAAAAATTGCCGGCTTTATTTCACCCCATCACGCTTTTGCCACCCCTTCTCATTATTCCGTTAACATTCTTCACTCCTTGAGTTTGATTGAAATATCGTGAGATTTTGTTGTGAGAAAAATTATGTGCATTTCCAGAACTGCACGCAAAGATTTGAGAAATTGCGCTGGACAAACTTAACAAATTCTAATGAATAACTTGAGAGAATTTAACTCATTCTCCCGAGGGTGAGTTTGTTCTGTCTGCATTCTTGGCTCTCATATTAAATGGAGCATAGAAATCTCATTACTCCCAATTAAATATTATGCTTCTCGCTTTATGTGTCTTCTCTTGGGATCCATAAAACTTTGAGAGCACTTTCGCACAAGTTGGTCGAAATAGAGCAACAGACATCAGAGATTATTTATTCAATTTTTATTGCACATTTCACGAGACAGAAAGTTGAAAATCGATAAGAAATATCCAATATAGCACTGAGAAATGCAGATAAAAAATCATTAAGCTTTGTTGACAAGAAGATTGGATTCATCATTATTCACAAATTAGACTTTCGATTCGTTTCGTGATTTTTGACACAATAAGATCTAATTTATGCGTTATATTTTAATGAGTCTATGAAAGTGTTCTATAAAGGCTAAGGAAAAGCAATTTATGTCACTAATTATAGTCTTTAGTAATTCACAATCTCCTACACTTATTCTTTCCACTTTGTGACAATGATTTTTCCTACTGATTATAGGAATTTCGAGAATTTTCATTGATTTCCAGTGAGATAAAAAATCTAATTTCATGTCTAGCGGGAGAACAAAAGCCAATTTTCGTGATTTATACACCACAAGGCGTTCACGTTTCCATAATAAAGCATCGACGCTCACATAAGACAGTTCATTGGAGTCGGATTTTGGAGATGAGGCGAGGTGACTTCACCACAAGTTCACCTTCTACGTCCCATTTTGTCCATAAATAGCTGTGAATTGAATGAGTTCACTGAATCTCCCCCTCATTTGCAATTGAACCTCTCCAATCAAGTGACACTCCCAGAGAGAATTTCATTAGATGCAACATCTCTCGAGACCGCTTTTCTATTTAATTCCACTCGAAGCGCGCTTCCTTTTCTCTGCTTAACTTTTGCTGTGTCAAGCGAGGGTAATACTCAGGGGATTCTTTAGAGGATTGCTTTCTATTTTTGGCCCAGAGAAAGGTGCAAAAGTGCCTGACAATTGTGTAGAGATATGATTGCGAGACCACTTCCCAACTGGGACTCAAATTGCTTGTGACGGCCGTAACGAAGTAGAGACAGTTTCCACTGCAATCTAATCTAATGGCAATGAAGAGTGGCTTATCATAAGTTTTGTCATAGCGTCTGGGCATCACTGACATGGCCTCCGGGCGTTTTGCCACCCACAGACGCGCCGAGACGACGTGGGATGGGAAAGTTGTGGCATTCAACTCACCTTCGTTCTCCTCATCAATCTTGAGTGCTTTCGATATGTACTCAAAAGCTCGCCTGTGATGGTGTTTCTGCTTCGCCAGCAGCGGATCCCCAGGGCCTGGCCCACTTGGGTGTCGACTCCCGGACGACATCTCGATCAGACCCTCCTGGGCGCCCTCGAGCTGAACTGCAGCCGATGCTGTGGCTTCCTGAACCACCTCAATTCCGCACTCACGGCGACGCCTCAGCCAATTTCTGTGCGCCACGCGAGACGTAGCACTGTACAAGTATCTGAATATCACAAACAATTGATACAAAATGGATCGCAGGATGTTGAACAAGAGGATGATTGGGAATGAGACAACGTAGAGGTTTTGCTTGTGAACTGACGCGCGCGGCTCGACGCCCGGAGAGTCTGTCTCACTGGAATTGTCACTGTGATCGCACTTGCGCTGGCTGGGCACCTTCTGACCACCCTGTCCCTTGTTGCGCACCATCCGGGAGTCTCTGTCCAGTGTCCCTACATTCTCAAGATTGATGGCCACAAAGTTACTGCTGCCACTCGTGGTCCGGCTTCGCGTCCTGCCTCGGCTACCACCCTCGCACGAATCACCTCCACCCTCTACACACTCATTGTCACGCATCTTCTACGCCAATCACTGCCGCCCAATTGGAAGCGCAGCCCCGCGGGGCGCCACGGAGGACTCCATTGGCAAGCCCAGCGCTTTTCACACTAGCATCACAGCACCAACCCAACTATTATGCAAAAGCACCAGCTTTGCGGACTGTGGCGTATGAAAATGAGACTCTGACTTACACACTCGAAGCCCTATGACTTTTTTGTGTCCTGCTCCACCAGGATTATGCGCTTTCTGGACTTCCTCTCGCCACTTTTTCTCCTGCGACTCCAGCCTTTTCGAAATCCCCTCTTTGTCAACGACTGCGCTCGCGGCGCCTCTCGCGGAAAAACACCCAAGTGTCCCATATGTTTTGCAAACGCGTGCAATTTTCGACTTTTCTTATAATTCCTTCTGAGTCCCGAAGAAAGGCAGTAAAATCATGTCTGATTCTGAAGAAAGCTCTGTGGATATCCCCCCAGATGATGATCCAGAGAAGGTAAATACCCATCCTTGCTGTTTGTTTGCATTCTACGTCTGACGAGAGATAATTTTCCAGGAATTGATCCGAGAAGAGTTGAAAAACATGCCTTTTGAGGATTTAATCAAGCTTAAGGCAAAGCTTGGAGCCAAGGTATATAATTCCACAGTTCTTGGTATCAGCAAGCCGACAGAAACGGTGAAAAAGCAGGGATTCAAGAGGGAGAATAAGAATCGCCCAAGAGAAATGAGTTTTCGAAAGCCCATTCACAGCAAGAAACAGAAAGCAACTTCCACGACGTCCAGAGATCCTCGCTTTGATGAGAAATGTGGGGAATTCAGTAGGAGCGAATTCAAGAAGCGATACAGCTTCGTTGAAGACATGAGAGCACAGGAATTAGCTGAATTGAAGGCAAACCTGAAGAAAACTGAGGATCCGGAGGAGAAACTGAAGCTCAAACATGTCATTCAGCGCCTGGACAATCAACTGAAAGAGTCGAAAAAGCATAGAAATCGAGAAGAGACCCAAAAGGCTGCAATTCGAGAAGTTCAGCAAGCTAAAGACGAAGGAAGAACTCCAATTTATACAAACAAGAGTAAATTTCCATTGATTTTGCCATGAAGGAAAACTTCCTAACGATTATCCTGTACTTTCAGAGCAACAAAAGCTGAAGGAGTTGGTTAAGCAATACCAGGATCTCAAGGAGACGGGAAAACTGAAGAAACACATTGAAAAAAGGCGGAAGAAGAACGCTTCGCAGGACAGGAAGAAAATGAAGTCGTATTGATATAAATTCTATTATAATCTAAACAAAACTGTCTATAAAGTGAGTTTTTATCCCGTTCTCATCATCTTGGCTTCGCGCTTCTCCTGCAACTCCCTCCTTTGTTCCTCTATAATGGCCTTCCTCTCCTCCAGAAACTGTGCATACTCCTCCGGATCCAATTCCCGCACGACTTCAACCCCACAAGTCCTTGCAGCCGCGATTACCATGGCGCACATCTGTTCCAATGTGAGCAGAGCATTCGGGGGATCCTGAATTTTGATCTTGGCGATTTCGTACACGTGCTTCAGCGTGATTTTCCCTCCAATCTCTCTTCCCGGGTTCATGACTCCCTTCATGATGCCGGCCGCTTGCTTCACGAAGTATGTTGTTGGCGGACTGTGAATGACGAGTTCATAAGATCTGTCGGCTTTTACACCCACACGACAGGGCAAGGGAATGCCCTCCTTCATGTCCTTCGTGCGCTCGTTGAAATCCTTGCAGAAGGCAGCGATGTTGATCCCTCGTTGACCGAGCATGGGTCCCAATGGAGGACTCGCCACGGCCATTCCCGCCGGGATGTTGGTCGACAGCTTGGAAGAATGATTCACTTTCTCCACCGTCTTCTTCAAACTCTTCAATCTCCCTATGGTTTTGGACATTTTAACAAATTTTCACGGCCGGATCAACTCAGAAGAAAACACAAAAGTGAGGTTGGACTGCTTTGCCTCTTCACGCCTGCTGTGCCCTCTGGAGAGATTTTCGCAGTTTTTGACGTGCGAAAACGTAAACAAAGTGACCCTGAGATTTTTGGTAAGAAAACACAAAAAATCACGCATTTACGATGATTTCCACGGTTTATCTTGGTTCAACCATCGTCACCAGAGTTACACTCAATTCATCCTTGAAGAGAATCAAGGATCAGATACACAATGAAGCGGTAAAATGAATGTTTACGATTGCTCTATACTTTTGCGTATTTTTCGCATTATTATCTAATTTTGAGTTAATTCTGCATAGAAATAGTCTGTAAATGTACTTAATCTATGATTTCGATGCTAATCTATTGTTTTAATAATGTAATTCACATTTACAGAATTGGATCATGATTTGTTTACACTTTCAGGGAATTCCTCCGGAAGACTACTACGTACTCGTGAACGGACGCCGTGTTGGAGAGGACGATCTGATTCCTAGAGGATGCGGTCCTCTGAACTTGGTTCTGCGTCAGAAGGGCGGAAAGGGTGGCTTCGGATCCATGCTGAGAGCTATTGGGGCACAAATTGAGAAGACAACGAACAGGGAAGCTTGTCGCGATCTCAGCGGACGTCGCCTGAGAGATATCAACGAGGAGAAGCGCCTCAAGGCATGGTTGGAGAAACAAAAGGATACGGAGGCTGATAAGAAGGAGAAGAAGAAGCAAAAACTCGAGCGACTCCTGCAGGAGCCCAAATTTGAGTTCAACGACAAGGAATACGAGAAGGCGAGGAATGAAATGACTGAGAAGATCGATGACGCCGTGGAGAAGGGCTTTGAGAAGGCGGTGGAACTGGCCGGAAGCTCTGGAGCGGCGAAAAGGAAGGCCACAGAGACGCAAACAGCGGCTGCCAAGGCCAAGAAGAAGAAAACTACGCTCTGGATCGCTGACGATCTCAGTTCGTCATCAGACACAGACTCTGAGGATGAATCCAATGCATCCTCGAAGGACGAAAGCAGCCAGAGTTGCTGCTCATCTGTGATTGACAAGTGAAACACATCCAGAGAATGCAGGAGTGTGAGTCACACTCCAGTGTTATCTGTTTAGCGATAAGTATGTGCAGCAGCTCTGCGAGAGGGAAGAATTAATAAAAACAATTGTAGACGGAAATTTAAATATTTGATCATTCGTGTCTCCAGATCATTGACGCAGTTGTTCGCCAGCACTTCTGAAGCACTCAGGGAAGGTGGAAAGCGCTCACGGAGTGAGATTGACAGTGCAAAAAATCCTCTTTTCGCTGATCACACATAATTTATGGAACACTCGATCACAAAGCAGGGAATTTGTGCGGCGATAAAGAGTCTATAATTGAGTTATTGGACCTTTAGCGTGCGATTATCGGGCAAATAATGTGAGTTGAGTGTCTCAGGTACTTTTGGTGAGCTGTTTCTTACATTTCTGCTTGTGGGCAGTGTGAAATTTCGCACGGCACGCGTTTCACCTGTTCTATCACTGATAAGGGGTGTTTTGCGCACGGAACGCGACTTTCTGTAAGAATTTCTGTCTCCTATAGTGAAAACTTTCTGCTCTCAACAATTCCATGGGCACAAGTTTGTAAAGAAGGGTAAATTTGGGTGTAAGTGAATTGAATCTATTTCTTGTTGAAATGTGCAATTTATAATAATTTCTCTTTGGTTCTTCCTTGTTGAAATCCTCGCTACGCCTATGGATCTGTAATCGTTCATTGACTCCATAACGGCTAATATATTCGTACCGTAATTGCCTCCCAGATGATGAAGAACATTTCATGGTTTCATTTCTAGTATTCTCGCTTCCAGAGATACGATCTCGAGCATCTCAAGCGCAAAAAAACCCCGAATAATTTAATGTGATTCCACATCACAGACTCTCTCAAACCCGCTCTCAAAGCTCGAGAAGTGGAAGAGAATGATTGCAAAACTCGGCATTGAAGAAACAGGTTTACAGAATATTGAGAATAGACAAAAAGCCACAGTGATGTCATGAAAAAAACACACTCATCTCAATTCAAGACAGCCGGACATTGATTTTGCAAGGCATTTTAAGAATTTCTCGTACAGATTTTTGGTATTTTTGGCGGGAAGACGTAATTACATGAATTCCCCAATTTCCCATCAGACGTCGCTGCGTCCTTTCCGGATGCAATCTCTCTCTCGCTCTCTCATTCGCCCAATTTGCATGGAGTGTGTGGATTTTTTTCGTCAGCATGTTTTTCTTGTGATTCCTAGCCGAATACCTGAGCTGCACGTGTGTTTGTCGGTGGGAGATTGCAAGAAGGTGTTCTCCACAGTCTGCAAGAGCTGAAAAAGCGTGAAATCTCGTGCGGAGTGGGGAAAAGCCATCGAAAGAGGCAGAGTTACATCACACATTGTACGTTATGAAAGTCATCTGGTGAGTGCACAAATTGCAGAGAATTGGAGAAAAAATGGGTGTATTTCAACTGTTGATTCTTCTCCGCACAGATTCCGAGCTGATAAGAGGGCAGAGCCAGTCAACAAAGAGGTCACAACAAAGTAATAACATTTTATCAGCTAGAGAGAATGTCTGTGCGGACTTGAGCTATCAGTCCTCTTTATCAGCTCTCCTGGAAGCGTACTGGAGACCATCAGAGATACTGGGCGAAACCACAGAGCAAGCAGGGGCCTTATAAAATCTCTAATCGCCAGCAGTGGTCAATTCACTTGCGATTATGACACCGTGAATTCTCCCTCGTGGATCTTGCCTGTGTTTGTGGATTGACTTTCGCTGCTGATCTCACGGACGAGTTTTGCCAGTGAGTGGAAAGGGAATTCACGTATGTGAGAAATCGCCAGAGGTGGTCTGCAGGCAGTTGCTTTCGATTCGCCAAGCGAGCACGAGTGTGTGATATCCTCTGAACGACTGTGAAGATGGCCCACGATCACCATGCCCACCACATGCCGGAGATCTCCACGACAGCAGCTAGCATCTCTCCGCTCCAGCACGGGGACCACGCCAGCCACCATCACGGGGATGAGGACATGGAGTGCCCCATGCAGATGATCGTGAGTAATCCGCACTTCTCTGCCCCTATGCTGGGTGAACGCACTCACAGCTACTGTAATTCTAGCCAAACTGCCTTCCTTTAGCCCAGCCGATTCTTACCATGCCCTATTTTTTCTCACTTTCAAATACCTGAAACACATTCACCCAAAAAACTGACAGTGTGACTAAAAATCTAACATTTTTATCTCCCATCAGCGCATGATTTGAGCACAAAGATTGGGCAAATTGAGTGGGAAATTAAATTGTTTAATTGAGAGTGGCGTTGAAGCAAAAAACAGCACGTTTGTGGGGTGATAATGCTCCAAATACTGCCTCAATATTGGCTGTGAACCGTGAAGAATGTCGCTGGTTTTGCAAAACTTTCAGTTTTGCGGCGTTGTTTATTTTTCTTGGCGAAATTATAACATTTTTATTGATTCACGTGAATACATTTCTCAATGTATTTATGCTAATTGATTGACTTGCGGTGAATTGAGTAATAATAAAACTTCATCTCACCACGCAGCATTCTCCAAATCTCTTTGGCTTTGCTGACGTCTTAAATTCGGGGCGACAATCGCGGGTAAAAAGTTATGCGGTTACCCTTGAATTTTAACATAATATTAATGCAATATTGTTTCCCGTTCAACACTTTGGTGAAACCGCACACAGTTTCTGAATAACCCAGTGATAAGACCGCGCATTTCCCGTGAAGTATTTTATCTATTACTTTTCCACCGCATAAGAAATTGTAACAATGTGCTTTCAGGCGATTGGCTATTTTCGCTATTTTGTATTGGAATGCATAAAGTGTCTGGCCAAAGAAAGAGCTCCACTTGAGCTGAAAATTGAACAATCACGTGCGCTATTGCAGCTTTACAAGCGTTTTGTGAATCCACGCAAAATGAGACAGCGAGGCAATTTGGTCGATTTTCATATTCTCACTTTCATCTCTCATCTTTTTTCAGTTCCATCTCGGCCACTGCGAGGCGATTCTGTTCAAATCGTGGACTGTTTCGGAAGTTGGTGGCTTTGTTGGGGCCGTGATTCTCATTTTTGTGGTGGCCGTGCTTTATGAAGGCCTCAAATATCTGCGCGAGAAGCTATACTACGATGCCCACCAGTTGGAATTTGCTCAGCAAGACAAGGATGGAAGCACGCAGAACCTCAGGAACACTTCCAAGCCTATAAGGTGAGATTTCTGGAGCGCTCTAGATGGTGAGCGCAGAGATTTAGAGATTCTTGATCGAAGTGAACGAATGAAATGCCACAAAATTAGCAAGCTTTTAATACAGTGAAAGGCTCTGTAAGTTGTAACCACAAATCTCAGCTCCGTGTATGTAAGCAAAGTTGATAAACATAGATTGATTCATCATTCAAGAAAAATTTCAATTACACCTTGAGATCTTCAGAAACTCGTTTCTTTACTCACGATTATTATTTACTTGAAGACACACAGTCTGATAATCCTATTGCACTTTAGTACACCATTAATAATTTTGACTTATCAAAAGTGACGAGGGAGGAAGCAATTAATTAGGCTGAATGAGTGACAAAAACACATTGTTTCACGAAATTATCACGCAATCTTGACAATGGACAGACAAATTGTTGATTGTCGCGAAAACAAATTGTAGTCCGTGTTTGTTTTCTACTGCATTGACCATTGCCATTGGAAATTGGGACTAATGCTGGGGTTCTTTGCAGGCAACAGATCTTCAACAAGGCGCACATCATTCAGACATTCCTTCACCTGATTCAGGTGTCTGTGTCCTACGCTCTGATGCTCATTGTGATGACGTACAACGTCTGGCTGTTCCTGGCCGTGGTGCTGGGCGCCTGCATGGGATACCTGTTCTTCGGCTGGATCCGCAACAGGTCCGTGGATATCACGGAGCACTGCCACTAGAAACAACAGCTGATTTCCACTGTTCTGCTGACGGAATCCTCAATGTGAGTCAGTGCGCGTCGCTCGGATCAGCCATCGCGAGTGGGGCGCAAGGAATAGTGAGAAATGCGGCTGCAATTTCACAGAGTAATTGTCTTTTATACCTGAACACAGCCTAAAGGAAGAACAATTGTTTAAAATCTATATACTTTTAAGAGCGCAATGATCGATGAGATTTTACTCCACTCTGAATGATGAAGCCAAGGTGAAAAGGCAATGCCGTTCAGTAAATTTGTTATTTTACCCATTTTACCATTATGTAGTGAATCATAGATTTTTAATGTGGGAACGAGAAAAAGAGAATATGTTATGTTTGCAAGTTGTGCTTGGAGAGTGAAGCGAGATCGGCTTAATGTTAAGACAGGAAGAAGATATTGTAGAAATATTCATCGAAATTAAAAGACATTTCATATTATTTCAGCCAGAGACTTTCAGGTCAAAGTGACCGAAAAATTGTCGAGATTCGTCCTGATTCATCCCATTTCCTGCCGGATCCGCCTCCTTGGCAAAATGTGGCGTTTGCCTCGTTCTCATCTCTGCCTTTGATCTTCTTTCACACGCTTCTGCAGCTTCTACACATGTCGCGCGGGGCATTTTTAGAACTTCCAATGCCGTCTTGTGTGTGCCCAAGAAATCCGTCTCAATGCAAGATAACGAAAACAAGCATGAATTCACGATGACTGACGAATTGGCAGGTCGAGAATGCGCGGTGTGAGCGATAAGGAAGCGCAGGAGTTGACAGAAAACGCGGTGTGTGTTCATCGAAGGCACTGAAATGGTAATATCCGTGTCGAATTGCAGTGCATATCTCAACACATGTTCCTGGTCAGCTTTCACGATCCTTCTCATCGTTACTTTTGGGTGGATCCTTTGAAATTTGACCACACGCACAAGAGATGTTCTCCTCTGACACTTTCTGCTTATGTCTTTAATTAAATAAAACCATTTAAATTACACTTCTATTCTCCGCAATGCTTGCCTGCACATGTTCCTCCTTAACTAACTTACAAAATCAAGAACCTTTGTATCTTTGCTTAGACGTTCTACTGTTTGCGCGCACTAAAAGATAAGAATTGCAGCGAGATAAGCTCGAAAATACTCTTGTCCAATCACTCCTTGGGCCCCGCGACGGCGCTCACACGTACTTGCAGTCCACAGGCTGGTGCACGCCGCTGTTCTGGATGTACATGTAGTAGTTGTAGGAGCTCTGGCTGCTGTGGTCGGTCATGTGGGTGGTGGGCAGGCTCGTGGGCGAGGGCACGGGGCCTCCGGCGCAGGGCCCCGCCGTCCTGAGCGCCGCCACGGCCGCCTGATGGTGCACGCCGGCCAGGATGTCCGTGACGGAGTGCGAGGAGGGCCAGCAGTGACCCGCGCGGAGCGCCGTGGCAGTTTGCGGGGGCGAAGGACTGCCGCACATCGGCGTGGCTCCGCCCCCCTTCAGCGTAGCGCCCCCGTACGCCGCATACGACGGATAGATGGAGTTGTACAGGTGTGGATGATGGGCCGGAGAGCCCGTCGGCGCTCCTGTGTGATGAGCCGCCAAGTTGCCCAATTTGTTCCTCAGGATCCGCGATATCGAGCTCACGCTCGGCACGTTGTTCTTGTCGCACACGCCCTCGGATAGCAGCCGGTCCCGAATCTCCCACGCGAAGATGCCGGGATCCTTCTGTTTCAGCTCGCGAATGTAGTTGACCACCTTTGGCGTGGTGACACGGGGCTTGGAGCCCCCGATGGCGCCGGGCAGGATGGAGCCCGTCTCGTGGTAGCGCGCCAGGATCTTGGAGACGCAGCCATGGCTCACGCGCAGTTGGCGCGAAATATCACACGGACGAATGCCCAGACGCGCCAGCTCGACGATCCTCATCCGCGTGCCATTGGGAAGCGGGCGTCCGTTCACGAAGACGCCGCCGAGTTGGTTCACCTCGCCATACTGCTGCCCTTGGTTGTCTGCAAAGATTCAGGAAAATCTTTATCATCTTTTGTAACAAATTGATTCGTCGTACGAGTAGAAATGGTAGAAAAGAAGAACTAATTTCAAATCATGAACATTTTTAGATCAGAAAAGTGTTCAAATGCTTTGCTCGCATCGATCTTCTGTGCTCCAGTAACACATTTTCAGCAGTGTTTTTCCAATGGCGCAACAAAGTCCATTGGCCACAAAGACGCAAGATTTATGAATGAAAAGTGTATTATTTCAATTGAGAAATATCGTTTGCGTTTCTGAACGCGGAAAATGACCCTCGAATCACTGCAAAATCCATAAATAGAGGAGAATCGTGGAGAGATCGCTGTGCTGTGATTTGAAATGTGATTCTGTTCCAGAGAAATAAATACATAACAAGCACGAGGAAGTGCTGGAGACTCGAGAGCCAGGGAAAGTGCGAAAAGAAGTCATTCTGCATCTATTGCGTGAACCTCAGCAGGCTGAGAGCGCATGAGGAAATCTGGGGAAGAAGATGAAGGGTTCGGATGAGGATCAGTGGCATTTCCTTCGCTGAGGGTTCGGCGGGAAAAGACATGGAGAAGCGCAAGGAAAGGAGTGCGGAATGATTGAAATGTGAAGCGGGAATCTTTGATGTTGAACCTAGAGAGTCATAAGTCACATTTAACGGTCCGTGGATTGACTCCTGCAGGAATTCCTTCTGCACGCTCTCTATAATTAAATAATTTACTATTCTATCGCTGCCTTCGATGGTGGCGAAAGTGGAGAGAAAGTTAATGAGAAAAAAGTGTACACAAGCCCATTGAGAGAATCTTTCACTCTCCTATTTTCATCCAATTAAAGCGCTGTAAAACCCGCGAGTGATTCTTTACGACAAATTGGTGGGTTTTTGGCGGGAAGATCATTAATGAGGAGTGCGAACGCCGAAATGTAGAGGAAAAAGCACACATTTTTGTCTCACTCTTTGTCTGTTACCGCCCATCGCGAAATTCTTTTTTATTCGTGATTGCGCCGAAGAAAAAGCAAGCAATAAAATTTTATTACCAACCATTTTGTCACAACACATCTTCTGCGTTCCTCCTCAATCTCAATTCCATGCGCGATGCCGTGAAAAAAGAAGCGCGAGAATGGAATTATTTTTGCTGCATTTGCTCCAGAAAATTTGCCATCTGCACGTTTTGCTCAACTCTTTTCCCTCCGTTCATTTGTTCAGTGTCTGCAGAGTTTACAAATTGTACATGTTGCGACTATGATAAACTAATTTGTTCTCTTGTTTGCTCTCTTCCTTTTGGACACGCGAAGAAGTCAGGAAAATTTATTGGACTTGCCTATTTTCGCGCCATGCGGCAAATATGTCGCTCTCTTCCGATGGAATTTTTCCGAGGCAAATTCTTCTCCAATATTTTGATGTGTTCACCTCAGGCGCGAAAGATCTCCTGACAAAATTATCAAAACACTTCTGTCACGATGATGCGCACAGCATTACAGAATTCTCCTTCATTTTCACGCTAAGCAACACGAGCCAAATAATTAATTTCGTCGGTGAACTGAATCGCCAAAAAGACACACTGGCATCTTGATTAATTTAATCCCGCTGTATTAAGTCTATTCAACACAGTTGTCTCACTCAGGAATCATCGTACGTCTTAAAGGGTGTCATTAATAATTCATGAAATTTTCAATTATTCGCGTCTTTGCAATTTAGTAAATTTCTATAGGCGCACATAAAATGAAATCTTGTTTAATAATCATACTTTTTTTCATGTCGAGTTGATCCGATAAGCCATAAATTTACTCACGATGTAAGGGTTAACCAACATTTCGAGAATAAAGTGTGTAAAATGTTTCGGGTCTTGTTAACTCACGCGACATGGCATTAACTATGTTTTCCCTGTATTTTTCCAAGAGACAAATGTAGCGAGACTTCACACAGTGGGGAGAATCCTGGCGAAGGAGTTTGAAATATTGAGCACTTCCGAAATAAATCAAAAAATCTCTGCGCTGATTAATGGCAAATTAAGCTGATTAATGAGGGGCTCTTGGGACACCTTGTGGATGGTGGAATCGCTCCCCAAAGCCGACATCTGCTGACAGGGAACATGAATGGGAACAACAGAGCGGAATCATTCATCGCGCATGATTGATGCTCGCGAGCTTTGAGCCAGAAGAACAAATTGTATCGATGATTTAGCACATGCTTGAGCATTCTAATTATTCTGGAAATTGATCCCCAGCGACTAAAAATAGGACGCGCGTTGGAAAACCGCTCCGCCACAAAGCCGAATCCCTTCGACGGAGGGGAAGTCAGCAGAAAATGATGAATAAGTATTTAACCTTCATCAAGAGTGACTTCCGGAATTGTGTTTGCTGGATGAATCTCAGCACGAGAGTGAGCAAGAGTGGCAATTAGACAGTGAATCCATTTAGACGCTCACTGAAAATTCTTTTGCCATCGAGAGATCAGAGGTCTGTTAATTGAAAACGAATGACGATTTTGTTGTCTTGCTGATCTCCAACCTCTGTCGCGTGTAGACTTTCTCAAAGGGCTGAGGAATTTGGGATGAGTGCCAATTCAGTGATAATTCACTGTGTTTCCCACTGTCAGCTCAATTTGATCGCACCCCGAAACATTCAACGCAGACGTTCTCACAATTCTCTTATCAATCTCCGTAGGAAAACCTTTAAATCGCCTTCTAATCAAAATATGGGAGCTTTCAAAATTCACAGACGTAAAAACGTTGGGAGGCATTTTTAAAGTTGACTGATAAGCTTATCAATCTGGCTTTAATTAATTAATTTCGATAGGGAAAAAAATTATTTTCCTCACAGTTTCTCAGTGTGTCTAATTAGTTGAATTTTGATGCTATCCTCATTGATTTTAGAAGTCAACACTGAGAGAAAAATACACAATTGCTCAAAATTTAATCTTTTTTATTATCTAAACAGAGAGTTTTCCGTAAAAGTTACTTTTTTCATCTTGCAATTGATATTTTTACGAACCATAGGATTATTTTGCCTGAAGTACTTTGCGCATTTAAGTTTTATTATTTAAGAGGTCTTTCAGTTTACAAAATAAATACGAAATTTGAGATTTCAGACTATGAATGTCCTTAGGAAACTTCAGAAAATACATTCAATGTTCTTGTTTGCTAAAACTTTCAGTGTTTCAATCTCCCATGGAAGAGACAATGAGAAGCGAAAGACGAGAAGACAGTAGCGAATCTCAGAAATAAATCTGCTCAGCCAGAACCCTAATCTGCCAGATTAAATAGAGTGTCTTCATGAGGAGCGAGTCTGTTCCAATCTCCGGAGCGGAATCCCATGTGGATCTGCGCGGCCAACACCACTGACAAGAAAGATGTCTTTGTTTTAATGCAAATTCCCAGAATTTTCGCTAATTATACTTTGAATATGACTTTTTTGCTAATTTTTTAATATGTCGTATAATTAGATTATAGCTTCGCTTTTTCATCGGTCCTGTGCACAGGAAATTCTGTCTAAAGTGGCTCTGCGTTTTTGCGGGATTTTGCGCATCTTTCCAGACCAATCCCGCGACTCCTCCTCGATTAATTACACTCTATGGTGCTGCTTTCCCACCTCCGAGTCTCGCTTAAGAGCCTCTCGGCACTTCTCAAGTGACTCCAAGGATTGGATCGAGCAGCACAAGCGCAAATTAATTTTCACGCCGAAAACATTTTAGCAGCAAGTCAGCTGGCAAACAGTCAATTTGTCGAAAAATAAAAGCAATTAATCGTAAAATTATAAATATAAATGTCGCATAAATTATTAAATTCCTCAAAGTGAGAGGAATTCCTTCAACATTTCACGAAAATTTATATATCGATCAACATGAACAAGAGACTCAGCATAAATCTCTCGGCGAGATACGAGCGAAAAAATCAGGTGAAAAGACAAAACGCAGTGAAAATTGCGTGTGCGAAGCTGAAAGTGCATGAGAAGAAACAAGGAGACGACAGTTGGTAATTAAATTGTTAATTTTAAATTGAAAGGTAGTTGCAACGCTTTGCTGTATTTGCAATTTAACGAAACGGATTGAACACAAATTTGGCATGAAATAAGAAAGATCCTTTCACTGTGGCGAAATTGCATTGCCAGCAGATTTATCTTCGCAGACTGTCACGATGGTGGGCATTTGCAAAAATAACAATGCCTTTTTGCATAACTAGAGTTAAATTGTCCGAAAACTGGCGATGAGGATAAACATTGTGCTCTTATCAATCTCGAGGTCTGCGATCTCAATACTACAAGTTGTTAATGCGAAAGTGAAAACTTTTCTGTTTGGGGAAGTTTTCGTATTTGTTTTTTCTCTGGGAAACGACGTTGGATTAAATCAATTGAGTAAAACCCGAAATAAAAAATTGATTTACTTGACATTCTTGCCCAAAAACCTTCTTAAAAATACAGTTTCAATAAATTTTGTTAGATCTCTTTAGTGTGACTAGAGATTGACTTCATTTGGGTGTTAATTTCTACGACACAAATGTACTTTTGATGGATTTACGGATAAAATCCTCCCCCAAATCTCTTTGATTCGGAGGCAAAACTCGTCTGTGATGCTGAAGAGGATGTAAAGAGGTGAAGAAGGTTAAAGATCACCTGCAGCAAGGCAAATATTGACTGACTGCTCCCTCCGAAATGTGTGTGAAGAGAAAGAATCCTCCTCGATTAGCTTTCTGAGCCGCTAACAAATTTTTGAGCAAACATTTAAGTATTTTTTGGCTTGTCTGTTTGATATTTTTTTGCCCAAAAAAAACCCAGCTTTGCCGCTCTTTCCCATCGAAGGGCACGAAACTGCGTTTATTTTCATGAGTTTCTCTCGTATAATTGAAAGTAATTAAAGATCCTTGTCTTCCAAACACTAATTCACTTAAAGTAATCACAGACATTTTAAAGATGACTAAAAATTTTGTGCTAAAATAATCCAGTTTAAACCGAACTCGGATTTTATTATGTGTTCAATTAGATCCGAAATCACAAGTTAAACATCGAGACGGGAAGAGAGGAGATAATTTTTCCTGGTTTTTGACTTTCCCTACATTTCAACAGAACAGAAATCGAAAAATCATAATTTCGCAATATTAAAAAACAAAGAGCTAATAATTGAACTTCTCCTTGATCTATTTTCAATTGTGGTGAAAATTTGTGATGTGCGCAAAGTTACTGAGAATCACTCTGTCTTCTCCATGAAGTTGATGGCCAAAGCACGAGCCGGAAACGACGAAAATTGGCGGGATGACTCAGACTAGCTGTACATTGTTAGAGGAGTGGATCTAATGGAAAAATGAGACGGAGACAATCTCTCACAATTAAATTGTCACACCGCGCGCGGCCCTATCGAGACATCACCAGTCAAAACTGCCCATGGCAAAATTCTTGAGAAATATCGCAATATTTCATTAAGTTTTTAATTCCCGTGCTAAGGTGGTGTATAATCTTTTGTCTTGCACGCTCTGGTGTAATATCGTATTTACCCAATATATTTAATTATTGCCAAGAGAAGCAATCACCTGACTGAAAGACGCGCTTGGTGTTAATTTAATTAGAAAAAAAGAGAGAAATACTGAAATTTGGCGTGATCAACAAAATGTCACATGATTAAATGCGGTCGATCACGTTTTGCGTGGAGATTTTTTTTGTTAGCCACACTGAAAAATATAATATCCATTATCTTATGTCACCTTTATGCAAACTGCTGGAAATGCGCGAAGGATTGCGCGGAAAAAAGTGAATTTTTATTGGCGATGATCCCTCCAATAATTGCCACTTTATAAACATGAAATCTACTATAAATGGGATGAAAATGAAAACAAATAATTATATGGAATGATGGAAATCGATGAGCCTCGACTGTTTTTGTTGTTTTCCACCACATTTTTTCGCCTCTTGACATTACAATATCATTAAGATGACTTTTTTCCACATCTCCACACTCGGGCACTTTCAGTTCACTTGGGCAGCATTGTGCTGGCGGAATGGCGGAAAAATGCCCCACAACACAACAAGAAAGGCCATCGCTTCAGAGACACAGTGTTACTTTTATGCTTGTGGATCAGCTTCGTTTGAAATAAATCCATTCATGAATGACCCATGACGCTATTATCATTGTGGAGCCGCTGATAACCAACTCCGGCCTGAACTCTATGCGCCACACGATCACATCAGAACAACTTGTACGATCGCTGCTGACGATCTCCCTCGCTGGGCGCGACGATTGAAGAATGGTTGATTCTGGTTCTCTCTGGGTCGTCATGAATGAGGGAGAATTTTCTCAGAATATCACACTTTTTGCCAATTTACATTACAAATTATTCCTTTTAGACGTATCGTCATAAAGTGAGAGGTGTTTTCTGATTAACTTCAATTTAGGCGTGCGGAAGAATGCTCAACTGTGCACATTTCAAAGCCAAAATGTCATAGAAGAAGATGTTTTATGCTAGCATTATCGTCTGATACTCAAAAAAAATCAGGATTCGAATAATCCTGTATTAAAGTCTGTGTTTCAAATATCTTGAGATCGCCGGGAATGATTTACAATAAAACAAACTACAATTCAGCTATTATATTATCAAGAGGTTAAATAATTTCCATGGAAAATTAATGTTTCTTTACCAGGAATAATGGAAAATGGAAATTCTCTATATTTTCCATTTCCAACAGCAAGAGTAAATATTTTATATTGGTTAAAAGCCTAATTTCCAAATGAAACTTTATAATTACAACAAATTTTTATCAACTCAAAACATAAGAAAAGATATCAGTCATCAGTTTCATTTCGTCTTTTTATCTTAAGTATCTCATGTATCAAAATGTGGTGGAAAATTTAAGTGCACCTCTTTGGAATAAAGTATCTCTCGAAAATTCGAACTGCAACTCTTTGCATTGAATTAGACGTCATTTGGATTTAGAGTCTCTTCTTTGTCGTGCGTGGAGAATTTTTCTGGAAGGCACTTTTCTTATATACACATAGAGATGGAAAATCACGCGACTGTGAGATGTGAGTGACTTCTTTTGTCTCTCAGCTTCCCTACCTCAATGCGCATCGCGCTATGTTTCCTTTACAACAATTGAGACTCGTGCCTGTTCAATTATTGAAATGAAATTATGTAAAAGATATTTACATGACAATATGTAATGAAGCCACATCAAAAAGTAAAACCGAAAATTACAAATATTTTGAGTTGATAGACGCGGGGAGAAAAAAAAGTTTTGGGTGTGATGCCTCACAAGACAAGAAATCTCGTGTTTTTCACATCTTTTCTTCCTCATCGACGTGCGTTTGCCTCAACATCGACAAGTGAAAAAACAGATTTAATATTTTAATGAGCGCAAAAGGTGTTAGTTGCTACTGTGGTGTTGGGCTTCAAAAAATTTTTGAGGTTCGTGGTTAATTTGTGTTCATTTGTTTAACTCATTGGCAGGTCCGTTGCATTTGCATACAAGTGATCGAGCGAGAAGGCAGGCATTCTACTGACAAACATTCAATTAGAATTCTATGCTTCCTCACCTCAGGTGATCTCTTCATCCTCAGTTGCGTCTCTGGAGTGCAAATTTATCAACTTCTCTAGAGGTAAGTGATTATTTTCGACATGATAGTTGACAAAAAAACGCATTGTCCCAAGATCATGTTCGTTAATTCTCTTAAATCTTGTGCAAATAGTGTGTGGGCCATGCTCAAGTGATCTTGACACAATCTCAAATGACACAAAATCTTAAATCGCCGTGTTTCTATCGCCCGAAGTGCCTTCAATCTCAGAAACGAAAACGCAGATCGGGTAATAAATTGGCTAAACAGCGAATGTGGCTTCTATTTGATCCACTGATTGACGCAACAATTTCTGCCGTAATTGATAAATACTTTTTTATTGGCGGTTCGGAACCTTTTTCGCCTTTCATAAATATTAATTTTCTGACTTTTTTCTGTCATGTTTCGCGGGTGAGACACAAGAGATGCCGTTTTGTGGATGTTATTACACAAAATCAGATATTTATTCAGTTAATTACCAAATAATAAGTGATAAAAATTTCTAATTCAACACACCGCGCACAGTTTTCGTAATTTATCGCATTTGCCTCCTTTTTTGCCGATAGCCGAAATGTGTGGTTTCGTTTGGCGGTGAAGGAGGTGGAAAAAGCCATGCTAGATTTGTGATGGTGAACAAACATCGTGCCATCGCAATGATTAAATGAGCCAACGAAAGACACACTATTAAAAATTGAAGAAGCCCAAATAATAAAATATTTGTGATCACATAAGGCGCAGGTTCAAAGTGCTACCTTATGGACGCTTTGGTGAGATGTTGAGAGAAGACAAATAGTGTTTAATTGAACAACAAGAATGGCATGTACCGTAAAAAATTGACAAATTCAGTAGCTGCAATGCTTGGAGGCAATTAACAGCAAAGCATATACTTTTAATCGAGGAGATTGTATGAATATTTGACAAGCCGTAAAAGCATTTTTCTTGTTCAAATATTTAACTCTATGGTCTGCCTCTTGACCACTAAATGCTGTCGCTAGACCGCCGTCGCATTAATCTCGAGTCCTCTCGCCCCATCAATTCCATATGCAGAAATGCCATGTGAAACCACAACTTTGCAATCCCGTCGCTCGCGCGCGTTCATCATCAACACGATCAATGTTTCAGATCGCAACCTTTGCTTCAACCCTTGATCAGGGATCTTCGGGTCTTCAGACACGACAAACACGCCGCGGGAAGACGTGGAATCGCCTAAAAGGCACGGAAGAAGGTAAATAGCATTTTAGAGTTATTTGTTTTCTTGTAAAATATTTGTCTGAATGCAGCTACCGGTCGTCGGCGATCTTTCTCTCCCTGCACACATTTTAAGCTCTTCGGGATGATGGTAAAGTACACAGTAAATAAGACGATTGGAGAGGAAGATTCACTCGAAATTGCAACGTAACAAAGTCGCGATGTCGCCAGCACTCTATTTACCTGGATCCATTTCTCAAAGGCACTCCTGAGCGGAAGAAGTTCGAGATCAGTTGCTTTCTGGGGGAGGTTTTCAGTGGTTCCTCACACTGACGATCATACTTTATCCACAAGGAATCACACTAAATTGTCCTGATTCTCAGATTGTCTGCACTCACTGAACACAAGAATCCCACTTTCGATCCCGAGCAAGTCGATCATGAGGCGCTCGATCGCAATGCACAACACAGACTGATCGCCGATCTCGGGTCTCACATATCACCATTACTTGTGTCACACACAACAGTCGATGCAAAATGAGAAGCTGCTTAGCCGACACTCTCGCTGGCTATGCGATGAAGATCAGGCGTGCTCCTGTATTTCCATCTCCGTACTGTTTTTCTTTTCCTCCTTCGCTTCGCATCGCATGAATTTTCATTGTCGGCTCGCAGCGACAGCACAAGATTATCCGTGTGTGCCTGTGCGTTCGATCGTATAACACTTTGGGTGGAGTTTGTTCCGTCTGAACGGCCAATCTGGCGTCAGTGAGCGTGTCCAACAGGCGGAGTTTTCATATCTATCTCCATAGGTAATCCCAAATTTAAGCCAACTCACTCGACGCCTCAGGTGGATGTGGGATGATCAATTCATTCGCAATTGATCGTTTCAGAGCGCCTTTCAGCTCAATCTCAAGCATGATCGAAACTGCGCATTGTTGGCAGTCAATCGATGCGATCATGATTTGCTGTAATTAATGATCAAACACCATCATTAGTTCCACACAAATTCTCCATCAATTCACACTTTCATCTCCGCCCACTCTCTTCAACATCTCCAAGTGCTTCTACGACTAATTCTGGATCCGCACTTCTTTGTCTCCAAATCCCCCAATCTTTCGATTCTTCTCCAGAAATCCAGAATTGTATTTTTAATTACAAAGAGACAGAGAAAGTCCATCGTACAAATTACCAGAGATCACAAGGAGTTTCGCTCCGTTTCATTCACTAATAGAAGACACTCGCTTTTTCTGGCTCTCGCGTACTGGAAAAAGAGACGTATTAGTTGAGAAATTTAGGATATTTCTAATTAAAAATTCATTCTCGCATTTCTATCCTCGCCCTTCGCCTCTCGCGCCGGAAAGGTTGACAAGACAAATTTGATGAAATGTGGAATTTCCCTCAAGATGCCGAAAGAGGAATTTTCTAGGGCAGAGCCGGCAGAGCATAAAAGGGCAAGTCAGTAAAATTGTGCATCAATTCTGCTCCCTCGAGCCGAAATAATTATGAAATTGATCTTTTTATTGCCATGAGATGTAAAACTCTGCTTTTATTCATATTGCAAAAATTGCTTGGAATTCACAAAGTGAAGTTTAATTTTTTGGATCAATTAATTGTTTACAAAATGTCTCCAAAACTACAATTTCTTATCGATTTTCTACCATAATTTTGAATTGATCGAAAATTGCCATCATAGCATTTTTCACAGATTTACAAATCTCATTCATCAGGCAATGAAATCCCAAGAATATCAAGCATTGAGCGCTCAATTAATTGGAGAACCATTTAATTGCTAAAAGAAGGGTGAAATGTGAAAAAGAAGTCTAATTTCTATAAATACGCATGAAGCGCAAGTGCGACAAGAATGGCGAAAGGCAGAGAAGACAAAAGGAAGAGTCAACGTGTAGATCGTCTGTGGGATGAGATTTAATGATTTAAGAACTGTGGACAAGAGCTGGAAATAAAATTAAAGGGACAAATACGCTCGCGATGAGTTTCTTTTAAGCAAAATGGTAATTAAACTTAATGGCGCGCAGAGAATAGATTGCGCCGTCGACTTGAAATTAAATGAAGTTTGTTTTGCACTTTCCCTTCGCGAGACTCCGCACAATTAATATAAATATATCAAATTTTCGCAATTTCAATTCGTCAGATGAAAGACTTTCCCGGCCGTGGTTTTTACTAGCCGGCATTTTTCCCAGCTTTGCAAGTTACGAGCTTCCGGAAGCGCGCCGTTGCCACTCTCAGGACTCGTTTTCCTTTTGTCCATCTGCTCGCCGGAGGCGAACTCTTCGTGTTGGATTTCTTTTTGGTGAGGCAATAAATTAAGATTGACTGACGCGCTGCTGTGACAATTTTTTATCAAGCGTGATTTTTTGCTCACACTTTTTTAGCCCAGAAGATTACACATGTTCCTGGCGGGATTCGATCTTCTTCTATGTGTGGAATTGTGAGAAGGGGAGGATAAATGTGAACTGAGGAGTAGAGAAAAATAAGCACATTAAATGAAAACAAATGAGATCTCAGCGCTTCTCTGCTTCCACCATTCTTCGCTTTTTTCTAATCATATTCCCTTTGAGGCAAACCGACAGACGATTTTTCGGGTGAAGGAAAAAAATATCGCACCAAATGCAAATTTCCTCCTCAAATTCGCCCCAAGTTTTTTTCACGCGCCAATTTTCTCCGAAATTAAAATTTTTTGTGAGAATTATTTGTCAAACAATTTGCTTCTCAGCAAGTCATTAAAAAGTTATTATACAAAAGTCATGATATTGTTCATCGAGAGAGTAAAAATTTCAAGACATTTTCAACCTCTCAAGAAGATAAATCATAAAGTGACTTTACAGGGTTCTTCAGTAAATGACCGTTTTTTCCCACTTATATCTAATTTCAGAGTATTCCAAATTCTTTAGAAAGTAAATGGATTTTCCCAGAATGCGGGAGGATATGACAAAATCTGTGGAGAGTCAATAAAGTGTAAAAATTAACATGAATTTATGCTCTCAACGCGAGCATTATTCATTTGCCAGCGTGTTTATGGTCTTTTAATGGACTCTCGGCCTTTTTGGCATGCACATAATATCGCTCTCATTTGTCCTTATGTGACAATAATTGCGAAATTTCGCCATTACAGCCACGCATTTGACGATATGCAAATTCTCAGGTTGAAATAGTGCGAGAAATGTGCATTGGGAAAGTGCTAAGGAGATTGCAAGGAAAAAATCACATTTCCTCTGTGGCCGTAAACTTTTATTGATTTTCTGTCCCCCTTCCCGCCATTTATGGGCTATTTTCCCGTGGATTTTAGTGTGTTTTCTCTCGTGTTAATTGGGTATTGTTTCAGCCAACCGCGGCGCATTTTCACCGTTGCATTTGTGCGAAAATCCGGAACGAATTTCCACCGTGGCCAAACCGTGTCCGACAATTTGAGCGTTAATTGAAAAAAGGAGAAATATTTTGCAAATAGGAAATTGATGTGAGTTCACTGCATAGAATGGAAAAAATAAATTAATTTTCCAGCGATAGAGAAGGAAGACTTTTTGAAAAATGACAAGATCAAAAACACATCGTTTCGGTCAATTACTTTCATACTTCGAGCATCAATGCATAGAGGAAAATACCTTCTATTTATCTCTCAGTAGCGAAACTCCTGCCAATATAAACAACACACCAAGAGTTTTCACGACATGCAAACTAGAAGTAAAGAGGCTTGAAATCTTCAGTGCAAGACTCGAAATTGTACTGTACAATGTGTACAACAGTGTTTTGATAGCGGAGTTGGAAAATGTAAAATCATTCATCATCATTTTACTTTATCATTTTCTTTGCTCTCAGAAGCTTGAACACTTCAACTTCATTTTCTGCACAGATTTTATCGTGGCAGTGATATACCTACTTCTTTTTAAAATCTATTGGAAAACCTGAACTCTGTAGGCAGAATGTGAGCTCATATTTGGAAAGTCTGATTTTCCTACCTCTTCCGACATCTTGGGACTTAATGCGACTCACAAACACCGCATTTTACTTAACTAAATCCAATTTTCTCACAATAAAACAACAAAAAACTGCTCGTTTTATTTTGAATACTTGTTGAAAACCATATCTGTCCAATTTGATATTAGTAGGTCATGCGTCAGGCATACGAATATAGTGTTTGCCAATTTGGCACCGGAGCGCTCGTTTAGCCGGGATCTGTCGGTTCCCGAATCTCAGAGATGGGAAAATCGTGATTTTCCCAGCATCGACAGCTCGACAGGAATCATCGACTGGTTGGATTTTATTCCCGGAAAAGAATTTTCCAACGTAGTGTAAGAAGAAGAAGAAAAGATGAGTTTGTTGGTGTTTTTCGTCTCTCTCGTGCACCTGCTGTACACTCCCTTCACGAAGGTCGAGGAGAGCTTCAACATCCAGGCGATGCATGATCTCCTCTACCATGGATTCAACCTGTCGCAGGTACTCTCGGTCCGATGATCTAATCCGCCGACTGCCTTAACCTCAATGCTTGCGCTTTGCAGTACGATCACCACGACTACCCGGGAGTTGTGCCCCGGACGTTCCTGGGACCGATAGCTATCTCAGCGCTGGTCTCACCCATTGTGCTCCTCTTCGAGGGCATGGATGTGGGCAAGTTCTGGGCTCAGTACGTGGGTAAGCGGGAGGATCTCGCTGGGCAGTGACGATTGGAAGCTTGATCTGTTGGCTTTTGCAGTTCGAATCACGCTGGCAGGACTTGTGGTGTATTCCTGGAGCGAACTGAGGAAGACCATAACTCAGATGTTCGGTCTGTCGGTGTATATCTGGCTGACTGTCATCACAATCTCCCAGTTTCACTTCGTCTTCTACCTGAGTCGGCCTCTGCCCAATATCCTGGCGCTTCCTCTCGGTAAGAATGCTTTGCTTATCCTTGTGCTGCGAGTGTTGTTTAACCCTCGTATTCTTTGCAGTACTCTTGGCAGTTAACTTCTGGCTGAAGAAATCCCACAAGGCATTTATCTGGATCTCGGGAGCTGCAATAATTGTCTTCCGGACGGAACTAGCCGTCCTCCTTGGTCTCTATCTCCTCTACGACATCACGTACAAGAAAGTCTCTCTACCAGAGTGAGTGACACTGGAATGATTTCTAATCAGATTACTAAATTCACCTCTTTCCAGGGTTATCAAGACGACAATCATCGCTGGAGTCGCTCTCCTCACTGTTACAGTGGCGATAGACTCGATATTCTGGCGACGAGTCGTCTGGCCAGAGGGCGAAGTCTTCTGGTTCAACACTGTGTTGAACCGGAGCTCTGAGTGGGGAACATCTCCCTTTCTCTGGTACTTCTACTCCGCCCTGCCACGTGCCATGGGACTCTCCGTCCTCTTCGTGCCGCTGGGAGTTCGACAAGAGCCGCGCATACGTCCAATTGTGATTCCCTGCATAGTCTTTGTTTGCCTCTTCTCGCTGCTGCCACACAAAGAGCTGCGATTCATCATCCACGTCTTCCCGCTCCTCAACATCGCGTCTGCTTGCGCTTGCAGTCGCTTGTGGCTCAATCGCGCCAAATCATTTATGCACTCTCTCGGAGCCACAGCCGCGGCTCTGCACCTCCTGGCCAATGTCGCCTTCACCATGTTCCTCTTGATAGTCTCAGGAACGAATTATCCCGGCGGCGTGGCCATGTCTCGCCTCCACCGGCTGGCGGCCAACGAAACGAACGTGAGTGTTCACATTGGGAATCTGGCAGCTCAAAGCGGAGTGTCCAGATTCACGGAATTGAACGCCAACTGGACATACAGCAAGACTGAACTGACGCCAAAGGATTTAGCTGATATGAGATTCACTCACTTACTGATTGAATCCAAGCATAAGCAAGATTTGGACTCCTTCACCTCATCGTACAGCATCCTGGAGTTCATTGAGTGCTTCGACACGATTGGGATTCAGTACAAGTCTTTCTTCCCAGTCAGAATCAAGACGAGACCCTGCATTTTCCTTCTAGAGAGGAAAAAGGGAATGAAAGTTCCCGAACCGGTCGAGGAAGTCAGTAAAGAAGAGATTGAAGAAGCTGTAGATACTCTTGAGGAGCCTATAGTGGACAATGTGCCTGAAAATGACACTGAACCAGAAGAACAACTGCCCGAACACGAAGATGAGCCAGAAAGTGAGACCAAAATGCGCGTCGCACGCGTGATAAGAGGCAACAGGATTGCGAATATACGGAAGATTATAAAAACGGATGAGATAAAGCACATGGTTGAGGACATCGGAAAGCTGGACTTGAGTGAATTTTGTGATCTGGACAAGTTGTCCACAAAGGAGTGCCTTAAGAAGATCATCGACGAGTACGGTGATCAGGAAGATGAATAGCATCTGCGAAATACAGATTATCTCACGAATACATTAGACTTTATTTACCAAAATGCCTCTCCATTGAACTGTTATCCTGAAAATGCTTTCCGTGGAAATGTTCTGTTGCCATGACCCGTGTTTCTGGTGGAATTTCAACTACTGAGACGACTACGGAGGATCGGCATTCGGGAGGGTGTGAACAGCTTAAGGATGTTGATCTACTCTTCCTTTGGATAGCTCAGCTCATAGAAGAGCTTGCCAATGAAGCCAAGACCAACCAGACTCAGACCCATGGTGATCCTGTACATGATTTGATCGCGTGCGCCCATCTTCAGATGTACAGGAAGTCCATCGGGTTTCTGGAACTTCGCCTGAACTTCCTTAAGCCTTTGGTATCCGGGGTGGACTTCACCTTTGGCGGAGTTGCACACGCTGCTCGTGGACACCTGACGAGCGCTCTGCTGAGCCAATCGACCAACGTTCTGATGAATTTTCCCGGAAAGAGGAAAACAGAGCTCTTATGTAATAGTGAGGTTATGTTCACACCCCAAAATAATCCCTTTTTCATCCATTTACTGATCACAATCGATCAGCGATAATCCGATTGTGGGAAAAAACACTCCAGCATTCACTTACCCGAATAAGACTCATTTTTCACCCTAAATGTGTGCAAATTGGTGAAAAATCCAAGGGAAAAGTGGACAAGGAAAATTCTATCTCTCTGACGTTTCCCGACTGAGCATTTCGATCAAAATCCTACAGAGGGCGAATTGCCAGAGTACAAAATGCTCGAAAAATAACCGCTTTGGACTCTCATTTCTATTCTTTATTCAAAAGTATTTTGTAAATTTGTTCTGCCTATGATAAATGTTAATTAAATACAGAATTTATATTAATCAATATACTTCAATTTTAGCGTACATCTCTTGTTATTCTATTTCATATAATTTTCTCTATACATCTTCTGAGTTCTCTTTAGAATTCCCTCTTATTTTATCATGATTTGATCTGTTTGTGAAGTCGGTAAGCAATCTCTCAGGAAGTTCACTTGACCAGAACATGCCTCCGGAGCTGACAATAAATATCTGGAAGCACAGGAAAGCTAGTAAAATGCATTAGATTGACTATTCATGAAAACTCACCTTATTGTTTGCCACATCGAAACCTTTTATTCCATCTTCTGGCCCCTTCAGAACGCCAATCATTTCATTTTCCTCACAATTCCACACGGAAACCGTCCCATTTTCACACAAAATTAAAATCAACTTCGACAGTCGCTTGACATCAATCACTTTCTGTTTTATATTGCACCTTGATGTCTCTTCTCCAGTCTGAAAAACAGCCAAAAATTAATCCCGCTCTTATTTCTCATATCTCGCATATCTCACTCAGCTCTCTTACCATGATTCTGCAATGGACCAAGTCTGTCCCATTGACACCACAGTGAATCATTTGACTGTGGCCACTGAAGTGATCAATGGTCCATTCCAGGTGAACTTTTTTGATTAACTCTCCAGATTCGGCTTTCCTGATCGACAATTCACTTCCTTCTTCGGCCACTGCCAGGATCCTCTGGCCGTCCACCTCGCCACTCACCAGGCCAATAATCTCGCCCTCCGTATCGCAGTTCAGCTCCTGATTGTCCTCCAAATTCTGCAAGAATTAGAACAAAGAAGAGTCTCAAGTTCATGTCAATGCACATTCAAATCTTTCATACAGAATTCAAAAAGTCAGCATCACGATCATTTAGTAATTATCGTTAACTCATTAGTTATATGACAGCAACAAACGCGATATACGTAATGACCTCTATTTCTTCAAGTTGACGATAATACAAAGACAGTTTTCATGGTTCACGAAATCTCCATGATTTTCACACCCTTCGACCCCATTCCTAACTATAAAAGCATTAGACTATGAGATTCCCAAAAAGATTTCTGGCTTTCTCACCGTTGAATCAAATACGAGGATTTTCCTGTCATGGCGCACGATGTACAATTGTCCCCAAGGCGCACTCGTGATGCTCTCCAGCGCGCTTCCACAGTAAAACTCCCCAATTGAGCCCTTGAATTCCTCGCAGTCGGTTTTCCGCACAAATCCATCAGACGAGACGGTGAACGCCAGTTCATTGTGACACGCAAAGGAACTGATGTTCTTCTCGTGAAGTTGAACACTCTTCATTTGCTTTTCGCCATCCCAAGAAAACCGATAAAGGCTCGGATCGCTTTCCGCTATCGCAAAAATGTATCCTTTCGCCACTTCCATGCGGAGAATCTGGGATTTCACTGTGAATTCCACAGAATCCTTCCAATTTATCGCTAAATCCGAAGGCTGATCTCCGACTCTAGTTTCTTTGGTTCCCTCCACTGGATGAGTGGCCTCATCAATCATGTCTTGCGTGTATCTCAGCACCTGCACTGAGCACTCCTTCAGGACCTTCGATAAATCCTGAGCTGAAGCGACTGGAGGTTCTGGCGTGGCGACTTTCTGTGGCTCTTCTGGCACTTTCGCCACAGGCACGGGAGATTTCTTCTTCGCAGGCCCAATCTTCACCTTCACTCCCTTCATGGGCTTCTTCTCCTTCGGTTTAGAATCATCACGATCTTGAGGATTGGGCTTTTGTGCCTCAATCTTTTGACTTGGCTTCGGCACCTCAATCTTTTGATTTAGCTTCGGCGCCTCAATCTTTTGATTTGGCTTCGGCGCCTCTATCTTTGGCGTCTTCACTTGACTCTCCTCAACACTTGGCTGCATTTTCTTCGGTTTCGGCGGTTTCTTCTTCTTTTTCGTCACTTCCGCAGTTTCGGGATACTTCTCGGCTAAATTATTCACCATATTCGCTACTTTCACTGACTTCGGCGCCGCACTTCCCATCGGCAACTTCTTCTCCTCGAACCTCACATTCTTCGGCTTCTTCACTGGTGTCAGCTCGACATCTGACTCAATCAGCGCATCCACATGCCCAACTGGAATCGAGAGAATCCTATTCACCAGATCAAATCGCGTGTTCTGCAGCTTCATCGATTGCATCTCAATGCTCATCAGTTCGCTCTGCAATTTCTGAATCTGCTCATCAATCTCAATCTTCTTGCGCTGCATCTCCATCAGGCTGATGTCAATCTGCTTCATCTCGTGGAAGATCTTCAGTTCGCGTTCGGCAAGGCTCTTCGTGGGCGTTGTTGGTTGGTATTGCGTTTGGACACACTTGTTTTTGTACTGCATCGGGAGGCACTTTTTCTCCCCAGGCGACAGCCACTGGCGCTGAGGCGCGTCAGCGTTGCTCTTGTCCATTCTCTTCCTCTTCGCCCCCATCTGGTTCGGCTGGTTGGGATTGGGCCTCTTCCTATTCTCCTCCGGTGGCCTGCTTCCACCAGGCGGAGGTTTCCTGTTCATTTCAGGCTCTGGCGGTCTTTTATCCTGCTCCCAAGATTTTCTTTCAGGCTCCGGAGGCTTCTTCTCCATTTCCGACGGTCTTCCTGGGTGTCTGTCGGCAAAATTCTCTCTGTATGACCTCGAATTGTCCCTCTCATGACTACCAGATCCTCTGGATCTGCTGCGACCTCTCTCGTGTCTATCATATCGGTGTCCTTTGGGATCATAGCTTCTTCTGCCCGTGAAGCGCCTGTCATCGCGCCGAGAATGTCTGTTGTCCGGATATCTCTGCCTCTTGGGTATCTTATAGCTCTGCAGCTCCTTTGACATTGCCTCGTTTGTGTTATTTGAGGAGATGTTATTGAGAAGATTCGTCTGTGCCTTGTCCTCCTTTAGCAAATCCTCACCAGGCGTGCAGATTGCAATACCATTGTCCGCAAATGCTCTTATATTGTGATCATCATCATTCTGAACCATCAACGGACTCAGAGCATTCGCATCCACCGCTTCATTCATCACACTGTCCAGTGTATTGGCATCGCCCAGGATTTCCGTGGATTCCCTATTCACACGACTCAGCGTGACATTCTCCTTGATTGCTTCTTCTTGGACAACAATGGTCTCAGTCAGATTTTCTGTAGAAGCATCAAAGGTCTCCAGCTGTACCATATTCTCCTCTATCGCCTTGTCAAAGTCCAGAAATAAACTATTAGACTCATCATTGTTCGCCTCCAAGCCAATCATACTCTTGATCTCATTGAACACCGCTTCGGGCATCTTGTCTGAGTCCACAAACAAATCCGGCTCGATGTCTCGGAACTCACTTTCCGACTCTGCGCGCTCCTCTACGCTAAAGTGCCTCAGACGTTGTCTCACGTTCGCCCTGATCAGCTGAGTGGCGCGCTTCTTCAGCGCCGACTCGTACTTGGGCTCTGGATCATTGATCACCTGCTTGATGTTGTGCTTCTCCATCAATGTCACGCGATTCAGCAGCTTCTGCGTCACACTGTCCAACTTGTTGTCTTTCTGAGGCACTGTCGCGTTCTGCGGCTGGATATTCTCGCTGCTGTTGTGTCCATACTTCGATGCCCGGAACTCTTCGTGATATCTGTTTAGTGAGTCTATAAGATCGTCACTTCTTGGCTTCCTCTCAGGCTCCTCCTGATTGGCTTGAGATTCACAAGTGCCCTAATATTGCAAAACAACACAATTACTGAAAGTCTCTGAGATAAGGAAGTCTTCTTACTTGAGATGGAGTTGAAACTGGAGCATTTCCACGCGTCTGGCCGTTGTTCACGTCCCAGATTTCACCTTGCAGCAGTAGAGAGAGAGGCACCGGTGGCGGAGGCAACAAGGCGGGCGCGGGAACGGGCTGTGGTCCAATCTGACTATCTGGAGTATTGAATTGCCTGCACGGGGAAAAATGCCAGAGTCAGCAGAATGCCAAGGGCAAACGCCATCGTTTTACCTATTCTGCTGCGGACTGTTCGCCTCGAACACAGGCGGCGGTTGTTCCCAGATGCTTTGCTGACCCTGATTCCTGGCCACAATACCTGGCAGAGGCACAGCAGGTGGCAGATCTAATAGGGATGGGATGCGATTTGTCTCCTGTTTCCCCGCCCAGGGAGATCTTCTGTCAGGATCTCTCGGGCCGCCTGACCCACTTCCACCACGTCTATGGAATTGCTTGTTCCTGAAACCGCCCTGGTGCACCCACGCAGCATTCTGCTGCTCTTGGTTTTTCCACGGTGGCCGGAAGCTCATCTTCCTCCGAGTAAGACGTGAAATTCTTCAGCAAACACCACTTATCCCCACACTCACACCCCACACGTCCTCAACACTATAATGGCACTCTTCTCACGCATATAATCATCGCGAAAACATCTCAATCACATTCCTCAGACACTTGAGTATCTTTTTTAACTGAATTTAACACAATGTGTAGGGAAAAAGAGTGATTTTTCCAGTGAAAATCTAGCAAATGCGCCCCTTTTGAGGCTATGTTTTCTTCATTATCAATGACAACTCGGTTAAAATTTTTTCACACTAGACGGCGCCGGTGTGCTCTTTTGCATGCGGCAACTCGACTTCCGAAGGTCAGAATTGAAAAGACCGGAGAAAACCGTTCAGTTGCGGCGTCGATTTTGCGAAGTGCAGGAAAAATTGTTATTTTAAGTAAAATTCTTGAGCTAAAGAGACAGAGAGCACAAGGAAAATGAACACCGATGTTGCAAGAGCTGAAAATGTGGCGAATAACGACACTTCGATGTGAGTTTCTATCATATTCTGCACTTTTGATTCATTAACAATTTACTCTGCAATTTACGGGACATTTCAGGAATGGCTCGAGTGTAGACGAAAGTACGCTGTACTACTCAATGAATAGCTCGGGTGGTTTGGCTTCAGAGTTGGAGGGCACACTGGAGGCAGAGGCGGATGAAGAAGCAGTGATATCAGTGGAAATTCCAGACTTTTCTCCCGGAACTGCACTTCGCGATCCTCTGGCGATTTGTGACAAGTTTTTGCAGAAGAATGCCTTGATGTCTTCTACACCCAATCGGTTGATTTTTCCTCCGTCCGATGACAAAGTCCCGGAAGGGATTGAGAAGGAGGAACAGCCGGCGGATGAATCAAAAGATGATACTCTGCAGGAGAAGAACGAGGAAGCGACAATGAAGAGCGACAATTCCCTGAAAGATCTTTCAGGCAAAGAATCCGTATCTCCGAAGCAAATCCTTGAGGACTTGCCTGGAGAGAAGCAAAAATATTCTGAAGATATTGTGGAGAAGAAGGACGAGGCTTTCCAGGAAGCTCTAATAGTGGTTCAGGAAATGAGCGTCACGCGAGTGACTGAGGATCTGATCAGAGTTGTGATTGAAGAGGAATCTGAGGAAATGGAGGCAACTCCTGTCCCGGAGACAACTCCTGTCCCGGAAACAACTCTTGCCCCGGAACCAGCTCCTGCCCCGGAACCAGTTCCTGTCCCGGAACCAGCTCAAGAAACGCTGGAACCGCAAAGAGTGCCTGAAAACGAGGAGAATAAGGAGAATGCCAAGCAGAGACGACGCTCGAAGATTGCCGTCTTGAATGCGCTTCCCAAGGAGGCAAAACCCACAGGAAAGCAATCTCTGATCAGAAGATCAATTCTCAAGTCAGACGTGAAATCTCCCGCCAGGGCGATCAAGAGAAGCTCTCTCTTACCCAGAAATCTCCCTGCAGCCCAGAAGAGGCAGACAATTAATCCGCTGCTTAGCAAACCTGGTCCCTCTGCTCCGCTGGCCAAGCCTAAAACTGCTCCTCCAGTAGCGAAGAAGCGTCAAACTCTCGCCCCTAGCACCAAGCAGAGATCTCCAAAAGCCATTCTGACCACCAAGAATCCACCGCTGGTGAACAAATCACCCAAATTCCTCCATCCCAAGGACGTGCTTCCATCAGCTAGAGAGTTTGAGTGCAAGGTGTGCAAGAAGAAGTTCCGCACGTTGATGATCCTCGAGACACACGCCAAGACGCACAAGGATGCTGCAAAGACTGGGCTTTTCTGCAAATACTGCGATCGCCGCTTCGAGATCAAGAAGGGACTGGAGAATCACATCCAGAACTACTGCGCAAAGATTCCCGTGGGCGAGAAGAGACGCTTGCTGGACGAGCAGGCAAAGATCAATGCTCTCACGCCGCGCACAAAGCGTCTGATGAAGACGTCTTCTGGATGCGATAGCTCGTCCAGCGCTGCTTCCTCGAGCAGTGACCTCATGAATCAACTAAGGCGCTCACCGAGCGCCCAAAGAAGCGTTCCCAAGAGGAGGAGCGTGGCCTTTGCTGGGATCAGCGCCACTCCCAACCGGACCATCAAGTGCTATCAGTGCCTGAAGGAGTTCATCGATGTCTTTGAGTTTTCTGACCACATCACGGAGCATGTAGAGAACTGAGCGAATTGTTCAATACTCTTTGGTTTACATTTTATTAATATTTTTGCCAATAAATAGCGGTATTTTCTTGGATTCAAATGATATTTATTATTCAGCGATGTGTGAGGAAGTGACCTGATTTTCATGAAAACAACTCTAAAAGCCATAGGCAATGAATGTCCAGGGAATTGGGCATCTTTTTGATACTTGTCTGTATGTGGATAGAGCCAGAAATTGCCTAGGAATCAGTAAAGGTACATAAATATGCCTTGCATACCCTCTTGAACCACCAGCAAATTTTCGTTGGATTCGAGCGGTTCACTTTGGCGATGGCAGTGCCTCAAGCGGCTGCCAAGGCAAACGGTGACCGTGGATTGTCAGATTGGCACTTGTATTTTGGGCTGAGGAGAAGAGGAGTGTTTTCGGGCCAAAAGGAAGGTGAAGAGGACAATTTAATGGTGAAATAGTGCTGTGAACGATCGTGGTAGTGAGTGAAAATGTCGGTGAGAACGAAAGTACTGGGACTCATAGACGTTCTCATGCGAGTTCCGCCGCTGTTTGTTATCGATGAGATCCTCAAGATCCAAATGGGGCTCTCGAGCCCAGTTGAGAGTGCAGAGAATTACACAGTGCAGAATGAGGACATCCAGAAGCCGCTGGACGAGGACATTGAGTTCTACAAAGTCATCTCGATCACCACAATCAAATTCCTCATGTGTTTGCTGGGTAAATTCGTGTGTGAAAATGCTAAATAATTTGTGTCAACATAACCCCAATTCTGCCCAGAAAAATCTCTCTGTCCAGTCGCACTGGCCAGGAACGTCTGTTTCTCCCGCGGGAGTCACTGCCCGATTGTCTGGGGCGTCCTCATGGTGAGGAGTCTACCTCGTCTGGGGCACTATTTGTTCGAAATTGTGCAAATTTTCATGGCCAAAACAGCCACAAGGACACCAATTCATTTTTCTCAACCAATTCGCTTCCGGTCGATGAATTGTGTGACTCACATCTGTAGTGGTGGATCAATCACCTGCTTATTAAAGATTCACTGAGGAGATACATCAACACCTCCGACCGACGCGAGGGCACAGCGAACGCGAGAGTCCGGATGACGCAAGACGGGCGCTTCCTTGCGGGATTTGTCCTGGAAACGCTCATCCTTCGAGCTGAAGATTCGCAATGGCAGCATTTTCGTCTCAAATTGTCCATAAAGTTATTTTATGAGAAGGCCAAAAATGCGCTGAGGCATAAAAACACACGGGAGTGATTTTCAATTTTATAATCTCATGTCGCGATAAAGCATTTTCGTAGGCTCTCAATACGTCTCTCTGACCAGAAAGCCAACACGTCGCAGGATTGTTTCTTTGGCGAGACTCTTGAGCGCACCTGCAGCGCGTGGAAGAGGGCAAATATTTGAATAACCACCCAATTTTCATAAGCTATTAATTCGGCAGAGTACAAAAATAGAGTCGGGCGTTGGAAAGAGTTTATCAAACAGCTGAAATAAGCAAAATCTTGGGGTGAAAAAGGGTTCTGTTTTCTTGGAAAAAGTGGGCACTTTAGCATTTGGACAAGCTTTGCGTCTTTTATGGCAGCCTGAAAGCCTTTTCACAACTATTTTTATGGCTTTGCTAGGGAATTTCTTGCATTCTGAGAAAATTCGAGAAATTAGTGATAGGCTTTGTCGCTTTTACTTGAAATTAGCTTATCATTGTAAACAATTTAAATAAGCAAGTTCATCATTCACGCATTTATTTAACTGTTAGGAGGCGATTTATCAATCGTAAGACTTTCAATTCAGTTCAGGTTTGTAAGAAATCAAAGCTCAAAGATCGCGCACAAACGACAATTGAACTAACATAACAATTGAATCTTTCTGCTTGAATGAATGCAATTAAAAATACTCAACTTAGAGATGAATTTCTAGTGATAAGAATTTAGGGGCAAATGTATATGTTATTCAGTTCTACGAACATTGATGATAAAAAAAATTTATTATCGTTTGCTTACGACTTTTTTTTCCACAAAATAACTTTAAATTTTTATTTAACCCAGCCAGATAAAAGAAAATGAGTTGAATAGAACACATTAAAAAGAACAAGAGCATTTATAAATAAATAAAAAGATTACGGAATAATCTGAATCCACGGAATTTTCTAACCATAATATCCGAGGTATTTCACCTATGCATTTTCCGTTTCCTCTTTTGCAGGATGCGTGATGGCTGCGTGCATCTTCATGCTGTGGACGCGTCACTTGGTGATTGTGTACAAATACATCCTGTCGGTGGGATTGATTTTCCTGTCCTATTGGAGCAACGTCTCGGCTCTCAACCTCATTCGCGAAGGTCCGAGTCTGCTTGAGGACATTCTGTCTCTCAACGTGACGCGGCTTCTGGACCCTGGAGGCATGGCCATCGCCATCCTGCCGCACTGGCTGGCGCAGTGGATGATGGGTGCGATTTTCGCGTACATTCACTCGGGACCAAGGTGAGTAGTTGCGGTCCAGGAAGGCGCCTTGGGGACTGATTGAGTGTTGTTTTTCGACAGGTATGAGCTGATTCAGCGGGTTCTGCCCTTCAGCTTCCTCATGCCACTTTTCCTGACGATGCTGCCATCAATTCCGCCGGCGCTACTGAAACATTCCCCAGCATTTGCCGCAATCCTGCCGCTCGTGCTATCGAAGATCGCTCTCTGGAGCTCGTCCTTCGACATGGTGAAGACGCTCTTCAATGGGTATCAGCACGCGAAAAACTTCGCAGCAAGCTTCGGGCTATCGGCGCTTGTGGAGAATGAGTGGCAGCGCCTCAATATTCCGTGCGTCTTGCGGGCGTTCTGGATGATCAGGCTGCTGGAGGAGCTGGTGACGCTGGCGATGACGACGGAAGCTCCGCTGGCCTTCATGGCCACCGTGCAGAATCTTCTCGTGAGCGGATGCGAAACTGTGACAGCCGTCCTCGGGATGACCAGCATCGTCTCGCTCATCTGTCACTACGTGGGCAAGTTGTTTCAGCTGTTTCTGCTCTCTGAGGACTACGATGCCGACAAATCTATTGGCACCGTGTCTGCGATCCTATTCTACATCCTCGCGCTGCAAACTGGACTCACGTCGCTGTCGCCGGACAAGAGATTCATCCGCTTGTGCAGGAACTTGTGCCTTCTCGTCACGGCTCTTCTCCACTTCCTCCACAATATTGTGGCGCCGTTGCTCATGTCGCTGAGCGCCGCGAGGAATCCATCCAGGAAGAGGCACGTGAGGGCGCTGGTGGTGTGCCTGTTCCTCCTCGTGGCGCCCGTGTTTCTCCTGACCATTCTCTGGTCGCGACACTCACCATCCACGTGGCTCTTGGCTGTGACCGCATTCTCAGTGGAAGTGATTGTTAAGGTGAGTCGATTGCGCAAACTTCCTTCACGCTCCACTTACTCACGCCGTCCTTGTAGGTGCTCGTGAGTTTGGCGACGTACACGCTGTTCCTGCTGGACGCCAGGCGGCAGACGTTCTGGGAGAAGCTGGACGACTACGTGTACTACATCAGGGCTTTTGGGAACTCAGTGGAATTCTGCTTCGGCATATTTCTCTTCTTCAATGGCGCTTGGATTCTTCTCTTTGAGTCTGGTGAGTGTGAATGCGGTTTTCACTGCTCTGAGAGGCTAATCAATATGAGTTTAATTGGCTTTGCATCGAGATTGACATATTAAGGGCAAATGCATCATTTTTTACAATATCAGACTTTTACGTCAAATCAAGAACACGATTATCATTTATGGAAGTAGGAAAATGTGTTAACATCACAACTATTCCTATAATAATACGTTAATGATCTATTTTTCTCACGAAACCATTTTACGATGCCTAAGTGAAAACAAATAAACCTTAGAAAAGAGTTTAAAGTGACTCACTGGAAAAAATGTATAAATCTGAAGATAAAGGGCCTTTCATTGTTTTTGATTATTTGTATAATTCAGAATTTGAGCGATTTGAGCTTTCACTGTCAGAATTAGTGAGAATATGAAGGCCAAATTGAGTAATTTAGGATCGGTAAGAAGAATTCTTTATTTCAAAAAATTACTTTTATATAAATCTGTACAATTTTTGCCATTTGATGAGCCTTTTAATTACCTAAATTTAATGTTTTTGCTATTGAACTTGCAATTACACTTGGTTTTCACTGTTTCCTGGATTTCAGGTGGTGCAATAAGAGCACTTATGATGTGCATTCATGCTTACTTCAATATTTGGTGTGAAGCGCGAGCGGGTTGGGCGGTATTCATGAAAAGACGAACAGCTGTCCACAAGATCTCCTCTCTTCCGGAGGCCACGACTGAGCAGTTAGTCGCCTTCGAAGATGTCTGTGCCATTTGCTATCAGGTGAAATCTGCATTTGTGACTGTAAAATGCGGAGGAATGCTAATCGCGTACTTTGATTTCGGCAGGAGATGACTTCGGCCAAGATAACGCGATGCAAGCACTACTTCCACGGCGTCTGCCTGCGGAAGTGGCTCTACGTGCAGGACAGATGTCCGCTCTGCCATGAGATCATCATGAATCAGGACCCGAAGGGCGAGAAGTACGCAGAGGAGCTTCCTCGCGAGGAGATACCGGCAATTGCTAATGTGGTTGCGGCAGCGGCGAGTGCAACAAACGTGAGTCCATGACATTTTCTACCATGTCCAATCTTTTCATGCTATCTTTTTTCCAAATCACCGGCAAACAGAGGTTGAGTGCGACTGATGAGGCATCAACAAGTGAGCGTACCTCAAATTCGTCACCCGTAGAATAAATAGGTAAAGCAGAGCAGTTGGGAAAAGAAGGTGAAGAAGTTAGGAGAATAAATTAAGTGTAAAACAATTTACAATCATCATAAGAATTTAGTAATATTTATTCACATTCTTGAGGGTAATATATAAAAGATGTGGGGAAAAACACAGCAAAGCGACTTACTTTTACTTTATTATTACTTTCCTTTGTAAGGCAAACACACACACACACAATGTTTCTTTTTCAACTCATTTGCTCGAAATTTGTGTCAATGCTAATGGAGAAGAGCGCAGTGAATGGCGAAGGAAAAGACAGGGCGGTTTTTTTTTAAGGGGAATAATTTAGATTTTCAAAAGAACGCAAACATCGACGGGCGGACTTGGGAAGGGTGAATGATAAAAGGTGATGATTTGATGCAAAAGAGAGTCAATAAGATTGCGATAGGGCGAATGGCTAGACAGTAACAAAGAGCGGATAGTTTGCGGAATAATAGTTGTTACGCAGCTGTGAGGTGTAAATAAAAACATATATTTTTACTAGGTGTATATTTATATTGAAGAATATATGATAAATGAGTGAAGATGAGAAATAAATTAAGTTAATGTCCAGGAGCATCTCAGAAAACAGTCAAATTTATTATTTCGCTAATGTGGCAACAAGAAAACATGAACAAACGTTGGTCATCTGCCTTATCAATTGAATACCAAGTCATTGTAGTTGCTTAGGAGGTGATAAGCCGACACCTGGCAGCAGGTTGTCGTGCGCACAACTGTCGTCCGATCGGCGCGCTCGAAGTTTGCCTTCACAGTCTCATAGTAGCGCCCATCACTGCCCGAAACACTATCAGTTAGCTCTTCATTTCATAGCACAAATCGCAAGACTCACCTGAGAACCATGCAACGCAACTTGAGGCACTTCACGCGCAGCAAATCGATGGCTTTCTGGCTCTTGTCGGAGAATCGCAAGTTTTCAGGATCCCATCTGCAATCGAAATTCCAATTTGTGAATGTGAGAATCTTCTTCCGTCAATGCTAAACTATGGCATAAGGAATTTGGGTGAAAAATTGCATAGTAGATGAGTATGCAAAAGACTGGTTTGAACTCATTTTGCAACCTCAATAGTCTCTTCTGCCATTTGAATTGCCAATGAGAAGATTTCGCCGCGAATGGAAAGAGAGACAGACAAGAAAGTGACTTTGTGAATCGATAATTTCAAGGAAAGAGAATCAAATTATAAACTAAAGGGTGATGATGGAAGAGACCAAAAAGGGAAATACATAATGGACCTACTTAATATGTAATAGAATTTTTATTTTGTAAGCATTTTGCAACACTTGCGTATGATAATAATTTTTGAAGAATATTTCTTTCATGAATTCTGCGCCATGGTCAGTGTCAACCAATCATGAAATTGTGCGATGTTTGTGTATCCATTAGGAGCATTGGAGCATCCTTCAGTTGATGAGAACGAAACTAATCCAATTTCAACAAGTTGTTTTTTCCCTTTCTTCGCTTTCCTGGTAATCACAACAGGACCTCCGGAATCACCTGAGCAGGTCGCAGTTATTGGAGGTTTTTCATTCTTGTCCACACCACAGAAACAACTCAAAGGCAAATAGTCGTAAAAAGGTTGGCATTCTTCCCTCGAAATAACTGTTAATGTGGTCCAAAGTAAGACATCCGACACCGGTCCATCGTTTGATGTGTATCCAAAACCCATCGCGGTGATTGTCTCTCCTATATAAGATTCAGCATTCCATGAACCGAGTGCAATTCTTATAGGTTGAACGTATTCGTCGAAAGTGAAGGGTTTGATCCTAATAAGACCGATGTCATTCTCCAGAATGCTCGAATTGTACTCTGGATGAAGAAAAGCGTGATCATTGATGACGATTTGAAACTGACGTGGCTCTCCCGATATTATAGAGCCAGCTTCGATGTGATACGTGATCGGCTCAGAAGTGTTAGTCGTGAGAACAATGACATGTCCTGCAGTGAGAACCCATCTTGGATCAATTATACTTCCTCCTCCTCTGTGAATCCTAGTCTCACTCCACGGCCCTCCATACGCCACTATTCGGACGAAGTAAGGAAATTGTCCTGCTTCTGCTGGTTTTCCTCCGATGATCCTGCTTTCTGGTTCTTCAGACATGAGTGTAATTTTTTCTCCCTGTGTAACCAATGATTATTTCATATATAACTTTAGTAATTGAAATTGCTGATTAAAACTTACTGCCGAAGTCATTGAAATGACCGACAAAATGATCAAAGGGATCAAAATTGCCATAGAAACGACACGGAAATTCATGGTAACTCCGAACGCGTGTAACTATTTAGGGAATATTTGGGCTCTCCAATTTTATATACGCAAAATGTAGAATAATTATCAAAATCAACCTGAAAACGAAATTACGCACCATAGGAAAAACACCCAGTATGTATAAGCAATAAATTGTCTTATTTTATGTTAGATGTGATGAAAGGGAGCAACAGCGAAATAATCAAATTAAATACAACACGCGCTAATGAAGATAAAAATGTCTCTAAATTTATTGCCAAACGGGTAATCAAGAAAATGATACACAATTTAAACTTTGTTGAAAATGGACATTCATAATACTTTTCATCAGATTCAGTTTCCATACATTTAATGAAGGAAGGAATGCTGATTAGCACCCACTTTGCTTAGCTTATCGGGTAATAGCCTTTGCCATTCGAAATATGACAAAATCTGGATTATTTATCCGATGACAAAGAATAAAATCGTCTGTTTTCCGATTAAACAAAATTAGAATAAGAATCAACGAATTCTAGAACATTTGGTCTTTGAAACAATTTTTCTTACATATCACTTTATCTCTCGCGCTGCCTAAGACAATTCAGCATTGCAATGGGCTAAATCCGACTGTGAAAAACAATAAAATATCAATTCACGGAGAAGTGAGACCAAGGAATCAAGGAGGTATTTAGGCATTCGGAAATGCATAATAATGAACCGACTTTCAGAATAACAAAGTTTATTTATTCAGCAAGCATTTTTATATGTATTTGTATTTGCAACACTTGCGTATGATAATAATTTTAGAAGAACACCTTATTCATGAATTTCTGGCCATGGTCAATGTCAACCAATCATGAAACTGCGCAATGTCTGTAAATGCCTGAGGAGCAGTATCACATCCTTCCGAAGATCCAAATGACACCAATCCGATTTCAAAAAGTTTCTTTCCCTTTTTTCCCTTTCTGAAAATGACAGCAGGGCCTCCGGAGTCTCCTGAACAAACGGAACTTATTGGTGGTCCATTTTCATCCACACCACAGAATACTGTCGAAGGCAAATAAAAGTAGACAGGTGCACATTCTTCTCTTGAAATCACCGTTAAGTCTTGTGTCCAGAGTAAATCTGGAGACACCGGTCCATCATTCGATGTGTATCCAAAGCCCATGGCAGTGATTGTCTCTCCAACATAAGACTCAGAGTTCCAAGAACCGAGGGCAATTCTTACCGGATGAACGTATTTATCGAAAGTGAAGGGTTTGATCTTAATTAAAGCAATGTCATTATCTATAGTAGTAGGATTGTAATCTGGATGGAGAAAGGCGTGATCATTGATGACGATTTGAAATTGTCGTGGTTCTCTTGCTTTAATAGATCCAGCTTCGATGTGATATGTAACTGGTTCAGAAGCGTTGGTAGTTTCAAGTAAACAATGCCCTGCAGTGAGAACCCATCTAGGATCGATGATGCTTCCTCCGCAACTATGAATCCTAGTCTCACTCCACGGGCCTCCATACGCCACTAATCGGACAAAGAAAGGAAATTGACCATCTTCCGCAGGCTTTCCTCCGATAATTCTACTTTGAGGCTCTTCTGGTGTCATTTCCTATGCAACAAATGATTTTTTCACAACTTAGCAAATAAAGTTGACGATTCAACTTACAGCCCGAGTCACTGAAAAGACCAAAGCAGTCAAAACTGCCACAGACCTGATACTGATATTCATGGTAACTTCCGTAACTTCAAACGTCTTCAACTGATTTAAGCGAAATTTGAGCTTTTTCTGCTTTATATTCCCGAAATGTGAAATAATTATCACAATCAAACTAAAAACGAAATATCTGGGCAGGAAAAGCGCCCGTGATAAGTATTTAATTACCTAATTTTATGTTGTTGTTAGTTAAATTTAATTACACACGTGCGAATGAAAACCATAAATCTCTCAGAATTATTTTATCAATTGTCATCAACTGTGCTGGAAGAAAATGTTTATTCGTTCCCTGTAGAATTGATCAATTCTTCTACATTCTTTTCCCAGATTTGTCAAAGAAAGAACATTGATAGGCTTGTTTCGTTTATATTTATACAGATGTTTTAGTTTTGTTCGGAAGATGGCTAAGAAATATATTCTCATAAAATGGTAAAATCGGAAGGTATATTTATCCAATTATAAGTAACATGGCCGAACTGGGATTGTGATCAACTCGAAATGTTACGAAATGTACCACGTTAGCAGATTTATAAAATATTTCGAGCTGGCCCCTTATCTCAGTGGCCCAGTATACTTTTGATAACACTTTATTAAGTAGCTCTTGTAAAAACCATACAAACTTATAATCCGAAGAAAATAAGAACGTAAACCTGTTGCTATTACCTGATAAAACACTAGGAAATACGTGGTTCAGTACAGTCTAGAAGTTTAGAAATTGTTTCGCTTTTCCTGAGTCACGGGAAACATGCTGTAAACCAACCCAATTTCATTTCTATCAATCATTTATCGTTGTAATAAATTAAAATTTTTTGTGTTAGGTCAAATCTCACAGACAGTGCAGTTTGCGAGAGACACCGAAAATCATTTTATTCAATTTATGAGTTTTGTGCCATAGTCAATGTCAACCAATCATGGAACTTTGCGACATCTGTGTACCCTTGAGGATGCGCGGCGCATCCAGCGTCAGATCTGAATGATGTTACTCCGATTTCAACTGGCTTTCCTTTTATCATGATTACAACTGGACCTCCGGAATCTCCTGAGCAGGCAGAGCTTATTGGTGGTTTTTGATCCTCTGCACAGAAAACAGACTCTGGCAAATCGAAGTTCTCTGCTTCGGTGTAAATAGCTTGACAAACTTCCTTTGCTATCAATGTGAGTTTCGTCCATTTCAAAACATCAGACACTGGTCCGTCCTCTGAAATATATCCAAAGCCAATGACAGCGACTTTCTCTCCCACGTGAGATTCTGAATCCCAAGATCCAAGGGCAATTCTTATAGGCTGGACGTATTCGTCAAACACGAAAGGTTTGATCTTAATTAGGGCAATGTCATTCTCCAGGGTGTCCAAACTGTACTCTGGATGAAGAAAGGCGTGACTACTGATGACTATTTGAAACTGACGCGGTTCACCAGATATTATAGATCCAGCCTCGATGTGATAAGTGAAAGGTTCAGATGCATTGGTGGTCTCACTATAGCAATGACCCGCCGTAAGAACAAATCTAGGATCGATGATGCTTCCAGTGCAAGAGTAAAGGTGAGTTTCGCTCCAGGGTCCGCCAAATCCCAAAACACGAACGACATAGGGAAATTGTCCGTCTTCGGCGGGTTTCCCCCCGATAATTCTGCTTTGAGGCTCTTCGTGTAATCGTGGCGTCTTTACCTATGCAACAATTGGTTATTTTAAAACTTAGCAAATGAAATTGAGAATTCAACTCACAGCCCAAGTCACTGAAAAGACCGTAGAAATGATCAAAACGACCAAAACTGCAGTAGAAACGACACGGATATTCATGGTAACTTCGAAAGTGTTCAAGTGATTATGGAGAATTTCAACTTTTCCAACTTTATATACCTATACAACATGTGGAATAAATTTATCAATATTAACCTGAAACCAAAATGTCTTAATAGGAACAGTGTGATGATAGCGATGAGTTATTGTTTAATATAAAAATGATAAAAGCGGAAATCACAATCAATCCAACACACGTGGACACTAATATAGAACATTTCAGATTAGGTTTGGTTAGAGTGTTTTGTTGGGCATAAAACGCGCATTGAACCTTGTTTATCATGAATTTATTTTTATCCTTTACATGGAAAAAAACAAGTCCTAATGTGACATGTTTCTTTCTCTTTTGTGCTAAGGAAACTTAAAATCCTAATTTTCAACGTAACCAGTTCCTAATGAACATATTTACTTAGTGTTTATCACATCTGGTAGAAAAATAGACAGCATAGTGCGTTTTGTGCATATTGACGTTCCAAATATCATAAGAGGTCGGCTTTACGTAACCAACTCCTCCTGCCGCCCCATCTCGGTGCGTCCCCTGCTCCTACTCGGCAACGCACTGCTCCGCTCCGCGTTCACGACAAGACAGACTTCTCCGCGCGCTTTTCCGCGTCACCCTCAGTGCTGCCTCTACCGTCAAATAATGCTAACAGCGAGAATCGTATATCAGGAGGAAGACGGCCGCCTAGACAGTGGCAATTCCCGCCACAAGCTCTCCAGGGATACTAATTTGGCAGGGCTTGGTGTTTTGCCGGTTGGTATAGGGAATTCGACTTACAATATAATATTGTAGACAAATATTATAAAATTGAAAGATATTTGTAGTTTTGATTGGCTTTTATTCAATATTAGATCATATTTGCGATCTTTGCAAGAGTTTCTCTTGATTTATTTCAGATAATAGTTTTATGCGTTTTTTGCCATGGTCAGCGTAATCCAATCATGAAGCTTTGCCACGTCTGTGAACGCTTGAGGGAGAAAGGCGCATCCCTTATCAGTTGTGAATGACACCAATCCAATTTGAACTGGCTTTCCTTTTATCATGATTACAACTGGACCTCCGGAATCACCCTGGCAAATGGCACTTACTGGTGGCTTTTGATCCTCTGCACAGAAACAAGTCCAAGGCAGATCAAAACTCTCTACTTCTGTGTAAAGAGCTTGACAATCTTCTTTTGCTATCACCGTAAGTTTAGTCCAGTATAGAACATCAGCTATTGATCCATTGTCTGCGGTCAGGCCCATTCCCATGCCAATCATTTCCTCCCCAACGAAAGATTCTACATCCCAAGAACCGAGTGCAATTCTTAAGGGATGAACGTATTTGTCGAAAGTGAAGGGTTTGATCTTCAAAAGAAGAATGTCATAGTTCAGAGTGCTGCGTTCGTACTCTGGATGAAGATACGCGTTACCGTTAATAATGGTGAAAACACAGCATTTGTCATTTGTAATTTGTTCACGAACGTCTCTTTCTTCCCCACACGATTCGTGTATTTTCCTTCCTACTCGCACAGTGGCTGTCTCGACATGTCAGAGTCAGACGCTGACAGAGTAGGAAGGAAAATACACGAAACGCGAGGGGAAGAAAGAGATGATCGTGGACAAATTACAAATGCTGTGTTTTCACCATAACAATTTGACTCTGACGTGGCTGTCCTGCTATTACAGATCCAGCCTCTATGTGATATGTGACTGGTTCAGACGCGTTGGTAGTTTCAAAGTAACAATGCCCTGCTGAGAGAACCCATCTAGGATCGATGATACTTCCGCCGCAGATAAACAATGGAAACTCACTCCAAGGTCCTCCGTATCCGAATATACGGACGTAGAAGGGAAATGGTCCGTCTTCGGCGGGTTTTCCTAAGATAATTCTGCTTTGAGGCTCTTCGTGTAATCGTGGCGTCTTTACCTATGCAACAATTGGTTATTTTAAAACTTAGCAAATGAAATTGAGAATTCAACTCACTGCCCAAGTCACTGAAAAGACCGAGGAAATGATCAAAGAGATCAAAACTGCCACAGGACTGACATGGATATTCATGGTAACTTCGAATTTCTTCAATTGATATTAATGAAAATTTTCAACTTTTCCCACTTTATATACAGAAAATGTGGAATAATTATCAAAATCCACCCAATAGCGACATATCTGGGCAGGAAAAGCGCCCATGATAAGCAATGAATTGCTTTTTTATGTTAGGCATGATGAGGGACAGAAACTGGATATTTATCAAACACATTTCAAGACTTCACTGACGACCACTTCAGCTCAGAGTACATGGAATAACAACATTATATATAATTAGGGGATATCTAAGAAATTTTATTATGTAATCTATAGACTGAAATTCAACTAATTGTCATTTGTTATTATGCATAAGGAACATTTTTTGGTAAAAAAAAACTTATTATTTACTAGAAATAGTTTTTTTTCTATATATATATATATGTTGAGGATAATAAAAGAATTAAAATTTTTCTGACTTCCATTTTCAAGCACTACAGAGCTTTTTTTATCGGCAACATTAGCAACTTTAAAAATAAGAAATGATGTCTCTTTTTTTCTTGTGATGACCATGATCATGTCCGTAATTCATTATCCTTTTAATTCAATCATGAAACTTTGCAATGTCTACGTATCCTGAAGACTAACGTCACATCCTAGGTTGGAACCGAAGGACACTAGTCCAATTTCAATTGGCGTAAATTATTAAAAGCCAAAGAATGTCGTGCAATTTTTAACACTAGAGGAATTATATCCATGGTAATATTTCAATGATACAAAAAATGCAACGTCTCATAAAAAGTGAACAACCAAGTTTTTTTTGAAAGATTTATTCAAAGGAAGTTTTTTGTATGATATCTTTTATGTTTTTATTACATTTACACAAGCCACGTGTGCTAGAAGAGATTCTTGGATCTCTTAATTTCTTATCATTGTCATGATGATCCAATCGTGATACATAGCGATGTCCACGAAGCCCTGAGGAGCTGCGTCGCATCCTTCGTCAGATACAAAAATTGCCAATCCAATTTGGAGTGGCTTTCCTTTGGGCCCCTCGATCACGGCCGGACTTCCGCCGTCTCCGTAGCAAACTGCGCTTATTGGCGGCTTCTTATCTACGCCGCAGAAAATCATCTTCGGCAAGTAAGAGTCGTAGTGTTTCTTGCACTTCTTTCTGTCGATCAGCGTCAGTTTGGTCCAGAGAAGTTCTTCAGATATTGGCCCGTCATTTGAGATGAATCCATAGCCCATTGTGATGAATTTCTCTCCTATGTAGGAATCTGAGTCAAAAGTGCTTAGCGGAATCATGATGGGACAAACAGTGTCGTCAAAGGTCCAAGCTTTGGTCTTGATCAGGGCGATGTCGTTCGCCAGAGTCTCTGGATTGTAGTCAGGATGCTGGAAAGCGTAGCTGTTGATGACAATGTCGGATTGCAGAGATTCTGCGACGTTGATGGATCCAGCCTCGATGTGATAAGTGATGGGCTCGGAATCGTTGGTCGTTGGAGTGTAACAGTGGCCAGCAGTGAGAACCCATCTCGGACCGATGATGGTTCCTCCGCATCTGTACAGTTCAGTCTCACTCCAAACACCTCCGAATATGATCACACGGACGTAGTAGGGAAATTGATTTTCTTTAGCTGGTTTTCCGTTAATAATCCTGCCTTGTGGCTGGTCAGGAAAAATATTCTGCATAGGAGAATTAGAAATTGTCGGGAGTAAATCACAGTAAATTACAAAACTTACCATTGCCGCCACTATAATTGCCCAAGAGGCAATGAAAATCGCACTGAACTTCAACATGATGGTCTCAACACTTACTCGACTGTTGAACGGATGTTTGTCCGTGGGTTTTATATACAAAAATGTGACTAAAATTTATCAAAACAGTGACTTCAAAATATTTGGCACGGAAGTTGTTAGAAGTCATATTTATAGTTGTTCCTTGGGTTGTTAAATAAATCTTCTCAATCTTCTGTTAGGGTGAAGAACCCTGATTTACTCACTTGAGTTCGAGGCGTTCCAGTTTTGCGCAGTAGGAAGCGATTGCGTCCATCAACTGATCAACGTGAATGTTCACGGAGAGGCGCTCTGTGGTGCCCATGACGAGGATGCGGGCGTTCGTGAGGATGGGCAGGACGCTCATCCACAACTGGTCGGTGATGTGCGTCATCCCGGACAGCACGAGGGCATGCAATTGATTCCCATGGCGAGTGAGGAACTTCAGCAGTGCCTCGTCTGAGAGATTGTCGGATGCGTCGAGATTCAGGGCGATCAGGGCTTTGGTATTTCCGCCCTCCATCCAAGCTTTGAGGACAGAGTCGTTGAAGCCGTTGATTTGACCGGCGCTGAGGAAGCGCAGCGCCGGGATTCTCACCAGCAGATCGATCAGAGCCTCACTGGAGAGATCCGTGGCGGTGATATCGAGCTCCAGCAGAGCGCACTTGTCCCACTCCACTTGCAACAGATACTCAGACTTGAGACTGGTGCCGTTCATGAGGAGGCACGTGAGTCGCTTGGACCTCTGGATGAGAGTCTTGAGCGTGGATCCCGTGACTTTGTTGCAGTAGTTCACGGCCAGGCATTCGAGCTGGATGCAATTCGAGCTGAAAGCATCGATGTGAGAATCATCCACGAAGTTAATGCCATAGAGATTGATCACACGGAGATTCGGTGTGGCTGACTTGAGCTTGTGCACGTTGATCACCTCATAGATCTCCTCTTCCTCCTCCTCGCACTTCTCATAGGTACCCAAGAGATGGAGAACCTCCAGGCCGTTGATGAAGTTATATATCTTACGCATGAAGCCCTCCATGAAGATCACCTCGGAAAGGCAGATGCACATGTAGCGCAATTTCGTCGGGAAGGCTTGCATCTCGCTGAAATCGTGCAGTTGCATAGCTGCGGAGAGAGATAAGATTAGTAAGGCTTATCAATGAGATGAGAATTAATGTCTAACCAGTGGAGAAGTCCAGGAGCATGTGAGTGAGATTCGGGCACTTGGCAGCGAGTTCATGGAGAACAGTGTGCGTGATCAGCTCGATGGGCAGCTCGATGTACCGCAGAGACGGTCCGAATCTCACAGAGATGAGGCCCAAGAGGGACTCCAGCGAGCCCACATGCAGGCCAGACACTTCCGGACGCAGAGAGACGTTCTTCCACAGGCGAGTGTCATACGCCACCTGACGCCATCGTCTGCACACCCTGGCCATCCGGCAGATCTCCAGGTGGCTGAGATAGGAGAAGATGTTGAGCAGCACCTTGTCCGGGAGCTTCTCGATTGTCTGCACATTGGAAGAAAAGAGACTAAATCACCACAAGTCAGCCACCGAAACTTGCCATGAATGTGAACACGAGCAAAGAAAATGGTGTGGAAAAGAGAAGAAAATCGAGAAGTAACACTGATCTGTACCGTGTCAGCAAATGGACTTCTCTTGCCGCCCTCGGTCAGGTACACCTGGGAAGCCTCCAGGGCAATTTGTCCCCACACATCTGTCGACAGATCCATTTCCCACTGGCAGAAATTTCACACCAAGAAAATCGTCTCTGAGACGTGAAAATTTCCCCACAAGTGAAGGGAAAAAATTGGACGAAAAATTTCAGATATATTTTTAGCTCTTCCAAATCGATCATCGCCCGCTCTTCTTCGTTGGGTTCGAGCGCGAACCGGAAAATTGGCGGGAAATCCGCCGATCATGTGGACGCACACGCGAGAGAGAGAGAAGCGCTCTGAAGAAGCGTGGAAGTTCTCTCGTGTGGAAGTTAGTGGGTGGGAAAACAAGAAGAACAACAGAATCAAAAGAGAGAAAGTCGCTCCATGCATTAGAAACTAGCACAAGTGTCCAGCTTTTGGGCTAGTGATCGAGCAGAATTCTTGCAAGGATCACGTTTCTCATTGATCCCGTCATGGCTGAAAAGTCTAAGAAATTCTATTCGAATTACTTTGATTTCAGAGCAGTGGCGTAGCTAATGGCATAAACGTGCACTTGTTATTCATGTGTGCTCATGGTTCTCATAGTTCTAATAATTTCACAATTTTAAAGATTAGAGTAGTTAGAATATATCAAGTTACAATGTATAAGAATACATATTCAGTTATTTGTATATCTTCTTAATCTGTTTTACTTATCATTATAATCATTGCTAATTGTCTATCATGTTAAATATTTCAAAGTAATGAGAATGGGAGATTCACCACAAAAGTGACTTGTGATATGATGTATATTACAAGTGAGTTTAGAATAGTAGAAAGATCTCAAGGAAAGATAATTTTCAGGCTTCATCATTACACTGAAAAGTCTCAATGCAAGAATTTATGTGTATAAATCCCACTAAACTACGCCACCAGTACCGATTCATCCCTTCCTGTTCCCCTTGTGCTAGTTGAATGTGGCATGAGCGCGAAAATGTGAAAAGAGAAGAAAATGTAACGAGAACATCAACGAATTTGATCGTTCCGAGAACCTAAGAAACATAATTAAATTGTGATGCGATTATTTACAGAATTGAACGAAACATCGTCTCTTCTCTCTTTCTATTTACCGGCGCGGGTCCCTGAGAGGATAATAAATAAGTCAAGTGATTAAATACTTCCAAATCTTGGCACTCTTGGTGCAGCTGCGCTCCCCAATTTTGCTTACCATCATATGCTTGCGCCTGAAGCTGGAGTTCATCTCATGGCTGGAGATCGCCGTGGAGGCCGACTGGACAGTCAGCACGTTCCAGTTGTCCATCTCTTGAGGCTGTCTTTATTCGCTGCAAGAAGCGAAACTAACGATCTTGATCCTGATTCTGTCTTGATCTTGATACTTGAGAATGTTTGAATCATGTTTCACGGTTTCAGCGCCAAAATTCATTCTCACGTGAAAACACCGATTTATTTTTGGAAATGCTATCAATTAATACAAAAAGACTTGTTTTACACATTGGCAACATTTCCTGGGCAAAACTAATGATATTTTGAGAAAAATACCAAAATTGCGGTGTTTCATGAAACATTCACTCTCTTCGATTCATTTTATCGATCACAAAACGCGAGGAAGTCTATAAAAATTACACAAATAAACAATTTGAATATTATCTCACGGACCGATCACACTCGCGAGCGAGTGAAATGGTGAAAAAGTCGCACTGTAGTGCGATATTCATTGATAATGAAGGAAAATGCGTGAGGCTGAAACCGCCAATTGATCCCGCACATGGATATTTATAGTTGCTCTCTATTTACAAAGGCAAAATTTCTAATTGTCTCTGATCCCATATTTCCACCATTTATCTTCCCTAATGGAAAGTTGAGAAAATTCCTAGAGATTTTCTCTGTGTGGGAATTTCCCATTAGATCTTCAGAGAAATTCCTTTTCTCGTTTTTTTTCTCACTTTACCTTGAAGAGTAACCGATTCTAGAGCACAATCACAGATCTTTTGGATGAATTTCTACTGATTTTGCGACTTTTCTTTCACGGAAGGACACTTTTTCACAACACTTAAGCGACAGTCGCGAATGCAGCTCAAGATTTTTGCATAATCCCGGCTATTTGGGTGCACGGATCTATTTAAACTGCGACGTTTCGTGCGAAAACAAGCAAGATAGCCTCGCTTTGCAATTCTCGGGAGCCGAGCATTTGTCGTGAAGATCATCTGTTTGGTGTTTTCGCGGTGGGAGTTGGGGATTCATGAAAAATTCCTTAAGCATTCTCTCTGTATTCATCGTTTAGCGACATATCATTTCTTTTTCTCCTTCTTTTTGCCCTCATCGCCCGTCGAATCTCCTCGCGGCTTCTGCCAGTTGAGAGGCTTCCGTCTGTAGAACGGCCAGGGTGGAACTGTGATCTGGAAATAGAGGAGCATTGGTCAGTAAAGAAGATTGCCGTGACTTCCGGAAACATACCAAAGCAGTGACGAGGAATCCAACAGCCAGAAACAGGACAGTCTCAGAAAACTGCTGCGTGTAGCCACCCCAAATCAATCCGACAATCCCAAAGAGTGTTATTAAGATCCTGGAGAGCTTCTCGGCTCGCCCTTGTCCCTCAAAGTCCTGAAAACATGGAAAATATGTTAGGAGATCAAAACACAACCACGTCACTCTTCATAATCTGCATTTTCTCCAATTCCTCGCTTCTTACCATGTGGGTTTGAATGTTCAGCATCTCTACAATCTCTATCACGACAAGTCACACAAGAAGGACGCGTGTTATCAGTGGAAATCGAGGAAAAACGAGCAGGAAAATGCTGGCAAAACAATCCCACGTCAGCCAGGCTATTCTAGCAGTCAAGAAACAATTGTCGCAGTGTCACTTTGACGTCTTATCATTTGGCGATATTTTTGTGTGGTGCAAAAAAGATCAAAACACAGGCTTTTCACGTCGTCTTGCTCCATTTGATGTGCCTCACAGTGATAAAAGACAATGAATTTGGGGGATAATCCATACGGCAACGGCCTACGATATGCGGGCTTCAACCAGGATCAAGGTGAGTCGAGATGATGCGGCAGAAATGCTCAGGCCGTGACTGTCTTCCTTCTCGGACAGGATGCTTCGCCTGCGCCACCGACAATGGCTTCCGGGTGTACAATTGCGATCCACTGAAAGAGAAGGAGCACCAGTACTTCCCGAATGGCGGCCTCGGACACATAGAGATGCTCTTCAGGTGCAACTATTTGGCCCTCGTCGGAGGCGGAGTAGTTCCTCTTGCGCCGCCCAACAGAGTGCTCGTTTGGGATGATCTGCGAAAATCCTCAGCCATCAATCTTGACTTCAACACACCTGTGAAGGCTGTTCGGCTGCGCAGGGACAGGATTGTCGTTGTTCTTGGTGAGACGCTTCAATGAAAGTTCGGGGAAAAGTGATTGACAAGTGTTTCTTTCCAGATGGCATCATCAAGGTTTATTCGTTTGTTCAGCAGCCCCAGGAGCTCTTTGTGATAGAGACTGGGCCCAATCCATTGGGGCTGTGCGTTCTCTGTCCCAGCAGCAACAAATCCCTGCTCGCCTATCCGGGGAGACGCGTCGGGCATGTGCAAATCGCCGATCTGGCCAACTACGGGAAACTCTTGCCGCTGGAGATTACCGCTCACGAGGCGACGCTCAGCTGTCTGGCGCTCAATCTGCAGGGCACACGCCTGGCCACGGCCAGCGAGCGCGGAACCCTGATCCGCGTCTTCGACACAGAGACTGGCAACAAAGTGGCTGAGCTGCGTCGCGGCACGAATCAGGCCACAATCTTCTGCATCAACTTCAATCACGAGTCCACGCACCTGGTCGTCTCGTCGGATCACGGCACAATTCACGTGTTCGCGTTGGACGAGACAAAGTGCAAGGAGAGCAGCAGTCTGCCCATCATCCCCAAGTACTTCTCCAGCAACTGGTCCTTCTGTAAGTTCTCCATACCGCAGGGTCCGCCCTGCATTTGCGCCTTCGGAGCGGAAAGCAACTCCGTCATCGGTGAGTGATTCATCTGCCGACTGTTTGCCTTCCAGTCTGATAACAAGCTCTCTGTTCCTCTTCCAGTCATTTGCGCCGATGGGCACTACTACAAATTCCTCTTCAACAACAAGGGCGAGTGCAGCCCGGTTCTGTGCACGCAATTCCTCGAGCTGAGCGATGACCAGACGGATGATCAGCACACCTAGACAGAAGCTGACAATGCCGCATAGAGCGCAAAGAGAGATTAAGTGTTTTCTGATCATCTTCATGTGGTTTACTCCGATGAAAATCCTATATTTTGAGAACATTTGTATTACAGTGTTGTCACGATGAGAATTACTAATGTTGTTAACAGTAGATGAGGTAAACCAAATAGGCGGTAAGCGTAGGTGAGATAAGGTGGACATTAGAGATGAGAATACCTGTATTGAAGTGGAATAATAAAGATTATTCAATATCTACTGAGAAAGTGGATTTCCCTTGGACCCCCCCACGGACACTTCGTCAGATTGTGCAATCACAGAGTGCAAGAAAATGACGCCGCTTTTGCTGGGGCGAAACTGCGAGAAAAGCGATTTGCGTGCATTGACAGCGCCAGATGTCAAAATGGCGCTGGTATTGTGACGGTGGAGGAGTGCGAAATTGTTTTTCCAGCTAAAATCACCACTCAAATCGCCCGTGCGTGCGTGAAAATAGGTGCAGAGGTGCCCGAGTGATGTCCACTCACGTGTTTGGGTGTCTTCCACGTGAGAAGTGTGCTAATTTGTGTGGAAAATCAGGTGATTTGTTGTGCCTCGGACGCAGCGCGTTTCGTAACTTGTGAGTGTAAGTTCTCCGGATGGTGAATCCGCAAGTGGGTGAATAGCTGACCGCAAAATCGACAAAGATCTGCCCAAGATGCTGCGCTTCCTCAGCAGACGGCGTCACCGGAATCCGCGGCCCGAGGACACCGCCAGGAGTCCACACATCAAGGCGCAGCGCATTCCCGTGAACAAAAATCTCATCCAGTGCCGCATCATTCTGCTGGACAACACGGACCTCTCCGTGGATCTGTCGGTGAGTGTGTGCGTTATCGCGATGCTCCAAATCTCCCATTTCACAGCATCTCATTTTTTCTAACACTCGCCACACGATTTCTGGTGTGTCGATCTCGGTGGAGAAACACTTTTCAAGAGAGTCGCTCGCGCACTTCCCATTCGCAAGTGGTGCAGCGCAAAAACCTCCGAAGGCTTCACACTTCGTGACTCTCTAATTCGATTTGCTGAAGAGGGACTTTTTTGTATCTGCGACTGATCTCTGTCGAAGGCGAGCTTTTTCTCCCAAGCACCAAGGTTCTCTTAGCGACTCTCGGTGAACCATTTCCCAGGTCGTGGGGAAAAAATTGGTCCGCTGTGGCCCGTTTCTTGGGAAATGAAACGAGTTTTTGGACAGAGACAAGAAAGGAGAATGCAGAGAATTTGCTTTATGGTCGCTCTGATAAGTTCTGTGTGTTCTGTGTTTCTTTTGTGCAGCTGAAGAAAGCCGCGCGCGTCAGAGAATGATCCTTTTCCGCAGATAAAATGGCATTCCATAAAAATGTAAATGATGCTAATGTTGTTTAGAGTGCGATGCGCGAAATACGGGAGAAAGAAGGCAAAAAAAATATGGTGAACGAAAATACACACGAACAAATATGGTATAAGAAGCAATTGTGAATTATGCAACGGTATTCTTTCGCCATAAATAAAGACATATGGCAGGAAAGTGGTTTGTGTGTGCACAAAAGTCTCTCCGGACGGCATTTCCAATTTCACAAAATCAATACAATGAGGAGAAATTGGGGAAAAAACGGGAGAAAATGTGTCTTGAATTGAGCATCTTTGGCTGTTGTGCCACGGCAGAATTTCCCATAACTCGCTGCTCAGCAATGAGCACAGCGAAAAGGTTGGAATACATTTGGATGCTAAGGCAAAAGAGAGAGGCAAATGGCTCGAAAATTTGTCATAAATTTGTGTAGTGTGTGTTTGGATGGAATAGAGGAGAGAAAAGTGGGGCCAGAAAAGCCCTAAAAGTCAATTCAAAACTTCATTTTTCACTTGCTTTATTATTTGATGATAAATAGATGAGGAGAGGAGAATAAAAAGTTTATTGTACTAAATAGAATTAATTGCGCGCTTCCCACCACATTTTTCTCTCTCACTCTCCACTATGTGCATAATTTTTCCCTTCGCAGTTGTCTCTCAATGCGGTGTAAAATTACCTGAATGCACATGACGAGTCAAAGAATGGAATGCAATGTAGACAAACGCAGATAGAGGAGGAGGAAAAAAAAAGTGGCAGAGTACAATAAAACATGCATAATTTAGTGATATTCGCACGCATCTATTTCCAGCGTCAATTCTTGTTTAGCTAGAAAGCAATAAAAGTCCATAGGCAAATTTCCTACGCAAACGCCGTCAAATGGGCTTGAATTGAAAAGTGGCCGTGGCGAGAAATTCCAGCTGAAGAGCATTTTGCTCTTATCATACTTTGTTAATTGATGTTCGAGTGGAATCAGAAGTGTGTTTTTTTTTCTTCTTCTGCTGCGGAAAAAATTGCTTTGAAAAGTCCATAAAACACACACACACACAAACGGGGAGTTGTGGAGGAAAAAGTGCTGATGGTTGATTCAACAAAGTGCAGAAAGCGTCGAAGATGAGCAGTGATTTGAAATTCTAATGGGTGGGAATTTGCAATTCAGCAAATCTAATAAGCGTTTAGGTTTATAGGGAAATAATTCATTTGGTAAATAAGGTAGGGAAAGGCGGGGCTTTTTCGAAGAATTATTGATTAATCACAGTGTTTGAAATGACAGTATTTTCTTGGAATATTGACTGCTATTTTTTCTGTCGAATTTATGTGGGAAATGTTATTTATTCTGCTTTTAAAACATCAGCCTTATTGCTAATAATATTTAAAGCGCAATGAAATGAATGCTGGAATGTGCTTAATAGTGAATATCAGTATCATAATGAAGCATCTCCACTAAAGCATGTTCGTTGATATGAAATATTCAGTGACTTCGTGCAGCTGAACCATTAATACATATATTTAAATAAATCGTTCAAATCGGAAAATCTATCATGGTTTGACTATGTAAAATTAGTAGGGTTGTCATATGCAAAGAGTTCTCTGACTGAATCTTGTAAGTTTCAAATTACTCCACCTTTCGCTAATGGGTGCAAATTCTTGTGCTAATAAAGAGCGATGCCAAGGAAAAAAACCTCCGACATATATTGATCGAGACAACATGTCGCTGCATTGAGATATTAATTCCTGAATAGACTTTTCTTGTCTCATGCCATTTCCTCTCTGTGTTTGCAGAAAAAAGCCATGGGGCTTGATTTATACGAGCAAGTGTTCTATTCGCTGGATCTCATCGAGAAGGATTACTTTGGACTCCAGTACACAGATGCGAACAATGTCAAGCATTGGCTGGATCCCACGAAGGCTGTCAAGAAGCAAGTAAAAAGTGCGTAGGAATCTTTTTTATCTCCTCCACCATCGAAGCAATTTATTGACAATATCTCTCTTTCTCTTCGTGTTTCTTTGCAGTCGGTCAGCCGTACACGCTGCGGCTGAAAGTGAAATTCTACTCGTCGGAGCCGAATGCGTTGCGCGAGGAATTGACCAGGTATCAATTCTTCCTGCAGCTCAAGCAGGACATCCTCGATGGGCGTCTCGAGTGCGACACGCAGAAGGCGATTGAGCTCTCGGCTCTCGCTCTTCAATGTAGGTCGAAAGAAATGGCTTCTCTCTTGTGTGCGGAGATTTACGATCTTGCATTCACTGTCACACTGACTCAGACTGACTTTGGTGTGTTATCGATGTGTTTGCTTGGGTGGTTTAATGAATTTTAGTGATTTCTGTTTATTGAATCGAGATAAGGGAATCATATGGTTGTCAATGTCATTCCTCGAGTGTTAACCCTGGTCATATTTATAGGAATTCATCAGTTACATGAGCCAATGTTTGGTTAACCCATATTTCTTGCTTCTGGTCTACTTCTCGCGCGACTTTTTGCATAATAATTATAACAGAATATCTTTTTCGAAAGAGTGAAAGAAAGCATTAAAGTCTGAATTTTTATGAGACCACTTAATTTATGACCTTTATCTAGATCGTTTATCTCCAACCCACGCGAGAGCATTGAGACAGAGACGAGGAAGGATCTAATGTATTTTTTGCACCTCCTTTCAGCCGAATTGGGTGACTATGACGATACCGTCCACACTCCGGCCACCGTGTCGGAGTTCCGCTTCGTGCCCAATCAGACTGAGGAGATGGAGATTGCAATTCTGGAGGAGTACAAGACGTGCGTGGGCCTCACGCCGGCCCAGGCGGAGATGAATTATCTAAATCGGGTGAAGAGTCTCGAGATGTACGGCGTGGACATGCACACGGTGTTGGGCAAGGATGGCTGCGAGTACCATCTGGGCTTGACGCCGACGGGAATTCTCGTGTTCGAGGGCATCCAGAAGATCGGGCTGTTCTTCTGGCCGAAGATCGGCAAGCTGGACTTCAAGAAGAAGAAATTGACGCTCGTGGTGGTCGAGGATGACGATGAGGGCAAGGAGCAGGAGCACACATTTGTCTTTCGGCTGTACAACGAGAAGGCGTGCAAGCATTTATGGAAGTGTGCCATTGAGCATCATGCCTTCTTCAGGCTGCGATCGCCGCTCAAAGGACCCTCGGCTAGGCAGAATTTCTTCCGGATGGGCTCGCGATTCCGGTACTCGGGCAAGACGGAGTTCCAGACGGCGCACCAGAGTCGCGCCAGGCGAACGGTTCAGTTCGAGCGGAGGCCGTCGCAACGCTTCGCGAGGAGGCAGTCGCACGTGCTACGGGAGCGCCAGAAATCCACGGCGCAGCCACAGACGCCGGCAGAGACGCAGCAAGTGTCCACGGAGGAGACAAATACATCTGTCTCGGTGACGCCATCCCCATCGATTCAGACTGTGATACACGCGCCCACGAGTCTCGACGGCGGCCTGGTGAATGGAGTGGCCAGCCTCGGCAGGAGTTCGGCCTCGTCCGCGGATGACACGGCGGGCGATGGATACAGCAAAATTGCGGCACATCACAGCTCCTTCGGAAAGGCGTCCATCAGCTCGGCGTTCAGCGTGAAGAGTGACAGTCACATTGACAATCTCCTCAAGACCATCGCAAAGGACACATCGGCAGCAATGCATGCTCAGGAGTCGCTGAACGATGCCAACAGCATTCGTGTGACGATCAACAAGACGTCCGATTTGGAGAGCAACACTGACACGCTGAAGAAGCTGGCGTCAGGAGCGGAGAAGCCCAATAATCAGACAAAGGTGACGAGCGTGGCTGGACCACTGCCACCATCGCAGCTCAAGTGCAACATTCTCAAAGGTAATTGTCAGGGGATTAACTGGATGACTTCCGGGAAGTGGCTCTTTATTGCACGATTGAATTCTTAGAGTTGTTTTCTCACATAAAAGTCTAGACAATGGCATTCTAAATTAGAAACTGGGATTTCACATCATTCGGCTTATTACGAGAAAATGGTTTTTGGAACAACACCAAATTGTTCTTTCCTCGCTGACACAGACTTTTACTACTTTTGTGCTCTTCTTTTGGTCTTCAACAGCTCGCAATGAAGAGGAATCCGCATCGACACCGGCAAAGATGACCAACCAACTATTCGTCCAGCCCCTGCCGCCATCGTCCGATGGACCATCTTCCCTGGAAGCAGCCACATTCGTCTCTGTGGTGAGTTGATCTCGTCAGTTTTGCTGTCATTTTATCACTGGCTTTCTGTGTTTATCGCTATGTGACCAAATCTCATCTGGCTTTATGTATTTGTCCTGCTTTCGCCCCATGTTTGTCGGCTTCTCAGGGTGGTGACAAGCTCACGCTGAATCTCACGGGAGTCTCGACAACGTCCAGTCCCACGTCGACGCTCAATGGGAATCCGTCGACACCCAAGAAGTTTACCGCAACGGCCATCGATGGCACGGAAGCGAATGGGAATCCGGATTCCGTCACGGTGACGCATTTCTCTGACCAGCGCGGCGTTGTGGAGAAAGTGAGTGTTCCTGCACTGAATATCTTCAGCACTGAACTGAAATCACCGAAGATGGACAACAATTTGAGGGCGGCGAGCAATTGTCTGAACAATGTCAGCAACAATCCTTTCTTAACTCCGTCCACTGAAAGCTCACCAACTGCCAATAGTTGTGTCTCCGCGACGAATCCCTTCAGGGATGCGATAGAGAGCGATGAGACAACGACGACGACGACGACGACGACATTCTTCAACAATAATCCCTTCCGATCCGAAGAGCCGCTCATTGGATCGCCAACGAAGACGTCGTCAGAGGAGAATTCCAAGCTGAGTGCCTTGAATGCGAATGAGACACAGAACACGAGTGCAGAGGAACAGAATTCCAAGGTATGCACATTTCTGTGGTGCTTGAGATTGTTTGTTTTTCATTTCCTCGTGTGTACTCGTTGCGTGTGTGCACTTTCATTCATTCTTATCGGCTATAATTGTCTTTAAGAGATAGTTATGCTAACAATGCGTGTCTTTCAGGATGGTTTCAACACTAGTAGAAAAGTGTCTCCTGCGCCTGCGATGGACATGGTGAGTCCCTGGCTCGTCTCCTCCGAGGTCGTGAGTGCTCCGCAAAAGTCCAAGGAAGCGCCGATCCTTCGGAAGTCCGTCATAACCACTCAACTCTAAAGACTTCTTTACTGCAATTTCTTCGACTTGTGCTTTTTTACCTTTTCTATACCGAGACCAAGTTAAAGGTAGATTTTATAAGATTTACACTTTTGCAATATCGAGGGGCTGTTGAGAATCCGCGCGCGTGTTGTCATGAATCGAATGTAATTTCCCGTACTTAATGACTATTACAGTAGTAAAGATTAGAGCGATTGTAGCGTAAGAAATGTGCCTTCTGCATTTTTAACCGTACTCTGAGATGAACTTTACCGCCTAATAGAACGATCTCAGAATGTTTAAGTGTCCCTCAGAACCTTTTGCGCTTATCTGTCCTGCCTTTTGCAATGTCGGGTTGGTGGATTAGTTGAAAATCTCTTCCTATTTTACACTTTATCTGAAGCGTTCTTCTTAGAAAGTATTATTTACAGCATTAATCGATTAGGCAAGGAGGATGTCGAAATATTTCCGGTGCACTGTATTGAGTGCCATTTGATAAGAGAGAGAGAGAGAGAGAAGTGTAGTTTGAATGAGAGGAAATGTACTTGATAAATCTTTTACAAAAGAACCTTTGTAACAGTTGAAGACATTTTACAGCAGTGAAAATATACAATGTATTAGAATTTATGTTCGTTGTTTTATCGCAGAATTCTCAGCTTAATTGCACGGCATTTTTGACCCACACGTTAATTAGTCGATTTTGCTGTGTAGTTTGTCATCTGCTCGAGGGTGTTCTTCATTCACTCCCATTTTACTCCGGTGGCATTTCGTCAAAATATTTCAAGAATGAAAGGCGATTATTTATAGCGACTGAAAATCCTTCACTGCAAAATTGCGCTCGCGGTGATTTTCAAGCCAAAATTTCACCTTTAAAGTCTCGACGAAAATGATATCGGAAAGTGACTTTCATTAAATACATCGGCAAAATGATTAATCCAGCAATGCTTGCACAATCTTCGGAATATTTATAAACGCGCATTTTTTCAATTCTAGCAACTCTGCTTCCGGTCACTCGTGAGACTTTGCTGTGTCTGGAGTTGAACGTGATGAATTGTGAACAGTGAAATTAGTCAAATTGGATTATGCGCGATGTTTTTCTCTCATTCTTCCCTGAATTGTGGTCTGAATTTCGCACATGTTGAGCGAAGAGGCCGATAAACATGCAGAGATCACATGTTTATGGGAAAAAGTTCTGTATATCACTTGTAAATTTAGACGAATTCATGAATTTGTCGCTGTATTTCTGTAATATTTGAGTCATTCTCGAGAATTTTTGGCTTCTATAGCCATCAATTCATTAAGCAAACTTGGAAGTGCCCACGATTTAATATTTTTACCCGCTTTACGCCCCCAAACGAGCGATTTTTTAGAATCACCACGAAAGATTTTTTATCAATATGATTTCAACATTCTGTTGACGATACAGCAATTTAACAGTCTGCGAAGTTTGAAATAAATAGTCGTCAGAAAATATGAATGAAAGACTCTTTCGGCTGTTATTTCAGTGTCTCATGATTTAGCAAAATCTAAACTCTAAAATTCATGATGTGCAGTCCTAATTTGGCATCGAATCTGCTAGTTTAGCTTTTGGTTCTCTCGTTTAATAACTCGGGGGAATATTTTAATTAGAAATATTCTGCTGTTCTGGAAGTTTTATTTCTCATCTATTTTTAAGACTTTCACTCACAATGTTGGCTCATTGGAATGCCTTTTTGCGTAAAAATATGGTCAAAATTGTTTCTAAAACAAATGATTCAAGTCCTAAAACTACAGAGGAAGGAATGTGTGAAGATTGATTCTTTGCCTCTGGTTTCATTTCATAATTGTAACTCAATCTAAATATAGCCCTGCTTTTCCGTACTGAATCAATCGCTGAACTTTACTTCCAAAGGTTAAAATTAAATTTTCACTCAATTCTTCGTCTCAGAATCTTTACGGATGTTTCGTACAGTTCAAAAAGAATGATATCAAACTTCCCAATTTGCCCCGAAAAAGCATCGATTTCTTCTGAATCATCATCGGAATTGACATGAAAAAGCACAGATCTTGTAATCCTGAATATGTGAAGCGAATTCCTCGAGTGATTGTACACCGTTGAGCAGCGATCTTGATCTCAATCGACAAAAGAATCCGCTGTGAAAAACAGCGCGCATGAATCACAGCAATTAAATGGCAATTAGGGGGTGCGCGATCGCTGGCACGAAGTGAAGACAGGCGAAATGCGGAAGATGGCGAGCGATGGCAACAAGTGTGCTGCCTTTTTGGGCGTCGAGGCGCACACAGAATAGCTTTATTAATAAATCCCCCACGGCGAAAGAGAGCGCGCGCTTCCAAAGCGTCTCAAAGCGATGCTCCTAAGAATGGTCAGCGAGTTCGTTACGCAAGTGTGGTGGGAAAAACTCAGCGAAGATGACTAAATACGACGCGCGCGGGAGTTTTGGCGGGACGCCAATAAAATTCCCATAAGGCACATGAGATCGCGCGCGCCTTCCGGGCTATTTTTGGCTCCTCCATCGAGAGAAACTCGATCGCGCGCGATCCACAGAGCGGAAATGCGGAGGGACGTGTGGAATTCCATTGAAAAGACAAGTGTTTTTGGTGTGCTTCTTATGCGCGAAAGGCTCTCATGTCTTTTGATCATGTGAATGGTGAGAGAAGTCAAAAGCAATGAAATGCATAATGAGATATTCTTTGTTTTTCGTTATTATTTCAATTCATTCTTTGTTTTTTTACATAATACCAATCACATGATCAAATTTTTCTCCTTTCTTTTTTATTCTGATTGATGTTCTTCAAGATTAGACATTCTTTGACTTGATGGTGTTGAAATGCAGTCTTTGAAGGATGACGTCGTGCCCACGGGATGGTGGTTGTGGGAGGTAATCTTTAGTTTTGGGTGGTAAAACGGGTGTTGTAACTTATTAGAAATAGAAAAATAAATAGATGAATCTTCCTATCCGCGCGATCTTAAACTCCTTCCCTCCTCTCTCTTCCTGCTCGGTGTCTGGGGGGCGCTGAGCTTAGAAGCACTTGCGGTGGACGATGCCAGGGCCGGACTCGTCGTATTCCTGCTTGGAGATCCACATCTGCTGGAAGGTGGACAGGGAGGCCAGGATGGAGCCACCGATCCAGACGGAGTACTTGCGCTCTGGGGGAGCGATGATCTTGATCTTGATGGTGGATGGGGCCAGGGCGGTGATCTCCTTCTGCATGCGATCGGCAATACCGGGGTACATGGTGGTGCCGCCGGACATGACAATGTTGGCGTACAGGTCCTTCCTGATGTCCACATCGCACTTCATGATGCTGTTGTACACGGTCTCGTGGATACCGCAGGATTCCATACCCAGGAAGGAAGGCTGGAAGAGAGACTCGGGGCAACGGAAGCGCTCATTGCCGATGGTGATGACCTGACCGTCAGGGAGCTCGTAGCTCTTCTCCAGGGACGTGCTGGCGGCGGCGGTGGCCATCTCCTGCTCGAAGTCCAGGGCGACATAGCACAGCTTCTCCTTGATGTCACGCACGATTTCCCGCTCAGCCGTGGTGGTGAATGAGTAGCCGCGCTCAGTGAGGATCTTCATGAGGTAGTCAGTGAGATCGCGACCGGCCAAGTCAAGACGGAGGATGGCATGGGGAAGGGCGTAACCCTCGTAGATGGGGACGGTGTGGGAGACACCATCGCCGGAGTCCAGCACGATACCGGTGGTACGACCGGAGGCGTACAGGGAGAGCACGGCCTGGATGGCAACATACATGGCTGGGGCGTTGAACGTCTCAAACATGATCTGGGTCATCTTCTCTCTGTTGGCCTTTGGGTTGAGTGGGGCCTCTGTGAGGAGCACGGGGTGTTCCTCGGGGGCGACGCGCAGTTCATTGTAGAAGGTGTGGTGCCAGATCTTCTCCATATCATCCCAGTTGGTGATGATACCGTGCTCAATGGGGTACTTCAGGGTGAGGATACCTGCGGACAAGCACGGAAAGTGTCATGTAGAGGCGCGAATTCCCTCCTCACGCAGCGTTGAACTCACCTCTCTTGCTCTGGGCCTCGTCTCCCACATAGGAGTCCTTCTGACCCATGCCGACCATCACTCCCTGATGCCTTGGGCGACCGACAATGGATGGGAAGACGGCGCGTGGAGCGTCATCTCCAGCGAAACCAGCCTTGCACATTCCGGAGCCATTGTCCACCACTAAAGCCGCAACCTCATCGTCACACATTTTGGAGATTTGCTGGGTCTTCCTGCAACGAGAATGCCACGTGAATTACGCCCTCGCCATCTGTTTCCCATCATCTTCCCAGCTTCCTCCATCTGCTCTTCTCTTTCTTCTATCTTTAGCCCTTCTTTAGTCGAGGAGGAGGGAGGAATCTTCACTTTTCTCACAATATATTCCTGAGCTTTGTGTGTGTTATTCCTCCACTTCACACTTCACTGTGAAATATCCCAGAATCTCCGTCCTCCTCGAGTAAATCCCCAATAAAAGTAGGATAAAAGGAAGTCACACTAACCGTTAGCACTAGAATTTAAAATCGGGCACTGTGTCAGCCTCTGTACTGCAGAACTGCGAGTGAGCTCTGGATTGTCCCTATGGCAATATTTATATGCTCCGCGTCGGAGAGCCGATCTCCGCCCTCGGCTTGGCCTGGCGTGGCATCCCGATGCCACCGTCGCCGACCGAAATAGACAAAAACACACACAAGCAGCGCAAGAGCCGTCGGAATCCTCAACTGAGCATCCCATACATGGATCGGCAGCACGGAAAAGAGATGCAGAACGGCCACTATTCTGTGCGATACAGCACCATATTTGATCGTAAAGGCCGATAGTGGCGAGGCGGGAAGATCACCCCCTCCACGAGATCGCCGACCGCACTTCCTGACATCCTCCAGCACATTTCCATCCCGGATTTCCCCAAACCCCACCGAAATGCCCTCTTGAGCAATCATTGCTCAAGCATTTTTCCCCCAAAATGCTCAAAACCAACACACACACGAGCCAATTAAAGTGATGAGAAGCAGAAAAAAATATGTACATTGTGGCATAGAATCCATCCTAAAATCGGACGCAGTCGTTTAGGAAAAAAGTGTTATTTTTACACCCAATGCTACGCGAGGGGGAGTGAATTCCCCCCGCGTGAGTGTGTGTACATGTTTTCCCAACACCCACAATCCCAAGCCGCACGCATCATTTTTCTCCATCCACAAGAGGCATCATTGGGCGCACATTCGATCATTAACGTCGTCATCATCAGCCAGGGTGCCTCAAAACTGATATGGTAATTCAAACAGTGCCGATATGTGCGGATGGGAGACGATGAAATGAAGCATTGAGCAGGCTTGGCAGACTTATTGTTGACGCTGATTCTTCTGATGTCCTCAGCTCAGATGAAATCCTTGATGAAATCGCACGATGATATCAATTTAACAATTGTGTGTGCAGACGTTTTTATTGGTTTTAAGTTCAAATCATAAAATCCTACTTTGTTATTCCATAATTACAGTGTTGAATGTGTATTGATTTTTCACCATTTTTCACAGAAAAATTTGCTCTGCAAAATTATAAATAATCTCATTGAGTTCAAATAAAAGATTTTCATGACGTAAAGATTGCTAAATTCTATTATTATTCTGTAATAGTATTTATCCTTAGTAAGTTCTTTAATTTTTCTTCGTTTCCAAGTTTATAAAAAAATAGCCAAGAACGTCAGGAATATTAATGAAGAATGATAATGAAAGTAACATTTTATTGGATTTTTAAATTAAAAATTCTGTGTTTCTCTTGATTTCTGATGTTTATTGTCATTATTGAAATTGACCACTTTCAATTTTTTTTCAATATCAGTTCTCAATTAGTGACACCGAGAATCACTCGGTGTTTGAAATATTCGCTCTTTTCTGCAACTTGCGAACGTTACGAACTATGTTTTCGTTTTATACACCGCGTTTTTCTGGAAAAATCGTACATTTGCAGTGTCAATTTTTAAGGCGTTGATGGAAGGAAAAATGCAGAAACATTCACCGTAATGAAAAGAACTTCCTTTCATGTGGAATTTACATTATAATCATACTTCGGATATTAATACTTCTCTGGCAATGTAACATTGATCCTAAAAGCTTGAGTGATTGCTATATCTGTAATTTCCTGGCACGCTTTCCTAGCTGAGAATTGAGAATTTCATTCTCTCTCTCCACCTTCAACAATTTTTCACTCTTCACTTTCGCGCTCTTTCTGTGCGGTATAAACAGAAAATTCCATCTATTTTTACCCACTCCTCATCCCCTGTAAGGTGTGTGCGTGTGACAATGAAATCGCGCCTTATTCCCACCCGCGAGTGGGAGACGCGCTCCATCTGCTCAATCGCAGCACAGCATCTTCTCGATGTGGCTCTTGAGGAATGTGGCGCCGCGGAGATCGCGCTGGATGGCCAGGAATATGAGCCACTCGGTCGAGAACGCCACGGCGGAGACGACAAGTCCCAAGCCCAGCACGATGAAGGCGCCCTGAACGTGGCTGATGCCCAGCACGATCTGCGTCGCTGAGCCTTCTCCGCCTTCTGTGGGCGTGCTCTGCACCTTGCTGACCTCGCTGTCCTTCTGCCACTTGTACAGCAGCCCGGACTCGAGGATCGTGCGGATGATGTCGTTGATCTTGGGCAGGAGGTGGAAGTCCCGCTTCACAAGCATTGACACGGAATAGCTGTAGATGTTCTCGGCGCGGTGGAAGCAGAACATGTCGCTCTCATCGATCAGTGGGCTGTTCCGGGCGTGCTGGCGCGACACAGCGACACCCAATTCACTGTCGTGTCTCACGCGCTGCAGGCACGCGTCTATATCCGGACAGATCGTGAACATGCGCCGCACGTACGTGGACTGAGCGTCATCTTTGGTGAAGTAGTTAAGGGAGTTCTCACTGCCCACGAAGTGATAAGATTCCGCCACGGCCATCGGCAGGGAGCTCACCTGGACCTCGTACCGCGGCCTGGTCAATACAGTGATGAGGAAGCTGGCGTAGGCCGTGTTGAAGTGCAGACCGTAGATCATAAGGCAGCAGAAGTAGATACGCGCGAAGAAGCGACGCGGGTTGTAACTTCCGTAGGTGTAAAGCGTCACGGCGAGCGTCTGGAGCAGCGCCCAGATGATATTCCCCGTCTCCGCAGTGTCCATGCGACTGAAGGTGCGCAGGAGATATCCAGTGACGTAAAGAGAGACGATGGTGAAGAGCCAAATGGAGAGATTGAAGATGGCAAAGACGTTCATCCAGTGCGGCGCCAAAGCCGCCTTTCCCACACAAAACGTGATGTCGTCCTGGAAGTAGGGAATCGACGTGGAGAGCATCTTTCGGCTGATGGAATTCTCAGTCAAGCCACCGATCATGATCTCAGAGGTGCTGAAAATCAAATGAAAGATCTTTGAAAAAATTCATTATTCAGAGGCCATTCTTTTGGTCAAGTTCGCCAATTGAAAGTTGTTTGCCATACGTTTTTTAGTGTGCATTAAGAAAATAGTTGTAAACAGAAAAAGCATTCGCTATTATTAGCTTATTGCGGAGTTGGGATTTTGGCAGACAGTGCTTCATCCCTTTAGGCATAAATCGTGGTTGAAAAAGTCGACTCACCCATCCAAGATGTCTGAGTAGAAAAGCACTGCGTTGTCTTTGCTGCCGAAGTAGTTCATCTTCGTGATGTTCATCAGAGTGTAGATTGGTTTCATGTTCATCCTGTGCGTCATCGTCTGCACCATGAAGACTTCCGTTCCCTTCGTGAAGCCCTCCTCTTCGTCATAAACTGTGTAGGGCAGCCAATTTCCGCTGGAGACTCGCAAAGGGCATCCATTGTAGGTCACTGGAATTTTCACCCAATCGGTGAAGAAGCTCTTCTCCACGAATTTGTTATCGTTCTCAAGGAATGTGCACTCGTCAATCAACCGCAAATTATCGATTTTGTCTGCACAGTTGGTGCCTTCGTAGGGAAACCAAGTGATGACCTGAATCAGGTTTGATTGATGCCTTCGCGACATTATATTCACATTGAAGACACCCTGTTGTTGCAATTCTGTGAAGATGTTCCTCATTTGCACATCCAAATCATCCGGTGTCATCTCTTCGGTGATGAAGACGACGACCTGGGCCAGAGGATTCCACGTGGGCAGTGCGTGGAGTTGCTTAATCGTGCGATTCAACTCTGAGGAGTCCTTCAAGAGCATGAAGTAATTCTTCGCCTTCTCCGTCACGTGCGACGCGTTCCAGTGCTTCTTGCGGGCGTCTTTAACCATCACAGCCAACTCGTGGCGCTCATTTTCATTGAGGTTCTCCAGCACGCTCTTTTGAAAGAGAGAGGCATCCGGTGTGAGATTAACGATGGCCAGAGATCCTTGAGTCTTCTTCTTCGAGCGAAAGTACTTCTCGCACAGCTTCAGAATGCACGGAGCAATTTCCAGCGATGAATCGCTGCTGATGCCATCAATGTCGATCAAACCATTCACTTTCCACAGGTCATTTCCAAAGAACAGCACACAGAAAGTAGTGAAAAGGGAAGCTTTTATAAGCACCATTCTTCTGGCAAGTTGAGCAATTTGTTTCCGAATTTCACTATAAATGAAGGGAGCAAAAAGAATTTCTGTTACACTTTATAGACATTCACACAATGTTGCGAAGGTGGAAGAAATCTCTCACCATTTCAACCATTTCAACTATATGAAAGAACACGAGAGAAGCTCGTGAAAGAATTCGAGCAATTTTTCTTCAATTAATCGTGAGCGAAATTGATGTTCTTGCAGCAACATTTTTATTGAAACTATATCACAATTCTTCGGTCTCACAGTGGCGATTATTAAAGTATTTTCGGTACGCAGAGGAATATCACGGAAAAGGTAGAAATGAATTCATAACAGTAATTGAGTTCAAACGCTCAAATATTTCGCGAATTCGTTCCAGAAACAATTAATCAATATTGCCCATTTTTCGATCAATTTGTGGGTGTTTGGCTGCAAAAATATCCGCCATACTTTCAACTCCACCGCCAATTGAAGCAGGAAAATCATAGCTTTTCACATTATTGTACCTTTCAATTATTTTATGCAGTGGAAAAAAAATCTCTGTTGCTACAGAACACGAAAAGCCTTGAAAGGCATTCTAATTGTGAGTGAAAAATGTAGCAAAGAATTGCATTTTTCAGTCGATGGAACAGCATTTCCTCATTAAATCACTCTTGATATTTTCCCAATCACTCTTTCCGCCCACACTTTTGCTCAGAAGGCATTTTAAATGCCAGAAAAATTTCCGCTGTGCGGTTTTTTGAGTGACGGATGATCACTTGGAAGCGATAAATTGAATGTTTTAACTTGTGAATCGGCTCATAAACTCAATTTAGTGCACTTTTTTCAGTTTTTGACTTTATCAATCACGTGCTTCACTAGAAATTATTGCCGAGTGCACGCACAGGAAAGAATTTAGTGATAAAATCGGCCACAATAACATTTATGGTATCGCCAATTTTACGAGTTTCTTTATTTGATTTAGGCTTGTAAGTTAGTCTGAATACATTTCATGAATATATTAAGACATAAATAATGTATGTTTCTACATATTAGAATTCTCAAATAACTGAACAAATTAAACTACCTTTTCTCTGATCTAAATGGTTAACAATCTCGTGTTTCAGAAGTTTCATTTGCTTTAATTTGTGTTCTGGAAGATTCGTCAGAAACTCTATCAAATTGTACGAATTCTCGTTACCTAAGGGGATTTTTTCAGCGATATATTAATTACTTTGTTTCACTTGTTTGACTCCCACTTAGCAGTCATTAGTTACACAATGTGTGATTGTCGGCTGACGATGTTCGCCATGCAACCGTTTTTCCTTGTAAATAACGCCCTTATCAGTGTAATATTGCAATGCAATCATGTAGGAAAGACTTGGGTGGTTCTTCTGCTCTTTGCCGCCAAAAACACACACACGAAGTCATTTCCGCACTTTAGGCAACATCGGTAAAACATGGAAAAGAGCAAGAGTTCACTGTGTCAGTGGAGCTTAACAGTGTAATTTTTCTGTTCAAAACGTTCCAAATGCCTTTATAAATGTTTTACACACTCGCGGAAAGACTACAAAGCCTACAAAGTGTGAAAAATATTACGTGAGAAGATTCACTGCACGGCAGATGATTTTCTGCACGAAGATCATGCTTATGGTCAGTGTTTGAGAAGTGAGCCAAGAAATTCGCAGGTTCTGATTGAGTCATTTACTTTGCATGACACCATGCATTAAATGGTAAAAGTAATTTGCAAGCATGTTCAAGTGCAGTGAATAAAAAAGGCACAACAATGTTGCGCCCGCGTGACACACCCACAAATTGCGATCGAGTCTATGGCGATTAAATCTCTTCGTCGTTGCATAGAAAAGCCACATACAAGACACAAATCAAAGAATTGTTGCAGAACGCTTTAATAAGCAGCCGTGTTACGATAAATGCCCTATTTTTGCTCAGCATGGCGCTGAGAGAAGTCGAAAAGACCATCGTGTCTCTTTTGTCGAATGAAAATTCGCCACGAAAAATTTCTTCTTCTCATCGCATTGCGTGGAAAAATCACGAGATGCACAATGGAATTGGATCACAAAGCGTTTTGCAATATTTACCCAATACACGCTTCTTCAATGATTGCCCGAGAAACTTCACATTGGCAAATTAAGGCACAAATAAACCCATTCAAATTGATTTAATGTGATTTTATCACACACGGATCAGAATTAGAATTAATTGAAATATGATAGGTTCATAATTTATTACGCCTTGATAGCATCTCTAAGGTTTGTTTGTTTGTCTGTGCAATTCACAAATTTCCATCAAAACACACTCAACATTCGGCAAAGAAGTTGAATGCTTGGGACGAAAATATTTACTTGTGGCATTCAACTTGTTTGTGGCATTGAGTTATTGAGCTTCATTCATTATGGGCATATGTGAGAGACACGAAAAAAAATTGATACAAAAAATACTATTTGACCACCTCAAGTACGATCGCGAGTTCTCAATTCAATCACAGCTTGGCCGCTGGCTTGCAGCCAAAGGGAAGACAACTAAAAAATGTGAAGGTGTTTCGTCTGAAAATTTCCCGCTGAAACATCTTAACTGAACTAGATCTTGAAGTGTGACGTCTTGGGATGAGCATCTGTCTTGCAAAACGTACAAGAAATAAGTCTTTATTTGCAATATCAATATAAATGGATGGAATTGAGAAAGTTCCTAATATGAATTGATTCTATGATTAGTGCTTTTTGTCAGTTGTCTGCCCTCTTGGCTATTGCAATGTGTATTCAATATCTTGAGACAAGAGAACATCGCAAAAACCGTAAGAACCGGTCGCAGAGACATTGTCTGATATCTCCAACTATACGAGATAGAGAAGTTGAGCGCAATCTCTTGGCCAATTCATAGCCTTTGCGTCATTCGGTCTCTATTGTTCGAAAGAATCTCTTTTTTCTCGAAAGGCCACCATCGTTGTATAAAGATCACTCGCGATCGTGATCGATATGATCGCCATAGATCACAATTGTCCTCACATCTCAGCATTAATAGCTAATTAGAGCGATCGTGATTGATCGATCTATTCATGGGTTCCTGCACGAGGAAGTCTGAGGAATTTTTCCATTGAGGAAATTCTGTTTTCACGTGGCGTGATTGAGCTAGCAAAAAACTCCGTATTCCGCGTAAAAACTGTACTTCCCACTAAGAAATTCGTGGAGTTTTTCACCTCAAGCACTGGTGATATAACGTTTGCTATTTCTATGCGTTTGTCTTTTTTCTGTGTCAAAGTCACTGATCTGGATAGAATTCTCAAAATATGCTTTTTGTCTTATTTATGAATCCACTGAACTTGTTTCCCAGCGAGCTGGAGGAAGTTGTGACCTACCATTGAGAAGATGACTAGATTGACTGTCGGTGAAATTCTAGAGCTCGTTTTCCGTCTCTGATTCTATACCTTCATGCGGACATGAAAGAATTTGTCACGAAATACTCTTCTCGCTGACTTATTGACAACTCTCAGCCATAATTCGGGCAATTTTCCTCCACTTTTCCCAGTCAATCATAAATAATGTCTCGTGAAAAGTCAATTAAAGTGGCTGCCATCAAAATATTGGCAAAAAAACCTGGTAATTTGAGACAATTAAAATGAAATAGACTTTCGTGAGTGGGCAAAAAACGACGCCAAGTTCAATATTTCAATTTGGAGTGTCTTGACTGGGAATTTTCAACTCTTGGCATTTATTCCATTAGATTAATTCCCTCATGACTTCATTTAAACATTCATTGCCTACCGCGAAAGAATCAATCCACCTGGAATGGTGTGCAAAAACAGCCCACCAGGCAATTATTAGTCCATTTATTAAGCATTGTAATTTATTTTTACAATTTCGGCCGTATTTTGCGCCGTGTCTGTGCGTCTCAGTGTGAAATTGATATTCGCGTGCTCTTTCGGCGGTAAATAAAGGAAAAAAAAACAACCTCCTCATCAGACGGAATTCAGCATTTCATAATTTCAGTTCAATTGGAGGAAATTTTCCTTGACGAAAAGTCTTCACCTTGACGCGAGCGGCACATGAAATTATTTGTGCAATAGGCAGAGCTTTATCAAAACTTCGCCACATAAATAGTGTTGAGAGCGTTGAGTGATGTTTATTGATTGTTTCATAATTTATATTAGCTGGCAGACATTTTCAGCCCACTTCCTTGGGGCTGAAATGGAAGTTCTTGAAACACCCAAAATTCCTCACCACCCAAAAAAAAGTGAAAGTCGCACAATTTTGCCCAGAGTTCAATAAGTGCCAAAAACGTCTTGTTGTTCGTCTCTGAAAAGTTCATGCATTTCGGGCGAATTGTTTGCTACACAAAAATCTCTGGCAATTAATCTCTAATGAGTCTTTCTCTTGTTTCTGCCTCCGTGAAAAATTCAAGTTCAAAAGATTCATTCATGCTCAGTGTCTGACTTTTCGGGCCTCTCTTTGCGCAACATCATATTTGACCCAAATTCACACGAAACCGATCATTTTTGCGTTACACACGGCGAGGAAAAAGTCTCAAAGTTTCCACGCATCTTATCATCGCGAGACACTTTCACTTTCTTCTCCTCTTTCTCACTTCTTTTCCCTCATGCGGAATTCATCGCAGAGTGTCGAACAATAGTGCTCAATTCGGAGGAGATTAAATTAAATCATTTACCAGCCCAAAAAATCACTCCGCGCTGCCCAAAATAATAATTCTTTTATGCAATAGGACAGACAAACGAAAAATTTATTAGACAGGCAATTAAATGAAAAACCTCTGCTCCAATTTCCTTAAAAAGATTTATGGGATGGGAATGTGGCGACCGAGCAAATATCGAAACGCCGTGTATCTCACAAATTGTTCTTGCGTGTCGCATAATTAAATGTCTCACTTGCACTTAAATTCCATGCGATGAGAATTTGCACTCATTACTATTGTACTGTCACACTGCCTAAATAGTCACTTTGGTGGGTGCGAAATGGCCAAAAGAGCTCTGAAATGGATTCCAGCAAATCCAGCGAAGAAAGTCTGCCGCATTAATTGAAACTCTGTCTCAATTTCCCGTGAAAATGCTAATAAACCATTGCGTAAAGGTAGAATTGATCAAATAAATTGATTATGTTGTAAAGTTGATAATTATTGTCTTTCTAATTTATCGCTTCAGCAATAAAACTCAGCCAATTTACTTGTTATGCTCTGTGTCATTTTCGAAGCAATTTTCATTTTTGACTCACTCTGAATTTTACTACCGTTTAACCGTCTTGCATTTGAAGTAGATCAAATGCCACTTATCTTATCGAAACATACCTTCCGGTGCTTTTCATCAAATATTTGCTTAATTTAGTGATGAGCCATGCAAATTTTTGCAAATTCACAATTTATTGCATGTTTTGATAGAGTCTAACGTGATTTCTCTATTAATATGAATAAAATTTAGTGTTTGATAAATAATACTGATCGATATGTAAATCAGGAAAAATGGAACATTTACAGTACAAATCCTCTTCTTCCTTTATTTATAAATGTAAAATTTTACAACTGTTCACAGGTTTGGATGCAAATTGATGCACTGATCATCAGCAATTACTCAATAAATTTTATATTCCCATTAAATTTCTCTTTCAAAATCACACCTATTGACACGGAAACATTCCAAAATTTTCCACTCGCGCTTATAGAATTGTTTGGCTGGCCACATAATAGCAGTTCCAGTGAATTGAGAGCTCAGGAGCAAAAAGAGATCCTTGACAGCTGAGCTGGGCAGGCGACAAATTTCCAGGTGCCTCTTGGCCGTTCTCTAGGCGGTGCGGCTCCTCAACTTCTTCGCCACACCAACACGGGAACCAGTCAGTGGTAAGAGGTGCAATTTTATATAAATTTATTCCACCATTCACTTCAGACACGCAGTTGCTGGTTGATTTTCAAACGGAACGGTTTGTTGGTCGGCGCTCCGCAAGTTCTTCGCCTCTCGCCATAGAAGACAGTCAAGCAGTGGTTCATTATCAGTGAATGAAGATGTTTTCGGTGCCATAAATAGCCGCGGAAAAGGGAAGAACAGAGTGAAATTTTAGTGCAGTGAAAGGAGACGATCATCTGTGGAATTTATTGCAGTGCGATCGTCAAAACACGAAATATATTGATTGGGAAAATTCGTCATAATTCACTTTCACGGGCGCATCTGTGAAAGATGAAACTCTGAAGTGTTGTGCATACAAATTTTCACCGTATCTTTTCAATCATCTCAACTTCCTAATCACGTTTGGCTGCGCTGCCGAAAAGAGGGAACGCTAAATCCACTTGTGAGTACAAAAGCGGCCACAAGAGTCAATTTAATTCAATGAGACTGGGATTGAGTAAATTTTCAATGGTTATTAATTTCCAAGGAACATTGCCAAAGAGAGTTAGGTAAAAATAAAATTGATCGGCCTCTGTGACAATTTCTCCGTTTCCTCTGCAATTAAAATCAATTTAGCTCTTTCATCTCCCACTCACTCGGCCACACTGATCGTTAAATGCAACCTGGACAAATGCAAGTAATAATTTCACATTAATTTGTACTGCCTGGAGACACATCATTGACCACAGCGAGTCACACAATGTGACAAGTCTGCACAGCAGAATGATATTGACACGTGAATTTTACCTTTACCTCATTTAGCATGCGAGATCACAATTAATTCGTAACATTTTATGCTCTTTTTCCTCCCAATTGCCCTCATGATAATGCATGACGAGTGAAAAATGCAGACTGTTGAATTTTGAAGGTGAATCGGCGGGAAATTGTATCAACATGCACATATTTTGCCAGATGGACCGCCTCAATTCGACCACACGAGGAGGTGGTGCTTATTAGAGCTGAAAAGCAGAAAAGTTCGTTGGAAAATAAATGAAGCAAATGCAGTATTACGTAAAAATTTGCAGCAATCAAGGGGAGAATATTTGGCGGATCTGCTTTGTTGATTAATGCGAATTTTTATTACTTTGTTAGAATATCATTTTGTTCCCAAACATATCTTTCCCAAAATCAAATAGGAATAGGCTTCATGGAGGCGATGATTTCAATGTCATAATTAAACAAATGTTTAAAATTAATCTATTTCATGTTGTCTCCAAATAAATGCCCCTTGAATGCAACAGAGTTCACGCTATGTATACACTTGTGAGCGGATTAGAATTGCACTGAAAGACAAGGAACTCACTTTCTTTCCAGCACAGATAATAGTTATCAAATTACAGCAAAATTGTGCAACAGCAGAGCAGCAAGTGCGCGCGAGATCTAAATAAGAAAAGAGTCTGAACTTTTGACCAAAACACACTCGCTTCACAATCACTCGAATTACATGATCTCAGCCGTTGATGTTGGTCGCGTACAGAGATCGCGAGTAAATATCACTCGTCTGATCACTCTTTATGTATTCACTTTGAGTATTGAGACCCCAATTCTGTACTCGCAAAGCGCGCTCGTGCTGGAAAAGACATAGAAAAGGTCAAGAGACATTGCGCCAAAGGAAAATTCACGCTGTGACTTTTTCCTTTCCATTTTCACGTGACACTCGAATGGGGACAAAACACAAGAAAACACCTTGACTTCTTCAGGCCGCGAGTGTGACTCCCTTTCTCAAAAATTCCTCATCATCTCGCGATTGGCGAATCAATCGCGCAAGAAAGTGTACGCAATGCATTTGTTCGGTGGCCCGTGAAAGTAAAGAAATGCGGAGGCTCTCAACTAATCAAAAATCGGCTGGAAAGTCATCTGACTTCACGTTAACCGATGAAATGCCATAAAACACTCCCTGAAGTGTTTACATTTTGTGCAATTTACCAATATACTTTCGCGGACTTATTACTTACACTCCCCCTTAAGTGAGTGAAAAGTCGTGAGTTTATAGTAAATCTCCCGAATGGTTACATTTAAATGGGTGTATATTTTGAGAACGATGTGAATGAAGAGTGTTTATAGCACTCAGGAAAATTACATATGCAAATGCAACAAAACAACCAAACTCACGACAGACGAATGCTTTTAGCTCTACTTTAGAATGATATGTGGAAACAATGAGGGAAAAAAGTATTTAGCAATATTGTGACTCAAGCCATTTTACCCGCAATTGATTATCTCAGTCAATAGCGAAAGCAGTACAAATATTTTTTTTCCTCTTGTCATTTTGTCTACATTTCCCTCTATTTTCCTCAAACAATCTCCACATTGAAATTTAGATCAAGCATCGCACCAGACTTCTTATGCAATTGCCATGGGAGGAAAGCAAAAAACCGACCTAAGGAGAGATTACAAATCTTCGCATAATCACACAGCATCTCACATATTATCAATTGTTAATAAATCTGTTAATGATGGAAGAAAAGTGCCTCTTTCTCTCTCGCACACGCGTGAGAGAGTGACTGCGGAATGTTTTGCCAATGAATGAAATGCAAAAAAAAACATGAGTCACACACAAAAAATGCCTCTACAATGAGTGAAAAAATAACAAAAATTTATGAATTACATAAAATTTGCATCGCTAATAAATTGCATCATAATCAAAATCAACTTTCGGATGAATCTCAGACCGGAAAATCTGTCACTGTGGGGAGTAAAGCGCTAATACGGGCGTCATAAATCAAAAATTCAGCTCCACCACGTGAAAAGTCCACTTAGAAATTGATCTAAAAAGTGCACCCAATACCACGAAAGCATTCACTTTCAGCATTGCATGCTGGACTAAATGCAAAAGGCTGTTAATGTCATCAGATATAACCACAATAAATCACTAAGACACACTGTGCAAATGCAAGAAAATTTATACACTGGTTCCAGCCTACAAAAACGACTCATTTGGGCAGTAAAACTAACAAACAATTATACGTAATTTGATAGGTTCAATAAATGGAGCAAGTGTAAAAAGTCATTTTGATACACCATATAAAATGTGTGTGGAAATGACCAAATAGTTACACGAAAACTTTCTCAATGATGGGACATTTGCGGGTAAAGAAAGCACAAGCGCTGCTTATTGTGATTTTCGCTCCGCCTTTTCTGTTGCTCCGCCCATTCCTTCTAATTACTGTATTTGACATCTAGATCGATATCTAAATCTCATAATTTTACATGAAAATTGTGTCATGCAATGTTTTGAATTATCAACGGCCAGATTCGAATCTACATTGTTTTTCTTTCTCTGTAATTGTCGAAGTCGTCTTGTGTCCTTCCGACTCTTTAACCTTGATTTGATAACATAAATTTGGATGTTCACCATCTTATCATTTTCGTAGTCATGCTTTAATATTAATTTCTAGCGATATTGAAGTAAAATCTTATCTTTCTGTTCATGCAAGAATACAAAGACAGAGATTCGCATCCCAAAGCTTTATCAAAACATCTGACTAGTGAGAACTCGCTAATAAAAAGTACATTGTGTGCAATTTGTCTCAATTCGCCATCATTTTTTATAATGTATAATTAAGCAAAGACTATTTGAATATGCTTCTTTTGTGGAAAATCACATTGTTCGTGGAAAGTTAGTTGCGATCAGTCACATTCACTGCTCCTATCTAATATGTTGATTTGCAAGGTTTTGTTAGTGATTTCTACGGTTGTTGTGGTCATTGCTGAGGATGACATTTCCTCCAAATTCCACTCTTTTGAGATTGTTCCAGATGGAATTTCGAGTGCTCCTGAAAATCCATTAGAGGTAATTCAGATAGTGGAGATTAAGAGTGATCTACACTTCCCTTTCCTCTTTGAAAGGTAAAATATCCGAGCGATGCGGAGGCGAATTATGGGAATGAGTTGACGCCAACGGAAGTTAAGGACGAGCCAATAGTGACTTGGGAATCAGATCCAGAGGATCTCTACACGCTCCTTTTAGTGGGTCTCGATGCCCCAACTAGGGCAGAGCCTTCACTTCGCGCTATAAAGCATTGGCTGGTGGGAAATATTCCAGGCAATGACTTGTCTGAGGGCGAAACTCTCGCTGAATACATTGGTTCAGGTCCACTGGAAGACACTGGACTCCATCGATACGTTTTCTTGGTTTTCAAGCAGCCGAATGGGAAAATTGATTTCTCAGAGGAAGAAAAGTGCGCCAAAAAGTAAAGTGATTGATTTCTTACGAGAGGAATTTAGTTAAAAATCAAGCATTTTTTTTCAGTGTCATAAAATGTCGTTTATCGTTTTCGACCAACGAGTTTGCCGGGAAGTATTCACTTGAGCTTTTCGGAGGGAATTTCTACCAGGCTCAATTTGATGATTACGTTCCGATATTGCATGCGCAATTTCAGATGGAAGATGAGGAATAAGTAATAAATAAATCTGCACTTAATATTATGGAATACGAGAATTGTATGCACTCAATAATCAATTGTCCAATAAATACCTTTTTGCTGGATTGACTTTTTGTCATTTTCATCGCCCTCGCTTGCAGTAAAATGCAAGTGTCATTGCAACAAAAAGAAGTGAAAATAATATTCACTTAATGGCTCGGTCACTTTCATTGAGACTGAATTTTAAATACACATTTTGCAGAGGCACTTTTTGCCTTCTTTTTGCTCCACTCTTTCACTCACCGAATGACTTTTTACGCAAGTCTTTTAGTGCCCCTGAGGACACAATTTCGCAACAATCTCGAGCCAGAGGCCCATGAAAAGGCCTGTGCGTAAATCATAATTAGATGAGCACGAACTGTTGTGGCTTTTTTCAACTTCACCATCACAATATCTAATTATGTGCAATATTATATGTATAAATTGCAATGTTATTAATTAATCGAGTTTAAAATGCAGACAGAAGAGATGAAAAAGAGCAACAACACGCGGCCAGACCGTCTTACGTAATGCGCGAGAGGAGAGAAATTGTTTACACTTGAGGAAGTCTCAGCAGAAACAGTGAGAAATGTGACTTAATTGGGCTCGATTGTCTTCCAACACCAGATGCATATTTTCCATTAGACAAATTTTACCCATTTTCGTACCTGGGAAACTACCTGCTAATTGATTTCTTTTTCCACATGATTTAATTAACCTAAAGAGACTCATTACTGGTATTTGTTGATTCTATCAGACAAGTGCAATTGCTTTTCATCGGTAACGAACAGTCCCAGAGCTGATGTGCGTCTAGATTGACGAACGCTCACCTGCACTTGAGACGGCGAGAAACCACAAGAAAACAGTGTGACGTGTGACATGCCGCCAAATGTATATTTACTCGCGTTCGAAATGTACTTGCTCTGTATCTGAACAAAATATATCTTATTAATCTCGTGTCGTTTGGAACGACTTTCGATTTTAAGTCGGTGCATTTTTGAGGTGTGCAACTGCATAATTGAATGCAATCTACCCGCCGTTCCTCGCGCACTTCGGAGGTCGAATAGGTGGAGGCTGAGTCAGTTGCGAAAGCCCAACTGACGGAACAATACGGATCTGCAAGATCGCAGAAATTCCCTCAAGACCAAATTAATAGTACTTTTAGCACTTTGCCGTGCGCGATTTCCGCCTGAAATGCCAAAGGAGTTGTTATTCAATTCACTGGCTTTTTGGTCAATTCTGCTCTCTGCAACTTTTCCATTTGGGCTTTTTGCGTAATAACCTTGAGAATTACTGTATTTCGCGCACAGACACCAAATGTAGGTGAAAACTGGGTGAACAAATTGCTCACCATTCATACCAGCTGTTTTTTTTATCAATGCACATTTTGTTGATGTTGTTTGCTGGAATACCTTTGTCACACCCACACTCTTGACCAAAAACAGCATTTGTAAAGGCACTCGTGCTGGAGCCAAAGTGATACACAATTTATCACCATATATTGTGTCATATTTTGCATGAAAGGCACTCAAAGCTTTAAAGTAATTAACGATAATGCAAATTATTGGATAAAACGGACCAAGTCAACTAATAAGCGGTTGTTTCTGGTCCAATTTTACGTATAATGAGATAATTGCATGAGAAACTTAAGCAGTGTTCTTGTAACTATTCATGAATTCTGGAAAATTGGCAGGAATTATGCTATACAATATAATAAACTTGAACCTCGAGTAACTTCGTCAAGTGCTAATAAGTTATGTGTTTAAATGTCACTTTTTTCTCATAAATTTACTCTATTCATATTGAAGAAAACGTGAGATTGAGTTATGGGATAGTGACGAAAATGCATTTATTAATGTTCAAATATTACTGAAAAAAGGCAATATATGACTTTGATTTACTCGGAATGTGACAAACTTGATCATAAATCTATCATAACACAAAAAATTGCTGCTTTATTTCTATCTGTTTTAATATTTTAGTTCTTAGTTCATACAAAATTCTGGTGTTTTGAATACTTGAAACATTTTTTTTTATTATTTCCTTGGCAACTTTCTATCTTTGCAAAAGTAAACCCTGAACTCCTTGAGATTAATCATGTCTCTTTTACTTTTACAGATCTCACGATGTCTCCGAAAAGTCTTCTGGCATGCTTGAGTCTCCTGGTGCTCTGCACAGCGAGAGTTGAGAGCGTCATTAACAGAGTCCCTTCGGACCTCTCAGGAGCGCCGCTTTTGGAAACGGCGAAGATGTGGAATCTGCTGTACTACGATTTCCCGCCAAACTGGCCGAGTTCTGACCCAGACTTCTACAATCCTGCCCAAGTGGTCGCGACAGGTATCGAAGTGACTCACGACAGATTCTTCCTAGCCACGCCGCGACTGTTCTCCGGAGTTCCTGCCACACTCAGCACGGTTTCCAGGCTCGACGAAGGCGACTCTCCCGTCTTGACTGCCTATCCCGATTGGAGTCACCACGCGGCCGGCACGAAGAGCTACAATTGCAGTGATATTGGTCTCGTGTCGGTCTATCGGATGAAGCTGGACAAATGCAATCGCCTGTGGGCGCTCGATGCCGGAGTTTCGCGCTCTCTTGAGGACTTCGAAGTCAGCTGCCCGCCGAAGATTCTCGTCTACGACACGGACACCGACAACGTCGTGAGGCGGATCGATTTCCCACCCGAAGTGGTCAGAGGAGAGTCTCTCTACACGAATCTCATCATCGACGACACCAGCTCTAAGATTGAGAATCACTGCGACGATGTCTTCGTGTACATTACAGACACTGTGGAGCCAGGTAGATCTTCTTCGTTTTGTGCCACTTTCTTAACACTAACAATTAACATTGCCCACAGCGATTGTCGTGTACGACAGCGGGCACGATGTCACATGGAGACTTTCCCATCCGTCTATGTATCCCGATCCCAATTTCGCCGAATCGAGCATTCATGAGCACAGATTCACGCTGATGGACGGCATTGTGGGCATCGCCTTCGATCGCGACGCGAACGTGATCTACTACCAGCCTCTGGCCACCGACCGGCTGTTCTCGGTCCCCACAGCGGCGCTCAGGAGCGGACCACTCTCTTGGGGCGCAGAGCTGCCCGTGAAGCTCGTGGGCAGGAAGAGTTCCCAAGGCCTGGGCATCACCTGCGCGCCCAAGGGAGGCAGCATCTTCTTCAGTCCCTTCACAGCAACAGCCATTGGAGAGTGGAATCCTCTCACAAACCATCAAAAGTAGGTCATGTTGAACATTGAATCCATCGCCGACTAATTCTTGCTCTCTTTCGCAGTGTTGTCGCCTTTGATTCCGAACGTCTTCAGTTCGTGGCTGATCTTATGGCACCATCCCGTGACCCAGGAACCCTCTATATTCTCTCATCGAAATTCCATAGATTTTTCCTAAAGAATCTCGACTCCGGAGAGGTTAATACGAGAATCCTCAGAATTCGTGGCGCGGTTTATGAGTCTCCTGACGACTCAGAATTCCTGCCACTTATCGAGCAGAGCTTCCCAGCAGTCTCCACCACCAGCCTGCCCTACAGGGCTCCTGTTGCCGGCTTCAAGACCTCTTTCACGCTCAATCATCCCCTCACGCCCGTGCACACAGGCAAGCCGACGTCCTACATTGAACGCTACTTTGGCACATCTCGCCATGAAACGCCCTACAACTTCGAGAGCGTGGGCGTGATCAACAAGCAGGTGAGAAGTCCATTCGCCAGGCTCAATATGGGAGAGAAACCACGAGCGCCACCGGCGCCCAGCTCCCTGCAGGAACTCCACAAGTTCGACGGCAGGAGCGTCTTGTACTCCACACAGATCGAGCACCACCGAGGACCGCCCAGAGATTACCGCGGACGTCGATACACGCGACAGTCCACCCGCCAAGTCCTTTACAACAGCACCCTGGATTTCTAATCTAATCAATCTTCCATGTCATCAAATGTTGTGTGTTCAGACGCTAATTTATTGAGATTTCTGTACGAGTGAAGAAGTGCTGTAAGCGTGGTCAATCAACTCATCACCGAGAGAGACTCTCCCAATGTTTATTTTGCCATAGTTAACGCATTTTAGGTTTATTTTTGTATATGATTCTTCCTACTTCAGCACAATTTCGCATACATCTAGGCGACTTTTGTACATACTGTTCATATTATGTTCGAGTAGCAAATAAAGATATAAGATCCAATGAGAATAAAAAAAGCAGATCAAGATTGTCTATCACTGGTGGGGAATTATAATAAGCGGGTTGGATTTAGTACGTGATTCATAAGTGGAGAAGTAATTGCACACGATAAGAAAAGTGTCACGCATGCATGGGAATATCCCAGAGTGTCTTGCCATGAACTTGGGAAGATCACTCGAAGGCTAGCATCAAAGGATGAATGAGTGAATCAGCAGAGAAATTCAGCGACATCAAACAGAAACACAAAAAGGTAAGATCAATCTTTACGCAGTGGGTCAATCCAAAAAGGTCATTAGAAAGTGCTGCTTGAGGAAGGTTACTTGAGGGGAATCCCAAGACATCTCAAGAAACCAGAAGGGATTTATCGAACACACAGCCTAATCTTGCAGATCTCATACATATCTTATCTACATCGAAACAAGAAGTACCTTTTAATCAGGAAGAGATGTAATACCCTGTAAATGCCCTCAAAGTCTAATGATATCAAGAGTGCCCTTAAAACATATAGATGTAACGAGCTTGATTACTTGAAGCTTCAAATTTCTTTATTTCCCCACTTGGGATGCAAATTAACTGAAGTTTCCCCAAAGTCGTGATCTTCAACATCTCCGGTCTGCTCTCAATGAGGGACGCTAAAACGGGTAAACAAACAATATTTCTTTGTGTTTACACGCTGTTAAACTAGTACATGACCCGGTTTTTGCTCCCTACGAGCCCAAATTTTAGTGCAAGTTCAATGCAAAATAGTTTCCAAAAATCATTATCATAGCTTTTGTCGCCCAATTAGGGTCAATGAAACGTGTGCCATTGAGAATTGATAATCCATGCCCACTTGTTGGCACTCTGGCAATAGAAAAAATACCCATCCGTGGAAGAGTTTATGATTATTTGCATACCCGAATATGTCAGATCATTACGAGATGTTATTTAAATGAGCATAAATGTAAATAGTGCGGCGTCTGGTTTACATGATTCGTAAATAGCCTAGCCTTGTGTTGGGGCAGACAAGACCAAATGGCCAAACAACCCACGAAACCACCTGATTAACATCGCGGAATTTCTGGCCGAACTCGCAAAAATCACACGAATATAGCCAAGCTTTGACCAAACTCTGCGCTCATCTTTCAGTACACTTCTGAGCGCGCCAGTGAACTGACGAACGCGCCGAGAACTGCTTGTTTTCCTCATTGACGATCCATTAAGGTTGACAAAAGGCACGGAGAAGAGTGATAAGGAATTGTTGGCCGTCTGGAGATCACGTGTAAGTGATTCTTTGCGTTGTTATGAAAAAGTCTCATTGCTAATAAATTCACCGCGACATTTGCATGGCCTGGAAAGTCCCGTGTGTACACAAAATTCGTCACATTAAGAGCGCTGCAAGTGCACATGTGATTTTAGTATTTCTTCGAAAGTGGGTGAGATCAGTCTAGTGCGAACACACACACTTTCCTCGGCACTTTTAAACACTAAGAGGTGATCAATAAGTGCGATCTCGCTACACACCTGTCCATATTCTACAGAAAGAGGCAAGATTAAATTCCAATCATCTTCTCGTATTGTCGCTAAATTTCCGGTTCTTACTTATATTGCTTGACGCATGTCGTGCGGTAAACAAGAAATGCTGCCACAATTCACGGAAAACGGGTGGAAATCAACAAAAATATCACCCACAAGCGTTGTTATCTTTTCGCGAATTTTGTGCCAAATCGCCAAATATTTGATCTAACATCTGCGCTGACTCAAGATCGCAATAAAAGCCCGGGATGTTATTAGTCCAAATTTAGTTGATTATTAGTGTTGGCAATAGCTTAGTTTATTTGCGACCAATTTAATCTTGCAGGTGCGATGATCGTGCCAAAACTACTCGCCCTGGCGGTGTTCATTCCGGCCGTTCTGGGCAGCTCACCTCTGAAGAAAGTGGCAGAATGGTACGACTTGGAGTATGAGTTCCCTACGGCTATGGACCGCCAGAATGCTATCATCCAGAAGAAGTACATCCCCGGAAATGGCGTGCCAATCGACGTGGATGTGGCGTACAGAAACATGGGAGGATCGCTGATCTTCGTGACAGTGCCACGTTTCACCAATGGCATTCCCGTCACCTTGGGCACGATCTCCGGCATGTCGACATCCATGGGGCCCATGATCCGCGCATATCCGGACTACGCGTCGCAGAGCAGCCATGGAGCCAGGTGCGATGGCATTACATCCGTCTTTCGCGTCAGCGTGGACAAGTGCAAACGTCTCTGGGTGCTGGACACAGGGAGGATCGGCGATGACGTGCTCTGTCAGCCACAGATACTGGTCTACGATCTCAACACTGACTACAAGCTCCGCCAGTATCGCATCCCGATGTCCCAGGTCACTAAGTCATCGCTCCTCGTCACTTCCGTGGTGGATGTGCGGAACAGTGGATGCGACCAGACGATGGTCTACATTGCCGATGTCACGGGCTTTGGATTAATTGTGTACGACTACAAGCGCAACAAGTCCTGGAGAGTGAATAACAAGCTCTTCTATCCTCATCCCAAATTCGGCACATTCACCATCAAGGGCGAATCCTTTGATCTGATGGACGGCGTTCTGGGCCTGGCCATTTCCCCGCCTGTGTCAAGAACCCAGAGAGGCGGATACGGTCTCTTCTTCCCGCCGTACGGAGATCCTTACGACTACCAGAACAGCGTCCTGCCGCCGACCGATCGACTCCTCTTCTTCCACGCTCTCGCCTCAGCCACGGAGAACGCTGTTCCCTTGTCCTTGCTGGACAACTCAACCATCTGGGAGAACAATCCCGACGACATGCCCAGAAGCTTCAGGGTAAGTCACCTTAAAGACCTTGATAATGAGCGCCGGAGATTCTTTACGATCCATAAATTGCCCATAATGTCAAGTCTCACCTAAAAAACGTGTGAGAACTTTTTAGACGTATAAATTACATGCTTCCAGTCGTTTTTTTTGCAGCACGATCAAATCTTCTCGAGCGTGTAGTGTCCAAAACTGGAATATCAATTAATTCTAACCACAGACTCAAGAGGCAAACAACTGATCGAAATCTTAATTTGTCGTTTATATGTATTAAGGGATGATCAAAGGGTTTTATATATCCTCTTCTGTTCAAGAGACGCTTTTTATTGTTCTTATACTTACCAATTACGAATTTTCTTGCAAATTCTTTTACTCTTTTCTAAATGCGAAACTAATATGCAAAAAAATCAACCGAGTTGATAGATTTCGTGCATTTTTACACACTAATGGCAGTAGATTAATTAAGAATTAGTTGTTTTCCCTCCATAAAAACTTGCGTCAAGTCCGTCATTTACCTTCGACGCCTTCGACACAATCTTAAAAGATCATTTTTCACACCTGCAGTGGCAGAGATTCGGCCAATATGGAATTTTTATTATTCATTTGCCACAAACATTTTTATGGTCTTTCCCACTGAGTTATGCAAATTCCCAAAGAGTCCTAAACTTTCCGTGATTCCGCAGGAAATCGGCTACAGAGGCACTCAGAGCGCAGCCGAGGCCGTGGATCAGCACGGGAATCTCTTCTTCGGCCTCATGAATCCCATCGCCATTGCGTGCTGGGACACGAACACGGAGTACAACAAGCAGAACATCAAGATCGTGGCTCAGAGCGACGATACGCTCCAGTTCGTGAGCGGACTGAAAATTGTGATGAACGGCCGAGGCGAGGAAGAGCTCTGGGTTATGACCTGCAGATTCCAGAAGACGATGACAGGCACGCGGAACTTCCGGGAGCTCAACTTCCGCATCATGGCCCTTCAGGTGAATCAATTGCTGGGCGGCACGAGATGCAGCGGCAGGGAAACCAACAGTTTTCAGTTTCCCAGTTTTTGAGCCTCAGTCTTGATTGATTGAGAACTATTTGACGCAGTGAATATATGAAGAAAATTTGAAAAATAAAGGTTTTCCCAAAGAAAAAATCAAAAACTAGTATGACTTTTCATTACCAAAATTTATTAAAACTTTCTCCAAGTTTTCGTATACGGATGTCATGTAAAAATACGAACCTTTGATAAATTTTCTATGAAATTTGTAATAAATGCATCCAATTGTCTTCTCAATTCACTGAAAGAGCACTTTAGGGACCTTATCACCTATCTATATCCCCTAGAAGATACAAAAATATATATATTTATCATGAGATTTTTAGCGTGATATGAAAGAATGAAGCGCAAGCAGCGCGTGGATGATTTACAGCGAATTTCTGGCTATCTCTAAAGCACCACAGATACAGTTTGGCATTGGCATTGAGCGAGGCGGAAGCTCTTCTCACGAGTAGTACCTCCCAACCTCCCCCAGCAGCTTCTCCACCGTCTCCTCATCCACAGGCAGGAATCTCTTGGCGGCGCGGCTGAAGAAGTAAATGTCACCCGTGTAGATGTCGAACCAGAGCGCGTGGATGTGCAAGTCGTGCGTCTCGAGGCGCTTCTTGAGGAAACCGTATGACGCAATGTTCGACATTTGCTGCAGCGTGTTCACCTGACTCAGCTTATCCTCAATTGCGAACTGATTCTCCGGATCGATATACGCCACAACTTTCCTCAGTGGCGTCTCTGAGGAGAAGATCAGTGGATCCTTGCCGCCAGCTTCGTGCCACTTCAGGAAGTTCGTCAGGCTCGAGTTGGCGTGCGAATAGAGCCAGGCTCTGAGTGGAGAAATGCGGCGATTGTCCAGGGAAGCGAATTCAGGATTGCGCAGTTGGTACAGTAAATTCATGGCTTTGCAATCGCTGTGCCCACAAATGACAATGTGTCTGATGTCATTCACAACGCATCCAAGTTCCAGTCCGGCTGGCTCACAAGTGAAGTACTCATCTTGGAAATTGTGGGCGTGCGGAATAAGATTCCCGGCGTTTCGAACTGTTGGCAAAACATAGAACTTCTTCAGAGCATTTTGTGAATTTTCTACTGTATGAAGAGGTAAATACATTTCACATAAAAGGCATTGACCTCAAAATCAACCACGGTTTTCCTAAGAAGATCGTCAATCGTGAAGCATATTCGTGTGATATCAGAGTTGCAATACCGATAGATTAAAGGTGTTAATAGCAAGTCAACATTGTAAACTCTATTTAACATTTCATTTCACTCACAAGTGGAAAACCTTGGCAAGTATCTCTTGACTCAATATTTACATTAATAGATTTGCAGATGTATAAATTTCCCACAAGTTTCACTGCCAATGCTGTACCATTTCAGTGGAATTTTCATTCAACCTTTGAATGTTTGTGCATCTTTTGAAGGTTTTCATTCTTCAGAAAATCCTTGCCATGGGCATAGACAGGATTTCAAAGTTCATTCCATGGATGGCGGAGGATTTTAAGAGAAATTAAATGTTTCCAAAGGGGCGGAGCAAGACAATAGGCGAGGCAATCAAGAATTTTTTACCATTGCTTATTTCAATTTGAAAGATCCACGATGAATTGAAGATGCAATTTTCCGCAAACAATACCGTAAATAAAATACGTAAAATGCATTCAAAACAAAGATTACGCGTACAAAGACCTGGGAATTTTTCTGCTTCAAATCCTTGCAATTCTGTTTCCATGGAATCACGGGAAAATGCTCGCTTACCAACAAACATGTCGCCGACGTGCGTCTCCGTGAACCTCGTGGGTATCATCCGGCTGTCCATGCACGTGAAGAACACAGCTTTGGGCTGAAAGAGCACAAGATTTCGTCAATCAATGTTTACGTATGCCACATGGCGCGTGACGTCACTGTTGATAAACACTCGCGAAGAGAGCGAGAAATCCGATCGCAAGGTCACGGAATTCGCCTGATAGTGGGGGAAGTGTTATCTCAGGGGCTTTTCTTCGGGCCAACTTACATGTGGATTATCTCTGACTTGCTTGAATTCCTTCACCATTTGCTCTCTGGTCGTGGCGCGATAGCGAATTATTCCGCGTAAGATTTTCTCCATTTTTCACACTGATTCACCGTCGGAATGCACTAATTTGACAATGGATAAACTGAGGATGGGACAGACGTTCGAGAGAGTGCGAACACTTGCAATAAATATGAGTAATTCAGGTGAAAAACTAGACTCTTTTTGGCACAGTCTCAACTCTACATTTTCTAACCTGCACTGACATCTCGTGGGGCCAACGATGACGCAACACGGGATTCTATGATTTCGATGTTCTCCGCGCCCTGTGCTTAGAAGCCTGCCAACGGATTCAAAGAAATTGGGGGTGACAACAAAATAAACTTTAATAATCGCAATTAGTTAAACAAATTCATCAAAAATAATTCCATTGATTAGAATCAGTGTTTGTCTTCTCAGTTCTGGTAGCTTAAGTTAAGATTGTTACTATTGGGGCTCTCCAGCTCCTCAAAGTGCTTCCTGGCATTGCGTATATTGATCAGCGTGGCCTCACTCGGCATTCCCGGATCGGACATGATCACCATCACGTACGTGTTGCTGGTGAAGGTGTCGATAAAGGCAGCGAAGGAGCTGTTTCGCACCTTAAAAGGCAAAAAGAAGTTTTTAGTCACAATCTCGGGGATGGGAATTTGTGCAATTCTCACCTCAAGGGAATGGAATTTGGCGCCAAGCTTCGAGCAAGAGAGCTTGAACTGTTTGATTATGTTGGAGACCTTCTCGAATCGATGGGCGTCGCGGTGCTCCTTGCGCTCGCAGTGTGAGATCACGAGGAATGTGGCTCTCTCGAAGAGCAGCACTTCGTCTGCATCGATGATCTTGGCGAAGACGCCCAGGGAATACTCCAGAGCCTTCACGTTGGGGATCAGCATGTACACAATGTTGGACCAGGCGCGGTACAGTGTCTCGTCCCAGATGCTGGTACGATAGCAGGTACACTCCAGAGGCTTCGACAGGCGCTTGAGATCATCCTCGCGGTCTTTGAATATCTGCTCTCGCTGATCCTCCGCCACGAGGTCCATCTTGTGCACCAGACAGAAGATCTTCGCCTCCTGCGAGTTCTGCAGAATCGCCTCCAGACACGACTGGTAATAGTGCATGTCCTTGTCCAGCTCCCGACTCTCCACGTCGAACACATAGATAAGAACGGCCACGTTCCGGAAGATGTTCTCTTTCTGCGACGCAAAGTACTGCTCCATGAAGGACTCCTGGCCGCCGCAGTCCCACAAGTTCAGCACGAGATTCCCCAGAAACCTCACGTGAGAGTGTTCGACGTCAACTGCAAAGCAAGAGGTCGTTATCACTCGCCCACCGAAATCAACGCACTTGTTTACTTGTGGCTCCCAGACGCCTCGTGTCTCTGGCGATGTAGTTGGCAAAGATGATGGAGCGCATGCTCGTCTTCCCGGAGCCACTCTTCCCCATCAGAAGTACCTGCAAGACAACCCCGGAAGCGCCCCAAAGTCCAGCGTATTAATTAACCTTTCTGGCCTTTGTTGATAACATTGCGCGTTTCACGCAGAATGTTCAATTGTTACGCCTCTATTCTTACGCTCTTACCTTCTTCTTCATATTCATCACTTTTTCCAAAACCCTCCAGATGAAATGGTGGTGTTATTTAACTAAAAAAACACACTAATTTTGGTCAACACAAAAATTCCACTGCCTTTTTTTGTCTTCCTTAATGTGACAACTCCACATGTTCCACACCTACAAAATGCAACATAAGAACATTCCACTGTTGTCCCATATAATTCCGTGGAATCGTCTGTTAGAAATTAGAAATGTGAACAAGAATTCTTCCATTCATTTATTATTACTTTTACAAGAACAATGTCGAGAACGTCATCCAAGAATTCCAAGGAGAACACCAAGAAGCGACGGTTTCTCTTTCTTTTCCTCCTTTTTCTGATCAGATGCATTACTGTGTCCCTTCGTCATTATCCATTTGATCCAATCATGAAACATGGCGAGGTTCGTGAATCCTTGAGGCGCGTTGTTGCACTCAGTAGATCCGAAGGATACCAAACCAACCTGAACTGTCTTACCTTCCATTGTCATCGCAACAGGACCTCCGGAATCACCTTGACACACAGCACTTATTGGCGGTTCGCCTTCATCTTCAGCGCAGAATATCGTTGGAGGATAAATAGGATAGGAAACCTTGCACTCGGTTCTTGTGATCAGCCTGAGATTATCGATCCAAAGTAAGTTGCCAGGCAATGATCCATTGAATGAAGTTAAACCAAACCCCATGGCAGTGATACTCTCTCCCACATGAACTTCAGGCTTCCAATAGTTTGGCACAAGATCTATGTAGCACACATCGTGATTAAAGGTGAAAGGGTCGGTCTTAATAAGACACACATCATTTTCTAGAGTTGAACTATTGAATCCTGGATGAACGAAGGCATGAGAACCCATGATGACTTGAAGCTGCTGTGGTTCTCCTGCTATGATAGACCCAGCTTCGATATGATAAGTGATTGGCTCAGACGCATTAATAGTAGGAAGGCAACAATGTCCGGCGGTGAGTACCCAACATGAATCAATAATACTTCCGCCACATAACTCGAGTGCAACTGAATTCTGCGGACCTCCATATGATGTTACACCAACAAAGTAACAAAACTGTCCCTCTGTGGCATTATCACCATTCACAATCCTACTTTCAAGCAAAGGCAAGTCGTCACTATCATCAAAATCAGGAAAATCAGGAATATCCTGCAAAGAACCATGTGACATCACAATTTCTATAAAATATCAGTATAGAATTTTTTAAATTACCACTGAAATTCCAGAAAATGCCAAAGTAGCTAAAATAGCTATCACAAAACTACCACAGAACTTCATTATAGTTTAGTTTCTTTTTAACTGATGTCAGGAATTTTCGTGATTCAACTCCAACCCATGCACTGTTGAAATATTTTTCCACATCATTTGAAATCACGTATACGGAAAAAACATAAAAAGTGTATTTATAGATTGCTGATAGAACAATATATTTTTAATATATATTGAATACTAAAAATTCATCCAAACAACAAACCAAGAATTTTATTACCAAGAGAATTTTCTTTGTGTTTTTCTTTCTGTTTCTTCACTTTTTCATACTTAAATTCGTAATTGTGTTCCCTCATCATTATCCATTGAATCCAATCATGAAACATAGCGACGTCCACGAAACCTTGAGGATTCGCAGAGCATCCATCATTTGATGTAAACGGGGGTGCAAATGACACCAATCCGACTTCAATTGGCTTTCCTTCTTTCATGATTACAACCGGACCTCCAGAATCTCCTGAGCAGATTGAAGAAACTGGTGTTTGTCCGTCCATATCCACAGCACAGAAACAAGTCCGAGGGAGATCGAATTTCTCAGCTTCGGTGTAGATAGATTGACATTCTGCCTTCGGAATCACAGTGAGTGTGGTCCAGAGCAAGAATTCAGACACCGGTCCATTGTCTGTGATGTATCCAAAGCCCATTGCTGTGATTGTATTGCCCGCATAAGATTCTGAATTCCAGAAACGTGGTGCAATCTCTAGCGAGCATACATATTGATTGAACACAAAAGGATCGGTCTTAATAAGACAAATATCATTCTCTAGGGTGTCTAAATTATAGCCTGGATGGAGAAATGCATCAGAATTCATGATGATTTGAAGCTGCTGCGGTTCTCCAGATATAATAGATCCAGCCTCGATGTGGTACGTGATGGGCTGCGATGCATTGGGGTTGGCAATATAACAATGCCCAGCAGTGAGCACCCAACATGAACTGATTATGCTTCCGCCACATCTGTGCTGCATAATTGCATTCTGCGGACCTCCATATGCCACTACACGCACAAAGTAGCAAAATTGACCCTCTGTAGCAATATCACCATTCACAATCCTGCTTTCAAGCAAAGGTAAGTCGTCTATATCACCAGAATCAGGATAATAATCCTGAAAAAAACCAAAAGAACAATGCAACATAATCATTTAAATTGAAGATCACTTTTGTTTAAAATTACTACTGAAATTACAGAAACTGCCAAAGCGGCAAGAATTGCTGTCACGAAAACACCACAGATCATCGTCATGCTTTAGTTTCTTTCCAACTGATATCAGTGTAACTAAATGTTGAAGAATATTTTCTATATTGTCTTGAAAAAATCGTGCAATTTGTGAAAAACGAGGTGAAACTCATAAAATATGATATTAATAGGTTTAAAATTTCAAATCAGTACTTTAAATGTCGTTCGTTTGTCTCTAGAAATCTATTGGACAAGAATTTCAAAGATCATTTTCTGAAGGGCTGCCCTGAAACGTGTTTCGTGATTCTTAGTTGCATGAAGCATGGAATTCAAAGAATATGTTGGAATTATGTAGTGTTTTGCGCTCAATTCGTTCGTCTATCTCTCTTGAACCTTGACACCGCGCGGCTAAAAATTAATTTCTCGCTAAAGATTGTTATTGCTTCCGACCAGACAACTTGCAAAGTGTTACTCAGTGTGTCTCCAGCCGCGTTCGCGAACGGATCAAATATTTCCCAGTGGATTTTCTGCTTGATTCCTCTAGTTTCCCGAAAACGTGTGTGCACATAATGAGTTGTCCTTTTAATGGGTGAGTTTTCTTCATTTCTCACTTCTTTTTTTCCACAAACTCTTACTATTTAAGTGGAAAAATATGTGTTTTTCGGGTAGTTGATGAAAGTTTGAAAAAAAAATTGTCGCATGATGTGGAAAATGAAAAACTTATCACAAGTCGAAAAAATAAATTGCTCATCTCTAATCTGTGGGTTGTTTTTCAGCGGTCCATCGCGTCTGGGTGACGATCATCTTCCCGAACAGGGAATGATGTACGGCGGTGAGAGTGAAAACACAGGCCTTGTAAGATTTATAGGGACTTAAATGAATTTATTTGTAGAGTATCTGATGTTGGATAAGGTTCTTGATGCCCAAAGACTCGTGTCTTCGACTTCGGGCGCCAAAGTTCACGACGAGCATCTCTTTATCGTAACTCATCAAGGTATTTCAGTAGCATTTCATAGAGGTATATAGCTGATGAAAATGATTTTTCTTGCAGCCTACGAGCTGTGGTTCAAGCAGATCCTCTGGGAACTGGATTCAATCCGGGATCTCTTCAAGGTGGATTGCGTTGAAGAGTCGCGCACGCTGGAGATTGTGAAGCGCCTCAATCGAATTGTGCTGATACTGAAAGTGAGAACATGATATTTTAAGTTGGGGGAAGCCATAGAAAGCTCTCCCCAATTGATTTGCCCACACAAGAGAGTATCGGTTTTCCGTCGCGCGCCTTTCAATGTCACACTCTTTGCAGCTCCTCAACGAGCAAATTCCTATCCTGGAGACTATGACCCCGCTAGATTTTATGGACTTTCGTCGCCACCTGGCGCCAGCATCGGGCTTCCAAAGCCTCCAGTTCAGGCTTATGGAGAACAAGCTGGGCGTGAAAATGGAGCACCGAGTGAAGTACAATCAAAACTACACGGTGGTCTTCGGACAGGACCCGAATGCCGTGGAGAAAATCGCGGATTCACACAAGGAGGCGTCGCTTCTGGACTTGCTACAGAAGTGGCTGGAGCGGACGCCCGGTCTGGAGGAGGACGGATTCAATTTCTGGGGCAAGTTCAAGGAGAGCGTGGACCAATTCTTGCACCACGAGCGCGAGGAAGCAATGAAGGAGACGGAAGTGTCGAATAGAAACTACCGTTTGATGGACATTGAGATGCGCAAAGGAGTGTATAACTCCATCTTCGACGCCGCTTCCCATGAGGCTCTGGTGATGCGCGGAGATCGTCGATTCAGCCACAAGGCGCTCCAGGGCGCCATCATGATCACTTTCTATCGCGACGAACCCAGATTCAGCCAGCCTCACCAGATCCTCGTCCTTCTCACGGACATTGACTCTCTGATAACGAAGTGGAGATGTGAGTTATTCTCATCTTTTAGCAAGCATTTTCGAGATCTTCTGATAATTCTTTCTTTTCTGAAGATAACCACGTGACGATGGTTCAGAGAATGCTGGGATCTCAGCAATTGGGCACCGGCGGCTCTTCTGGCTACCAGTACTTGAGATCCACACTCAGCGACAGATACAAAGTCTTCCTGGATCTCTTTAATCTGTCCACCTTCTTGATTCCTCGCAAGTGGATTCCTCCGCTGGACACGAAGCTCAATTGGAGCTTCAACGCTCCTTCTTTGAAGTGACACACGTAGAAATTCATCAGATTCCTTCGAAATATGTAGAATCAAGAGCGATAATAAAACATGTCGATAAGCACATACATACTTCTCGATTCTAATTCTTTTATCATTATCTATATGCGTTTCACTCTGTTCAGGGTCAGTATTTTTGAAATGCCTAATTAATTGTAATCCCACTAGATGGCCAATCAAGCGCATAACCTTCTTTGAGGCGGTGTTTTGGTTTTTCCGGGAGTGGATTTTCGACTATTATTCATAGAAAATGCGTCTTTCATTGGTGTGCCTGTTCAAGAAGACAGTCAATGGTCACATCTTCAGGGGAAAGTATCGTCTCGTGAAGCCAGTGTCGAGGAAAGCAATGGAAACTCTTCGGGCGCAATATAATGTCATGGAGCAAAACATGCTGTACCTTCGCAATCCCTACTTGACTGTCGTAAGTTGTGATCTAACTGATATTTCAATTCTCTGTTGTTACTGAGCAATGTCTTTCACAGGAAGAATCCCATGGACATACAAAAGATCTAGGGAAAAATCCGGCGAAGATCCAGAAGTGGCTAGATCAGGCTCTGGAAGTTAAGAAGGCGAAGAAACCTCATGTTACCGTTGAACAGCGCCTGGCTTGTCTGAAGACTGCAGAGGGGTGGGAGTAGACTCCCAGAAAGCTTAATATAGTTCTAAATCTTGTAAATTTCTTGAAAATAAATTTATTAGGAAAAAAATCCTCTTTAAAAGGCGCTGCCATCTCGCGGAAATTTGCGCGAAGTGATTTCGTCGACGATTTTATTCGGCTGGTGTTTCGGCGATACTCGGCTGGTCACTTCGGTGACGACGATATATAAAGGCGATAGAGAAGTCGAGAATTGGCTTGCATTTTGTTGCGAGCCCACAGATTCTCTTCGGTCATTTTGCTATGTGAAGTGAGATTGGTGTGATCGGAAAAGCACGTCCGCGTTCGCCTAGCAAGGAAAATTCCCCCAAACTCACAGGCTCAAGAGATTCTGTTGGTGCTCAGCGGGATTTACGCTCCGTGGAAAAGATGGCTTTGAGTCTGACATCTGTGGTGAGTTGTGGCAAAATATTCCACAAAATCTGGCCGAATTGGCGTTGGAAAAATGGGGGCGCCCGCACAAGGGGCATCTCCCGGAGTGAGATTGGTGCGCTGAGCGCGCCCCCATTGGCGTGTGCTCTCGCGCACTCTGGCCTTTTCTGCTTCGCAGAAGGAGCGAGAAAAGCACTTAATCGCGTATTTCACAATAACCTTGGAGTGCACGTATTTTACCTGAATCAATTCGCGTGAAGACGGAGAAAATTCAGCGCATTTGTCGCGAGGTGTGGGAGTCTCTGTGTTTGCCCGCGGCGTGCATTTTCCGAGGTCGCAGCGCGGCTGAAATCCTCCCCCGGAAGCCAGAGTTCTCCGAAAGGCGCCGAGCGCCCCAAAATCGACTCGGTAGCGGCGGAAATTTCCCTCAACTTTCACCGCAAATGACTTTGATAACGCGCTAGCAATTGCTGGTAATGATTTTAGAGAGAACGAGAGAAAAACCGACCACAGCAGGGGGTTTATCAATTCAGAAATCAGCGCTCACATTCCACCACGATAAGCGCCGACAAATTGAGGGTCTCTTATCTCTGTCAGCTGATTGTATTACAAGGGAGCAATTACTATTAGGAATGCCCTTTAAAATGATTACTAAAATCATAGCATTAATGAATGAAAATTGTTGGAATGGTTTGAAATCCGAAAGAAAAACTTCCTTCCTTTTCAGTTATGCAAGATCTTTGAAAAGTATATGTTTTTGTAAAATTAGTGATGATAAAAGAGCTTTCTGAAAGTCTGGGAAACCCCTAACGAAACTCCAACATAATAACAGAAACGCTTGAACTAAGACGAATAATCACATTCTTTTAACGAAATTTCAGAAGTACCAAGAAACTCATTGAGATAGACTAGAAAACATTTGGAATAAACGTAGTCAAAGGGAATAAATAAATTAAGCACGAACTTACTTCGTTCCTCGATGCAGAGCCCTTCGGGGGTTCACAAGGCGCAAATTGCCGCGCGGGTCAGTGAACGAAGAGGCCGCGATAATGGGAGGTTTCTCGCCACCCCTGGCAGTTTGTCATGAAAGTTTTAATAAGAGTTTCCAGCCGCTTCCCATCAATAATGGTCGAAATGTGAATCAATGGACTGTTGGGGATTTTGGAAGACCAAATTATCACGAAGAGACGTGAATTAGTCATCACCCTGCCGGCACGTTTATCTCCATCGACAAGTTTAGTCCGCAAGTTTGAGGTATTGAATAAATCAAGAGTCATGAATTGGTGATAAGGCGACAATGAATGCAGAAATTCTCGCTTGCATTACAATATATATCGGGAGAGATTGTTTGGGTTTTGCTGCTCTCGAGTTGAGGCCAATTGATTGGAAGTTTTCGCAATTGGCTGAACTCCTGATAACACTTCCTGCTCCACAATTGATTGCGGTGTTTGGAGAACAATATTTCATGCCATTCTAATGAAGAGAGAAAGTGCGGAAATCTGTGCTTATTGAAATCTATGGTCGATTGTCTCTGCTGAAATGCAATTTGTGTCATTATAATTGAATTAAACTTGCCACTAATTGGCTGACTTTGTGCTCCATTTTCACTTTCAGCTCAAATTGTATAACACAGTGATCGACGACGTGATCAGCGGCGTGCGAGATGCTTTCCTGGACGAGGGTGTGGATGAACAGGTTCTTCAGGAGCTGAAGCAGATCTGGACGAATAAGTTGCTAGCGAGTCGTGCTGTGGAACTCGTGCCGGATAATCCTGATCCGCAGCCGCCGCCGAATGTGGCGAATTCCGCAAAGTCCGGCTCGAGTTCGAAGGTGAGAAAGATGATTGTGATTGATCAGAAAAGTGTCTCTTAATGCCACCAAATGCTGTATTTTCAGTCGAATCACAAGAATATGCAGTCAAATGGGACAAAGAGCAAGGCTTCCAGGCCGTCTCAGCAGCAGCAGTTGACGCAAGTGAAGGAGGAGAACGGCAGTCCGCCGGCGACGACACTCAGCCAGACTTTTGTCACCCAGAACGGCGGTGCTCCTCAGAAGGCTCCCGTTGCGCCAACTACCACAGCAGCTGCGACGTCACAGCCACAGCAGACGACCACTTCCGTTGTGGCTGGCCTGGATCCTAACAAGCTCATCCCTGTGCAGATCACACTGCCCGCGCAGGCGGGCGTGGCCAATTCTGAGCCGCGTGTGCTCACGATTCACATGCCGGCGTCGGCTCTGCAGGAGAATCAGCTGCACCAGATGCTGAACGGGCCCATAATTTCATCCATCATGAGCCTCCCGCCTCCGATTGCGTCGTCTGTGCTGCAGCAGCACGTGAACTCCACACTTCAAAACCAATTGGGTGAGTCTCCGGAGGGGAAATTGCTGACTTTGTGAGCTGTATTGACGCTCTGTCGCTCTTCTAGGCACGATATCGATACAGAAGCAACTGGACGGAGCGGCGGACACTTCGGACGAGGACGGAACCGATGTGAGCGATGATGACAACATCGATGGTGATGACGACGATCCGGACAATGATCCGGATGACGCTGATGGCGAAGGTGGCGCCGAGGAAGAGCCTCTCAACAGTGAAGATGATGTCACAGACGAAGATGCAGCAGATCTGTTCGATACTGACAACGTTGTCGTGTGTCAGTATGATAAGGTGAGTGCGCGGGAAGTTGCGATTGGCCAAAACACCTGCGCGTTGGCCCGAAATCAGAACGGGAAAGCCATAAATAATATCTCTCTTGTCTCTTTCACCAGATCACGAGGTCGAGAAACAAGTGGAAGTTTTATCTGAAGGACGGTATTATGAATATCGGTGGCAAGGATTATGTTTTCCAGAAGTCCAACGGAGATGCTGAGTGGTAAAGAAGCGCATTGTGCAAATTTCCGTGCTCATTTCTTTCTCTTTTCAAAACTATTACCAATTGAGAGCACTTTGACCGTGAAGTGAGTGAGGAAGGAGAGTTGTTTATCATCTTGAAAGAAATGTGAATAGAATTTTCCTTTAGTGTATTTTTTTTTTTGTTTTTGACATAAGCGTTTTCCTGTTTTATTATTATTAATTTAGTTGTGGAGCAGCAAAGGCAAAATGTTTTCTATGAAACAACAAATTTACGTGTTATTCTTTAAGGAATTATACCAATATAATATAATCTAGAGATAATTGAGAATGATTACGCAAACACGACCGATGAACAATGTTTTCAAATCAGCACAAGATTGCAATCATATTACTGAAGAGGGACTTAGTAATTAATGCATTTTATGGAGATCCATATTTCTTTACGAGACAACATAAAAGTGCGATTAAAAGGTATATTTAGCTCTATTGTGAGACCTAATCTATGTAGTTTTCAATAGTCACAAATGGCTAATGGCAGTAAATATTAATGAAATGTAGTTCTTAGAGACAAACTCCTTAAGCGAGATCAGGGAATTATCAGAATCTTGTGGTTTTTCACCCAAATCGCCCCATTTTGTCGTCTCTGTCTCATGAAGAGACGCTCTGAAACCCTGGAAGGGTTTGAATGTATAAAGAAAAATTCTCAAAGGATAATTAGTGTCTAATGTAGTAATTTATCAGGTGGTAACACATATTAATCTGAAGGAAGACGCGACAAAAGACGTGCAGCTAAACATAAACGATAGCACAGGAGCAAAGAAGCAAGTAAGAGAGTTTGACACACTTTTTGTAAAGAGAACTTGTAGAAATATTTTATCATAAATGAAATATACGCTGCGATGCAAGAAATTAATAAATTCTGTGTAAATGCAAAGGGAAAAAGTTGTCCTCTGCATCATTTCAACAAAATTTAATCATCTGCATTCGCGTGCAAGTGAATGAAAAGTGAATTGAGATGTGCACGCGCAGGTAAATCTAATCAATTCGCACTTAGAATATCTACACTATTAATTTTCTTTGATTCCATATAGCTTTTCTCGCGTTTTCTTTATGGCTTTGTAAGAAAAACAGTGAATTAATTTACGACGCCAGGCGCTAACAATTGAAACGTTTCCCATTCTCACCACACGAGACCAAAACCCGATAAATACTATTTCGTATCGACATGTCGTATGATATTCATAGGACGTTGTGTATGAATAATGCCAATGCGAAATTATAGATAAAATGATCAAACACCACTTATTACTGATTGCTTCAATTGGAGTTACTTTCAACCATTTTATGCACTGATATTTTGCTTTCAAACATAAGTAAGTATATAGAGAGTGACATAATAATCCAGTGATAATTGCTATCAATGAAAAGAGTTTATGAAATTTTCAAAAATCAACGAATTGTGATGATTCATTCGTATTCATGAATTATCCACGTTTATCTTTGGAACTCTTCGTCTAAACACGGTCTACACTATGTGGTCACTCTGAGAAAATCAAATAATCAAGTCTGCAAAAGTCGCAATGTTACAGCACAACTTATGAAATTATAAGCGGCTCATCAAAAGCATTAAATAATAATGTTGGACTAAAAATAAATTCACATATTTGCTACTTGTCTCAGTCATTATTCCCAAATTCAAGCGTGCGAAGGGCTTTTTATACATATATTCAAAAGTAATTGCTTTGCAAATGTTCAACGGCGGTAAAACAAGAATAGAAAAAAGCAAAGAATACACGGAGATTTTCAATAGCTTTTATGAAAAAATCATCAATCATTTGCGCACTGTTTTTCTCCAGATGAAAGAAGTCACGTGAGCGGAGCTCAGAATTTGTGAGTTTTGGGTGTTAATGCATCGTCTTGACCCTCTCAATCCACTCAATACACGCGTCTTTAGGAGTGGAGACGATGATGAGCAGATTTGTGGCAACAAAAGGCCTCTCAACTGGCTCCATGTGCAAATATTTTCCTTACTGGCTGGCGTCAATTCACATGAATGTGACATTGGCGATTTACGACATGGGAAGAGAGTTAGAAAATGAAATACGCGATCAAGTGAAGCTGGAAGCATGAGAAAAGTGGTCGAAATGAGGCACTTTCGATATGAATAACTTAAATTAGTCATTGGTCAGGAAATTTTGGAAGATAATTTATTGGTAATTTCCGCAAAATCTTAATCCATCTTCCTATCCGCATAAATTATTGGCGTCTTTGAGGTCACAAACGTGATATAGAAGTTCTGCTAAAAATAATCAAATTTATGCAAATGCAACGCGACGCGATCTGCGTAAAATTCCAGCACGTAAGCAATTAGTCGCATTAGTCAGTGTTTGTTAGCCTACCTCTGAGTGTCTCTCTTTCGCACATCTCGCGTGTCTGTGCCCCACTCCAGGTGTGATCCATCGCAGACTCACCCGGAGAGCCTCAGTTCGCGCCGAGATTCTGCCCAACGCGGTCACACTTTGCCAAACGGTCAGTGCAGTGCCAGAGAATCACCAGGAAGACGGAGTGCGCGGCAGAACAAGGAGCCATGGAAGGACCAGTCAAGACAGAGGAGCACAATGGTGAGACGAGGCCCCTTTTCGCGTGCTCTGTGACGCAATTGCGCGCCCATGATCTAACACATCAAACAATTGACTTTGCGAATAGCATTGAACACTGAGAAGTGTGTGCTCCAAGTCTCGCCCCGCCTCCGCACTAGGCCTCTCGCCAAGAGGCGGCGAGCGCGCCTCTTACTCACGCTAATCACCGGCTTTTACCTTTTGCAGATGCCGTCGTGCAGAGATTCTACAGCGGGAAGAACATCTTCATGACCGGAGGCACGGGGTTTTTGGGCAAAAGTAAGGTCAAGCGTCCTACGCGAAGTCACGCCATTTATCAGAAATCACATCCTGAAAAGAGCTTTGCTCTTGCCAATCAGAAGATCATTAAAACTGCCATCTAACCACCTGATTCACTCCAAAAGGCAGTGAGAAGATCATAAATCTTCTTTTTACTACACAGAAATCTCATGAATGCTGCATAATTAAGTTCACTAATGATTAACACTGGTAATTTGAGTGTCTTTTAAGCGGTGTCTTAAGGAGCGTGGTCTTTACACCAAGGCTCCATTCTGTGATCAGTTGAGGAAGTCAAAGTCGCCAAGTTGCGTGACTGAAGGAGAGAAATTAATGACATTAAATCCAAACACTCTTCTGATCTCAAGTTTGTCGGAAAACTTTTGCAAAGTACAAAACTTCTTCACAATATTTACACATGCTTATGTGATCATCACGAGACTCGCTGGAGTCGAAAATAAATGTTGTGTTCTCAAGTTGAGCACTTTCTTAACTTTGCTCTAAACATTAAAGTAAAAGAACTAATAATGACTTAAGGCTCAACTTCACAAACTCTTGCTTACTAAGCCTAAACACAGCGGAAATTCATCTGCATTTTCTGTCTTCTCGATCAGTCATTATGGAGAAGATCATGCGCACGTGCCAGATCGACACAATTTACCTTCTCATCCGGGATAAGAAGGGCAAAGATATGCACTCGCGAGTTGAGGACCTCTTCGATGACGTGTTGTATGATCGCTTGCGGCAGCAGCAGCCAAAGTTCCGCCACCGAATCCACCCAATCGCCGGCGATTGTTCCCTGCCAGGCCTCGGCATCTCAGCCCACGATCGCGCCCTTCTGGCGGCCAACGTGCACGTGGTCTTCCACGTCGCGGCCACAGTTCGCTTCGACGAGAAGTTGAACATCGCCATGGCCATCAACGTGAGCGGCACGCGGGAGCTTCTCGCGCTCTGCCGCGAAATACAACACCTGGACGCCGTGGTACACGTGAGCACGGCCTACGCCAACTGCAACAGACCCGACATCGACGAGAAGTTCTACCCCCATCGCATCTCCGCCAGCAATGCGCTGCAGATCTACGAAGCCCTCGATGCCGATACGCTGCAGACCGTCGGCGCGGAGCTGTCCAAAGGATGGCCCAACACGTACACTTTCACAAAGGCCCTGGCCGAGGACTTGATCAAGTCCGAGGGCAAGGGACTGCCCATCACCATCTTTCGACCCGCAGTCGGTGAGTTCCTTTCTCTTGATCAAGCAATGACCGCGCAAATCTGTCCAGTGTTTGTCTGGTATACAAACATGCTAATTCGAGAGGTGATTAAACATGACTTTTTCCCACTCAATTGATAAACAATTATATGCAAAATTATCCTGCGTCACCACCAAAACCATTAACTAAAGTCATTGAGTAATCTCATCAGCACTCCGACTATTAATCTTACTATTCTCACTAGAGTTCTTTAAGTGATGGAAATCATGCTAATAATACGCTAAGAATATGTAATGTCTTGAATCGAAAGCAAGCGCGTCCTTCAGCATGCAAAATGCAACCATCGATTGTAATTATTTCTAAAAATCACACCATAAAATTAAACTCAGTTCTGTATGCAAGAAATTCCTCGTATCTTTGCTGCATTTCAACAGAAATTCCACTATTCAAAACTCCCGAGAATTTGCAAATACTCTTTAAAGATGCGAGAAACATTTCAGATAAACTTATTCAGCTGATTAATGGCAATGAAACCTGAATACATTTCTTCTCAGCAGTGGAGAAGATCCCAAAATCACCGAACATCAACATAGGGGAAGGGAGACTTCGTTAGAATGCGAATTAAAATGTATGCACTAAAATATTCGGGTTTTTTCCATGGGTTTTTACATTAAAGTGGGTGATCTAAAATCACTTAATCACCTAATGACCATCTTTCCTTTTGAGACAAATGATTCATTCAACTTTTGGTTTTGTTCTTGTGAATTTTCCATCATGCACAAACTGAGCCTTGTTCCGCGTTAAAAAGCTTCAATTAACTCAATCAATAGCCTAATCAATAAATCAATTTTCACACGATTTTTTTTTATTGAAATAATTGCGATAAATCAAAGTTCGGTAGAGATTTTTCAATTTATTAATATAAAAATTAGTATCGCCCAATTATAAATCATGTTGCGACTCATTAGATATTTCCAAGCGTGATTTTATTTCTTTCACCCAATATTTTCGATAATCGATCTCAAAATCTCCCTCTTATTAACTGAATCTCATGTTCTGGTCCAAATTGGTGCCCAAAAGCGGTTCCTCCACCCTAAATGACGGGGCAAGAGAGTACATTAACCCAGAAACTCTACTTGTACGCTAATATATTACTCGCTTTGCAGTTCTGCCCACGGCCCAGGAACCGATCCCCGGCTGGATCGACAACATGTACGGACCAACGGGAATGATGGTGGGTGTGGCGGCAGGCCTGATCCACGTCTGTCACGTGCACAAGGACAACAATGCCGAGCTCGTGCCTGTGGACATGTGCGTAAATGCACTGCTCGTGAGCGCTTGGGATCGAGCGACGCGTGAACACGAAGAGACGCCCATCATAAATTTCGTCACGAAGCCTGGGAACAAACTGCCCTGGATAGATTATATTGACATGGCCTGGAAGCATGGATCGCAGGTTGGCTGATGAAATGGCTTAATTCCGATAGAACTGATCTGAATCTCAAATTATCTTCACAGTTGCCAATCTTCAAGAGCATCTGGTACGCCGTGTTCACTGTCACAGACTCCGAGACGTGGTTCGGAGTGCTCTGGTTTCTCTACCACACACTCCCGGCCTTCTTCATGGATCTCTGTCTGCGGATAGTGGGCAAAAAGCCCAAGATGGTGGACATCTACAAGAAGGTGAAGAAGTACAGCGACTTGATCTTCTTCTTCACGCACATGAAGTTCACCTTCTCCTGCGCCAACGTGGATGGATTGTGGAAGAGACTGACCGACCGAGATCGCGAGGTGTTCTATTTCGACATGAGTTCTCTGCAGTGGGACGACTACATCCGGAACAATGTCGAGGGCATTCGACAGTATCTCATGAAGGAGTCGGCGAGTTCGATTCCCGCGGCGAAGAAGCGCCAGGCGCGCTTCAAAGTGCTCCACTACACAATCATGTACACAATCTACGCACTGGGATTCCTCCTGTTCGCCACGCTGCTGTCCAAGCTCCTTCTGCCCGCCTAACATTCCCCAGAAGCTCCCAAAACTAATTCGATCAAATAAAGCCATCCTGGTGGAGTGAAACGAGTTTATCTACAAATTCCTAATCACATCAGCGATCAACTTCGCCGAACACGATGTCCAGCGTGCCAATGATGGCTACGATGTCGGCCAGAAGGTGCCTCCGGCCGATGTGATCGAGGGCAGCCAGATGGGCGAAGCCAGGCGCCTTGATTTTGCACCTGTACGGACGGCTGCTGCCATCGGAGACGAGATAAACGCCAAACTCACCTTTGGGCGCCTCCACGGCAGTGTACGTCGCTCCCGGCGGCACCTGGTAGCCCTGCGTGAAGAGCTTGAAGTGGTGAATGAGCGCCTCCATGCTCGTCTTCATCTCAGATCGCGTCGGCGGCACAACCTGCGGAAATCAATTGCTTTCAATACACTCAGACAACGCTTTCTCACACTCCATACCTTGGCATCGTCCGTGCGCACTTCTCCCGGTGGCATTTTGTTGAGGCACTGGTCGATAATCCTCAAGCTCTGTCGCATCTCCTCCACGCGGCACAAATAGCGATCATAGCAATCGCCCTTGGTGCCAATCGGCACGTCGAACTCCACCAGATCGTAGGCGTCGTAAGGCTGAGACTTCCGCAGATCCCACTTGATGCCAGATCCGCGCAACATAACGCCGCTGAAGCCGTAATTCAGCGCCTCCTCAGCAGTGACGATGCCAATGTCAACAGTGCGCTGCACCCAGATTCTGTTGGTCGTCAGCACATCCTCGACTTCGTCAATGCGCTCGGCAAACTTGCTGGCGAACTCGTAGATGTCATCCATGAGGCCGAGCGGCATGTCCAGGGACACTCCGCCAGGACGAACGTAAGCAGCGTGCATTCGAGCTCCAGAAACCCTCTCGTAGAACTCCATCATCTTCTCGCGCTCCTCGAACAGCCAGAAGAAGGGCGTAAGGGCGCCAATGTCCAGAGCGTGAGTGCCGATGGCCATGATGTGGTTCAGCAGGCGAGTTATTTCACCGAAGAGTGTCCGGATGTACTTTGCTCGCAAAGGCACCTCGATATTGAGGAGCTTCTCGACGGCCAGGGAATAGCACTGCTCATTGCACATCATGGAGACATAATCCAAACGATCGAAGTACGGAAGAGCCTGGAAAGAAACCGAATTACATGCGAATCTCATCCCAGACTCTGTTCATCTTCACTTACCTGAGTATAAGTCTTGTACTCAATCAGCTTCTCAGTGCCACGATGCAGAAGGCCAATATGCGGATCCGCCCTGACCACACACTCTCCCTCGAGCTCAAGTACGAGTCGAAGCACTCCGTGAGCAGCCGGATGCTGTGGCCCGAAGTTGAGAGTGATATTCTTCACGTTCTTCTCCGCAATTGGCGACAGCTTGGCATTCCATGCCGGTTGTTTCCAATTTTGCAGGAAATTATCAGTGTGCTGCTCAGGAAACATGATAGGCCCCTCAAATTTCTTCATGAATTCAGGATCCGGGGTCCACTTGGCGGCTCCTCGTCGCTGCCTAGAGAGAGACTGTCAGAATTTGTCGCTGATATTTTGCATGTTTCCTTACCCAGTCACGACTGTCACCGGGGCCAGCAGTTTGGGCGACTGCAAGAGCCTCTTCCACACTTGCAACTGAGCCATTTCCTCAGGATTTTCCTGCTTTTTCACAGCACTGGGGCTATTTTTTCAGCCTCTTCACCTCACTCGAGTTTCATAACACGAGATGTGACATCCGACCGCAGCGCCGCTGTGGCAGTTTCAGTGCTGGCATGCAAGCAGATTTGGTGAAAAGTAGGGTTAGGGAGTGGTAGCTGGTGAAAAACACTAAAACATTTATTATTCCTGTTTGCACAATGCCAGTGTACGAGTTGTTTATGATCCTGCGACAGATGTCGAGAGTGAGTAGTAATACTGAGTGATTTTGTAAGAAACAGCCTTACAAACAGCATTATCTCCATGTGTTTTGCAGCCGGACGTCGTGTCGTGTGTGAAGAGAGCCTCTGAGATGATCTTGGACAGGGGCGGTGTGATCCGGTCGATAAATAACATGGGCACGATGGATCTGCCTTACAAGATGAGTTCTCAAGGCCTCGTGCATCGCATAGGAACGCATTTCTTAGTGGAATTCAGCTTGCCGCCAAGTCAGATTGAGGACATCAATGAGGAGTTCAGCAGAGACGTGGACATCATCCGGAGAGTTATCGTCAAAACAGAGAATGAGCTTCAGACACCAAAAGTAAAAGCCTGCACTCTCCACGAGGAACTCCTTCCGCCCGCTTATCGCAAGGAAGTCCAGGAGATGATCGCCATCGGCAAGAGGAAGCAAAAGCCCAAGTTTAAGTACAACTCCGGCCTGGATTACTATCCGTTCGCCAAATAGAGTGTCAGTAAATTGTTCAATAGACTTTATTCATGGAGTAATAGTTTTACATCATTTTTTTGGGAGATGATCTGGTCAAAAAGATGGGTAAATATCCCTCTAGAAAAATAGTTTAACTATTTATCCATCTCTAAAATATCAAGTACAACTCTGGAATTGGAAGATTAATGCACTTTTCTAAACACCATGCGGAATTCATCAACTTTCAAGACACTCTCCGGAATGTTTACAGGTTCTCTACAAAAAAAAATCGGGAAGAAATGGGGAGAAATGCCGCAAATATGGCCAGGATTGCTATCGGCGGGATGTTTACATGTGCCTCGTGTTGCCGAAATTGATTCCACTCTGGGTGGCGCCCTTGTTGGAGCCGTACTGCAGCGAGATGACATTCTGGCCGGCTCTGAGCTGCTCCTCGGAGAAGTGGCGCACATTCTTGTCCGCCTCCTTGGGGCCGATTGACGGCTTGCCGTATTTGTCCGCTTTCCTGCCCAGGCTCTGCAGACAGATGACGACGGAATTGAGGTTCTGTCGCTCCCACAGATCCACACTCTGGAACGTCTCCTGTGCCGGAACGCCCATGTTCTTGGCCACCTCCAGGAAGCTGGTGATGTTCTCCATGCACTTGAAAGCCATCTTGCTCTCGTTCACCTTCTTCACGCTGCCCGGCTGCAGGCAGTTGGCCAGCTTGCACAACAGCACGCCATCCTTGAGTACCTCGAAGAAGTTCTCCATGTCGCCAGAGGTGCTGATCGGCTCCCCCGTGATCTCCTTCACCCACTCGAGACACTCCGCCGCCAGCTCGTCGCTGTACTTGGAGTTGATCTGGAAATATGCAAATGCGGAGACTCGTTAGGCGCAATTTCGAGTGTCCACGGAAATTCCCCGACCGTGGCGCGGGCGAGGAAATCACTCAAGAAGTCACTCATCTCAAAAATCCATCATAAAACTGGTTCTTCGCATACGCACACACACACACACGCGCTCAATGCGAGGGCAAAAAGCCTAGGCGAGAAGCAATAAAAAGAGCGATTAAGGAATCATCCAGTGATTATTTACCCTGGCATTTCGGCTATTTCTGTGGCCACAGCATTGAGGAAGGAAAGAGGAAATTACCAAAGGAAGCGATTTGCCATGAAAGCCAGGAGCGAAGAGTGATTGCCAAGATCACAGATGCATTTCTTTTCCAATCCAATTAAACATTTTTTTTAATGATCCAATAAGAATTCTGCCAGAGAGTTGGGGGGAAAATGAGTTCATGAGCCGCGTGTTTATTATTGTGCGCCTCATTTTGGGAAGAAAGGTAATGCATAAAGGCAATAAAAGTCAAATTGAAGCGGAGAGTAGAAAAAGAACCAGAAATGTGTTCACTTGCGGATTAAAACATGTTGAATTATATAACAATAGCGGTCTCGCGGCGAAACAGAATTGCAAACTCATAAAACAATCATGACAAAAAGAGAAGGAGTATCACAAATACCTTCTCTTAGCATTTCACAAGATGAATTTTCACTCCTAGAGATAACACAGCTTTCTGAATTAATTGATTGGTTGCGGATTTTAGCAAGCATAACGTCGGAATGACGTCCTAATGCTGTGCAATAATGAAAGTTGAGTTCTTTAAGTCAAGTATATTTGTCATAACCGAACTATGAGTAATAATATATTGAAATTATTTCATTTTATTAAATAAATATTGCAAAAAATAATTTTTACACTTCAGGTCAATATTTGTGATTTGATAACATCGATAAGTATTTTTTTTGTCCAAGAAAATCACCGTTTTAAACCTGAATTTTCCTTCTGTAGTTTAGTGAACTGCTTTCCAAAATTACTGGAAAAAGTCATAATCTTTTAATAGCGTTCTGTGGCACAGAAACGCACACAATTCGGAATCTTATCAAGAAATCGTTAAATTTGTGGCTTAAGTTGTCCTGAAACACATTTTCGCGTCCAATTCACAAGCATTTAATGTATCTTGAGAAGAGATTTGGGATTTCGTTTATTTCAGTCTGTCTGACCGGATCGGCAATCCCAATGAAACCTGCGTGTTGCTTGGGTATTTCGAATCACTTCCATACTTTATGTAATATTTAATTTCATGGGACTCTGCCTCCCACTGAATGACGCGATTTGTGCACCAAATTAGCCGGACAGAATAATTAATTCGCTATCGGTGACTCCTCATCCCAGAAAGGCCTGCACAATCGATAGACACACTCCCAAATTTAATCAGGCAGCGGGCAAACAATTCAGCGTGTTCGCACTGAAATCACCATGCAAAAGACACCGAGATCTGCGCTAGTCAGACCCCTTTTCGCTGGCGGCGGAGCGTACGCTTTCCATATAGGGAAATTGACGCGAAAATTTGGGTCACGCTCCAGTGTCGCAATCAGTGACTTTTCACATATGAAATTAATTGCAAAATAGCCAAAATATTTACCGAGACAGCGCGCGAGTCGCAGTGAAAAGTGTGTGACTCTGGTTTTTGCATCCAAATATGGTTGAAAAGCTGCTCGAGCGGGAGAAGAAGAGACGCGAAGTGAGTGGCGCCGAAAAAGGTCAGGCGAGAGAGAGCAGCATCTGCTGCATCTTTCGGCCCGATGGCGGCCGCGGGGGCCACTTGAGACACCTGAGAGGCGCCCTGGGGACGCCTTATCGCTGAACAAGTGACCACTTTGCGATAACACGCCGAATTGGCCGCGCTTTGCTGGCGCTGATGCGGAATTTTGCATCCATAAATGGCATTTTGTGCCTCAATTAGCATTCAAAGCTGCGCGTTTCGCCACAAAACCGCATCTCGAGATCCTTGGTGTTAATTTCAAGAACACACACAGAAATTCCTCCTTGAGCTAACACGATGACATCATCGCTCAACTTTCATCGTCTGTAATTCAACATTTCTTCGGACATTTCACACTCGGACTCGCGCGCAATTATCGTCATATCGGCTGGCGAGGTAAATAAATCCCTCCCAACAGTGCATAAAATGTCTTGACAAATTCTCTCCGTCACTCTATCAATACGCTCTCGCCAAGTACTTCCTGGGCCTCTGAGGCTTTTCAGCTTGCCGAGTCACGCCAATATTTTATGAGCAAAGTAACGAAGTGCGGAGATCTTCTAGCATATCAAACACACAAAGAGGCAATGATCTCATTGAATATTAATTTTTACCCGCCAAATTTCTGCAAATGTTCGATTGACTCAGTGCTGAAGAACATCTCAAGCTCCGATCATGAGCTCGAGCTGGAGAGAAACTGGCGTCCTTCGGAAATGACTCACAGCCAGAGAGTCGACAACAAAGACACTCTATTCACGAGTTAATCATCAATCAAAAACCTCTGCGGAAGGCGAGGAAAAAACCAATTCTCGCTCCCTCCCCAAGTTGGGAAAAGAATCGTTAAAAGCAGGGATGGAACGCTGGCGCAAGAGTGCGACTCTGGACGTCAACGGTCGATTGGGAGAGTCTTCGGATTCTCGCTATCTTATCACTCTATCGGCAGAGGTGATGATCAAACACACACTCTTCATTATCCGTGCGCGAGAGCAGCCCATAAATATCTCATTGGAGGCAATTCGATCGCGCTCATTGCGTAACCATCGGGAAGACAGTGCTGGAAAGAGTATTTTGGGCACATTCGTTCTCTGTGGAAGAGACGCGCCCCTCGGCAAGCGCGACAGAGATCATGGGGAGAGGCACAAATTGAGAATTCGCCGGGAGGAAGCGTTTATTGCTCGACCATCTGCTGGAGACACTGTATAGAATTTCATGCAGGGCGCACGATGGAGTGCCACCAGAGATTATGCTAATGCTCGCGCGCTCCGGAAGTCTTTTTAGGGAATCACTAAATGGACAAGCACGCATGTAACTGTTCTTCGAGCCAAGAATTCCATCTGATGCAGCGAATTACAATGGCCGAAGGGCACAGCGAATAACCAGTTGATCTGGACGTGTCGTGGGCGAAAGTGCTCAAAGAGAGAAACGCGCGCGCACGGAGAAAAGATCACCGTGAAATCCGAATCCGCGCCAGAGCAGTACATTTGAATTTTGCGCGATCCAGGAAGCAAAAAGCCGATAAACTGAATGCCGATCAAAAGAATTTACAGCTGAATTAATCAGCATTTCAGGGCGCGTGTCATAAAGACAGAGTCATAAAGTGAATCTCAGGAGAAATTTTTTATTGATGACGCCAAAAATTAAAAAGAGATAACGCATTTTATAGTAAATGACGACATTATGAGTCTCCCCAATAAATCTTCATTCTTCACTCTGGTGAAAGACCTTCTAAAACACACACACACTTGTGGTGGTCATAAATAAGTCGTGATTTGAGAAATTTAGTGAAAATTATCGTGTGCAGAGAATTCTAGAGAGTGCTAAAGCAGGAAATGCTGATTGTTGAATTACACTAATCCACAAAAATATACTGTAACTGAGTAATACAATAAAGTATTATCGCGAAAAGTCTAAATTTTTAATAGATATGGTTTATATGGGAGAGCAGGGCAGTATTGAACACTCAGTTCAAGAGTGAATTGCCATAAAAAAGTAATAAATCGATCCAATAATCAATGTTGCATGAGAATCAATCAGAATATCAAGAGATACTCTTGCAAATTTTGTCAATAAGATCGCATTCAAACTTGAATCTATTAAAACATCTTTACTGAAGCGTATGCCAGAGAAGAAAGTACAAAAAAAACACTTCAAATTCAAACTTGTATTTGCATTAAAAAGTAATAGTTCTTAAGTGTTCATCACAGCGAAATTAATAACTTCAGTCTCATATAAATTAGAGTTTTTGGGCATCAACTTTATAATCACGGCTGTAAAATTACGGATAACGGTCTTGTAGTACATTAAATGGAATTATCAATAGATCTAATGTATTTTTACAACTTTGGCAGGGCATAAAGAAGCCCTGAAATCTTAATGAACTTGTTAATTTCATTTACCATCTCAAAATCTCCAAAATGAGGTCAGATATTCGATTCTGGCATTGAGAATTTTTCAGTTTCCCATGCAATCATTTCAATATTTGTGAATTCTCGAGTTTTATATCGTCTGGAGAGTGTCACTGGACACTGGTGAGGAATCTCAAATATCCAAATGGCACATTAGTCACTGAGTGGAGCGAAAACGCGATTTTGCCGAGCAATTAATATTGTGATTGTTATTGTGCATTCTTCAGGAATGTTTAATCCACAGCCCGGGAACGGCTATAAAATATATTTCATCAATTGCCTTTCCAAAAGTGGGAAAAGAGGGCAACATTTTGGGTGCGTCGAGTGCCAAGAAGAGTCTTTTCACTTCAATAAAAGGTAGTAATAAATGTGTGATTATAATTCTTTATCTTCCCGGTCGCTTTTGGGAGCATATTTTTGTGTGTGAAACACGTCCAGAAATCTCGAGTGCGCGCACAAGCCGGATCGAGGGGAAAAGTGCTGATGGGAATTTTACTGAAGGAGTACAGAGAGTGCGAACGGAGAAATAAAACATGACTGCAAATGGAGAAGTTGAATGTGAGGGAGAAAAAATGATGAGAAAAAACGCCACTCGATGATGTCATCGTGCTTTAAAAAGAAATTCCAAATCACACGTTCGTTCTGAGGCTCCTCTCGTCATTTCTGGGCCTCAAGAGGACTTCAGAGCGCGTCCTAGAAACTCATCTTGGGGAGTTTTGTGAGCGGAATCACGTGATATGATTTCCAGGGAGGTTTTCTGGACTCCCCAGAGACTGTCACTCGCTGTCTGCTGCAGAAACCGGGCCAGGAATGCGATAACTACAGGAGTAGCCATAAAATTCCCTATCGAACGCGATGGAATGAGGCGAAGAGTGATAAGAGGAGCACTTCGCTCCCCGGCACTCACCTTCCTCTGAGCCTCAGCGGCGAATCCGGACTTTGTAGCACGATTAGAAGCCATTGTTACTGTCTGGAGAGCACTTTTATGTACAGAAACAGCAAAGGAGGAACGGAAAGAACCACAAGAGACGCTGTGGGAATAATAAATACAAGAATCTCTGGGTGTCTCGACACAATCACTCTCAATGAACTCCAGATGCAGACTGACAGAGCGCCTCAGCGACTCCAGTTCGCGGCAAAGGCTGGAATTTGCTGGAAGAGGCGCGGCGGTTGGGAACAGTTTCGAAAATGCCATAACCTCAACAGTGGGAACACTAGTCTTATCTCTGGCAAGCGCTTGGGCGTGTGAACTTCTGGAAAAATCAACAAATTTCAGTATTTCCGGTGTGAGCAATGGCTCTTGATCTCATATCCTACGCCCTGATCGCACTAGTGGTTGTCCTGCACGTAATAGTGCTGGGATTTGTGCTAAAGAAACGACCAAAGAACATTTCCGGTAAGCATGTTGTGGTCACCGGAGGATCCTCAGGAATCGGCCTGTGGTCAGCAGTTCACTGCTTCAAGCGTGGTGCCCACGTCACCATCGTGGCCAGGAACGTGAAGGTTCTCAACGAGGCGAAGAAGGAAATTGAGAAGCACAGAATCAACGAATCGCAGAAGATTCTGGTGAAATCCCTGGATTTGGCCACAAGCTATGAAATAGTGGAGAGGGGCTTCAAAGACATCGAAGAGGAGATGCAACTGCCCATTTACATGCTAGTAAATTGCGCGGGAATGGCAATTTGCGGTCTGATGGAGGATATCAGTGTCCAGGACGCGAAGTTTATGATGGATGTCAATTACTACGGGACATACTATCCAACGAGATATATCCTGCCTAAGATGAAAGCCGCTGGGGAGGGAATCATCGTGATCACTTCATCCCAGGCCGCTCTTCTTGGGATCTACGGATACGGACCCTATGCAGCTACCAAATTCGCCCTCCGCGGCTTGGCAGAAACAATCCAAATGGAAGCTAGTCAGGCAGGAGTTGGAGTAACTCTGGCGCTGCCCTGTGACACAGACACTCCGGGATTCGAGCGAGAGGAGAAAACAAAGCCTGATGTGACGAAGCTAATCTCTTCCTCCGGAGGTCTCATGAAACCTGCAGATGTGGCAGAACGTCTTGTGGAAGACGCTCTTGTAAGAATCCTACATAAACTTATAAGATTTTAGATCTAAATTGACTTGTCTTCTAGCGAGGATCTTTCTTCTCCGTCTACGGCCTGGAGAGCTGGATCCTCTCTATCCTGTGTGTCGGCATGGCGCCCTGGACGGGATTCTACCTCAACATGCTGCAGCTTGTTCTCATGTCGCCCCTTCGCCTCGTCAGCTTCTTCATCCGCATGAACTTCAACAGCATCATCAAGAGCAACAGCACGAAAGTGAAAAAGGAGTGACATTCATAAAATCCAAGAATCTGTATTTTGCCGGGTAATAAATTAAGGATACACGTGCCTACTTAAGTCGCCTAGTCGCGTGGCGATACGGACGTCTCTGGGCCATCGTGCCTCCGTTGCTGCCTATGCTGAACATTGGGGCGCCGCCCTGAGGATTGTTCGTCGCGCCGAACGCAAACGGCTGCTGCTGGCTGGGATTTGAGGCTGTGAAGTTAAATGCCGGGGATGAATTTGAAGTTCCAAAGGCTGGTGGAGGAGGAGCGTTTCCACCACCGCCAAAAGCACCGAAAGCCGGCGGCGGAGGCTTCGGAGAGTCCTGACCGAAAGCGAAGTTGTTGGCAGGAGCGCCGCCGAAGGGGGACGGCGTCGCTGCTGTGTTGGGCGCGTTGGGGGACGAAGAGAAGGAAAAGGGCGAGGAACTGGCCGTTGTAGTGGCGCCACCGAATTGAAACGGCGCTGGGGAGGCTCCTGAAAAATTGAAGGGCTTGTCCGTCGTTGCGGTCGTCCCAAAAGCGTTAGTACTGGTCTGTTGCCCGCCAAATATCCCCGCGGCCGGAGTAGCTACCGGGGCGGGAGTTTTGTTCTCCGCCGCAAAAGCAAAGACAGGCGCTGAAGTTGTGGTTGTGATGGGTTTCGCAGCGTTATTAGAGGTCCCGAAGCCCCCGAAAGGACTGGAGACAGTTGCACTAGAGAAGATTGATCCTCCTGTCCCGAAAGCATTCGTGGAAGTTGTTGTGGTTGGTGCTGGAGTGCCTCCAAACGCCCCAAAAGCAGGAGGCGCTGCAGCTTGAGTGCCTCCGAAAATGCTATTCGATCCAGTGCTCGCATCAAAAGGCGTCGTCGTCTTCTTCTCGAAGGAGAACGGCGCTGATGGTGTGGTTGTGGCAGCTGGCTTCGCCTGAGGCGTGCTGAAGACGAAAGGACTGCCTTGTGATGCTGTTGTAGAAGTGCTCGTGACGCTTCCAAAGGTGAACAACGACTTTGTGTCCGCCTGAGTCTTGGGTGTCTCAAAAGCCGATACAGATGTTACGGGATTCGGTCTGGAGAACGCAGAAAATCCTCCGCTAGATGTTGTTTTCGGCGTATTTCCACCCCCAAAGGTGAACATGCTATTGTTGTTGTTCGGTTTGCCAAATTCAATCACCGAAGGCGTGCTCTTTGGCTGTACTTCTGCGGAAGTCACAGTTGTTGTAGTTGGAGATCCAAAGACAAACTTCGCTTCAGCAGTTGTCGCTGGCTGAGATGCGGGGGTCCCAAAAGTGAAAAGAGAAGGATTTTTCACCACAGGAGCAGTAGGTCTGACCACAGGCTTATATGCGAAACCGAAGAGGGAAGCCATGGACGATGGAGTTGCTGGAGCTTGAGGCGCGAAAGCTGGAAAACTGGGAGTTTTCACAGCGCTTGCTGCAGTTGAAGTCATCGTGAAGGTTGTGCTGGCTTTGGGCGGTTCAACAGAGTTTCCAAGACTCGGTGGATTCCCTCCAAATGGTACAGAGAATGGCGAAGAAGACACAACTGTGGTGACAGATGTGACTGGACTGACACTTGGAGCAACGGTACTTCCGAAAGAGACCGGAGTGTTGAATGCCAGACTGACTGCTGGCTTGAATTGAGGCACAGCAGGAGTTTCGGCGGGTTTCTTCTCAGCTTCCACCACTTCCTTGATCATTGGTGCTTCAGGAGTGGCTGTAATCTTCACTGTCTCCACATCTGTCTTCGCTGGAGACACTCCAAAATTAAACAAAGGCGTGGAAGTCACCACGGGAACAACTGGAACCTCTTTTTCCTTCTCCTTCTCCTTCACCTCTTCCGTGGGCTTGGACACGGTCACAACTGGCACAGTGACCACAGGAGGAGCAGAAGTTGTTGCTACTGGAATTATAACCTTGGGAATCTCCGGTGTTTTCTCCTCCACAGGCTTAACGACCGGTTGAGACTCCTCTTTCTTCTTCTCCTCCTCCTTGCTATCCACAACATCAGCAGATTTGTCCTCAAAGTTCCTGCTAAGATAACTCAGCATCATTGCAAGCTTAGATTTGGTGCCCTTCTTGGAAGCTTCCTTGTCCTTGACCAGCAGCGTACTGCTTTGTTTTGGACGCACCAGATTCATCGATCGGCTCTCCTCGTCATCGTCAGTGTCTGACAACACTCTGTCCTGTATCTTGTCGTAGTTCTGATTGAAGAGTGTCACTTTGGGTGTCGGTTTTGGTGGCGTCTTCGGAGGAGTCACAACAAGCAATGCAGTTTTTTGCGAGCTGGGCAGATCAGGGCGCCTCTGAGGCTCCACAGAAGCCACTGGACTGCGCTTCTTGGGTTCAACAGTCGCCTGAGGCTTCTGATAGTGCGTTCTCTTGGCGTCGCTTGACAAAACATCATCGATTCTCCTCTTGGGATTCAAGAGGCGAACGCTAGAACTCAGAGAGCTCAGGATATCATGACTGTCCCGACAGATCTTCTTTTTGTTGGACTCCACAGGAGATTGAATATCAGCACTTGGCGGAGAAACTCTCTCTCGCTGCCTCTTTGTCTGGCTAGGCACAGGTCCGTCAATCTCGGAAAAGTCCTTGCACGGTTTCTTCATTCTGTCGCCATTGAAGTCCTCATTGTGAATCCTCTTCCGAGAAATCTCCGTCAGAGCGTCCAGAACAGATCGAGTCGGCGTGGATTCAATGCCTCCTGACGGTGTCAATGGCTCGTTATCGTACTTCCGCGGTTCTAAATATTCCTCGGAAGACGCCGATGAACTGGACAGTCCCTGACGAAGAATATTCAACCGAAGATTTCTGTCTGACACTGATTTATCCGGAGGAGCGATTTTCACCACCGACAGAGGATTGTTTCTCTTCGTTGAATAAACTATCGCATTTTTCTTCAGGTGCACAATCGGGAACTGTCCAGGCTTATTGTATATCGTACGAGGGCTTCGAGACATCCTCTGGTTCTCCTCATAGTACTTCACAATCCGCGACGACAAGCCGTTGCTTTGTGTGTCCAGGAGAATCCTAAAAAGCCAACATCATTAGCACAAGTAGGAAACACAGATGTTTTCACTTACTCAGGGTCTATCCTTGAGCTGCTCTTCCCAGCGCCACTAGACAGCGCCCGCGATGAGTCATTCCTGGCCCAAGAACTGCAAGAGAATCTCAGGGTTACTTCCGGATGAATTTCGTAATGTTATCCCAAACATTACCTGCTGCTCATATTGTGTGAATTTGTAGATTTCACATCATTCTTCCTGCCAAACATCTTTATAGGCTGCACAGACAATGATTTTCTCGAAAAATCGCTGCAAAATTACACGTTTTCACATAACCTCACGGTGATCAAACAAGTTCACTATTTCCATGTGAATTGCAATATCAGATTAAAACTTACACGATCACTACAATCTAGAGAATTTTATTTACAATTTCACTCCTTTTGGGGCTGCATAAGTGTCTAATTAACGCGTTTTGAGGTGAAATACAAAAGAGCAACACTCCAAACAATTTTTTCAGCCCGCAGCGCTGTCAAGGCGTCCCGTGAGACATCTGGCGGCATTTTCTTGTGCTCCGGAATTTTGAATTGAAAAACCGATGCTGATAAAAAAGCCCTCCGAAGCAGGGCTGCAACTCGTCGAAATGTTTTGTCTTTGCACCACTGCCGGCGCTTTTGGTTGTCAGAACATGAGATGAATAAACCTGAAATGCCTAGAGTTGCAGTGATTCCAGAAAGCGACTCATCGACAATGCTTTGAGGTTTTTGATTTTGTGAAAATAATTTCGAGTCGCTTAAGTCGCTGTCAGACGAATCAAATCAATTGATGGATAATAAATATTTGAGCGTTTGGTGAACACAAAATCCGAAGATGGAATAAGGTGATAATCTGCGAAATATCTCTTAAACTTCCTACAGAAAGTCTCTAAGAAGTGAGAAAAGTATAAACGATACTAGAGCCAGGAAGAGAGCGACGTTTTTCTGAGTGCAACTTAGCCGAGACACGCAGTGATGAATTTGACCCTGTCAGACGTTCCGAGCATTTGCAATAGCTGTGAACTTGCGTGAAGGTGTCATTGGGTAAAAAATATGGCTTCCTTAGTGTTGATAATGCGTGATATTCCCTCAAAAGCCCGTAAATCGTGCTAAGAGTGTGCAAAAGTGGCTGAATATGCAGAGTGCGTTGCTCGGCTGGGTCTGAAGTCGTTGAGCACCTGCTGAAGAGGTCAGGATTGGGGCGCGTCTCCCGTCGCATGGGATGCGTGGTCTCCCGAGGACATTCTAGGAGTGTCCCTGTCCCCACACCAAAGTAGCACGCGCCCGGCGCCCAGACAGTGAGAACTGTGCATTGATAAGGACGATAAGACGAGTGGTATGCGAAAATGGCAGTGGCCGGATCGTCGGACGCTGCCGGAGAGCTTTGCGCCGCCAGTGGAAGCAGCACGGCGGGCTGGACGGAGTTCTGCGAGCGCCACGCCAGAGCGGCCGCGTCGGACTTCGCCAAGTCCTGCGTCCACTACATGGCTAGCAATTTGCCCGAGGCGGCGCGCAGCACGATATCGCACAGGGACTTCATGAGGAAGTTCATCGAGTGCTTCTCAGATCACTTCGACACGGAGTACAATCGACGGAGGGCGCATCACAAGGTAACCCATCAGGCCTGGGCGGGTGAGACGGTATTTCTACATGATTTTCGTGTGTGTTTTGCAGACTGGAAATGGAAATGCCATTGTTCTTGAGGAGAGCGACTACTCAGAAGACACGGAATCACCTAAAATTACGCACAAGCCTTTCTTCAGGCGGCTCTCGTTCAAGGGACTCCGCAAGGGGAAGGTAAGAAACGGGGCAATTCGCACTAGACAACCTTGATGTGTGAGCTGAGAATTTATCAGGCTAATCCTCAAGTTATTTCCGACAAGAGAATCGCGTGTGTGTGTCATCGAAAGGGGCGTCCAGATTATCAAAACAGTGTCTTCAAATTGGAATTTGGCTTCTCGCCTAATAGCTTTTCCTCACTATTTTCAGGCCTTCTTCCACAAACAACACTCAGACGAGGCTGAACTGGCCACGGCGCGTCAGTCCAAGACGAAGCTCTCGAAGATCGTCGTGGAGTGCCGAAAGGAGGGCTATGTGAACTACTTGACGCCGGAGAGCCTCGACCAGCCGGGAGGGATTCACAAGTGGGAGAAGTGTCGCCTGGCGCTCGTGAAGACCGTCGGTGGATACATGCTAGAGTTCTATTCACCTCCAAAGTCACAAAAGGTACAACTTCTGGCCTCTTTTCCCATCGAAGAGCTCTCTGTTTATGCGTATTGTCTCTCTTGCAGCCTCGCAGCGGGGTTTTCTGCTTCCTGATATCGGAAGCGCGGGAGACAACGGCTCTAGAGATGCCGGATCACGAGAATACGTTCGTGCTGAAGGCGGACAACAACATGGAGTACGTGATTGAGGCTCACGACACGGACGACATGCGAAGTTGGCTGGCGACCATTCGGTATTGCATGAGAAGCACTCCAACCAGTCAACTTCCACCAGCTGATCAGACCCTGTCGTTGGTCAGCGCGGCGCCAAATGCCACCGCAACGCCCATTCCTGGGCCCGATGTCACCTCCAGTCCGGCGCCGGAGATTCCGCCGCGACGCGCTGGCGAGAGAATCTCGTCGTCCAGCAACTTCGAGCTGACCGAGGGCGATCTCGAGCCTGTCCATGAGACTGATACCGATCTGACAGCCATGATGCGCGAGTATCCGTGGTTCCACGGAACACTGCCGCGCTCGGACGCTGCCCAGCAGGTTTTGCATGGTGGCGCCGGTGGGCACGGAGTGTTTCTGGTCAGGCAGAGCGAGACGCGCAAGGGGGAATTCGTCCTGACGTTTAACTTCCAGGGACGCGCCAAGCATCTTCGAATGACACTCAATGATAAGGTGAGGAATAAGGTGAACGGCGTGCAGAGTCAAGCACTCACGTTTTCTGTGTGGTCTTTTCAGGGCGAATGTCGAGTGCAGCACTTGTGGTTCCCAACCATCACAGAAATGCTCGAACACTTCAGACAGAATCCCATCCCACTGGAGTCCGGTGGGACGGCGGATGTGACGCTGACGGAGTACGTGGTGCATCAGCCGCCAGTCCAAGTGACCTCCACTATTTCACCGAGACATGTGAGATAGCCCCAAATGAGGCGCCTTACATTTCCAAATTGTCGTCAAATCAGTGTCAGTGTTGCTAGTTTTTATTTTATGTTGTTATATCTTTAGTTGTCACGAATCGAGCTCGCGAGTTTTTTCCAAATGCTTGGCATATTTTCACAAAAATTTAATCAATTTGGTGTTGATTTGCCTAATTTGAATATATCGTCTGTAGAGAGGCGTTTCGATGATAGAATCGACGGGAGGCATTGAGCTGCGTGACGATGCATTCCAATCATTGCTTCTTCCTCTTTACAGCCGACTCCAAATATCATCACAATTGGCGGGAGTGTCAGAGTGAAGACTTGTGATCTGGAGCTGCCACCTCTAATTGTCCAAGCTCCCACTCCGACACAAGCATCACAGCCGCATTCATCACAGAGTAATTCAGACAATGACACCGGACGCGCCGTCAGCAATCAGTACAGTTTTGTCTAGTTGCAGTCCGCGCAATGGTGGAAATTACACGATGCCAATTTCAAGTCACAACTTTATTGTGGATTGCGGTGAGATATTGTATATTTTAATCCCTCAAATTTATCGTCATTTCTCTTCACTTTGTGCAGACACTAAAGAGAAGGAATAGTGTTGAGGCGGCTCAGCGCTTGGCTGGGAGCTCTTTCGGCTCATCGCTGAGCCACCTCGTTAATTTATGTATCAATTTAAAGTGCCATAGCTCTACAACAGATTTCTTACGTGAATTTGAGTATGCATAACATTTGGCGTGGCGCAGGGATGAGTCACAAAGTTTAGGATCTTTGTAAAAAGAGAAATATTGATTGATAATATCAAATAATAGTCTTGGTATGGATGTGAAAAAGCATATATTGTAGCATTTTGAGCTGAAACTCTTGTCTAGGTTTTCTTCTGAGTCTATTCTTGAATGTCTACAAAAAAAAACCAACAGACAGACTATCATGGGCGTAGGCAGGATTCGAGCAAGAAGGCGGCAAATCAATAGTATAAATTCTTCTAGAAATGCATCTTAAAGGGAAAGTCCACCCCATTTGATGGGACAGCCAATAGTTCCTCATGAAGAAGTTGAATATTTATGCTTTAGACTGGTTTTGGTTACCTTTTGAGTAGGGGTAAGTGGGGCAGCTTCAGATTCAAAATGCTGTTCCAACTTTAGGATTTTTTCTTGAAAAATCGGCTGAATATATTGAAATGATCACAACGCTCAAATAAACTCTCGTTTATTGAGCTTCAGAAAATGCCTTTCATTGGGCATTAAAACTGATCCTTTTTCCTCTACAGGAGAATGAAAATAATATTGTAATTTATCTGAAACTGCCCCGCACGGGGATGTTTCGGATTGCTCTGGGGCAGCTTCAGATTTTCACTTATATTTACCTTAAATTCCATTGTGGAATTGTCGAATCGCGGGCAAATGATCACTTTGGTTTCTAATCTACACACTGAAACTGTTTAATTCCCTAAAAATCGCCTTTAAAGTAATATTTTCGCGACTTTTCTGGACCCTTGCACGCACTGTCAAAATGTCTGAGCGAAAAGCAAGTTGCCCGTCATTTTTCCTGTATCGCAACGCCACCATGCGTGAGTGGTGGCAACTTGACGCGCGCACGCGAAAATGTGCTTCTCGAAATTTCTGCTCTAATCAGTGATTTTCGCGTGTATTTTCTCACTTTTCAACTAAGAAGTCGTTTAACGTGATGAAGCAATGCAGCACAGAACGGCACTTTGTGAAAAATCTTCAATATTTGCCACAAGAAAATTTCGACCGTGATGTTGCGTCAGACTGTCAGAGCGCGCTGTTGTCAGTCCGTGGCGATCCGAAACTGCCCCGTGTGCAGTGTTTGTGCATTTTCCACCACCCACTGAAAAGGCCGTGCCAAGGAGGAAAAGTTCGGGCACATTTAGAATCTCTACTTAACTCTCAATAACCTTTGATTGTGTTTCACGCGAATTGTGGCTTTTTTAATGGAGAAAACACGCAATCAATTCGGCAGCAAAATTCTAGTTTGTGAGTGATTTTCAATTTTCACTTATTTTATCTAAACAACAAAAGCAATCCTGAGCAAATTTTCGTCAATTGTAGTCCTTAAGGACTACAAACATTGTGTGAAGACCAGGAATTTATTCATGTGAAAATCTCTGAGAAAATTAAGAAATCTGAAGCTGCCCCAATCTGAAGCTGCCCCATTTACCCCTATAACAAACAAGATTCTGAGCAATTTTTGTTTTGTTCGTTGGTGGAAAATTCCCATTTTTCTTCGTTCTGACTAGATTCATCCGGCTTGAGTTCCATCATACAACTTTCCTGGGGATTTTGACTCTTCATATTCCAAGCAATTAAATTTCTTTTCAAAAAGATAAATACTCTAAGAAATTTGTATGCAGTTTAAGTGGATGAGGGATGAAATGTTCAGCCTTGCCGAGGACAGTCGCGCCTGTTCGCCTTATTTTGGCTACACCCATGCACACACTATGTATAAATATGACATTATAACAAATAATATAATAGTCGGTTGTGCAATATTTGTAGCATTATGATTTGCAGAGTTTATATCTTGATATTCAACCTATCCAATTTATATATGCTTTTAATTGAAAAAAATGGTCTTTATGTAGTTTGTAAGGATATTCAAAGTGAAAATGATTATTTTAAGCTATGATTTCACTTCCTCCTAAAAGATATTGTATAAAGTTGAGGACTTCACATTACGAATTGCGCATCTTCAGGATTTTTATTGAAAAAACAACAACTCTGGTACAAAGAGAAAAGATTTAAGTTAGGAGAAAACCAACTTCCTTTCCCAACTACAATAAAAAGCGATGACAGACTTTGTTTGCAACTTTTGTGTTCTGATAAGAATTCCTATTTTTCAAAATAATAACAAGAATGATGAGATGAAAAAGTTGCGTTTATCTGTCCGTATCCTCAGTCAGAGACGTGATGAAGTACTTGAGCACGCCGTAAGAATCGTCTGGATTGTTGACGGTGGTCTGATTGTTCCTCCTCATGCTCCTCATGGTGTTTTCAGGCACGTTGCGGCCGATCAGGATCTCGATGCTGAGCAGTCCTGTTGTGTACAGCGTGAGGGCGCCTGTGTGGGCGAAAGCCAGGCATTTGGAGGCGAATCTGATGTGCGAAGTGCGATACTTTGCTTGCACGTCGCGCGTGCAGTTGAAGCTGATGATGTGATTGCTTGTCTTGGCCAATTGGACTGTGGCTTCAGCTTCAACTTTTCCTGTGGCGCGCAGCAGGAAGAAGGGCTCTTTCGGACTCAGCAGAATCTCCACTTCCTCAGAAGCGACGTCGATCTCGCTAAAGAGGAGTGAGAAGTTGCTCCCGCCCATCAGGACGCGATTGTAATCCATGGGTATGGAGTGCTTGTGAAAGTTCAGCGTCTCGCCGAAGATCTTTGTCTTCAGCTCAGCTTCAATGGAGATATTTCCGTCGTGGCCATTGAAGGCGAGCGTGACTGGAAAGGCATCGCCGCAGTAGATCATCACGACCGTGCACTCGTCGTCTGGAGTCATCCGCAGACATCCTGACAGGGTGTTGAGATTCAGGGCGAAGCTTATCGGAGTACTTTCGGCACTTGGTTTCAAAAAGAATTGTGTGAACCACTCGCGAGGGATGTAGAAAGACGCCTGAAGACACAATCCGTCCTCGACAGTCATTCTGACGCCGTCTTTCTCCACACCGAAGATCACGTCCTTTGTGTCATCAGCAGTTGTCAGGGCCTTCAGAATCTGCCTCAGAAGCTTCACATGACTCAGCGTGGCGCCGAAGACAATGTCCTCCTCCTGTGGCTTAGACATCGTGGCCACAATGATCAATATTTCTTCTTAGCCGATGGCGTAAAACTGCTGTCGAAGTACTTCATCAACTGAATGGCCAGGATATGCTTGCACTGAAAGTGTGTCGCGTTGGCGTAGAACAGCCGCTTGAATGCTGGACAGCGACAGATCAGGGAATTCTCGGCTAAGTGATAAAAGTTTCCCTGGCCGCCCTTAATCTTGAACTGCTGGAATTCACCAGGACATTCAGTGCAACGCTGCACACGCTTTTCCTTCAGGATATCTATGGCCTTCTGCACGCTGTTCCCGTAGATGATCTCCAGCTCACGAAACTCCTTCGCGGGAACTGCAAAAAATGAGGAAAGATCAGAAAACTTTACTTCCGGGAAACTCTTATTACCTTTGAACTTACAATGAGTGGGAAATCCAGATTTCTTCTCGTATTCCTTATCAAACTCACGGAATATGTTATCACGTAGTTTAAAGAGAATCGTACTGGCGTCTGCAAGGCTTATGTGCTGCTTCCTGGACACACAAACAGAAGAATTCATCCCAAAATGTTGCGAAATAATAATGCGTATTCGCGCCGGTTTTGTTTTCGCTTCTTAAACTCGCGTGTTGACATGCAAGAGGAGTTCTTCTATAATCCATTCAGCACGACACGAAACAAGACAGGCAATATTTTACATCTTTTCAATTTCATGCAAAGGGACTCAAGTGGATTGTTTCCGTCATATAGTGAAATGTATATCCAACTCAATGATATATCAGTATTTGAGAGAATATTCCTCAAGTTACGAGTATTTTGTGAAATGCTTTGCCCTCTGTTTTCTCACTTCGAAACTGTTTCGCATTGCTACCAATGGCGCGAAACTCGTCGAAATTTCGATTCTCCGCAGCGCTCCATTTCGCGCACGGTCAGTAGGGAAATGAGCATTTGACATTTTGTACGTGATATAAAATTCTCAGGCTTGATTTTCTAGTTGTTCCGACAAAATTGTCCGGGTATTTTATATTAAATGTCAGAGCCTCAATCTTCGCTATTACTAAAAAAGCAATTAGCTGGTGAGTACACACGAGATGGGGGCGCGAGAGCTGGGCGGCCGCGGAGCGACTGGGCCCCGAAAGGCGAGAGAAAATTCTCATGGATGCGTGGTGTCGGAAACATCGACGGCTTTGTTCGCGATACAATGCAATCCGTGGGCATAAAAAGTGCCACTTATTCCTCGAGAAATACTCTCGCCGATGCACACCAGCGGCAATTGGCATCGGGGGCAGTTTCGAGGGGAGATCTTGGGCGCTGTGGCAGGTCGATTGGGCAGAAAAAATCAATATCGGTCGTCATTTTCAATGTGCGACCATTTCGTTTCATGCGATGAGAGCATTTTTGTCGGCAAAATTTGCGATTTGGTGAATTTTGCGGGGCGAAAGCCACACATTTAGCCGGTGTGCTGTGCGATTTTGGGGCCCCGCTGGCGCAAAGCGGTGACTAAAGTACTGAGTCATGGAGTTGCGGTGTGAATGGAGCTTTCGAGAAGTAATTTGTCAATAAATTTTTCTCTTCTCTTTTCAGAGCTGAATAAAAATCCCGTGGAGGGATTTTCAGCTGGATTAATTGATGAAAATGACATATTCCGATGGGAAGTACTTATCATTGGACCTCCGGACACACTTTAGTGAGTATCAAACGCATAAAATTGTGATTTGTCTGCGCGATGGGATTGAAAAGCTTCCACCACACTTCGCCTCGCCTAACCTCACTTTCGCGCACTCTTCCGGGTGAGCTTTTCATCTCACTCTCAGGATGGATTCTGGCGTGGAAGAGCTATTATTAGATCCTCTACAGATTTGCCATCTCTGATATTTATTGTGTCTGGGCATGGCTGGCGAATGGGCGAAATGCTCATTAATCACTCACTCAAGTGTGCGAATTTGAGGGGCGGTGAACATTTCCATGGCGATCCCTTCAGTTCATCGCATGCTGGATCGCTATCAAGATGAAGAGATGGTGCCCAGAAGCTCGTGAAAATATTCTAAATTCCGTCACGTGGCCGAGGCTGAAGATCAGCTATGATTAGATTGCGGAAGCTGAGGCTAAAGATCAAGGGCGTCTCGAGTGAACAGAGATCTTATTGTGATAAATTCCATAAATGCTAATAGTAAATATTCGTAAGAACGGCGCCAGATTGCGGACAAATTAGGCCTGTTATTGAAAACCTTGTGTGCATTCGACTTTGATGGTCAATGCTTATGGAACAACAAAACGTTTTATTAATTTGCTTTGACTAGCCTTATTTGAAAGATTTAATTTTATTCTTAAAAATATTTTTAAGTATCCATAAACCGCAATTTTACAGTATGAAAATGTTTAGAATAGAGAATGTAATAATTTTGGTCGAGATGCGTCCAAATATCTGCATCCTTAAGGAAGAGGAAGTTCGGAGAATCCTCGCGAAAGTGTCTCGAAACCGTGAAAACAGCAGAAAAGTGAAAAATCCCGGACTGGACTTGGGATCTGCGTGACTAACGGACTTTTCCTTTCAGCGAGGGTGGATTCTTCAAGGCCCACCTGTACTTCCCGAAGGAATATCCACTGCGGCCGCCGCGGATGAAATTCGTCACGGAGATCTGGCATCCGAACATTGAGAAGAACGGCGACGTATGCATAAGCATCCTGCACGAGCCGGGCGACGACAAATGGGGCTATGAGAAGGCATCAGAGCGCTGGCTGCCAGTTCACACGGTTGAAACAATTCTCATATCTGTAATATCAATGCTGGCAGATCCGAACGACGAGTCGCCGGCGAATGTGGACGCGGCGAAGGAGTGGCGAGAGGCATACCCGGAGTTTAAAAGGAAAGTCGCTAGGTGTGTCCGGAAATCGCAAGAGGATAGCTCGTAGGAACCTATTGAATGAAATACTAATATTTTGAATATACAACAATTTACGAGGAAATGATGATGATGAGGAACATGAGAGAGAGAGAGAGAGAGTAAAATAAAATGAGATGAGAATATTGCTACTATTATTGTATTATTATTAATTATATTATTATTATATAGAAATGCAGAAACTACTCTAATAAAAAAAACCGATAAAGCAACATCAATAGAAGAATAAAATAAAGAAAAAAAACAACATAGTAATATACATATAATAATAATAGTAATAATATAAAAGCAAGATAAAAAAAAACTGAGAGAAAATCATCTGTAAAGCTTGGATTTGTCTTAAAAATTTTAAATACAATAATTATAAGTACATTAAGGGACAGAAAAGCGTAGGTTGAACTTGAACAAGAGAGAAAATTGAGGAAAATGATGAGAGATGTGTCAGCAATGATCTCTGTTAGAGGTGACATTTTTTAGGAGGAGAGAGAAGAAACATTTTCATACCCGAAACGAGGGGAGATTTCATGAAAATACCATGTTGAGAAATTTAACAGCAATAGAAGAACAAATTTTACTTTCATTCTAACTCCAAAAAAAGAATCATGATTCCACGTGAAGTGAATGTGAAGGATTTTCAAATAAACGAACCATATTTCAACAAAGCTCAATTTGTTTCTGCGTCTCAAAGTTTTGTTCATTTTTGCGCATTTTAAGGACGTCATCCAGAGTAATAATCTTTTTTTTTATTTTACATTTGTAATTTAGGTAATGTATAATAAAACTATGGATTTCATAATTGATCTTCATTATATTTTTCGTGTACACTTTTACATACAAGTCTCTTGTCACTATACAATTATGTATATTAAAATGCTTAGTGTTTCGGGGGTGAGGAAAGCGTTCAGCGGTGATGCAGAGAGAGTTAAAAATCATTAGAATCGTCTGGATGGCTGGTTAAATTCCTATGGCACGCACAGAATCTTTGGAACTTAGATGAACTTGAAGCACTTCTGCTTGTCGTGCGGAATGCGCGTCTTGAACAGTATTGAATCCGCTCTGTATTGGGTGTTCAGGAGCGGCGTGTACCCGAACACCCGACTGAAGAAGTTGATGCACTTGTGGCGCTCCTGGAAATGCGTGTCGTCCTCACTGAGCGACACGGGACAGCCAGGACAACGGAAGGTCCACCGCGAAGTCACCTTCACAGGCGGCTGGCGCGTCACGTGCGCCACCAGGAAGTTCATGGCGATGTCTTCGCAGTTCATGTACTCATCCACCTTATCCCTGATCGCCTGCGGCATCCAGTATGTGTAGAGATAAGTGTAGTATTTGTGAACGAAGGCAGCGCCCGTGAGAACCATACTCAGCTCGCAGCTGTAGTTTGAGTTGTAATTCCACGCCGAGTTGCTGTTCAAATCCCAAGCATGGAAGCGTCCCGGAAAGCCCACAATGCGATCCCTGTGTTCTCGCCACACGCGGAACCCAAACAGAATCTCATCGTGGCGTAGATGAGCATCGTCGTCCACAGAGAGAACAGCTTCCGTCTCAATTACGTCGAACGGGAGGAAGCGATTGTTCAGGGAGTTTCTGGGCGCTCTCACGACAGCCACGGGTACCCCAATGTCCGGCCACCGCAGATCCTCGAGCGGTGGCTTTGGGGAGTTCCACACCACAACCACTTTGTGCAGATAGGGCAGTCCATAGAGGCGCCCCAGGGAGTCCATCAGCACCTGCTCGCGCTCGTACGTCAGCATCACAATTGTGAACTGCTCTCGCGGATGATTTCCACCCAGAGCTTCGCTAAACTCCTTCCCAGCTCCGCCAATTCCTCGTCCAATCGGCCTGAAGCCCATGTGACTGCCTATGAACTTCGCGTCTGATGGCAGGACTGGATCGAATGGGAGCTGAGGATACAGGAAGAAAGGATCTCCCCAGTCATTCCACGCCTCTCGAGATTGCACCAGCAAAGCCGTGTAGTTCCTCCTGAACGCCGGGCTGGGATAAGGAGGCTCGATTGGCCCCAGAGACTCCTCAGGCTCCGCATCCAGAACTGGTGGGTCAGATTTCAGTGGCACGAAAGTTCCATTGAAGACACTCTGCGCCACGATGTTCTGCACAGGACGCGCTGGGATGCCCAGTCGATCTCTCAAGCTCGTCACAATGGTGTCCACTGTAGCCTGGACAGAGCTGAAGTATCTCTCCCAGAAGAGTCTCCCTTGACGTCGCATGAATAGCAAATCTGAGTCTGGAACTGCCCTCAGCAGAAAGTGTAGCTCTGTTATCCTCGCCCGTGGCAGCAAAATCACCGCTCGACGCCAGTCCAGAGTCTCAGCATATGGCAACTCCACCTGATCCCCGCCCAGAATCACAGGAATAGCTCCAGATCGCAGCGCTTCGTACAGGCGCGCCTGGAGATAAGTAGATGACACAATATGACGCTCTGGGGCGAGGATCAGAGCGAATGTGGACTCTTTCAGCACACTCCGTCGAGATGAATCTGTGCCACAGAGCGACCAATCCCGGAAGGGTGAGAGGAACTTCTGCTCAGTGGCCGGAATGCACTGAAATTGGAGCAGGAACTTGTCCTGCGTTCTGCCTGAAGCCATCTCAGTCAGATGCTCAACGATAAAGTCGTCGAGAGTCTCGGTGTCTCTGTCGACAACTCTGGATGTGTTCTGGATCTTCAGTTCCCCTTGGAAGGACATGAGATACTTTCTCCTCGCGGGCAGCATTGGGGCGCATTCCTGCCACACATCGCCTCCTGGTGGTCCCAAGATCGGTGGGATGAGCAAATCAAAGCCCCTCCTGAACTGCGAGGCTGCGAACGTCGATTGCACTATCATAGCCCGTCCTGTGTCCACTGTCTTTACAGCCAGAGCTGCTGTGGGTGTCAAATCCCTTCTGGCAAAGTTCAGGAGGACATGATTTCGGCCATCTCCACCCCAGAAAGGCAATTGCTGCAGCTTCCTGGCACTCAATCCCGTGCCATTCCGTGTTTCCGGCGCAGACGACACGGTGTATCTATTGTTGCGGACTGTCTCGTGTTCCGGCAGTGACTCCCCAGTGAGGACAAGAAACACGCACGCCGCTTTGGGATCATCTGTGAGATGCATATTGTATCCCAGCGTCTGCTTGATGGTAGTCTTCAAGAATCCGTCCACATCGAAGCCAGAACCCACTGCAGGGAATGAATCTGGATCGTATAGATAAATGGGAAAGCCAGAAGTCAAACTGCAGCGCGAGTGATCGAAGCAGGTGCTCATTTGACATTTTTCAGCCTCGCGGACGCTCGCCGGAGCGTTCTTGGGTGGAAGTTGAGCGGGAAACAGCGGCTTCGGAAGTGCCAGTTCTGGTGTATTTCGCAGCACTGCCTCCTGCTGAGCCACCTGAGCCTGCTCCACGGAGATCTTGAGGCGATCCAGCTCAGTTTGCTGTCTGGACATTTCCTGCTTCAGTTCGTCAATCTTCTGATTGTACGAACTGATGTCAAACTGAAGCTTCTGCCGTCGAGACTCCAACTCCCTCAGCTCCACAGAGACTGTTCCCTTAATCCGCAGCATCTCATCAATCCGCAGCTTGAGATCAGCTGCCCTCAGTGAGTTGAAGTCCTCAAAAGCCTCAAGTTGCGAACGAGATTTGTACACATTATTGCTATTTTCCTCAGCCTCCACCTTGAAAGCAGTAAAAAATAAATCAATCATTGGATGTTTTATCAACTGCCAGGCAATCTTCTCACTCACATTAACGACGTACAGATGCGTGATCAGGGCCACAGAGATGAGAATGAAGGAAACGGCGAAGACAATTCGGGAGATTTTCATGTGCTTCACTCGCTTCCACACGGACGGAGTGCCTCCACCGCCTCCAACCGGAGAATACACCACAGAGTTGCTGAATGCCATTCCTCGGCCTTCACTTTATCCCTCCAAGCACCCCAAAATCCTCTTCATTGCAATGTAGCAACCCAAATCCCGGAAATATTTGAGAAAACTGAAATGATGACAAAACGTGATGTGCATCCCAAAGATTTTAGTTAATTACCATATTTTCAAGGTCTTCACCTGAAATCTTCTCTGCACCGCACACTTCCGGGTATAGTGTGCACCCACTGTGAGGTCAATTAGGGCTGTTTTCAGGACTGTTCCATAAAAATTCAAGACTTTTCTTCGTCAGAGAAAATTGTAAATAAAAAGTCAAATACACAAGAGACAACTGCGCTCACCGTGGCGAACTCTGGAAATTCACCTCCGACTCGCCGACTTGACGAATATTCCCGCCAAATTTTTCAAACAAATTAGTAACGGTCTGAAGTGTTAATATTTTATTTTCTCTTATCACAATTTATGAACAAGCAATCTAGATTCAGTGTGATCCGACGGAACTTTCTCAGAAAGTGGAACACCATCAATTTTAAGATCCTTGAAGGGAAAAATCTTCAAAACTACGAAATTCAATTTTTCACCAAGTCTCGCTGAATACTTATTACTGACACTGGCGAAAACGATTTTAAAATGTTTGCCTCTCAGTTTCACATCCATGGTTTCAGGATATTTTCCTTCTGCGGTTTCCTTTGCCATAACCAACGTAGATTCGACAAAATGATAGGCAATATCTTGTCTACGATATTCCGGAAGAGTTACGCCATAGACAATTTCAAAGTAGTGATCAACGTTGTACATATCAAAGAGATTAATTTGTTTATGTTTGGCGATCCTGAAATTGAGAAGATCCTTTATCAATTTGTTTTCACTGTTATCTCTGAACTTCTCAAAGAAACTTTGCTCTCCAGGCTGAAGACGAGAATGAATATGACTCAAGCAGATTCCGATAATCTTGTTCGACCGCACTTCTCGAGCCACGACTGAGAGTCCTGCGAAAAGCACGGCTTTCACCATTTCTTCATACTCGAGACGTGCTTCCGAGGCTTCCGGTTTGTCCAACTCGAAGGCGATGAAAGTGTTGGCGCTCTTCATGTAACCTTCGCGCAAAACGTGCAAAACGCCCTCGAGATCCTCTTTTGGATTGCACAATTGAATTATGATTTCACCTGTGACACGTGTAAAACAGATATTTTAAAACTAAATCATGTCGAAAAAATATTATTCGTACCGTTGTTTATGGTTTTGAAAACTCTCATTTTGATTCTACGGTAAATTCCTGAGGGAAAATATAACACTTTCACCTAGAAAGAAGCGCAATAGACTGGGGTTTTGCGAATTGAAAAATTGCACTTTATCAGCAAATACTCTGTTCGTCAGAGTATTTAAATGTAGATAAGTGTCTACATAATCTACTACAAGAGAGCAAAGTGATAAGAAAATTTTCAGAGAGTAATTTTTTTATCCCCTTTTTCTCACTTTCGCAATGTCACTGAACATTCCCATAAGTCAATTTTTTATTATTCTTTCATTCAGTGCGCAAACAATGTAAATTTCTTGTTTAAGTTCTATGCTATATTATGTTCAATGTTCATATCATAAAGTTTTTTGTTCCTCTTCTACTGTGAAAAATAACCTTAATAAGAGAAATGTTTTTATTCGGTATAATACAACACATTATTTATTAGATTAGATTACAATTTCAGCACAAGCAACTTTGATTCTGTGTGATCTGATGAAACTTTCTCAGACAACGGCACTCCATTGACTTTAAAATCCTTCAAGGGAAAGATCTTTACTGCTACGAAACCAAATTTATCACCAATTTGTGATATATATTTAGAGTTGGTACTGGCAAAAACGATTTCAGGATTCTTTCCTCTCAGTTTAGCATCCATGGTTTCAGGATACTTTCCCACTGCAATTTCCCTCGCCGCACGGCTTTCACCATTTCTTCATACTCGAGGCGTGCTTTTGAAGCTTCCGATTTGTCCAACTCGAAGGCAATGAAAGTGTTGGCGCTCTTCATGTAACCTTCGCGCAAAACGTGCAAAACACCCTCGAGATCCTCTTTTGGATTGGCACACTTGTGGATTACGATTTCACCTACAAACAGGGATTTTAAGACAAAGAACACGTAAATTCTAATAAAGACTTCTACCGTTGTTTATGGCTTTGAAGACTCTCATTTTCCTTTTTTGCGAATTCAGGAGTGGTTTATTTTCAACTGGTTTGAAGCAGGAGAACAAAATTAAGCGAACCGCTGAGCTCTTTATCGGTAATTGATACTGTCTCTAAATATCAAGATGAGGATAAGTTTATATACTTGATACTTACCAAACAATGGAATGCGATAATGAAACATCTAGAGAGCTCTGAGATCAATTTTACACTATCACTTTTATATTCATGCTCGCTCAACCCAGCACAGGCCAGCTTTCCAGCTGTGAATGTGGCGGAAAAGCGTCCGCAATGGCGTGATTATTCAATAAGCCTCTCGAGGGCCTCAGTCGGTCTCAATTAAATCGAGAGGATTTGGTCGATCCTCTCGATTGCATTATGACACATTCAGCGATGCTCACCAGTGATAAAAATTAATTCCACATCCGGGAATCATTTGAAATCACCCCAAGCGTGATCCCTCGAATTAAATTTTCTGTCGAGAAATTTTCAAACACTATTGTAAACAGGATCGTCAAAATAATCGTAAAATAACACAAGAAGGGTGAGTTTCGCTGGGGTGGCACTGAAATTAGGGAGAGAGAGCGGTTTTTATTTCTTTCAGAAAAGGCCATTGTGCAGATATTAACCCAGTATCGCCACTTCATTTTCCCTTTTGCAGTGTCCTTGCCCGCCGTCTCGATGCTCAATTGTGCAATTTAGAGGCAATTATGGGGAATCAGGTAGAGAAAATCTCGTGTGTGTCGTTTCGAAGATTTTCCATCCCATTCTGTTGATTTTCATTAGCCCTTTTTCTTGGAGTTAATTGCCCGATCTCAATGATCTTGAGCATAGCATTGAAGCACTTAAATTAAGTGGAGCGGAAGCTTTTTCATGCACCGTTTTATACTCAATATGCGTATATTAAAACATGTTTTCCCAGTAATTTTTCTTGAAGGCTTTTTATTACTTGTTTTTGCAATAAGTTTATAACACTTCTTCTTTAGCATCTGTCGTGAGATTTTAAAAGCTCTAAATATGCTAGTATTCAGTCTACGGCGCTTTAACATAGTGAACAATACAACGTACTTGATGATATATATTCGCGTAAAATAGGCCAAGAATTAACATGAGAGTCTTCAAAGCCATAAACAACGGTACGAATAATATTTTATAATGTGATTTGGATTTAAATATCTGTGTCGCAGGTGAAATCATAATTCAATTGTGCAATCCAAAAGAGGATCTCGAGGACGTTTTGCACGTTTTGCGCGAAGGTTACATGAAGAGCGCCAATACTTTCATCGCCTTTGAGTTGGACAAATCAGAAGCTTCAAAAGCACGCCTTGAGTATGAGGAAATGGTGAAAGCCGTGCTTTTTGCAGGACTCTCCGTTATGGCTCGAGATGTGCGATCTAATAAGATTATCGCATATAGTTTATGTATCATTCATTCCCGTCTTCAATCTGGGGAACAAACATTTTACGAGAAGTTCAGAGATAACAGTGAAAGCAAATTGATAAAGGATCTGCTCAATTTCAGGATTGCCAAAGACAAGCAAATTAATCTCTTCGAGATGTACAACATTGATCACTTTCTTGAGTTCGTTTATGTTGCGACCCTTCCGGAATATCGCAAACAAGGTATCACATTTAATCTTGCAGAATCCTCAGTAACCCTGGCGAGGGAAATTGCAGTGGGAAAGTATCCTGAAACCATGGATGCGAAACTGAGAGGCAAAAATCCCAAAATCATCTTTGTTAGTACGAGTTCTAAGTATTCATCGAATATCATTGATAAATTAGGGTTTTTAGCAGTGAAGATTTTTCCCTTTAAGAATTTTAAAATTGACGGTGTTCCAGTTTCTCAGAAAGTTCCATCAGATCACACTGAGTCAAGATTGCTTGTTCTAAAATTGTGACTTGATAATGAATAACATATATTTAACAATAAAGGCAGTTTTTCATGGTTATAATGTATATATATATGTATATATGCATTTTTTACCTTTGCATTATACATCGTTTGATAGGCGGATTTACAAACACATTAGAAAGATAATAAACCTTACACATTACAGCAAAATGATCTTTTTTGAATGCTCAAGTCATTGAGAATGTTTGTCTACTTTAAAGAACTCTCAATTTTCAGAATTCAGTCTATTCTTCCTTATCAGAGTGAAAAGTTGCTCTTGTGAATCTACCAAAGCATAAAAATAAGATTACAATTAAAAAAATGAGAGTCTTCAAAGTCATTAACAACGGTGCGAAAAATGTCATATTATGAGATATTCTTCTAAAGAGCTGCGTTTTTAGGTGAAATCGTAATCCAATTGTGCAATCCAAAAGAGGATCTCGAGGAAGTTTTGCATGTTCTTCGCGAAGGTTACATGAAGAGCGCCAACACTTTCATCGCCTTCGGATTGGACAAACCGGAATCATCAAAAGCGCGCCTCGAGTATGAAAAAATGGTGAAAACTGTGCTTTTTGCAGGAATTTCAGTTGTGGCTCGAGATGTGCGATCGAACAAGATTATTGGATTTTGTTTAAATTATATTCATTCTCGACTTCAGCCTGGAGAGCAAAGTTTCTTTGAGAAATTCAGAGATAACAGCGAAAGCAAATTGATAAAGGATCTTCTCAATTTTCGGATACTTAAGGATAAGCAAATTAATCTCTTCGACATGTACAACGTTGATAATTACATTGAGTTCATGTATGGCGCGACTCTTCCGGAATATCGTAGACAAAACATCAGTTATCGTCTCACAGAAACTGCACTGATCTTAGCGAGGGAAATTGCAGTGGGAAAGTATCCTGAAACCATGGATGCGAAACTGAGGGGAAAGAATCCAAAAATTGTTTTCGGCAGTTCCAGTTCAAAGTATTCATCGAGGATCGTTGATAAATTGGGCTTCATATCAGTTAAGACTTTTCCCTTCAAGGATCTTAAAATTGATGGTGTTCCAGTTTCTGAGAAAGTTCCGTCGGATCACACTGAATCAAGGTTGATGATTCTTAAACTATGATATGCTCAGTGAAGAGGAAATCAACAGTTTTATTGTCATCTCACGATAGACACACTGAGCAATTTTGCCGCTATAATTTCACTCTTCAATTGTTGAGGTCAAGGCAATCGCGACGAAGCGATGATCCCACATTATCTTAGTTATTTTTTTCCATTATCTACTCTACTTGATAAGTGTACAGGGCTAAAAGTGAATTTGTTCAATTGTTTGATGATAAAATTTGTTTCAGTTGTTGAAGAAATTCGACAGACACAAGACATCGTGTGTGACTTTAGTTGAGAATTTATAGGGAAATGTCTCAGAAAAGAGTTTTCGCGTTAATTAATAATGGTGAGCAAAGTTACGGTGAATAAAGAGATTCTTTTGTAGACATCCAAGTTTCATTTTCAGATCAAATCGCTATTCAATTGTATAACAGAGACACGGATTTGGAGGGATGTATGAAAGTGTTGAGAGAAGGATTTATTCCCAATGAGAGCATTAGTATTGCTGTAGGGCTCAGCCTTCCAGGAGCTAACCAGGCTCATAGTGACTTCCAGAAACTCGCCCAATTCAACTTTAATGACGGAATATCTATAGTAGCTCGTGATTTGGCATCCAACCAAATTGTCGGCATCTCTATCAACAAGATTCATTCTCGTCCAGTGCCTGGACGCACATCGTTTCTCCAGGAATTCCGCGAGAACCATTGTCATGCTGAAGAATCAAGAGATATCATCAAATTCATCGAATTCGCCGATAGCAAATTCGACCTCTTCGCCAAATTCAATACTGAGTGCTTCATGGAGTGTGTTTTCCTGGCAACCCTTCCGGATTTCAGAGGCAGGAAAATTGCTCTTAATCTTGTGGATTGGACAGCAAGAATGGCCAGAGAAATCTATGCAGGTCAATATCCTGACACGATTGATGCTAGTCTTATTGGAAAGAAGCCAAAAGTTGTTTTTTCCATTTGGACATCTAAATATTCGGCTAGAATTGGAGAAAAAGTTGGATTCAACATATTGGATAGAATTTCTGTGACCGATCTAAAGAAAATTGGAGTGCCTTATCCGGAAAGAATTCCTTCGGAGCACAATGAAATCATTCTTGCGGCGCTGGAGATTTAAATACACAATTTAGAATAGCCGCAAGAAACAATATTTTTGCATAGAATTTAAATTGTACATGTACAAGTCTTATGTAGACTGATGCTCTTACTTTATCGTCACATTTTCCTCTGTGATGATCATATATGTATTGCATAATAACAAAACTCACGTCAGTCGCTAAAGTGAAATCAGCGAGAGAAGTCGACGTTCTTCTCTCCTAAATTCTTATCAAGGTTTTTTTAGAAGCCCACTTAAAAATAATTTGCTGTACAGAAATGTCTCAGAGGAGAGTTTTCAAGTTGATTGATAATGGTGAGCGTATTTTCTGATGTCAAAGAAATTTATTAATATACGAATTTTATACAGACCAAATCGCCATTCAATTGTACAACAAAGACACGGATTTGGAGGGATGCATGAAAGTGTTGAGAGAAGGATTCATTCCCACTGAAAGCATAAGTTTAGCGGTTGGTCTAAACCTTCCAGAGGCAACGCAGGCTCATAGTGACATCGGGAAACTCGCCCAATATAATCTTAGTGATGGGATTTCTCTAATTGCTCGTCATCTGGCTTCAGACCAAATTGTTGGCTTCTCTATCAACAAGATTCACTCGCGCCCAGTGCCAGGAATCCCACCATTTCTTCAGCAGTTTCGTGAGGAGAATTGCCATTGTTCAGAGTCAAACAAGATAATCAATTTTCTAGAATTCGCCGATAGCAAATTCGACCTTTTTGCCAAATTCAACACTGAGTGCTTCATGGAATGCGTTATGTTGTCAACTCATCCCGATTTCACGGGCAGAAAAGTGGGATTTAATCTCGTGGACTGCACAATAAATCTGGCCAGAGAAATCAGTGAAGGAAAATATCCTGACACGATTGATGAGAGTCTTATTGGAAAGAAGCCAAAAGTTGTATTTGCCATTTGGACATCTAAATATTCGACTAGAATTGGACAGAAAATTGGATTCAAGACATTGGCTGCGATTCCTGTGGGTGACTTGAAGCAGTATGGATTACCTTATCCGGAAAGGATTCCTTCACAACACTCGGAATTTACCCTCTCAGCCATTGAGATTTGAATCAATATTTTGTACCCAAGAAGCTTATCAAAATTGCTGTTTCAATTCAATAAAAATCTTTGGAAAAGGACACTTGGTGTGTGCGTAAAATCCCGAAGGCATTGCTCTGCATCAACCGAACAGGATTACGTGAAAAATGTCTCTCTGCGGATTTTGTAAGTGGTGGGATTAAAAAAGTGTGTAAAAATAATCTTCGTTTGTTGATTTTACTACCAAATAACAGAGTTTGATTCCCGATGGCCCTTTAATTGATGCAGCTGTATAAACACTCTTCCCTCCGTCACACTTCCTGGTTCCACCCGAGCGATAGGGTTGCTCATGTGATGAACTCCTCGCCGCGTCATTTTTGCGCACACAAAATTCAATTGCGAACATAATAGCATTTATTCCACATGAAAATCAATAGACGTTATTTCTCACAGAAATTCTCACTTTCTTCTGATCAAAGGAATGTTGTTTTGTATAAAAAAGATATAAATAAAATAATTTGTTCACTATAAGGAAAAGTTGTGACTTGCAGTATGACTAGATGCGTTGCTCCTCTTCCGGATGAGGCTGTATTTACAGGATGGGAAGATCCTTTCAGGCTGAGTGGTTGATGAACGACGGACCGGCGGATCCATTGCGCTGAACAGCTCGAGGATCTTCTGGCGTCCAGACGCGGGCGAAAAGACGAGCTCCTGGTACTCTGTCGCCTTTCCTGTGCCAGGATAGCGAGTGCGAAACTCCACTGCCTGCTGAAAAGAGGAGACAAATTCACAAATTATTCCTGGTCTGCGTCAAATAATTGAAGCTGGCACGAATTTCCCTCCCGGGCGAACAATCATCGCTCATGAGTTGCATGATTGAGCAAATTGAAACAATTAATTCGTTCTGCTTCATATCTGAAATATTGTGCTCTTTTTGCAGGCACCCTTCTGGTTAGAACATCTGGAATCTGTGGAATTTGTGGTGAGTCGATTGCAGGGGATGAACTTCATTAATGGCAGGTCAGAGCATTTACGAATCGCATTTTCCACGGTCTTCCCGTGACACCCTCCATACAGTCTTTAGTTCCGGTTATGCATCAATTGCGAGGAATCTTCGCGTGATGGCAGTTCTCAGTATGGCGGCGAGGTGAAAGAAGTGCGGCAAATTTGCTACATTGAGAGTGGGTGAGTGCTCAAAAATCCATTAGCGAAGCACCCGGAGATCTCCAGCAGCATCCTAATTTATTTGTACAACAAACAGGAATCCTGAACTCGCGTGGAGTGGGAATAAACATCCCCGATGGAACCCCAAACTGTGCATCTGCACAGCGGAACGAATTTCCCACGGAACGGCGAGGGGTTGAGAGGCGACACAGCAATTCATCCCTCTCGATCTCAATGGTGTTATTAGGCGACAGTTTCGCTCCTCTGGTCTCGAATGTGGCGGATTTTCACTTAAGCCGTGAGTCAATCGAAGGACTCGACAATGGAGATTAGTCGGAAAATCCCACCTTTCAGTGCGAAGTGAGTTTTTTCCCTTTTTCAAAATTGTAATCACAAGTCTCTGAAGTGGAAAAATGTATTTTCATCTCGATTATCATTAAAATTTAGTTGGTTTTGTGCATATTCTGAATAAATAAATATGTATGTATTTTGCTTATGCACTCTTTTATGTCTCGATAGACTTTGTTTGAACAACTTTGTTCTCCCCTAGTAATTTTCAGCTAAAATTTACCAGTAATTAACTTGATTGTACTTTTAGTTAAACCACACTTTCTTCCACTCTTCTGGAAAACACCACCTTTTCCATGGTTGCATTTCCCCCCTTGTCATTACATTCCACTTCATCTAAAACATTATTATTAATTCTCAGGGACAGACGTTGGATTGGAAATCCCTACCCAGTGATTAGAACACGTGCAAGACTCGAAAATCGATCAGGAATTTGCGTGTGACATGGAAATGAATCCTCATCAATCACAATTGTGTGAATTTTTACCTCTGAGGATGATTTTCTTTGGCGGTTCTCTGTTCGTACTGCGCTGCAGTCCGTTGAGTCCTGGCTCGTTCCCGTTGCGATCTTTGCGCACCATCTCGCCCAGGAAGGTGATGTAGCTGATGGCCAACTTCAGGGTGTCGACTTTGCTGAGGCGCTTCTCATAGGGAAGCGTTGGAATGTGCGATCGGAGACCCTCAAAGGCCTCGTTGATGCTCTGCATCCGCCGGCGCTCCCTCAGATTGGCCGCCTGGCGCTGCTGAGCCTGTTGCGAGGCGCACTTTACCCGGCGAACCTTCTGCGTCCGAAAACTGCAAAATTGAGAGGAAAATGAGGGAAAATCCAGGATTTCAAACTGTGATTTCTGGTACATTTTCTCAGCCGTGTTCTCCTGATCGCTGTTGTAGCCGCCACAAGAATCCGTGTCCGTGGAATTGTCATCGCAGAGGAAGAAGTCCGAGGAGCTGGGCGATATTGAGCTGGCTAGGCTATGATAGTGATTCGCCTCGAACAGGTGACGCGTCATGGCGGCGTCAAAGTCGAACGGATCCATTGAGAACATCCTCAAAAGTGGCCACTCTTGCCTCCTCATTCAATCACACTTCACTGGTTTTTCCCACCATTGCACGTGTCACGGAATCAGTGATTTGCCCACCGGCACACTCCGGCCACGAAGTCACACTTTCCGGCGACAAGTGCTGAAACGTGGCGCCTATTAAATAAATCCGTCTTGCACTGGGATGAGCGGCCAAATCTGCTCATTCGCGCCTCGGCATTTTCAGGACTGATGGCAAACAGTCCGACACTCTTTAGGGTGACTCGCTTCCCTCACCCTCGAGATGGGAGGAGCGCTCAGCGGACCAATGGAGGGTTGCTCTTGAATTTTCCGAGTGTGCCATTGGTTGCCAAGACACGGAAAATGTGGGGAAAATCGATTGAACATCGCCATTCTGGCCTTTGCTCCGACTTTTTATCATAAATTGCAATTATTTCAGAGAAAGTTTACCAAAAGAACAGTTTTTATGAAAAAATAATGAGAAATATATAAAACACCACACATAATGCTGCTCTAATAAATTTTTAAATAGATTTTTTATACAAATTGTCAAATATTTTATTAAAATTTCAATAAAAGTTTCACCTTACTTTTCACTCACTGATTTTCTTGTTCGGGAAAATGCATGGGAAACTCTTAATCTTTCACACTTGCATTTCTTTCTACTTTAAGGGCATTCACTGTGTTTTTTTTTAAAGTTGGGATTTTACATGATAATTTATCTCTATAAAAAATGATCGAAAATGTGAAATTGGGGAACGAAAAACGCAAATTACACTAGGCAACAAAAATGACACTTTTTTCTGCCCTTTTTTTGAGGTGTGGATTTTCTGATTCCTTGAGTCATCAGCTTTTCAACGGTACATTCCTTTTTTCCCTAGACCCTCAAGTTTTCCTTTTAGAGCCTATTTTCCATTTTCCCCTATTTTCACCCACTTTGCCGCACTTATGTGCTCATATCTCGCCCAATTTTCCACGGATTTTCCTCAAATTAGGCTCAAATGATAGCTATTGAAATTACCTACTACTTTGTAAAACATTGTGAGTGTTTTAGATCACTCCTTGTTGGTCAAAAATGATCTTTTGTGAACCACTAGGTAAAAAATTCACCGGGTTTTTTACCACTTTTTTCTAAATATCTCCGAAACGAAGAAACTTTTATGTTGGATTATTTTTCCTATGTGTAGAGCACTTCAGGGGATGCATTTCCTCCATACATGCCGAAGTGATATTTCTTCTCTATCTGCCGGAAAAACGAGGTTTTCCCTCGACAAATTTTGCTTTTTTATGCTACGCGCACCCGCTAAAAAACTGAAAGAAGGTACATTTTGCTGTCTACGCATTCATTTAGATAATGATAATGCTTAGATGTTAAAATAAAAGAGAAAAAAAGCCAATATCTCGACTTTTTAGCTATTTTAGGTATTTTTTTGGTCTTAATGACAACTACTCCATAAAAAACACAAAAAATTCACTTAAAATAGCTAAAAAGTCGAGATATTGGCCTTTTTTCTCTTTTGTTTTAACATCTAAGCATTATCATCATCTAAATGAGTGCGTAGACAGCAAAATGTACCTTCTTTCAATTTTTTAGCGGGTGCGCGTAGCATAAAAAAGCAAAATTTGTCGAGGGAAAACCTCGTTTTTCCGGCAGATAGAGAAGAGATATCACTTCGGCATGTATGGAGGAAATGCATCCCCTGAAGTGCTCTACACATAGGAAAAATAATCCAACATAAAAGTTTCTTCGTTTCGGAGATATTTAGAAAAAAGTGGTAAAAAACCCGGTGAATTTTTTACCTAGTGGTTCACAAAAGATCATTTTTGACCAACAAGGAGTGATCTAAAACACTCACAATGTTTTACAAAGTAGTAGGTAATTTCAATAGCTATCATTTGAGCCTAATTTGAGGAAAATCCGTGGAAAATTGGGCGAGATATGAGCACATAAGTGCGGCAAAGTGGGTGAAAATAGGGGAAAATGGAAAATAGGCTCTAAAAGGAAAACTTGAGGGTCTAGGGAAAAAAGGAAGGTACCGTTGAAAAGCTGATGACTCAAGGAATCAGAAAATCCACACCTCAAAAAAAGGGCAGAAAAGTGTTGCACAGTGTTATGTACCTAAAAACCACTTCGAAATTGGCACTTTTCCTTTTTGCTATGGTTCTTTTCTCATTTTAGAAATCCAATATCCAGTGGCGACTGCCATAAATCAACCACCTGAGAAGATGGTCAGTTCATGGCAATTTGTCGGCGTGACACACTCTCGGGCGAGGGTTAAATTACAATTACTGGACAATTGCACCTGGTGCATGTTTAATTGACCACGACGCCCGTTTCCGCCTCGGGAGTTCCCTCCGGGCGATGGTTTTCCGCTCCTGGCCAGAGTGAGGGATTCACTGGGAAGTGAGACACTTGGCATGCCAAAGCTTTGCGCCACGTCGAGTGCAATTATCGTGAGGAAAATCAATATTATCGAAATGGGGAATCGTGGAAACTTCACACCTGCGAGTCTCAGGTGAGTTTTTATTCCTTCAGAAAGCATTTATCCCCCATGAAGACCACAATCTTCTCTGGAGAATGTGAAAGTGGATAAAATGTCGCTAAATTGAGGGTTGGTGTATGTTTCACAGGTGGGTTTTTGTCGTTATCTTGTAATATTCCCCACGTGCGCCCATCGAGTGATTTGCTTATCGATGAATGCCTAGATTTATGATTTTGTACACTATATTCGGTGTGTTTTTGGTCCAACAATTGGATATAATGAACAAATAAGTGCGATAAGAATCAAATCCATGAACAAACATGCTGGAAACGCTGCACGCTCTTCTGCGCGACCCTTTTGCAAATGCTCAACAACAACAATGTATATCTTGATGTCATAATTTCAATATATTTCAGAGAATGCAAAATCATTTAGATAAACCATTTTAGGGTCGCGTTCTTAGCCCTATAGAAATCTCCGTTTTTGACGGTTTTGCATCGTCAAATCAGCATTAAAACTCTCTACAAACATCTCATACAAATTATGTGACATGATGTGTGCAAGATTCACTCGTTTCAACTGCATCAGAACAAAAACTATTCGATAGAAAATTCTATTGAGAAAATTTCCAACAGATGAAATCTCTTTCTTCCCACCAAAAACTGCCCCGCGCACAGCGCCTTATTATCTTCAGTGGCAAACACTGCAACTTTTCACTCATCGATTTCACATCGTATGTTGAGCTACGTGTCCTTAACCTCTAAAACGACGCCAAAACACGGGGAAGATGCGGATTTGCTGAGGTTTTACAGTCTCTTTCTGGGCAACGTTGGCGGATGATTAGTGATAAAAGCGACTTGGAGCAGGTGCAAGTTATATCACATCAACTGGACAGGAGAACCTGCGCAATTACAAGTGCGATGAGTGAAAAAACGAAGTTTATTATTTACGCTTTGGGGATTTTCTTCTTGTATTTCTACTTTGGTATTCTACAAGAGAAAATTACCCGGGGACGATATGGTGAGGAGGAAAATGAGGATGGAACTAAAGGTGAACGGTTCACCTTTGCTTTGGTTTTGGTGGGTGTGCAGTGCATCGTGAATTGGTGCTTCGCGAAGGGAATGCTGCTGGTGAGGCCACAAAAGAAGGACGAAACGCATCCAGGATACTATGCTAGCTGCTCATTGACCTATCTTCTGGCCATGGTGAGCAGTAACATGGCTCTGCGGTGGGTGCCTTACCCCACACAGGTGGTGGGCAAGGCGGCCAAGCCGATTCCTGTGATGATCCTGGCAGTTCTCATAGGACGCAAGTCGTACGCGTTGTCCAGATACTTGTGCGTCCTGACAATCGTCCTGGGCGTTGTGCTGTTCATGTACAAAGACGGGAAGACTGCCTCTCCGGATGGGGAACACACTGGTCTCGGAGAGCTTCTTCTGGTCCTCAGTTTGTCCATGGATGGCCTCACAGGAGCGATTCAGGAGCGCATGAGAGCCTCTTCTGCTCCGTCAGCGCAGCAAATGATGCTGGCAATGAACGGCTGGAGCAGCGCAATGGTCGGCGTGCCACTCGTGGTCTCTGGAGAGGCGTCCAGCTTTCTGCAATTCACCATGCGACACCCAGAATTGCTGTGGCATCTCACAACTCTCGCTCTCACCGGTGCACTCGGGCAGCTCTTCATCTTCCTGATGGTAAAATCCTATAAGATTCCGATTAGGCTCTCTGTCTCTATGAGATATCTTGTTGGTGCATCTTTGATGACGAGGCAAGAGTTTATCTGCTCCACTTTTGGCGAGATCGCGAAAAAGGCGGTAATCACGCTGAGAGTGATAATGATAGGCGTTATTTACCTCCTAGATGCATTTGAGACATGCTTTGAATGATCAGAAACTTTCCATAAACTGTTTATACCCCAGATTTACTGGGTGTTCCGGGATGTCTGGCTGAGAGAGATCAAAAGTTTCTTATTTTTGATGTTTCCCAGAGAACTTTGTAGGAAAAACACACTTGAGCCTTTCGACACGATTTCTGGCTATGCCAAGGAAGCTAATGAATTCTTATTCCTTCTTCAGGTGTCTGGCTTTGGTCCTCTGGCGTGTTCTGTGGTCACGACAACAAGGAAGTTCTTCACAGTACTGTTCTCTGTGCTGATCTTCGGCAATTCTCTGATCCCGCGACAGTGGTTCGGGGCAATTCTGGTGTTTGCCGGCCTCTTCAGTGACATGCTGATCAACAAGAAGCCCGCGAAGACACCGCAAAAGCCGCTCCTGAAGCAGGAGCACAACTCACAGTAGATCAATGACTCTTCCTTGCACGACATTTTTTATTTCAATTATTTATACACAGTGATTTCGCTGCCTTCCACAGATGAGGTGTAATATGTGTCAATATACAGGATATTTTTATGGAAAGGGTGTGAGTTTGGTGGCGCTGGAATCAGCTGTTCTGCAAATTGTGCGCTCGATTCTTTGGGGGCGCGTGCGCCTCGACGGTAGCGCCGAACTGTCGCGATCGCCACCCACACGAGCCTCGCGGATTCTGCGCCCTGCACCATCGGCCATTGAGTCTCTTGCCCGCGGGTGGCCTGCTTCAGTGCACCAAGAACGCCGTGAAGGAAGGCGCGGTGGATATCGTGAGAGTCATCCTCCCAGTGAAGTCCAGAAGAGTGACCGCGGTTCGCGGGGAGGCGATAGGATTCCTCTTTTTTTCTATCTCACCAAAAGTGGCCTGACCGAGGCATCGGCGGAGTGAAGAGGAGCCAAGAGAGAGACGTGGAATTTTGTGAAAATTCAGTGGCTGTGATAGCGACGAGAGAGTGGAAAATCGCGCCTCTGCGGCTTTTCTCCTGCCTATAAATAAAGTTCCCTCTCGATTTTCGGGCAGAAGTGCGGTGCGAAAAAGCGTGAGTGGCCGTATGAGAAGGGTTTCCGCGGTGTCTGCCAGAGAATCGCACCGCGAGTGTCCCCATTTTTCCGCCAACCCAGCAATTGCATAATGCCTCGAAAATCCCACCCGACGATGAACTCTTCGTTGACCAGATCCGCTGCCCTTGAACACGAGAATCAACTGTGTCCAATGAGCCACAAATTTGGCGAGCCGCGAGCCAAATCCCACCGCAATTAAACTCGAAGCGGAATTTCTCGTGACGTCCGTCTTTTCTTCCCCTACCCAAAGCGCGAGGGGCTGCAATTGAGACGCTCTGGGCGCATTCGCCGACTCAGTGTCTCAATCAACAGATCGAAGTGCAATTTCACAATCAAATATTTACTCTCTTAGCAAATATGCATTCGTAATAATTTCCCATAAAAGCGACAAGGAAAAGCAAATGGAAAAGTCAATTTCATGATGAAACAAAATTGCGACATTTATTGAATTGATAAATTGAGTATTTGCTTAGAGAAATTTGTTTGAAAATTAAGAAAAGCTAAATATTTTGTTTTATGTATATGAGAGAAGAAAATAACTTTTTTACTATATCCCTAAGTTTATATCGCACTCTAAAAATGTGATTTTCTTTACTCCTTTAAAGTATTTGATGCCTCAATTATGATTTACAAGAGCCTTCACTTTGATATAAATTGAAGCTAAATAATTGCGACAAATTTCTGCACAGAATCGAGTGTATAATGTAGTATTTTTGTATTTTGCACTCCAAATTCTTCCCATAAATTCGAATGTTTTTGCTGTGTCTTCGGAAAATTTTCCATCTCGAGCGCAAAATGACTGAAAATAGAAATCATAAAGTCACAAAATTTCCACTTGCAAAAAGCGCCCTTCCTTCTATTTATACCGGTCTTTCAACCTTCTGCAATTCCAAAACCACCCCCTAAGTTGCACTTGAGAGCCCCTGAGTTGCCAGTCTGTCTCTGGCTGAGATCGATAGCGTGTTCTTGCGCCGATTCACCCATCATTCACACTCTCAGCAAGAACACGCGTCGCAATTTCTCACCTGCCCCGCGATTTCAGCATTTTTCCACCCCCGCACAATCGATCCGAGAGCGCGTGGCTCTTCCCATCCCCCAAGCTCCGGCAGTTATGCAGAACTCGCGCCAATTTGTCCCGATTCTGCCCCATGAATTTCTCCAAGTTTAATTTAACGGAAAAAGGACACCGTCGACACAACGTCAGGGTCGTTCACCTTGATGGAGTGTAATTAAAAGCCCCCCAGCGTGGCGACAGCTTTTTGCGTCGGAGTTTCATGCTGGAATGAATGTGTTTGCAGGATAATTGCAGAGGTGAACGCGCAGATAAGTGACTGAGTGGACAGGCAAGGAGGCGAAAGTGATTTGTTAGAGAAAATTGGCAGGAAAGTGTCTTCAAGATTCCGACAAAGACGGCTTCCCAACAGAAGCCAACGTGGCGATCACACATATCAGGTGAGTTCTTCGAGCTCTGGCTGAAGAATTGGGGCGTCTGATAGCCCTCCAAGGGCGCTGAGCGAAAATGGGGGAAAACACACGCAGCGCTAGTAAATTGGATAATCGTAAAATGGTAAAAATAGCTTGAGGACTCCTTTCCGCGGCTCCCCCGCGGTTGAGACGCCGAAGATTGCAAACAAAGCATAAAAATAAAGTGGGCGGATGATTCAGGCGCGCTCAGATGGTGGGATTTGTGGTATAGACTTCCTTGTGCAAAATCACGCGAAATACCTTAATTTATGTTACTTGGCGTGAAACGTACGCCAGTATAACTCCGCATATTTCTCCGTGATATTACCTTGAGGCGTACACCCGCAAATCGGCAGAAGTGCAATAAATTCCACTTTGGTCACGAGCCAAAATGAGTGATTCACGCTGTTTCACGTGATTTGCAGATGTGACAGAGCAGGAGTATGAGAACGCTGCCATGGAGGAGGACGCTGGATCGGGCACAAGACGCGGGAGGTTTCGAGTGAGCTCAGCGGGACCACCGGAAACCACCCTCGGACGCTTCCGGCTCATCCCACAAGGTGAAAATGGCTTTAGACGAGTTGCTTCAGCAGGCAATCTCACGGGAATTTCACTCTTTCCAGGAACTTATGGACCCACGTCGCCATGTCTGCAACGTGGGCGCTTCGCTGTGATTCCCGAGGAGCCCCAGGCGGGCTCCCCAGCCCTCGGCACGCCTGTGAATGAGCGACCAGCGTCACACAGCAGCGATATCGAGTGGGACTTCGACGAGAAGGATAAATCGGTAATCCAGAAAGCGCGCGCTTTTCCCAATCGGTTCACTCACACTCGCTCACCCGATTCGACGTCGAGCCGCAGCACCGCGGCACGCTGGCAACAGCGCCCTCAGTCAGTCACGAACCGGGTTGTCGACGAGGTGTTGTCTGACCATTTTCTCTGTTTCCCAGCCCCGTTTGCCAGGCTCTCTCGCGACAGAAGTCGCTCCTGGGGCCAGTTGTGTGTCCGCCCTTAGTGTTTGTGATCGGTGATTGTGCAGCAGAAGGGTCCGGTGGGGGCGAAAGTGCGATTTCAGGAAGTGAAGAAGTGGCTTGCAATGTGTCAAGTGTCAAAGTAGCGACATCTTGGTGGGTTGCATGTGTGAGTGCCCAAACAAAAGAATTTCCACCAGTTTCCCATTTGCCAGTCCTCCAGGAGTTGCCCAGCGATTCCACTCTGGCTCATTGTTCCGCCTGAACAGTTCCTGCCCTCGAGAGCGAGAGAGAGAGAGCGTCAGAGAGATCACGCGAGAGAGTCGAATTGGGTGAAAAAGTGAAACGAATGTGAATATCCACTGATTCTCTCCGGAAGTTTCTGCAGCGACTCCGCGAGGGCAGGAGGGCGGAATCTCAAAGTGACTGCAGAGAAAACTCTCGACATTTTCCCTCAGCGGAATCACGTGAAGAGTAGGAAAGTTTTCGTGGAAAATTCCTGCAATCTTCCAGTGATAACGGAAAAGTGTGATCTCTGTTGAGATTGGGAAATATGTAAGATACACGCGAGGAAAATTCCTCAGCAGCGCGACAGTTGGTAAGATGCATCTTGGAATTTACATGCTGTGCTTCGTTGATGGATGAATTGCCCAAAATCTCGAAAATCTCACACGCATAGAATGATTGTTTTGAAAGCTTGGTTTTTTATAAATACTGGGAGAATTTGGAGAATATTCCTCATTTCTGGTAAATGTAAATAAGAGAAAGTATTTTTAGAAATCGTGATCTAAATCCTTGCGATTGAATATGACTAAATTCGGCTCAAAAACATTTTTAACCCTATTGAGCCCATAAGAAAAATCACGCTACAACTTCTGATTTAAAGAAAATAATGAAGCTCACATACAATATAGAGACGATAGCGACTGAATACATGTAGATCATAAAACTCACCTTTTTGCCAGTAAAAGTGAGCTTTGATCAAAAACCACTTTAAAAAGCCTCCATAGGGTTAATTTGAAAAGCGATTATTTCAATTGTTACGTGAATTTCTAATTTTTATCGACTGATAATCATCTTCCTGTTTAAAGGTTGTTGAGTGTAGCTTTAAAAATTCCCCCAAATCTCAAGAGAGCGCCTCGCAATCTTGTCTCTGATCATCCAGTATCGGCGAAAACTCTCGAAAAGCTTCTCAAGGCAATTTTTTCCGAGTCACACCAGAGTTTCAAACTCTGTGAAATCAGCGATAATTTCACAAAATAATCTTGATAAGACATATGTCATGACGCATTTTATTTCATGCCCTTTTTGTCGCACTGTAAATACGTATGTTTCGGGAGGAAATTTCCAATGTGACTCTCATGTGAGGAACGTGAAATCAAACGAGATCACTTTCAATATGCCATGAAACTATTTACTTGGGTGTCGCACAGAGACAAAGGCAAGTAATTTCAATGAAATCCCAAACCGCGGGGCGCGGAATATTTGAAAGGGAGCCAAGAGAGAGTGTCACGTGACGAGTGTGGGATAAAGAATCCCCACAAGTGATGGGAAAAATTTGCAATTTTCGCGTGCGATGACGTGGATTGAGAGCGAAGAGAGTCATTTACTCCTAGACAGACAGGCTTTTTCGCTAATGATCGCGAGTTTTATCGGGGAAGGAGTGTTTCTCAACAGCACTGACTTATCGGTGTTCCCACAGTGAAATTCTAACGCTCTCTTTATGCCTTCTTTCTTTCATATAATCACTGTCGCGTCTTATCGCATTAAATGTGCTGAAGCTCACTCGTATAAATGGCCTTTTGGGACTGAAGAAACTTTTACAAGAGAGCAAACAAGAGTCATATAACTGGGATTTTTATTTAGTACTGTGTCTCATCTAAAATTATCACCATGACGAGTGAGAATTCCTCTTGTTTTTCCTTATAAGATGGGGGATTTTTACGTGGAAAGGCAGCACGATTTCTGGGTAAATTCATTGTCAACTCTTGTTAGTTGATCAGGTTAGACGGGGCTTGTGAATAGATCGCGGAATTATCACTTCCGAGAAAGTGAGCCTGTGAACAGTGTGTGCTATTCTGGCCAAAAAGTCTATTTGCGATGGCGTGGAAAAAGCACACAACAAAATGATGGAAATTGTTTGCCACAGAGTGTTCGTCATCAATCAAGTCGCTCTCTTTTGAGCGATCGCGCGCGATCGTTGGCCAACATGAGCACAGAGAGGGTGTTTGAGAGTATGTGGGTAATTGAAATGGAAAACACATGATCACATGGAATTAATAAAAAGTATTCAGCGTTCTGGAGTGGTGATCGCTGATAGAAATAATCCGTACACTCAATCAGGGGCGATCGTGTAGAATGTGCAAAATATCGCTGCCGGTGAAATGGCTTTTCATGCAAGGGAGAATTGATGGTGTGTTGTTGTGAAGAAAATGTCGATTTGAGGCCACATTTTGCATAAAGTGCTCAATCTGTCGACTTCTCCACCACAGCAACAAACCAGCTGATTCCGTGGAAACGTAACTTTTTTTCAGTTCCTTTTGTGAGTCACACACAAACGAGCAGAAAATACACATGACGGTGAAATTACACTCGATGTGGCATGATGTAAAAGCTTGGCGCGATGCGAAAGTAAAAGACTGAATCTCTCTCTTTCGCACCTGCTTTTGCCTTCTCAATCTCGATTATCCGATGATTGACTTGCGGATTTTAGCTCAAATCGCACGATGCTCTGTTGTTCTTTAACCCTTCCGCCAGTGTTGAGAAATTGAGCATGTGAAGCTCTGTGTGTGGAATCGTCTAAAGATCACTTGACCAATTTGATCTTTCAGCTGAAATATCACGTTCAAGGGACTTCGGAAGAGTTTCACAATGTTCTCTCATAATATTTATAGACTCAAGAGAAGAGAAGAGAAGAGAATATTTTGTGGCGTGTGTGATTCTGCTCGATGGCGAAATCATAAAGCAATTCCAGTGTTAATTAATCCACTCTACGCCCAGCCATTGTTTGCATTTGAATGAAATTGAGAGCAATTTGATGGCGGTTTTTAGGTAATTAAAAACTAAACCGAAATGTGTTTTCAGACAAGATTTTTGCCGAGAATCTTTCGGAATCGATGCTTGAATGAATGGCGGTCGAGTAATGAATCATTTTTTGTACACTCTGAGATTAGATTTGTATTATTCATTGAATAAGTCACAAGGCGAAGTAACATCACAGGCGTTGCTAAAGTTCTGATACATTCAACACTTAAACAATCTACTGAAATAATGACGGATAGTTTTTTTCTTCTTCTCGCTTGAATATCATATTTATGGATAAAAGTTTTGATCTTTTTCTTGTACTTCTGTTTTTAGTTTGAAATAAGAATTGATATTTAGAGATGTTTTTGGAAATTTTAATGGAATATCAATGAAGTAAAGCATTTTCCCAGTCAGATTATTTGCTTCTCTTGCCTGACTCTTGGTAAACGAAATACACGAAGTCAGAGGTTATTTGTGCTTGCTGTAAGTCCTCTTATCGTGGTGTAACAATGCATAAATAAATAAATTTATCAGAATGCACACGAGAGAGGGTTAAAAATTGTTGCAATGCAGCGCACGCAAAAGTGCTCTGTGAAGCATGTTTTCGTGAAATAGTTCAACAATTGAGATACTGTAGAGAATTCTTTTCAATGCTCACCAGACGATTTGTGTCGATTTAAATGCTAATCTTGGACAATGACGCAAAAATTCACTGTTTGTAGTTGAAAAATTTTTCCATATGAATTCCAATAATAATTGATATTGTGCCTATTGCAAGTCACCTTGTGCCTCTTTTTTCCCCATATTTCTCTTTGCACTCTTCGCGCACATACACAAGAGCTATTATATATTTTCTCTTGAGTGCATTTCAGATTCACCCACTTTGCGGCGTGTGTTCTTTGGGTGAAAATCTTTTCCCCCTTGCAGTGCGTCTCGTGACGTTCGGAGATACATTTTTACGCAATTAATTTGCCACTCTGTCAATGAATGTCTGTGGGACCAATTAAAGTTGTGCGATAGCAAATCATAATCATTATATTTACGATGGTGTTAAATATCGCGTTTTGGGCGATCCTTGAGTTTCTCGTTTGTCTCTTATCTGTCTTCTCGCGAGGCACTGACAAGAAGCATGGGCGTCATAGATCAAGTTGTTCACACAATACACAGATTAACCGATTGAGAAGGAGTGCGAATGAAAGAGTTTGCAAACATTGAAAATAAAGCACACTCAATTGAGAATCTCTTTGGCAACACACTTTGCAATTGGGCATTGCAAATGAAACCATAACAATTAGAAACAATTAACATTAACAACCATAGAATTAATTTGAAAAATGAATATGCTACACGATTGACCTCCAGATTTGCCATTGGGTGTATTTCAATGTCACTTAAATGTACAGTCAGCAATTATTTGGCTCAATAATAACTGAGCAAATGCTTCAGGCTCACTCCGATATCTTTCTTTAGGGTGTTTTTTTTGCGAGAAAAGTGCTAAATTTGCGGACAAATAATTAAAATGTGGTAAAAAGTTTCATTAAGTCTTTTACCGTAAGTTCAAATTGGGAAAATTGAATGATTCTGTGAACAGATTTGTGCTAAAAATAGTGACACAAACTATATTGATCGTCATCTTCCGCAATAGTTGAATATTGAAAAATGTTGGAAAAGAGGAAATTACTGCTGGTTTATTGACTTTCTAAACTATAAGAAGGCTTTAAAAATCGAAGGATTAAATGTAGAGGCGATTGTGTGATATTTCTGGGGTTAAACTGTGCATTTGTTTATTGTGGAAGTGAATGGCTTTTGCGAGAGTATTGGAAAAGCCGATGCTGAAATCGCGAATATTTGCATCAATCGGTTGAGGCGATAAAGTGCAAGCAGCTGTCTCGAGAGTGGGTTCTTTTTGTTGTGCCTCCGCATGAGAATGTACATGCGAAAACAGCTGATTTGCCGCCTTCTCGTGAGCACTTTTATTCGGACGCTTTCCTCCTACTTCGAAACTCGCGCGCTCTGTCTCAAATCCCACATGTGTTGATAAATGTGATAATTTTTCACGTTTTTCTCTCCTCCCGCCAGTCAATTTATGCAGAGTGTCTCTTGATGTTAATGATTGCTAATTGCATGACCAATTAGTTGATGCACTTCAATTGAGTCGTATGAAATTTCTCATCTGGAAATGTCACATTCCTGAAACATTTCTAAATCACATTGGTTGCTATTCAACCATCGTCTTTTGTAATGTGTGGAAAAAAGCGCTCCAATCAAGTGCAAGAGCGAATTGTTCATTAAAAGAGAATTTACAATGCACAAACACTCTAAAAGTTGAGAGTATTGTTTGGCGATTTGTGAGCTGAATGAGATAAACGACAAATTGGAATATTTTATAGATAAAGCTATTTGTCTCTTGGCCGAAGGCAGAGGTCGATTGTTGTGAAATATCATATTTGTGTGAATTCGAGATTTTGAGGCAGTTCTGTGTGTAAAAATTTCAAGATCATCTCTGAAGTCGTGTAAGTCAATCAATGAGTCTGCAGCGGAATGAAATGGAGGCAAATGTGGGAGCTGTGCATTAGAGGGGAAATTGTGTGGAAAATTCCAGTGCATGCGAGGAAAATAAATTGAAGTGGCATCATTCTGTTGATGGAGGAGCAAAAGAATGTTGATGTTAATTGATGACAGTGGAATTTTACACCCATTCGTTTGTATTTTCTGCAGGAAAAGTGTGCAATTCGTTAGATTTGTGAAAAACGAGTGATTATCGTGTTTGCTAAGGACGTTGCCGGAGGATTATCTTGTATGATTGCTGAGTGCTTAGGAGGGGAAGGTGCGAGGAAGTGTCTGGGCAGCTGATGGAGGCGTCGAAGAAGCAATTGACGGAGGAGGCGATTGGAAGGACTAATGGCTCAGTGGCGAAGCATGTCATGGAGTCGCAGAAGTTCGAGGAGCAAATTGAGGCGTACATGAACACGCTTGAGGAAGATGACATTCTCTTTAAGTCGGATGACGATGAGGAGGGAATCAGGAATATTGGCGAGGAGATTTCGCTGGGGTTGAGGAAGAAAGTGCGATTACCGCGGAATAAGCGCAATCAGAAGGCACCTTCTGAGGTATTGTCCTCATCGTCGTCCTCCTCATCCGATGAGGAGGAGGAGGAGGAGGAGGAGGAGGGGGAAGTGGTGGGTGTGGTGAATCAGAAGAGCCCTCTACGGACGGCGGAGGCGCTCAATCATCACCAGATGACTTATCCCATTCCGCAAGCTCCTCGGCCTTTTATCTTCTCCATCGAGCGACGACGGCTGTCGCAGTGCAAGGAGGAAGAGGAGGAGGACAATGCCGAGAAGACACAGAGTGTCTCACCCACCGTTGTGCCCATTCCGTCGGCCGCGAGTCCGCCGGCTGCAAGTCCGCCCGCCGTGGTGAATCGCTTCACAGTGACGAAGGCCGAGGAGAAGCAAGAGATTGTGCCAAAAGAAGAGCCGCTTCCTCGTCCAGAAGTGGAGAATCTGCGGAACTTCACGCACAAGCACAACTCCCTGACCATCCACTTTCCCTGCTCGTCGCCAACAGTGAAGCCGAATCTGCAATCAATCTTCTCACCGCTGAACCCGCATCTGGACAAGAAGTTCTTCGATACCAGCTTGATTGAGATACGACCAATCAATGAGAGTACAAAGTCCCTTAATTGCGAGGACAGCATTGATGCGCCACATGAAGTCTGGGTTCGGCGCGCTGATGAGCCCAAACGCCAGCCAAAATCCGTAAGTTTTGACTCTTATCGTGATCCATGATAAGTGAATAGCAAACATTTGATGACTTCGTCACACCCAATTTGCAATTTTTTCAATATAGCACGTGTCTGTTCTCAAATTAGTCACAGAACTTCTGAGAACTGTGTGCTCAATTGTCTCAATATTTGATCTCAAGTCACTGTATGTCAAATTGTGGAAATTTCTGGTGTTTTTCATCAAAGAGAAATCACACACAAAGACAGTGCCAGAAGGAGAGTTTCATGAACAATTTCGCGGTGCAAGAATGCAATAAAGTGATTTTTATTTATCACCTTGATCGTTAAATAATCCCCACGAAAAGGTGGGGATATTTTTGGGTTGACAGTGAGGCATTTGGAAATATTCTCACACCTACACAATATTTATTTTTGAGCTAATTGCACTTCAATTTATGAGAACTTTAATGTGTCGGCAAGTTGAAATCATCCTGTTTGGAGGGTAATTTCGTTGTTATTTATTCGATGCAATTATGAGGAGTATTTAAACTATATTCAGAGGATTTTTCTTTGCTAAAAATACAATACACTCAGTCAGGTTAGACACTGAAAAAAGAAGTGCTGATAAGCTGGTATTGTTTAGTTGTGTGAAGCTGGAATTTTGGGGACAATTCGAGCGTTAAGTTGTATTGTCTGCAATACACGGTGAGGGTAATTTATGCTCTATAAATTGCGACAGTGAACTGTGCCACGCTAAACAGATGTCGTCTCTGTTATCAGTGTTTAACGTGTTTAAAAATAGTAAATCTCCTGATGAAAATAAGTCATCATGTGAAGAATACAGCATCTAATTTTACAGTCATAAACCAAAGAGGAAATTATTGCTCAACAGCAGGTTCTAAAAGTGCTGACAATTCGGCAAATTCACGGTCAAATCCACCGAAAAGCAGTCTTGAGGACGAGAAGAAAAATAGTGTCTTTCCTACGAAACTGGTTGACTCTTGAAGCATGATCGTGTGATCGATGTTATTCAATTCCCCATAGGTTTTGTGCAGGGAAGTGTGACGCTATAGTTTGCGCAATATTCGGAGAGTCAAGGCATGGCGTGAGTGCGTCACTGTTTACTTTGCATAGCGTGGAAGCACTAAATATCAGGCTTTTTTATTATTTTCTCTCGGGATGACTTTTGTTGGTTGGAAAGAGCGTCCAGAACGGAAAATCTCAGGCGATAATGCGCGCAAAGTGTGGAAATATAAAATTATATAGTCTACGTATGACTTTAGGTATTGAAAGACAGAGAGGAGACTAATGCAATTATACCGTCTTACTCGTTGTATCTGGTTTGAAGTGAATTAAAGTGCAAATACACGCTTTTTCACTCCCTCTGCGAGACATTGTGTGTTCAATTAAGTGATATTGGTGTAATTTCAGTATTTTTACTCCCATCGCGACTGAACCGGTGAAAATACGCTCTGAGCACGTGCCCTACCGTGATATGCTGCAATTTATTTAAAATGTTGGTGGTGAACACGTTTTCTCACTCACACAAATTACTCTCTTGCGCCCACTGTACATTCTGAGGGTGTTGAAAATGAGTGTGTGCATGGGTTTTAACAAGGAAAAAATACTTAAAAACCAATAATTATTAGATTTTGAGGCTTGATATGGGAAAAGAGAAATTACCGTGTTGAATTTCCTTGAGAATAACAGTCTGAAAAGACGGAGGAAAGTCTCTTGGAGGTTTCTGATCGTGAGATCTCGGGTGAGCGATAGTGTGACACGCTGATATGTTTATTTGGCTTGATGGTTTGTGGAAGATTTTCCGCCTCTTTGCTAATTCAGACATTTATTTTCTTTCTGTGCAGGAATCGTCGGTTGATGGCAATTCCGGGTCGTCGCTACGTCCACAAAGTGCGCCGGGAAGTGTCTCGAAGCCGAGGAAATCTGCCAAGCAGATCGAGAAGGAGGCCAGGTGGTGCAACTGACCGAGAAATCAATTATGACTTACTGACAGGGTTGTATTTTATGTTCAGGAAACATGAGAAGGAGCTCAAGAGATCGGAACGAGAGGCGAGGAAGTCGGCCCAGGAAGCGGCCAAGAAGCTGGAAAGAGAAGCGGCGAAGCTCGAGAAGTTAAATAGGAATGCTGAGAAGATTTCCAGGAGCACTGAACGCGTTGGAGGACCAAGATCGGGATCGCTGGAGCGTCGCAGAAGCGGGGATGAGTCACCGGTGATAAATCAATCAACAGTTCATGGTGAGAATTTTGAAAACATCCGCAGTGTTGTGAATAGGTCAATGAGGAGCACTCATTGCGGCAGAGTTAATTTTTGCAAGTTTATAGATTGAATGAGACATGAATTCGAGGGAAATCAATTCAATGGAGATTTTGTAGAGGGAAATCAATTCTATAAGTTTTGTTCTTTAGTTTGCACGACGTTTCTTACTTACATGTAAATTTCCTTGCTAATTGTCGTCTTTTATGTCAGAGAAACATTTAACTTTAGCAATTATAGGCAAACGTTTGATTTTTATAGCTTAATATGAAAAATTTTAGCATAAATGATAGTTGGTATATGACGGAAGTTTATTCAGAACTTATTATTATTAGTTTTATAGTCTCAATAATATTTCAGCCCATGTTACATCAAAATTATTATCATTTTCTTACTATTCTTGTGTTCGACTTGCAGGAATTGCCAGTCCAAGTCGACGACCCACTATTTTCGACGTTTTCCGTCCGCGCACCAAATCTGATACGAAGAGGAAGGACAAGGATGCCGCTAAGTCGAGTGGATCGTCGGACAGGGACAGTTTGAGCACCAGCAGCAATCACAGCGGCCCCAGCAGCATCATGCAGAGCATGAGAACGGCCATCCAGCACACGGTGGGCCACAGACAGGGCACCGGAGCGGCGAAATACAAGGACGGATCGGCTCATCCACATCCAGGCAGCGATGCTCAGGTTCATTCCGGCCCATTTTCCCAGTGAATTCACTGAGTAACGAGTTTTTCTGCTTGCAGTACTATCATACTGTGACTGCCGTCCGGCGAGCGGATGCCTCCAAATCGGCAATGACCAAAGTGATGGATCTCTTCAGGCACCGATCGAATTCAGCTGTGTCGGAAGCGGACAAGAGAAAAGCGGTGAGTTTTCGACTTGGAAGTGTTAATTGGGAGTTTACTCTACTCTCCACGCTGTGTCGCCACTGTCGATGGGGGAGAAGAATTGAAACGTTAACTGAATACTTTGTCTCAAATTCACATTTCAATTGACAAAATGACCCATTTTTTGGGGAAAACATGGAAAGACATGAAAATCTTCAAGTGGAGAAAGATTTTTTGATAAATATTTACGAGAGAGAAACATTCTTTAGTCGGAATTAAGTATTTTTAGGCACTGTTGTGAGCGCAGAAAATGGAAAAGCAGACATTTTTCGCAGATTTATGGATGGTTGAGGGGCTCGAGAGTTGTCTTTTCATCTTCATGGCATTGATCATGACTGCCTGAAGATCAATTGCAAATGAGTTTGCACAGAGAGATTGCGTGAATGAGTGAAAAAATATTTGAACTCGATGAATTAACTGTGTGGTTAGATGAAATTGTCTTGTATTTGATCACAAACTATTGAGAGAATGATTTAATCAGTCGCAATCATGTGTTTTTGCACTTGTTTGCTTATGAAGAGTATTTACCCAGTCGACACTTGAACAATTCTTCTTCAGTCTCGCAACTTGGCAGAGTCTTGAGAAGTTTCTTCATTAAAAATTCTCCTCATATGAGTGATAAAAGTTTTTCCTACCTCATCTTCCGCGTCATATTCATGTCAAATGTCGGTTTAGTAATGGCGGGGAAATTATATTTTTATGGTTTATATGGCGAAAAGCAGGAAAAAGGCATGTTAAGTATGAAGGGCAACGTCTCACGTTGTTTTTATATGAAGTGTGTTTTGTAGCTTCGCTTTGTTGAAATTCATTTTCCAGCGGCAAAACAAGCGCGCTAATTTAAATTTTCTATTTCATTAGGGGTCGAACTAAAGGTCTAGGAATGATTTTGGTGGACTCTTTTTCCACACAAATCAGTTGATTTTGATTGAATAACGATGGATAACGCGTTTGAACGGCGCACGAGAGAATTCCTCCTTATCTTGACAATAATTTTTACTGTTATTGTACACAATCATTCTATCTATCTCGCACACAGTGTGTGAGCTCTTTTCCCCGCGATGCCGCGCGAAATGTGATTAACACAAGTCACTGTTTCAGTCTCCAGACAATCGTGCCTCGAGGCGGTTCAGTTGCATCGCGCATTTTCCTGTCCTCGTGTCGCTTGTGGGTGTGAAGTTTCCCGAGGGAAGGTCTTCCCTTGTCCGAAGTCTCCTCTGGATGGACGAGGAAAAACACCTCGTGATCGGGAGAGAAGTTTTGATTTTGAAAGGCTGGGATTAAGTAAATTTTCCACGCGCGACGCCAGAAAAGCATGTGATTCAAATGCGGTGTGTGAGTGTTGGGAGGTTTATTGATAAAATGTGTCTCATCTGTGCATTTTGAGGGTCATTCGGTGTGCGATGGAGAGAGAAAGAGAGTATATTTTGTGCAGTGGGTGTTGCAAATATTTAAAGCAAATATCTTTGCAGCAACACATGCTAAAATGTAGCAGAGAAGTGACCGAAAATCTGTGAGGTTTTTCAGTCTCCCTGACGATCAATCTTGGGTAGGATTTGTCAGGCTCCTCGAGTCACAGAGATATGCATATCGTGATGCTAGTGGCAATTTTTATTCACATAAATAGATATGGAAATAACCGTGGGTATTGTGCAGTAAATTGTTTTGTATGATTTTTCAAAAATAAATTATTGTGAATGGCGCGAACATGAGCGGGACGACGACACTGAGAAATCTGTAAAGAGAAGTCGCAGAGATGCAATTTTAGTGCAAATTCTCGTATTCTTTGTGCGAAATGCACGGATAAGCGGAGAAAAAGTCTCACCAAATTGTTGATTCTTGCCATACAGTGTGTTTTCAACTCTTGATATCATCACTATAGTGTTTATTTAATCTCCAGTCACATGTTTTAATTGAGAAACGTGGTTTATATATGATATTCTATACAGTTCTTTTATTCTGTTTTTTGTTATTTTAGCGATTATGTAATTGTAGCTGACAAACACTGTGTCTTCCACACACCTTTTGTCACTAAGCAAAATCCTGAGTGTGTCTAAAAATTAGTATCTTTAATTTAGCCTGTCTATTGGCAGTTATTATTGCCATTATAAGAGAAATCAGTGCTTGCATCATGCTGATGTCAAAGCAAGGAAAGAGAAAGAAAATTGTGCGCGATTCTTATCATCTCAATCCTTTGAAACGTTGTCAATTCAGGTGTTCTGCATGGAAGTGTATCTAATCTTGTATTGCTGACTTGAATTCTGAGTTATCGTGACACTATTGCATTGCAGAATTGGTGAAAATTGAGTGATTTCTTGATAATATAACATATTATATGACTTTATAAGCATTATCTGTCTCTTCGAAGAAGTCTACTTAAAGCTAATCCCAATCTAAGTGATTGGAAATTATGATATTTCGTAGTCTGACGTCTCCTTTGATATTTTGCATAGCGCGACACAAAAGAACTCTTTATTCTCTAAAAATAAAACAAATTCGTAGAAAACTCCAGAACTATCAGTGGATGTTTACTGTTTTTCAAGAGCTCACATTGTATAACCCAGTCTAGCGATAAGACTTTTGATTTGACATGAAACGCAATGGATTTGTGAAAAAATCTCTGTGAATTTTCGTTATCAATTTCTATATAATGAAATCACTTTAATTGCAAACAATAAGCTGATAAATCGTCATGGCGAGAGGCATATCAGAAAATTGAATGAAAATACTTGAATTGCGGAGGTTTTGCATGGTATGATCAGCGAGAGAAGAAACTGCAGCTGATAAATCAAAAAATCGTGATGGTAAAAGGCCGTTTTTTGGTGGCCTGCAAGATCAAGTGCAAAAAAAGTGTCTGAGTGAATTTCTTGGGGTTCGCCTTGAAATTCACTTTTCGCACCTTGGAAGCTGATCAGCTCGTCGTTTTAGCTTAATAACTTCTCACATGATTTCACTTCTCCTTTCGCACACAATTTTGTCGCTTGTGTTATCAAACTTTATCTCATATTTATTTGTGGGCACAATAATAAATTAGATGGAGAAATTTGTGTGAGTCTGGAATCTGTTATCGCGGTGCAAAAAATGCGATATCGAAACAATGCTTAAGTGATTGATAAGCAGAAATACCTTGATTGACATATATTGCGAGTGTGTGTTCCTCAATCTCATGATTTTCTTATCGCACATCCTTCTGTATGGTCGGCTCTGGTCATTTCGTCAGTGCCATTTTCAAGGGTAATCGAAGAGACGCACTTTTGTGGAAAAACACTGCATAATTTCGCTCTTTCTCTCTGCGCGACATGAATTAGATGCTGTGTGTGAATTGGTTGGGATGTAAAGTGAATTCTTGTGTCTTTAGTGGTCACATGAAAATACAGCGCGATCAAACGCCAAACGAGTGTCGGATGTTTATCATTTGAAAGTTCCTCATTACGAATGCGGCGCATCGGTTGATGACAAATGAACATAGAATTGTTGTGAACAAGAGGAGAAAAAATGTCGTACTTCAAGAATTTCATGAAGGGCTCCAGTTCGCAGTCTTACAGTCCGCGAAGTCGGAGCAAATCCCTCGATGTGGAGGCATTGGAGAGGTCAGGGATAAGAACGCTCAACTCTCACTACGTACGTTGATCGGTGAAAAGTGTCTGATATTCCTTTACACCTCAGATTCTAGAGTGACTTAACCATCAAGCTTTGTTACTAATCCTTGCTCTTTCCTTTTTTACAGCGCGTTGCTGCTCATCAACAACAATTAGCGGCTCAGAGTGAGTATAAAATTGATATCCTTACCCTGTTTTGCGGGGGAGATTTTTCCCATTTGAAAAGCAACCAGGAAGATGTGATTCTTCCCGAGAAACAACTTCCAAGTTTGTCGGAATTGCGAGTAGATGGTGTGTTGAATTGGCGCGAAAAGAGCAGAGCTTTTGCGGCTGGAGCTTTTTCACACACAATAGCACGTCACTTTTCACTGCTGCTCTCATCGCGTTTGAGAGACAATGCAGGTGGAATTTCGCCACGTGAATTGCGTGGAAAATGTCAGTAAGAAACTATACCAAAAACTCATATTTCTCGCTCTTTGGCTGGGGGAAAATTCACGAAGGTCGTTGACTTTCAGTGCGAATGAGTGTGAGATAGAAGTCACAGTTTTTTTCGGGTGCCGAGAAGAGAATATATTGTTGAGCAATAATATTTATAAACACAAATTCCCTCTTACAGCCTTGACCGATATTGAAGATGTGTTTCGAACGTGTGTAATTTTTTACACTGCGATATTCGTGCGAAATTAGAGGAGAGATTCGTATGTAGAGAAAAGTAATGTCTCAAGGATCTTCATTTGCCTCTTTGTGTCTCTCACTCTTGGTGAAATGGAGGAAATTCTCGCGCGATCGAGTTCATTGAATTGCAATTTCTCACTATCTTCCTTCATCTCCTTTTACAAGCGGCAAGCATGCGGAATATTCTGCAGAAATCTTTCTCCCTAGAATGGATTGTATCACACATAATTTAATTCATCTATTTACGCGGCTTTTTCTGCTATATTTTCACACACTCGATGTGTTGGATTTTTTTCTCCTCTGGTATTGTTTTCTTATACAACACACACGCTCAATCGTCTTGTTTTTGTTGGCTGTTTGGAAAACTCGCGCGCTGGTGGAAGAAGACAAGAACGTGTTCTTCCACCTACTTTATTGTTGAACCACATTCGTGGTGTTTCTCTCTCGTTTTCACGCCTATTTTCCCTCTCGCTCCGCATGAAACGTGCCACAATTTGATGGGATAAGCAATCTTGGGAAATTTGTACAGTTGTGTTGCAATGAAATGTGTGGTTTTGGTCCATTGTTTGTAACTTATCTCAAAGTTGGAGTGTTGATTTAAGGATACAAGTTGATTTATGAGTGGAAAACAGCGCAGAAACTTTGTCATTAGTTTTTTAGTGGTTTCATACGGCCATTTATTAAATTTTTCTAATTTTTCATTATTTTCCAATCTACAAGATACACTTGATCAACATTCTTTTTGATTTTTTTTCTGTTCTTAGCCCTATTTCAACGTATTTTTCGGATCTCAAGACACTTTTGTGATGTGTCACCGTAAATTCATTTAATGTGGAGTGAAATTCTAGCTTTCCATGTACATTTCCTTAGAGAATGATTAGCCTCTTCGCACAAAAATAATTTGCTGTTAATTCTCCACCGAGTCTCATATGGTTGTTGATTGTGGGCTTGTCTCTATTACTATTTGAAATTTACAGTCGTGTATATTTATTGATAACAACAACATTCATTGCTGGTGTGGGAGATTTTTTCTCTCTGTCTCACTTTTGCCTCCTTCGCCGCTGTTGAGTGTGTTTTACAGCTTTTTTTGTACTGGCTGGTGTTTGACTATTGTAAAAAAATATCTGTTTACTTGAGAGCTTAAAAGCTCTCTCATATTTCAAGTCATAGCGGCAAATCAACTTCCAAACAATTGCGTCATTTTCTGATGTTGTGTTGACTGATGTGAGCTTGGATGTGAGTTTGTGTTGTGAATTAAGTGGATGGTTTTAATTTAATTGTATAGAAATAGTGTTGGCTATATTGGGAGATTATAGTTCTTATAAATATTTGAGATGAATTGTGCTGAGTGTATGAATTAAAGTGCGTGTGTAAACTTATTGACGCGTCTAGCGCAGATTTATATTAAAAAATGATGTGTGCTGAAAAAGAGGAGAGCGAACTCGAGGGAAATTGACGACGATGACGATGTGTGGGAAAGAACCAATACACCAACCAAAAAAGACAAATACGCGATGAGAGTGAGATTTTATTCCTTGGCCACTTGTGAGCTTGTGACTCTGCTCAGTTCACTTTCAGGCGTTGCATTGAGTAGAATCGAAAAGCATCGCGGAGGGAAATAACGAGAGGCACTTTTTGAGATACTCTGTGTGCAAACGGCATTTATAGTTTGTTATTTTTTTTGAGGAGAGTGAATGGAAAATTGGTGTGGAAAATTGCGAAAGACAGGAAAGATTGTTTGATAAAGCACTGAACTGACTAATTGCTGTGTTGTTGTTGTGACATTGAAGAGGAGCTTCACACGCATTGTAAGGCGAAAAAAAGACAGTTGTAGAAGAGAATGAATTATTCAAAGTGGATTCATCACTCTTTATTGGATTGATTGTCGATGATAGAGCAGCGCGGAGGGCGTGAAATAAAAGCCGGGAGTAAACACGTTGCTCAACAAAGAAGTGTCTACGTGATCATCAACAAGTATGAAGAGAGCGAGTTAATTGTGAGATGAGGATAATTTTCTGTGATTTTTTTGTCGCTGCATTGCGATTTTTCACCTTTTGAGGAAGTGTAACTCAATAACACTCACACCTTTTGGGATGGTATAATGACAAAGAGAAGGAGAGTGAGGAAAATGTTTTCTGGGTATTTGTGAGAGAGGAAACTTGGACAGAATATTTGATCACTTTTATCTTATCTAAGGTAGGAAACTCGATGTTCATTCCATGGTTATGGAATTAGACGCTCTTTGGTCAAGACACATATTCTTCCAACAAAGAAGGAGAGCTTTTAATCTGCGTCTTTTATGGTAAAGAATGCTATCGCGATTAAATCTCTCTTTCTGCCTTCTCCAGTGAGAAAATCCCATGTGAGAATTTTATTCGCACGCAATTTTCCAATTATGAAGCTCATTGAGGGCGATGCTTTTGGTGGATCTTTAATTAATTTTACACATTTTGCAGACAAAGATGCATAGAAGGTGAATTGGGAATTAAAGAGATGCAAAAATGTAAATTTCAATGTCACATTCGTGCATGATTCTTCATGTGATTTTTCGCGATTTCGAACATAAAAGTTTGTCCTCACCAACGAAATCGCGACATTTCCTCGTATGTCTATTTTTCTCATTTCCCATTGATTGGTTTCGTTTTTGCAAATCCACTGGATGAAGAAATCATTGGAATTTGAAATGAAATGCTAATCAGAAACGTGGTAAAAGCCGGTTTTTCTCTATGAATAGAATGGTTTTTTTGGGCAAACACAATACTTCGCCTCTCTGCGCAAAGGGGTGAATTTTTCGCATTTGCTGACTATTTAGTTGTCCAGCTGAGTTTTCATGGAAATTATAGAGGAAATATAGTGTCAAATGACATTCAGGTGGTGAATTTGAGAGTGGGTTTTGCACATTTTTGCGCATTTAACTGAAATTCAACACGCGAATTCTTTATCGTGAGGATAAATAAACACTGAGAAAAAAGGTCTCATTTGTTCGATCGCTTGACACCATTCTTTCACATCCCAAAATGAGGAGGAGATGAGAGAGTGAAAAGCTAATGAGGAAAATGGATGTTGAGTCTCTGAGTTGGCATTATTCTCCGACTTGGAAACATTGTTGCTGGTTCATTTTAATGTTTTTTCTGTGTGTCATCGTTGTTGTTCCTCTGTTCTAAGTCACACACATGAGGAGGAAAGGAAACGAATAATTGCGCAGTGGATTTTCAACATTGGCAGATTAAGCATCCAAAGCGGCACATCGTAAAATTTTGCCAAACAACCGGCTGCAGCGCTCAAGATGTTGAATAGGGCGAAAGAGTCCAGACTTGCGTTGGGACCCTCTTTTCAGAACACTCGTCGACCTTGGCATAACACTGGGAGAGTTTGTGTTTGTTTTGCTTCACGAAACCCACTTGTGTTCTTTATTTTCTTTTCATCACAAGGGCCAGAGAGATGGGAAGAGGGAAGCGCGCACTTATGAGGCCGCGAAGAAGGCAGGAAACAGACGGTCGCACACTTTAAAATTCGGTCTTGTAAGCTAATTAGTTAATTAGTGTGTCAGTCCGACTGAAAAAAAAATGTTGATTGAGATATTATGTGTGTTATCAGTGGACAAAGAGTCCCACATTTCAGGGGAAATCAAAGTGCCAAAGTGAGTTAAGAGTCTCACGCAACTCGTAAAGTTGTGAGAATCGCGCCAAAATCTGCCGCATAAATAGAATTTGCAAGACAGGAACTGAGAGTATCGCGTTAATGAATTTAAATTGGCAAATTGTCTTCAGATCCTACTCGGAATAGCACTGAATATTCGCATCAATAAATTTGTAATTAATCTAACCCACTTTTAGTGATTAATTTCAATTTACAACGACTTCATGAGTGACAGTTCGTGGTGGGAAAATTAGAAACTCTATACTTTTAGTTATAATTGTTTTGCGACGCAAAAAGGTTTTTTTTTATTTATTTTAATTTTCGTTATCGGCAAAATTAATACGATATCTTGAAAAGCGCACACATTCATCTGAAATGAATGGAAAAGCGAGTAGTAAAAATGCATAAATACAATAATGAATTGCGAAGAATTCAGACTAGTTTTTCGCACATAATGCAAAAAGTGCCCTCAATCGCTATGCATCTATAATTGTGGGTATTAAATATATTTTTGCTTCTCTTTTCTATGAATAATTTAAATTGTCTGTGTGTTGAATGCGCTTTGGATTTGAGAAAAAGTGCATGTAGGATTATTTGAGTAGAGTATCGAATATAATTGAAAAAGTATAGTATTTTCAGTCCAATTGCAATAAAGAGTTCTTGACGTGTGTCTAGTTTATGTGAAAACTTGATTTGAGATGAGTAATTTCTTGGCTGACAGCCAAGCGGATCTGCATATTAAAAAATTTTAATAAATTAAATAACACAGACGAAGCAGTGAGCAAATGAATTTTCCGGTTTTCCAAGCACCCTCACTGCACTTCTCGGGTCACATTATTGAATCTTGTTGT